CCCTAACCCTAACCCTAACCCTAACCCTAACCCTAACCCTAACCCTAACCCTAACCCTAACCCTAACCCTAACTATTCCAAATAAGGAGAAGTCTAACTAGAGCTAGAAGAATACTAGTACTTCGATAAAGTTACTAAGAAAGAGAACCTTTAGAAGACGAGATATAGTTACTACTTTATAGTAACTAATTAGACTATTAGAAAAAAACCCGAGACAGAAGGTTCTAAGTTTACTAGATATAGTATAGTAGTATATTATTCTTATTATACTTTAATCTATATTATATCTATAGCTTAGCACGACTTTCTAATAAATCTAAGTCTAAAGTAATTTTCTTAGTATTAATATACGCTACTTGTAAAACTTCATTACCTTCTCCTGTTAACAGTTCCCGGTAGAAATCGTTAAATACTCGGTTTCTATGCCAATACTGCGTATCATTTACATCCTTCTTAAACACTTCTCCAGGCCACCCATATGTACCATTGCTGCCCTTGAATACAAAATTTTCCTCGTCAAGCACAGCCGTGGGTGAGATAAGCATCTTGGAGCGATGTTGCTGACTTATAGTTCGGGCAATTAAGAGATCTGTCGTTGATGGCGACGTCTTTGACGGAGAAGGGAACACTTCTGAAAAGTACGCAGCAATATGCGCAAGGGAATTTGGAACTTCGGCCAGACTCGTGATCCAGAGGCGCGAATTGATCGGGCGACTTGAGTAGACATGAACAATGAGGCGCGTGAATAGTTGCACAAGCATCCCTTTGCGCCTAAGCTCCGGAGAAATTACTGTGAGGCCTGTGTGAAGTAGTTCTCTTTCGCCTTGTGGTAGACCGGGAATCATAATTAGAACAGCTGAAGTGAAAGCTACCAGTTCCCGAATTTCTGTTCCATCACTGGTGGCCTTCTTGATATGGGCAGTGACGACCACCTTATCATCAGCATTCGTAAAGATTTGATATTTGGGCAGGGGGTTGATCGATAGCGATGCGAATTGTCGAAGTTCGTTCACCAGTTCGACGGTTTTGAGGGGAGAGTACGTTAACCCAGGTTTGTGATGTACAGCAAATTCAATGTCATCCATTTTGGTTCGGCTTTCGGAATCTTGAATTTGACAATCGACTTTGACGTGAAGTTGTTCTGTGGCAGCATTTATAGGGAGGAGGGGGGTTCGTGACAATCGATCACCTTGCGCTATGGCGCTCTCACGTCAGCAGCGGATACACTAACTATGTTTGGTCTCTCTGCCCCACTTTCCAATTCAGAGTGAGACTTGCGAACCATCTAGATGATCCTATAGAGACGAGGTTTTGATCTCTTGTAAATCGATTGTGTCATTGCATAGATTCGGGGCTTTCACCTTGAAATCTGATGTCCAGGAGAATGTTGATTCTTACAATAACTTGTTTTATTTTGATATTATGTGTTAGGAAACTTGGACGACGAATCGATTGTAACATCGAAACCGTTTCCCCGAGCAGCTGGAGGGAAAGAATCATCAGGAGGTCAAGTACTACGGCCGACCTCGTCCGTAGAGGTTACAGTGATGTGAGTTCTGACAGTTCGCGAAAATATTGTATTAAAGGTCCCAACAGTTTTGTATACAGAAGCGGAAGTCGTTTCGTCTGGGAAGGAAGATCATTCTTCCTCCAGCATTGTTTGAGGAGTTCAGAAAATTGCCGGATACTATTCTGAGTGCTTCGGCAGCATTTGAAGATGTGAGTCTTTCTCGAACAAGTTCAGCCGTCATGATGTTGCGCATTGAGGCGCTTCAAGACACGAAAGCAGCAGCTAAACTCGCCAGGCACTTCACGTACAGTTCACGCTTGGACCCGAGTGCCACGTGATCCCCAGCTTTATCCAACAGCGCTTAAATTCTACTGCTGCTCTTACAAAGAACCTCTCATCAATGAATGAAGAGATACGAGATGGGCTGAGAAGAGTAATTTGGGAGCCAAGCGCTAAGACAGGCGGTAAGCTCGACGAATGGAGTGCGACTGAGATTTTGCACACAACACAGTCTGTCATCAGCCAATTGATTTGCCGGCTTGTTGTCGGTAGGACATTCTCAAGGAACTTAGAGTTCACTCAGAAAGTGGCTGACTTCTCGTACTCGGTCATAATTTGGTCCATAATCCTAGATTGGATCCCAGATTTCCTGCGCCCATGGATTGCTTGGCTGTTGCCTATCGAGAAGACCAAATCCAAAATTTCGGACTATCTATGTGGGGAAATACTGAGGTGCCTGAGCAGTCCGCTAGCATCGACTGAGACATCTGCAATACTTCACCAGCTAGTACATCTATCTCGAGCCGAGAATGGAAACTCCTTTTATTCAGTTGATGAGACAATCAAATGTGTCACGACACAATTCTTATCCATAACTTTTGGGGCGATAGATCCCACCACGGTAGCTGTTTCACAAGTTGTGCTGGATTTGTTGAGCCAACCTTCAAGCAAATATCTCGTGGCATTGCAAGAAGAAGCCACAACAGTCCTCGCCAGACATGGTGGCAACTGGAGCTTGGAAGCAGTGAAAGAGCTAAAGTTGATGGATAGGTGAGTGAGGTGATACCGTGATGCGTACCAAAGGAAAATCTTGCTAAAGATTCCAAGCTTTATTCGAGAATCACAAAGATTGCATCCCATTGGAATTACTCTTGCCGCAAGAAAAGTTATACACAAAGGAGGCTGGACATTTGAAAACGGTGATCACGCGCCTGCAGGGTCATTAATATCGGTCCCTACTTACGCCATTCATCATGACAAGGCTTTATACTCGGATCCAGAACAGTTTGAAGGGTTTCGCTTCGTGGAAGATGACAAGTTGAAGACAACAGGGGATGCTTTCCTGGCGTTTGGCTATGGCAGACACGCATGGTAAATTGAGCTCTTTTACAAAGGCAGTCTATTGTAGGACTGACATATAAGCAGCGCAGGACGGCAATTCGGTCTAGTGATCACGAAGTTAATTGTTGTTAACTTGATACTAGAATACGAAATGGAAGAGTTGTTGACTCGGCCTATTGATAAGTCGCTCGGGAACTATCTCGTGCCCGATTTGAAGACTACTATTCGAATTCGGGGCATTGGGAAATCATAAAATATATGAATAAGCTCAGAAATTAACGACTAGAGTGGCATCGCTGCTTGCTTGCTCCAATTTGATATGGCTCGTAGATTGTGACATCCCCTACTGATGTGATCTAAAGCGCGAACTGCGCATAGAGTGGAAGGGATTGCAAACTCTTAAACGACTTTCAAATCGATGATAATTGCTTCAGCGTCGCCAAGGTCTTTTCCTTGACTTCTCCGAGGATTCTCAGCATCGCCTCGTCTTTCGTTTCCCCATCTTGGGTCGTAGTGACGACCGGAGCTAAAACCTTCACCCTGATAGTACCGCTGCTGAAATGCCTTTCCGGGACGTGAAACACATGAGAACTGTTGGAAATGACGATAGGTACTAGAGGTAGGTTGCCTGCATCCATGGCAATTGCAACAGCCCCACGCTTAAAAGGCAATAACTCTGCTTTCTTCGAGTAGCTACGAACTCCTTCCTAAAGCGAGAATTAGAACAATGCTTTGTGAGCTAGATGGGAAGATTTACAGGGAACATGAGAAGATTCATGTTCTCACGACGCAGCATTTTAGCAGCCTCTAGAATAACGATTTTGTTGGTGAGACCCGAAGCTGGAGGCGGATCGACGAATATCGTTCGACATAGCTTCATATATAGTCCAAATAACGGCATTTTCATAACTCTCCAGACGGCACATGATACAGTATGGGGTTGCCACAGCTATTTAGGTTAGTTATATACGATTTGTATGAGAAAAAAACGAAAGGGTATCCCTACTGGTGAGACCAGAAGAACATCTAGTTCGCTCTGATGATTTATCAAGAATATAGCAGGACCTCTGGGACTTTTTCCGCCCCATAACTTGAGGTCTTCCCCGTTCTCAACCTCAAGTTTGATCCCTACCACGGGCGCGGTAATATACCACCAGAGCCTTGACGTGGTATATTGAGCTAAATCATGACGGCCGAGAAGAGTAAAGATGCAAAGTGCAAAGACGCTATAAATTCCAGACGCAAAGAGAGTCAATCCAACGTAGGCGAGAAAAATGTAGAAGCGCAACGGGTTTGGGATTATGTGTAGAAGACGAGAGAATAGGGTAGTGGTTGTTACAATTCCTGCAGCTAACAGAAATGTCATGGGAGCATATTCCATTTTGGGGTAATTAAATCAAAAGTGTGAGCAGACGAAAGTATTCACGCATCCGACGTTCTTTAATAAAAGTTGACGGAAGGTTACCGGAAGCAAAATGTGCGCTGTACGCCACAGTCACAAGTAGCAAATCAACTTCGAGCTTACACCTCGCATACCCGACTTATTTTGTACCTAGTCTCGGACCGGCCTCCCCGCATTCCCCGATGCCGCAAGGGATAATAAATCCAACATCTACTAAACGTAAATACTTTTTCTATATTTACTATTTTTTTAAAAAGAATATTTCATGTCTTTTAAAAAACGAAAAAGCGCTCCAATTTAGCCTTATGAGAACTCTTTACTTAGAACTCTTTAAAATATTAATTATTATTAATAAATTTACAATAATTAACAGTAAGTAAACAGAGCCTACTACTAACATTAAGTCGCAACTTTCCAAACCGCATTTCCATCTACTCTGTTTCTTACTCGATACCCGCATTCCTCCATCCTACACTGCACAGTCCAATGCATCTTCGGCTCAATCTCCCGAATCGCTCGATACCTCCCCATATTCATCCTAACAACCTTCCCCCAGCCTGTGACAGACTCTTTCCGTTCCACAAATACCTTGACGGGCCATAGCTCAAGCAGCCACCACCCTTTCGCGATAGCCAACATGTCGTTCAGTGGCGAGCGGGCATCGAAGTGGTCTTCGACTTGTTCGGGAAGAAGATCGATGACGTGAAAGGGGTGGGCTGCTGAGCGGTAAAGATCGGCGTTGTAAATGTCCCCTCTGTCATTTGTCTTATTCGTGTTAACGTGATCGAAAGAGTCTTTCTCGTGCTGGGTTCCACTTGTATATCCATTTGTGTAACTCCGGCCGTGACTCTTTCTCTCCACGCCGGGTTCTTTCTTGCGCTCGTCCACACCAAAAGCGGTACTTCTTCCTTTCAGAGGTGGTAAGGCACCGGCTTCGTACTGCTCTACAACATCTGGAGATGGGCCGACCAGGGGCTTTTTGAGCTTTTGGTAGAGGGGGTAGATGGTAGGGATGTCGATTCCTGTTTCTGCCAATGCGGCGGTGGAAAAGATAATGCCGGTGTTGCATTCGAAGCATTGGCGGAGCATCCAGCGAAGCGGAATGCGAGAAAGCATGTGACGTTCGTGGTTAGGGACCTGTGATTCACTGCAAGTCAGCATCTGTTCTCGCAAAGGAGTGAATAAAGCTTACAGCACCACCTCCGACATCTGCATGTCCTCCTGCAAACCATACTTCACATACATCGGTCTCGATGTGCTTGTGCATACCATGCCCATGTTCTTGTTCCTCAAATCTCCTCATAAACCTGTCTTGTTTCTCTTTCCGGAGGTTAGAGCTGGAAGAGGCGTTGGACATCTGGTCCCACTGCGCTTTCCTTACCGCTTGTCGTTTAGTGGTGCTGAAGCAGCTTCTGACTGCCTCAATTACTCTCACCACAGGCCCTCGTGGGTCTTTTGGTGGCTTGATCTTTGTGAAGTCAATCGTAGGAGCTCTACTAGCACCAGCCGGATCATGATGCGAGAACTGACAGATCTTGAACTTGGCTCTGTGTTCATCGAGAGCCATTGCATGTCGAAAAAAGTGGATGGTGTTTGTGGGGGATTTGCTGAAGGGAAGTTTGCGTGGGATGAATCCGACAGAAGCGACGCAATCCCATACTCCCACAAAATAAACCTCGACATTGGTGCAGAAGGTCTTTTTGAAATCGGCGGACATGGACCACCCTGCTTTGCTGTCGTCTTTGTAGAAGTTGTACGCGAAATTTATTTGTGCTGCGTTGCCGGCAGGGAGGAGTCCAACTTTGTGGAGCATGCCTGGGGGTTATCAGAAATGAAGAGAAGAAAAGTCTAGTAAGTAGGAAATGTGACACATACCAGCAAGACATCTAACAGTATATGCTCCTCTGGAGAAACCCAACAAACAGATCCTATCTCCTTCCCGGTAATTCTGCATCAAGAAACGGTATGCATCTTTGATATGGATCCCAAGTCCACTCCCAATCGCCATGTCCATTGAAGCCGAGAATCCATCTTTCATTCCAGAACCATCATAAGTCCCAATGCCAGATTGGTAATAAGTTACTTGTTTAGGGTCGTCTTTCTTCAAACATGCAACGAAATTGACAACATTACTGTTGTCGCTATCGAATTTGTCACCCGTACCATCGAGACAAATGATGAGGCTTCTCCCCTCCACAGGAGTCTTGGAGTCGAGAACTGCTCTGATGGTTTTGGGGACCGGCTCACGGTCGTTGTGTTCAGTGAAAGCTGTAGTTAGAAATGGCTCTGGACTGGTATCTGGGCAAGTCTGGTGGGGATAAGACTTGGGTCTCCAATGGCGTACTTGGTAGCTCATTGTTTTTGGCGGTGGAGCAATATCGTTGATTTACAGCTGGTGGTCGATATGGCAGAACAGCTGCCGTCATTAGCTACGTTGTGTTTTGTTGTATTAAGTATTGTGTTAAGGTCTAGATATGCGACCGGGAGTTCCTGAAAGCTGGGATGCACAAATAAGCAGACCCAAGTAGACCTTCTTTATATTTTGTGATAGATCAGTTTGACATCGTAGGATGCGCTCCAGATGGAAGCGAGGGTGCACAACAATCATACTTTCTAGCTTGAATCAAAGTGGCGAACCGCAAGGAATCCAACATGACTGTAGATCGAATGAAGGTTGACCGCTCATAAAGTCCTCCGGGTGACGCTCCTTGGTCCATGCGGCTCGCAGCCCGGTTTAATGTGCTTTTACGTGACGTTAAGGTTGCAAACAGAATATGTCCCACCACACTTGAGTTCCATCGCATGTGCTTCACATCCTATGATTGGGAAATTCGTGAATTTGGTCGTCAGGGAGACCATATGTCGGGGATCTTTGACTGATCATTGGGGGGTCTTATAAAACTGTGGCGCTAGCTCATTGTCGCCGTCGAGGGATACGTGGTACAGCTTTGCAGGAGGCTTGCGGTGTACCGGACCAATAGCGGGCACGTATAAGAAAATTCTCAGGCGGCAAGCCCAAACGAGCGAGGATATTTGCTTTTGCGAGCGGGCTGGAGATATATAAGCTGCATCGATCGTCCTGACCCCACAATTCGGTTTGGGGTCAGGAGCAGATCAGCAGAATATCGAAGGATGAAAGACCCATGATTGTGTAGAATTGAAACTGAGCATCGAAGAGGTAAAAGTTTGTGTCAAAACATGTAAGGATTAGAGATTTGGTGTGAGATACTCAAGTTCAATTATCTTCAGGGTTTATGTCACGATCTTCAGCATAGTGTCACCAAGCCGGGAATTGTGTTCCATAGCAAAGACAATACAGATCATCAAGTTTGGCGTGGCGTTCCGCCCACACTGCGCTAATCCTCCAGTAGACTTCTGCGCAGACAACATCTCGGAATATTAATTCGATGTCCACGCCAGCCACCATTTCGATCGTTGACCGCGAATTGGGAAGAGTAGGAAAAGGGTAGGAATGCAAGACAACAAATCCCTTCATCGTTGTAATCAATAAAAGGTTTTGTACCCTGCCCTTTTCAATTTTGTACAGCACCCCCCAGCGTGTCTTTCAATTGCTTGGAAGAGGCGTGATGTTGTGAGACCTCAGCTGCTAGTGTGTGAGATAGTCTAATTCCACTACGATGCACGTCTCAGCCTCTTTACAGACGCTTCGGGTAGCTCAGAATGCCGAACTATGCTTTGTAAAGCCTCCCGCTCTCCAAATTCACATCTTGAGTTCCATTTCTAATCACAATCACTATACCATTGTCAGGTCTTTTGTTGAAACTCAATACTCACACAGCATGCCGTCTCAATTTAAAACCCTGATTGGAAGCATGAGGAGAAAGCCGGCAATGGCTCCTGATGGAAAGCGAGATGAAGAAGTAACTCCAGTAATGGAGAAAACAACACTTGGTCACGATCTTACCCAGCTTAGTTTCAAGGATGTAAAATTTGTAGCGACTGCGATTACCACCTTAGTAAGTCTTCTGTTCCTCCTTGCAGATATTGAAATCGATCAAGCGACTAAACATCAAGAGCTTGATATTTATATTACCCTCTATCAGTACTCCTAAGCCACACTTCAAACTGGTCAGTGCAGCAGACTAATTACTTTACTACAGGTTTCAGGTGATCCTCTGGACGATAAAGAGCTTCTATTAGAACATGGAGTCGAGTTGCTTCAATCTTTGCCCCTTAACAGTGGTTTGCAAGACAAAATCTCCAGCGACTTCATTGCCATGCTCTATCAGGATCTTCCTCATCCTCCTCCCACAACAAGCGGCCCATCCGCCAGATATCGAAAACACGACGGAAGTGGGAACAATCCTTGGATTCCTGAGATGGGAAGAGCTGGAGCACCATATTCTCGCAGTGTTCCTCCAATCAAAACAAAAGGTCCAAATCTCCCTGACCCCGAACTCGTCTATGACCAACTTCTCAAACGCAGAGGACCATTTCGCGAACATCCTTCTGGGTTGAACCGGTTGTTCTTCTCTTTCGCTACTGTTGTCATCCACGAGATTTTCCAAACTTCTCGCACCAATCCTTGGATCAACGAGACTTCTGGGTATGTCGATTTGAGTACACTTTACGGCAATACCGAGAAAGAACAGAAACGGGTCCGCACTTATGAGAATGGAAAACTTTTCCCCGACTCAATTGCTTCTGAGAGAATCATGATGATGCCTCCAGGTGTTGTCATTGTTGTACTTCTGTTCTGCCGAAATCATAACCACATTGCTGAAAATATATTATCGGTGAATGAGGAGGGTAAATACAAGAATTGGGATGAGCTTGATGACAGGCAAAAGATTGCGTAAGTCATGTTAAATTGTTTCTGAAATGTGGTTCTGACATTTTTATGCAGACAAGATGAAGATATCTTCCAAGTTACTCGAAATATCAATGTTGGCTACTTCGCGTCGGTGGTATTGAAGGACTATGTTGCATCAATTCTCAACACCCCACGAGCTAATTCGTCTTGGTCTCTTGATCTTGGCAAGGAGATCAAGCAATCAGGAAAACGTGTTGAAAGAGGGACTGGAAATGTTGTTTCCGTCGAGTTCGCTGTTCTTTATCATTGGCACGCCGCCTTGTCTGCTGCTGATGACAGATGGATGGAGAACATCGTTCGAGCTGTCATTCCAGATTTGATATCGATTGATGACCTAACAGCCGAGCAATTCCAGACGGTCACTAGGACCACTGGTCATAACCTGATGAAGAGTGAGGCAAGAGCATGGACTTTTGGAGGTCTCAAAAGACAAGAGGACGGCAGATTCAATGACACTGACCTTGCCAACATCATCAAAGACTGTATTGAGGAGCCGGCTCATGCATTTGGAGCCCACAGTAACCCAGCTAGTTTGAAGGTTGTGGATCTGATGGGTCAAATTCAGGCTAGAGACATTTTCAATGTCTGCACGCTAAATGAGCAAGTGCCATTTTACTCAACACGCTTACTTGCTAACGGTGGTTCTTAGATTCCGTCGATATCTTAACCTCAAACCGTATAAAAATTTCGAAGAATGGAATGACGACAAGAATACTGCTAGAGCTGCTGAACTGCTTTACGGTCATATCGAAAATCTTGAACTATACCCGGGGCTGATGGCTGAAAACACCAAGCCTGCTATGCCAGGAAGTGGGGTGTGTCCCGGACAGACTACTGGACGTGGTATTCTGGACGATGCCGTAGCTCTCGTTCGTGGAGATCGCTTCCTCAGTTACGACTTCAACAGCACCACTTTGAGCAACTTGTACGTACCACTCATTCCTTGCGGAACCAACCAATGCTGACGTTTAATAGCGGATTTGCCAAACTTCAAAATATCCCATCTGGATCATACGGTGGAATCCTCCCACACTTGCTCTTCAACGGTCTCCCAGGAGCATGGACCGGCACATCGGCCTATGCCCTGCTCCCATTTTATACCCCCAAAGCCCAATATGACATCCTCAAAGGCAACAAAGTTATTGGGCAATACGACCTCGAAAGACCAGCCAACGGCATGGAAGTGATTGGTATCCACACCCATGAGGGTTGCAAAAAGGTCTTCGAAGACCGCGAAAACTTCCGCGTCATGTATCAAAAGGCGATTCGTGAATGCACTGATGGGCACGATTTCATGATCGGCTTCGACGACGCCAAACGCCATGACGCGCGCTCAAGCATCCTCTACAAAGCCTTTTTCGAAGAAGGATTTGAGGCGAAAGTCTCCCAGTTCTTTAAGACCAACGTATCGAAACTCATCAAGTCTAGCTCATTAAAGTATTCCAACAGCACCCGTCGCTCCGTTGATATCGTGCGCGATGTCACGAACGTTGCGCCCATTCTCTGGCTCGCAGAGCGTTTTGCCATCCCACTCAAAACGCACGAGAAGCCTCACGGAGTAATCTCTATTCCTGAAGCTTTTGCCGCTTTTCTCGTTCTGTTCATGTATCAAAGCTTCAACATCATACCAGCCAATGAATGGAAGCTCCGAGAAGGCGCTATGAAAGCCGGTCCCATCCTACGCAAAATCTTCGATACGCACCTCAGAACTCAACAGGGCTTTAGGGAGAAGGCTGTAGATTGGCTTGCAAAAGGTTCTGCTTTCGAAGTAGGCCCCGAAGCGGATCGTCTCTACCACGCTCTCAACGACTCGAAGCTCCCCATTGGAGACTTGGTCGGAGATTGTATCGGTATGGGTGCGCCCGTCGCTGGAAATCTCACTCAACAAGCCTCTCTCCTGATCGACCTATATCTGAGCGAGGGATACGAAGAGTACAAAGCGCGTATCGTAGAGCTGTCACACATGACCGACGCTGCTTCAGAGCGCGAACTCCAGGGTTTCGTCTTTGAAGGTATGCGTCACGCAGGCGTCGTTCCGGGTCTTCCTCGCGTTACCTCGAAGGATATAACTATCATCGATGGTGCGCGCGGTCCAATTCATATTCAATCTGGCCACACCATTCTCATTGCTACCTCCAAGGCAAACATGGATCCGCTCGCTTTCTCAAACCCCGAGAAGCTGAACCCACATCGTCCATTTGATGACTATACTCTCTTAGGCCATGGACTCCATTTCTGCTTCGGAACAAGATTGGTGGGATGTAGTCTTGCAGCGACGTTGAGGGAGGTGTTCAAGTTGAAGAACGTACGGAGAGCGCCCGGCAGACAGGGCCATTTCACGGTGACGGAGCATGAATTTGCGGGCGTGAAGATGAGGCATTATTTGGATGCTAGTGCAAAGGAGAGTCCGATTCCGACGACGTTAACGTTGGAGTATGATGAGGAGTAAGTTCTAATAGAATTTCGAGGGAGGTGATGATCGAGATTGCATTTAGAGGTGTCTCTCCAATTTCCAAGGAGCGGCCAGTGGTTTGGCTTGTCGATCGGGTTTATCGAGAAACTATCGTGCTAAAGAGCGTGGTATACAAAGTTTCCGGGCGATTGAGAATAGCCTTTTCAATGGGGGCTTTAAATCGAACGCGAGCTGGAGTTTCGTGTATCCAAGGCATTATGCTCATGTTTGATCTGGAGAATGAAGAGAGTGACATTATATCAATATTGAGCGCATTCATTTCCACGACCTTGGATCGGTTTCACCGCCCGCAAAAGTGCACGAGACCTACTTAAACCTTCTCCCTCATCTCTGTGTGTTCTCTCCCTTCTCTCTCCGCGTTCTCTCTCTCCCTCTCTTCTCTCTTGTCGCCGAATTTACAGAAACTGGCTAGATATTTATACTTCCCTAGCTCTATCTGTCTCGCATTTCCCCCTTCAATTCGCCTCGAACACATGGATACCATATAGCAGAGCATTCGTAATAACATCTGTAACCGCGATTCCATCCGCCGATGCCTCTGGCGGAACCCTTTTCAATGTATTTAACGTGAAACTTTCGTGTCCAAGTTCCAGTAAACCCACAGCTGCGACAAGAAAATCATTCAATCCAGCCGCCTTATACAAGCTCTTCTTTGCCACAAGAGCATCGATGGCAATCGGATTGTCGACCGCAAGCGTGGAATTCACCAGATCAATAATGGTGTAGGAATCTGTGACGGACACCGATGGTGGAAGCGCAGCTGTGTCTGCCACACCCTTGAGGAGCGATAGATAAACAGGAACAAGAGCATTGAGTTGTGGTAATGCGCCCACAAAGCCACCCTGATATGCATTGACCGTTTTCGTCAATTTCTTTACCTTCAAGTTGAGCGCTGTAATATCATCTGCTACCTGGGCAACAGTGGCAGCGGTACTTGTGGCTATTAAGCCAAAAAAGAGGAATGAGTAGCACCGAACCATGTTGATGTTTGGACTTGATGGAAGAGGCTGGTCGGGTTTGATTGTTTTTCTGTATGGATGAGGATTGTTTGCCTGTTTTGATGGATATTATGGTCTGTCTCTCTGGAGAGCAGACTGCGTTTTTACTTGTTCTACTAAATACTTCACTGAACCGTCCAGGAAGTCTGAATTCCAGTCATCTTCAGCAGCGGCCTCGGCATGCTCGATTGCTGTCAGAGGGATAAGACTTTCGGTATATTTGATGAAGTTGACTGTCAGAGATATTTCCGCCAAATGTTTGCATGTGTTGGTTTCATTGCCGACGACCCCTCTTACTAGCTTGAGATTCAGCGAGGTTCACAACAATAGTGTGCTGCCAATATGTCCTAGCGTTACTGCAAGATAAACTTAAAATTTTCCGAAAGAGATCCATCGAATTGAACTGCAACTTGTCAGTCGCTAGATGCGTAAAGCGTGTATCGCCAGACGGAGCGTCGTCGGAGCGATACGTGGGGAATCGGGAGGGTTGTACGTAGTCCGGCATCTGTTAGCTTCATCGCTAGTGAAAACAAGACCTTTTCCCAAGCTTTGTTAGAAGTTCATGCCGTCCACTGTAAGGGAGCCAAGTGCACAAGGATTAATTAGTTACAATAGACAGAAAGCTGTCGCCTTCGGGCAACCAATAGTCAAGGACGTTGTCCATACCTTTTACTTAAGTTCCACGAAGTGTCTTTTAGACCTACATATGGAGGGTGGATGGATTCCACGCGGGAATCAATGATGTTTCGTCTGTCGGCAGTTGCAGAGGATTTGTACTCGAATAAGCAGGCGATACCAGAACTTTGCTCGTAAGCAGATGAACCTTCATACAATAGAGGTACAGAGTAGGTATCAACTTGGTTTTGCAGCCCTTAAACATATATTCAATTGCCGGTACTCCATGACTCTCGCATTATGATTGGGTGGGTGGATCATCTCGCTTGTGGCATTGCCATGTAAATCCCCCCGACCCACCTCCCACCTTCGCAACACCTTGATGACAAGTTTTCTTGAACATGATCTTACATATTGTCAACGATGGCTGCTCCTAACACGAAACCGCGCGTCTACCTCGCGGGACCAGACGTCTTCCTCTCTTCACCTATTGCCCGAGGAGACGCTCTCAAAGCGATCTGCCAGAAATATGATCTCGTGGGCCTGTTCCCCTTCGACAATGAGCTTTCCGGCTTCGAGCCACACAGCTTCGGCCTTGCGCATGCCATTCGAGGTGCGAACATGGATTTGATCAAATCCTGCGATGCGATTCTGGCGAATATGACACCCTTCAGAGGTCCATCGATGGATGTTGGAACCGCATATGAGATGGGCGTGGGCGCTGCGCTGGGCAAGGTCGTGGTGGGATACACTTTGGACGGAGGAATGGGATATGTAGACAAAGTACACACGTGGGCGGGAGACAAGAACCTGGTGCGAGGGGACGACGGCCATCTCAGAGACGTAGGCGGTATGGCCGTGGAGGAGTTCAACATGGAGGCAGGAACTAGTGGATTAATTGACAATCTGATGATGTCCTGCGGGATTGAAAAGCTCTGTTTATCCGAGGAGGAAGCAGTCGAGGTGTTGGCAGACACTCTACACAGAAGACAAGTCAAATCGGCGTCATCGTAGGTGCTGGACAGGAACATTCCTTGGTAATAGCACGAAAGACAGTGCTCGGCAAACGGCTGTCAAAAAGCAGACTGCCTCGAGCACATGTTTGGTTGCACTGGTGGATGTGTACTATCCCTCGCAAGGCCATAGGCCCGGTTCATTTCTTCAGCATTCCCTCGGCGAACTGAAGGCTCTATGACCATCAAGTCACTCCTGCCGTTCACTTGCGCATCAAAAGACTGCTTCCCAGAAAGGTGACAAAAGTATGCTTTGTGATCGTTTTGAATCATCGATGCAGCCCACTATGAATTCACTTCAGACATGTTTATTGAGCAGGTTCTTTCCAGATGAAATTTCATCTTAACTCGGCATATTATTTTCATTCACTATCCTTGTTGAACATCGATAATGTATATCTATATCTTGCGACCCCGTCGTCCGGTTAGTATCACGAAAGTATAATTTGCCGCAGGTCACATCTTGTGGCCGTGACCTCTTAGACGCTATCGGCTTGTGTATTGGCCAGTTTGGAAGTTTCATCATATGTCGCTCTTGCATCGATTGTTTAATACTTAAATCGGAAACGTCTTCGCCCTCTGGGCAGGAAGCCACCCACACATCTATCGCAATGGTCCTTCCACGTCAGGTTACGACTTATCTTCGCCGAAGGGGATACCAATCTCTCGAAAATAACTATGAGGAAGACATAGAAATGACGACAAACTTTCACCATATTCTGACTACGAAACAAACGACTTTGCCAAGTGGACATCGGTTGCTTGGTATTGCTTCATGGCCAGATATTGTAAATCCTCATGTTTCAGCCATGAACGCTTGGTGAGTGCCACTTCCCAGTTGCAATTATGAGTATTAACAGCGGCTAATGTTATGCAAAGGAGATCAATGATTCCATTCACGATGCCGTAGACGAGGAGCTTCATGTGTCTCTCCAACACTCGGCTACACTCAGCAAATGTCGTTGTATTGTGCTAGGCGGGCCTATGGAAAGATGTCGACTTCAGGGAGCTATTCATTTTTGGGAGCATGATTTCACAGCGTCCTTCAAGTCCTTCATGGATAAATTCGTTTTTTAGGCCATCTGGTTCATCTCAAACCTAGGGAAGGGCACTTTAGTTTCCACATAGCAATTCAGCTCTGAGGGTTAAAATATCTGCGACATCAGCTCTTTCCTATTTTCTACAATCCATGGTCACTAGCTACTTATGCCGCATAAACACATAGCACAAATGCGGAAAAAACAGATATTTTTCGTGCATCAATCTCCATACCCTGCACTTCTCTTGGCCAGCTTCAACAAAGTTGGAAAGACAGGAGTTCCAAATCCTGTTACCGGATCCCAACCTTTTTTTGCTGCAAAGCCTTCAACCTGACATCCCACGGCACTGCCTGAGATAATATCTGTGAAGCCTTTGTAGCCTTTGGAATATAGCCAAGGGTTTAGGAATCCCAGCGTCGATTTGCCGCTTTCAAGGAGTGCGTCGTTCACCAATGCTAGGATTCCAGCCATCAATGGAGTCGATGCACTTGTCCCCGAAATAACACCCTCGGTTCCATTCCACACATACGCGAAGTATTGGCCTTGTGCTGCTATATCGGGGTAAGCTCTGCCGGCTTTGTTATAGAGACCATTATATAATCCACCTAGTCCTTTGACGTAATCCTTGACAACGTCTTTTTGATAAGCTGGAGTGCTAAAATAATTTGAGAAACCACCTCCTGATGAGTATATTTCTCTGAACGATCCGTCTGGCCTGACGGTCCCTGGGCGGAAAGCGACTACTTCTGGTTCGAATTCATGTGTTGCACCAACAGTTGTAACATAAGGACATCCGCCGGGAAAAATTGGGATAAACATTTTGGTGTTCTTTCCGTCGTTGCTATAGCATGTGGAATTCAATCCAACACCCCGATCGCCGCTCGCGAAGAGCACAGAAACACCTCGAGCTCCCAATTGCGCGAACTGCTTGCACACTCTTTCTGCGTAAGCTTGAGGAACAGTCTGCTCGTCATCTCCGTAGGATGTACTGATAACTTGTGGGATGAGTCTTTGTCCAAGAATGTAATTTAACCATACAAGATATGGTTCATTCGTGTTAGTTGGTGTATTGAGATCAGGGATAAAAGGTGGGCTTCCACCGGTACTGTATGATATTGGCGCCAAATGACTGATTCCAATGATAGCTTGAACGTCAAGATTCGCTTCTTGAGAAGTTCCCTTTGCGGCTTGAGCTATACTCAGTGGGCCATCTTGAGTAGGGCCATCGGCGATACTGTATTGTGGGAATTTTGCTGCAGCATCCACGTCACAAGGTCGGTATTTTGCCAGGAATTTGGCAGTGTCAGGTCTGATTGGTATCTCACCAAGGTAATTGGTAAATCCAACGCCGTTCTCTTTGCCGGCTTGAGGGCGGTAACCTTTGGTGGAATAAATTGTTTCGAAACACTGAGGTGTAACTGAAGATACGTTGCACACGGCTGAAATATCCGAATTTTTTGGAGGGGTATACGACGGACTCGTCCACGGCTCTAGGTGCAAGTATTCGGTTCCTTGACCTTTAAGTCTCATGAAACTTGTCGTTGGTTGAATTGCATCAATGTGGTCATGCAAATGTATCGGGAGCGACCATTCTGGAGTTCTGACAATTCGATCTCCATCCTCATGCTGGTAGATTCTGTACCTCGTTCTCAGGAGTCGCTCGGCAGCCGAGACTGGTAATGAAACAGACAACCAATCTCGTCCAACGCTATATGTGATAGTATCAATCCCATGATCGGCGAGCCATTCATGGACAAGTTCATCAGATGTCTTACTGGGTTTCACCAGATTGTTGACATCATCGACGCTGAGATGGTTTCCATATCTAGGATGCTCGGGATTTGAGACTAGAGATTGGATGTTACTAGGGTACCAACTTGTCTCAACGAGGGATACTGGTATACCTTCGTAGAGATGACGCTCTAACTCCTCAAAGTTACCTTGCTTTATCCCGATATTCAGATTAATGATAGAATCCTTCGGAGCATCTTCGCCCTCCGTCCAGCCACGCGGTATGAAGTGCGACTCTTTCACAGAATAGATTTTCCCCGGGATGATCGGGTTGCTGGTGGTAGATCCGAAGAAGATGGCGTATAAGAGAAGCGCAATGATGTACATTTTCAGGTTTAGAAACAAAACGTGATCGAACGTCAATCAACGAGACCAGTACTTTGAATCGTTCAGTTAAGCAGTCACCAGAAGTCAGCACATATCAATTGACGATACTTCGTGGGGAATAAGGAAGGAAAGTTGAAGAGGGGGAGCCAAACACAAGTGTGGATAATGATCTCGCTGCTGTCTTCAGAGCTGCTTTTGATTGGTTCTTGTGATTTGCAGCATGTATTCGTCGACGCTGTCACACCTTCTCTTTTTAATTCTACACATTAGCCTATTGTCATAGGTTGGGCACTGGGAGTAATGTCGCAATGTGTAACGCCAAATTATCATCATGTTACCTCAACCAATTAAACATGTACATCGGATGAATTTGGTCAGTACCTTAGTGCCTGGTGAACAATCATTTTGAAATTAAATGGAAGTTTTTGGCGAGACTTCAATCGACAAACAACGGGAATGTGATTTATACACGGCTTAATTTCGTAAAACAGATTGAACTTAGCAAATGCTTTAAAATCTCCAACAAAAAAGAATAACACCAAAATTAGATTCCATGAGCCTAAAGAAGCTTGACAGTCTGTAGTTTGACTTGGAATCGTTGAATTGCTATCGCGATTCATGCTACTTCTTCTCGAATCAAAAGCGACTCATTTATAATGAATTGATTGCTCCTCTCTTCTTTTGATCAAAGGGTTCACTCTTAAAACAACAGGAACTGTTTAATTTAACGTCAATAGCTGTGATCTAGCGTTGTAGTACTCTATGTCTCTACTTCATCGGCAAGCAATACGTCATATCATCTCAAGAAGAGTACGTAGCATGAGTGCTATCGATTACTGCAAGGATCTCAGAAAACGGAAATGATTTTATAAGAAGATTCTTGGTAGTGGCAATCAGTAAAGTGTCGCGCACATTAATTTTACTGGATTTCAAAGTGGAGCTGAGGTGAGCAACTCTGCAATATTGAACTTGGTAAGAAGACGTGCGATGGTCATATGATAAAGCGAGATGGAATTGATGTTCGAAACCATTAAATTCATGATCGATTATCGTTGTTGAGCTCAGGAATAACAACTTAGGAAAGTCGACCTGTCGTTAACATATAAGAACCGTAAATAATGTAATGCTGTCAATACGAAGATACTGCGTTAAGGCAAGTATTTGTTTTGAAAGAGAAACAGTTTTCTGTTCCTTACAAACTCATAAAGCGTAAAGTTTCATCATCTCAAAAAATTACTTGATCTAAAACACCAATATCAATGGTCTAATTTTTAAGCAGTGTAGAGAGATGCCATGACGCGAAGTTTCAAAGGAATCTCACTTTGACATTGAGATCTTGTGTTTAATCAAGATTCATGATATCTAGAAACATGACAGATATTATAGCTCAAGTCTAATTGAAGCAAATGGAAGCTTGGGAGTACTTGGCAGTCCTGGCTTACCTAGGTACTTGGCCAACTCTCGTCATGGACAGATTAAGCACGAGAAGCACCCACCATGAACCTGGAATCTTGTTTCTTAACCACAATCAGTTGAACAACACCAGGTGTGAAGGACTTGGCAAAAGCTTATCGTAATGTTTTTCGAACAGCTATAAACTTGTAACTGACCTGGAAAAGTGAATGACTGGATACAGAAGCTTCAAAAACACGTCTTACAAACTTTGATTTATCGGCATGTAAGTAGCTCAATGAAAAAGCTGCTTAGCAGGTTTTGCAATCCCCCCAGACGGTACCGTAAGCTTACCATGAGACTCCGCCTCATTATTGTCGTAATTACCGTCTATTGCAGCAATCGCAAGATACCGCATTTCGCTTCTTCGGATCTTACAGTTTCCGTCAACACAGTCTGGTAAGCTCTTCTATATGCTCGCCTGAATCTTATGGGAAGAAAACTTCCGACCTTCAGATGCTGACGACATTGGTGAGCTTCTCAGTTGCAGTGTGAGCCTGAATGTTAACTTTTGCAACGAAAATCGCCCTACAAAGAGAACATACGATAGATATCCTAGGACTCGAAAAATCACGCAAAACTGAAACGATAGGAAGCTCCAAGGAATGGTGCACAATCAGGTTCGTCAATCATCTGTACCACGACCAATAATACCCCGCCGATATGCGATTGAACATGCAATGCTTACGAGCCGAAAGAAACAAGCATTCTTACAAAGTGCCGTGAATAGGTTGTCCCCTGCGGCAATCTGCAAATCACGATTGCGGGAACTCATGCAGGCACCCTGGTGGTGGAGGCTGAGCTGAGCGGTTGCCGTACGTACGCGTGTGTATTTACGGATGGGGAATTCCTGTCAGAAAAGGGAGAGCCGAATTCCTGAGATGCTGTTGATTTAAAGTTTGAGGATATCTTTTGTTGCGATATATGAACATACAGTGTGCAACAGCAAAGGTCAAGACTTGTAGTGGATGTAAAGGACTCGCTTGTGCTTTCGCGACGACTGCACCTTCCATCTGGCCACCCTTTCCCGTTTGCGCATTCCACAACACCATTTATCCTCATCACCATAACTATCGCAATGATGTTGGCAATAAACGTTTTTGGAAGTGTCGTGGCACTCTTAGGTCCGTATATCAATTTTTCGAGGAGAATTCAATTGATCAACTTTTATCCCCGCATTATGCTAACGTCCCCCCTTTAACAGCCCCACTCGTCTCCTCTCTAGCGGTCTTCGAAGCTCCAGTCACGAACGGGCCAGTTTATAGCGTAGGCATCCCGTCCACCTCTGCGATATCAACATCGCAACAAGGAAGTCTTTACTTCTCCATTACCGCGCCCACAAGTTATCAATGGGTTGGATTGGGAATTGGCGCACGCATGGCGCAAGCTACAATCTTCGTGATGTATGCTGATGGGAATGGAAATATCACACTCAGCGGAAGAGCAGGCAAAGGACATGTGATGCCACAGTTGGATACCACCTTGATGGAGGGGGTTACGCTGCTCTCCGGTAGCGGTATAGTCGACGGGAAAATGATCGCGAATGTCAAGTGTCAGTAATAAAGGGTCGGAATGTAAGTTCTCGAAAGCTGATCAACACACAGGTACTACTTGCAAGTTGTCATCGGATAAGACATCGAACGCGGCCCCTTGGATCGCAGCTTGGAATCAAGGGTCAGCGTTGAATACGGCCAACCTTGGGGCGTCAATCAATCAACATAGTGACGAGTCGTACGCTCAGTTCAATTTTGATCTCAGCAAAGCTGCACTTGCTTCAGATTCCAATCCCTTCGTTGCGGCTGCCGTAAATAATCCTTCGACAACAGACAGTTCTGGAAACAGTCCCACGTCGCTAAGTAATGTCGCATCTGGCCCTACAGCAACTTCCACTCCCGTATCCAATTCAGGCCCTGATACCAGCTCCGCGACGAGCTCGACCATCACAAATGATGGCAGTGCTGAAAAATCCGAGAATTACCAAAAGGCGCACGGGATTATCATGGGACTTGTGGTAACCACTTTCTTGCCCGCGGGCGCAATCTTCGTTCGATTACATGGTCACGCTTGGATCCACGCCGGTATCCAGTTGCTGTCTTTGGTCTGTATGATTGTCGGACTTGGACTTGGTATAGAGCTCGCCAAGCTAGAGGATCTTCTTTTCAATAACACGCATTCCATTTTTGGTGTTGCGGTTGTTGCATTGTTCCTTGTCCAACCACTTCTCGGGCTTGTACATCATTTCATGTTCCGGAAGACTCAATCAAGGAATATGTTCTCGCATATTCATGTATGGTATGGTCGTGCCTTGATGATACTTGCTGTCGTCAATGGAGGGCTTGGCCTGCAGCTCGCCGACAACAGTACAGGTGGTACAATTGCGTATTCGGTCATCGCAGGTGTATTTGGAGCCGGATATATTGCGTCAGTGCTAGTCAAGAGAAAAGGCAAGCCGTTAACGATGGGCAAGTTAGGAAAGGGAGGAGAGCAGTTCTCCTCTCAAGATTCTAGAGATCAGGTAGCGCATTGAGTACGAGGTATCCTTAGTTCTTATTTAATTTTAGGAAGGCAAACGTTTGTTTCCAGTCTAATTACTTGTGCCTTTCTTTCTAATCCCCAAGGACTTTCTGATCAGCTTCGTTTCGGTTTGAAGAAACAATTTATCTCGCGTGAGCCCTCGAATTGAAGAGGCTGTGGAAACGAACAAAATTTGCGTTGTAAGCAGAAGGATAGAGTGAAGCATTTACGTCAGATGGTGGCGAATGTGAATGGCTTTTTGGTTGGCATTAAGAAGATAGAAGTTGATGAAAGAGTGTCATCCTGACACCCATTGTACAGAGGACGATAATTGTAAAGTAGACACGAAGCTTGGCTTGGGAATAGGATCGGAAACGAGATCAGTCCGTGCACATAATTAGCTTTAGCACACCCCACAGTCACGTGTATGGAGGGAAGCACCCCGCGATTAGCGGTGAATGACGGCAGAAAATAAAAAAACCCACAAAACTTTTTTTGTGAAAGAAAGTTTTTGGAACAGTTTTTGCAAGCTAAATACCTAGGTAGATATTTTTTCATTGAAACAGGCAATAAATTAACTTCTAATAGAGATTGTAACTGCAGCTAATGTCTAGTTGTCTCAAACAACGCTGTCTGCAAGATGCTAGACAGACTACTTCGGAGTATGTGAATTGCAGCCAAACTTCATTTCAATGAGTCAAAGCTAAGCCATAGCGGCAATTGACGGTATGACTACGCTCTTCTCCTCTCTACAGTCATAGGAAGTAGTCATATACTTTGACGGACTCACCTGGAGCCAGCATCCACTTGAGGTTATAATGGCTTCGTGGTGGCATTCAATGAAACATTCAGGAGAGAGCATTCGCTCAAGTTCCCTTCAATAATTCCATGCTGTTCAGATACTACTATTGACCACAACGAGATGATATCTCCATCTGCAACCAGCACATGCACTTCTACGGATAGCGTAACAGATTAAACGAATACTAAAATGACATGTAACGGTGGAACTCCTACGTGGAGATCTAGACAAGTACTTGTATGAACGTGTAGCGGTGAAGAGAGGGAAGCGCCAATAAAGATGTCATATCCCCATTGAAACGGGGAGTCGGGGATAAGTACGGCCAATGCGTGTGCATCATTCTGCAAGAGGATCAACGAGGGGTTAACGGGTGGGTATTCGTCTTTGCTCCGTCGACCTCATACAGCAGCCGCTTGCACACTTAGGTCGTTGCGCTGCGGGTGCAGGATCCACATCCACCCAGATTCGAAGCTAAGCGAGAATTGTCACCTCCCAGATTATCTTTTGGCGGAGAACTTCTTCTTTTCTTCCCCTCCAACATCAACCACCACCACACCCCCAAAAGACAACGAAGTCACACTACCAAGCATCAACAGCTTCATTAACCCTTACCACTTCGTCGAGAATCATGCCGCAGGCCATCGCTGAGCTGTGAACGACCACTGCGGGCACGCTCGATCTAGGCGTGCTCGCAGTCCCTTCAGCCCACGAGACAGCATTCAATCAAATCGACCTCAACGAAGTACCAGACACGCATTGTCTACCTCCTGCAAACCGCACGAGGATCATATCGCAATCAGTCTGTTTATTACACAATCATACCGATCGAGTTGCGCTCTTCCACCGCGAGAGTGAGACTCCTTCCGCCGAAGATCCCTCAAGAGAGCCTCCTCCCCCACCTCATACCCACTCCATAGAACCTCGAAACGCTCACGCAAACCTCCTCACAATCTTAATCGAATCTCAAAGCCTCAGAAATCATATTGGCAGATACATACAGTGCTAAGCGTACAACAATCGTCACTTCATAATCCACGTTTGCGGTCCCGTCCTCACCGCCAAATTTTATTTCCAGCACCCCACCACCATACATTGAACTCAATTCACCACAAAACCCCCCAAAATGTCGCGAAACTTGCGATACAAGTCTCCCCAGACTCCCGTGCAGAAGAAGTCCCGCCGAAGCTCTCGTGCGACCGACAATTCGTCGGATGACGATTATGCTGGCGTGGATCTGATATCGGACGACGAAGAGAGCGATCCAGATGTCATACGGGTCGAGGAGCAGGCAATCATCGATTCGGAAGCGGATGACGAAGATGAAGACGATGATGATTTGCAAACTACTCCTCGGCCCCAACTCGACGACGATGCATTAGGATGGGAAGACTACGACCTAACTGCCGCGGGCATCCCCGGCGAAACATTTTTTGAGGAACATATGGCCCGCATGCATGCTCCAGATCTTGCTACAGAGGCTGCCGCATGGAATGCAACCAATAGCACCGTGTCCGAAGATATCGGTACACCAGGTCGCCGTGTCCATTTTGATCTATCTGATAGTGACGATGGCGCTGATTCTGATCAAGATGATTTCTTTCCCGACATATTTCTAGACCAGAATCGTTTAGATCCAAGCTTTCGTCGAACTATTGAGAACGACGATGACGAAGACCGTGCTGATAGTGACGATGGGTCTTGGGATTTTAACAGTGACAATGGCAAGACGCCTACAAAAGCACAGCCCGGAGACGCCGATAGCGACAGCGACGCGTCCAGTGGCTCAAGTGGCTACGAAAGTATGTAGCTAGCTTGAGAGCGTTTTTATATTTGCAAATACTGACATTCATTCCAGGTGATAGTGACGAGGGCTTGACTACTGATGAAGACTTGCCCCCTGAATCAAAATTTGCTCCTGCCAAATCGGTTCTTCGACGTGTTTCCGATGCTGCCGAAGAAGAGGAAGCAGAAGAGATCACTGTCACCCGGCGCGCTCCCCTTTCCGGTCCAAGACTCGCATCGTGGGTCCTCGATCGCAGCAAACCTTTCGCGGTGCTGGATAGCAAGGGCAAAAAGTTGATTATGTTCAAAGCGACAGCCAAGCGGCGAGTCAGCTTCAATGGCACGAGCAACGTGGTTGAATCCCAGCCAGAATCAGATCTCTTCATGGAGGAAAGTTCTCCGATGATCAGCAACTCCGGCAACATCATGCTCAGTGCCATGTATGCGCCATTGGATCATTTCGGTGGAGCCATTGGCCCACCAGAAGCATTCCACCCTTTCACGGACATTGCTGCCGACGGGACCGTCACCCATGACAGTACCTCTTCCTTTGAGGATGATGACTATGCCGACTTGTTAATGGATGGCTACTACAACATCGAAGATTTCATCAGCTTGGGTGGTGATTCATCTGATGAGGGAGAAGGCAACAACGAGAACCAAGACCCCTCTCCATCAAGCGACACGGCTGAACCTTTTTCTACTCCAGGTCGCCCTACGACTGCGACCAGCGAAGATCAACCACAAGCCCACCCCCTCTTGAATCATTTTAACAACAAAGACGTGGTTGGCTCCTTCCGACGCAATCAGACCCGACACCAGCAACTTACTCGCAATGCCGTCTCTACTGATGCACTGGCCTTCGCAGGACCGTACGGTCCTGAGAGTATTCTTCGAGGTATCAAAGGTGGTCGGCTCGAGGCTGCCAACGTGCCCATCACACCAATGCGACGCAAGAAACAGCCGTTGACAATAGGTCCCAGCAGCCCCGCCAGTCCACTTGCCAATGCTACTGCAAATGGAAAAAGGAAGTTCACAGATGATCATTTTGGACACAAGCGATCTCGAAGCGCCATCTGATTGTGGGCGTCAAATCGAAATCTTGTCACAGCTATGATACGAAGATCTTATCCTCAAGGCACGAGAACACACTCAAATATCTCATTGACGAGTGCACAAAACGATGAGGACGGCATTTCACCTCTGGCACAACAGAGTGTGTTATCCCTGGCCTCGGTAGCATGTTACATTGGAAGCTGTTGCTTTGGCTTCGAGTTTTACTGTGTATAAGCTTGACCATATCCAACACTTCACAGTCAACTCCTGCCATGATTTTCTTCCATTTATACATTTCCTTTCTTGATGTACTTTCGAGTGGACAGTATATTTTCTAGCGAGCGTCATTCAGTTTGGCTTTTGATCTACGCTTCGATGCATAAGCTTTTTATTATACTCGACTAGGTGCATGGATAGAGGCAGAAAAAAGTTTACAACTTTTCTGACATGCTAGAGAGGTGGATGTGAAGGCGGTCTGCATTTTGTAAGCTCAAGCGTTTAGGTCTGACTGAGTTGCTCATAGCTCCGGCGTTCGAGGAAGGGATAACCCGCCAGGGTGATATGCCTCGAGTGGAAATGTCTTAACTTTTGTTTAACAATCAAATAACGATTTCAATTCAATGCTTGACTTGTTTACTGAGCTATTATACAAATGTATGATGTGAAGTGAATGAAAAATCTCAGTCTAACTCCTATTCGCATGTGTGTGTTTTACCTTTTTACTCATCTAATCACGTGCGGTTGGGCTGAAAGGGCGAAAACAAACGATTAGAGCCTGAATATGTGACCTTATCTTAACTTCCAGTTGCATAACGCTACCAGTCTGTGGTTCTCTCGTGTGCTAGTTCTGTTGAAAACGAAACCCTCACGAGTAGGAATGGAATCGTTCAAAGAAGAGGACCTCGGTGACAGGCCCGATGACTGGAACGGCGAGCGCGGCTATAAACCGATCGGGGGTCTAAAGGCAAGAGATCTTTATGACACGGATCTGCAAGACACAGATCGAGGACAAGTTGGCAGAAGACGCCACTTCAGTCAAGATGAGCTTCTCGGCGGAGACTGGCTTTTCACCGTGGACAATGATCTTCCACTGGCGCTAGCCAGCAATACCGGGCTTTGGGATCAAATCCGACAGCTTCCCGCTAGTACCAAAATCTGCCCCGAATGGGCCCGCCAGGTTTCGAATTCTTTCTCAACCGCCAAAGAAGAATGTACAAGAATGGGCGGTTGATTTGGATCAGCTAAGAAAAGTTGCTGGTTCTTGTGACCTTTGCAATTTCTTTTTACAATGCTTCGGTCCAGACGGCTTTGACGGTATTGATGAAATAGAGATTCTTAGGGATTGCTCAGTGTTGAAACTTGATGAAAACAGCCAGCCTTTCCTTGTAATTCTTGCAGATCCAGGTGAGTCTATCCTTGAGTCCTGAGCGAAGCTCATTGTACACAAACAGATTCCAAAACACCAAGTTCTAAGACTCAAATTGGTTTACCTATCCTCCCAGCAGCAGGCAGTCAGAATCACTTCAGTATCATGCGTGAATGGCTCCACGCCTGTGATCACACACATCAAAACGTCGGGTGCCATTTGGATCAGACGAGCTTGCTCCCGACTAGAGTGATTGATGTTGGAGGAGATCTGAATTCTGTGCGTCTCTACTGCTCTACATATAACGAAGAAGAAAGCTACGTTGCCTTGTCCCATTACTGGGGCAGTTTTACGGGTGATCAGAGAATATCATTCTGTACGTTCACAAGGAACTTGGCTGATCGTGCCGAACGCATTGATATGTCAACACTCCCAAAGACCTTCCGAGACGCGATACGAGTTACGCGCGAACTTGGACAACGATACATCTGGATTGACTCACTTTGTATAATTCAGGACGATTTAGACGACTGGCGGCGAGAAGCCAGTACAATGGAACGCGTGTACAGTATGGCATATTTCACCATTGCAGCCACATCTGCCGCCGACTCTTCGCAGGGCTTTCTGAACCCGCGAAAACAGAGGGATTTTGTGAAGATTGAGAAGCCTCCGTCACCGCCACCTTCTCCGCCAACCCCCTTCAATCGACGTGATCCATTTGCCGGGATTAGAGAGTCGCTTATTTACAGGCCAAGGTATAAGCTTATACAACCACTGGGGATGGGATTTGGAAAGCCCCACCAAGACAGGCTCCGCAGGAAGTGAAACAGTTTCCGCTGTATATCTGTCAGCACATCGACAGATTTACAGAGGATGTAGAAGAGAGCATACTAAACTCTCGAGGCTGGGTGTTCCAAGAGAGAGCTTTATCTCGGCACATCTTACACTTTTCGTCCACCCAGACATATTGGGAATGCGGTATCGGTGTACACTGCGAAACACTTACGCTCATGTACAAGTATGTATCTCAAAGCCCCCCCCCAAGTGAAACAGCGCTCTACTCTTGCGGTCTTGCTGTTTCCATATTACCATGCTTTTGAAGCTTATCTAACTCACCTGCCAAATCCAGTTCAGAGAGCCACATACTTGGTGACCACCAATTCCCAGCCTCCGCAGACCAGCGAATCCACAGCCAAAAGCTCGATTTCCTACAGTCCATTTCCGCCAAATACATGAAACGGGCATTCACTCAGCCGAGTGACCGGGCCATTGCATATGCTGGTCTTGAAAAACGACTTGCAAAGGCTTTCACCTCAGCTTCTCACTATGGTATCATTGACAGATTTCTTCACCGCGGTCTGCTCTGGTTGCGCAAGACAGATAGGACACTGACAAGAACAATACCCGGCTATGGTGTTTTTCAGCAGAACATCACTCTATCTTGGTCGTGGTTGGCGTATGAAGGTGATATAGAGCCTTTGTCAATTGGTTTTGAGAGCGTCGCCTGGAGTAAAAGTTTGCATTTCCAAAATGGGAAGGGGCTTCAGTGCGTTGTGAGAGAGTTTGAAAATTGTGATATTGTACGTGAGGGAGATGAATATGCAGTTTTTAGTAATGATTGCAACGAGGAGGAAAGTGAGGGCTCTAATGGTACAGAGAGTGATAGCGAGGTTAGTGATGATGATTCGTATAAGCCCGCTCCCCACCGCAGTTGGCTCCGATTTGATGTGGATGCCTCTGATATCGGGTTGCTCAAGTGTGTGGTCGTTGGCAGGAAAGTTGACTCCCATATGAGTGGGTTTCAAGAGGACTGCTATATTATCGTCTTAAAGCGAAATGGCTGTGACAGAATGTTTGCGAAGGTAGGAGCTGGATGTGTTCACTCCAAATTCATTTCTTGGGATGAACCAGGCACCCCGGCAAGCATTATTTGAAAGCTTGACACATCAATAGCTTTTCCACAGAATGCAGTGAACTGTTCTTATCACTGCTCGTTAACTCATACCAATATCTCATCTTGTTTTTAAGGTTATCATTTAAGCGAAATTGCTTTAGCGAAGCCCCCTACTATACTGACCTCAAAGGGCGACAGTCTCGCAACTAATGTAACCTCTTCGGGTGCAAATAGTCCGCATTTGCCTTTCATAATGAGTTATTATTACCGAACGCATTTTCATTCCATGGAAAAAAAAGTTTCATCTTGTTAAAAAAACGTTGTAACTTTAATTAACTCTAGTCAACTAGTCTATTTTGCACAACGCTCGCTTCTTGTTGACCCGCGCAAGTATTCCCATGACCACATTTGCGAAGCCTTCAATACATTCTAATCTTTTAAGCGGTCATTAACGTTAAACCCTATGAGGAGATATATAAGCTCGATTAAATTGAAAGCGAAAGGCCCGATTGGCTCAGACCTAGGAGACCGATGTAATTCTCCCCTTCTATCTTTCATCAACTCTACATCTTGTCAAAACTAGTACCTATTACACGCAGTTTTCATCAAACAGATTCTCTAACAGGCCAATCCGAATCCTCCAAACATGAAATTCACAAGCGTTATCTTGTCGCTGGTCGGCTTTTCGGCTGTTACCACCGCAACTCCCTTACATCAACTGACTCCAAAAGACTTGCCATATCCTCTCAGTTCATCTCCTCTCGAAGGTCCCGTCGGCTCATTGGAGGAATGGAACAAGTCTCAGCAGAAGCGCGCTTCGACCACTGTTGAAAAGCGTAACAAGGTGGTATGTACACAACCAGCTAGTAATAAAGATAATCTACTAAGTCGATCCCAGATCCCGCAGCTCTGTCTCCAAAACATCGGACAGAAATGGGATTTTGCCAATCACTTCTGCGCCAGACTCGCTCATGACGATCTCCTCCGCAATCCAAATGGTGTAGCTCACGTTGATGCGAGGAGCTGCCAGAAAATTGCATGTTTTGGTAATCCTGGCGTCGGTATCTTTCTGTGCAATGATGTAAGAAATTCGAATCCCCTTTTTGATGCCATACTAATTTGTCTTCGAGAACGCTTACGCCATCGCACCACGCATTGGATATCTCGCCGAATATGCAGACACGATTATTGAGAAGTGCAATTGGCACGAGAAGAAACATAATGTCGATCTTACGTCCGGCCAGATGTTTGATAGGGATAATTATAATGTGGTGGTTCGTGGAGGGGAAAAATGTGAGGGGTTTTTCGATACTATTCCCTGCCCTAATAACGTTGATTATGGTCAATAAGCTGTCTTTTATGGGTCGTCACCAGAATGATGGTTACAGATCTATAATTGGGGTTGCTGCACTAGCTATAGCTTTGAATAACAACTTCATCTGATAATTGACATGATTAATACAGTATTTCGATGAAGTTATATGGTCCTCGAGTATTCAAAAATGACTACAATACAAAAAATTGATAACCCGTTCATATTAAATAGTTCTAAGACTTAAAATCTACTACATGAGAAATCCCAAAAGAGTAAAGAACAGAATCTCCATAGGCTGATACACTTCAGACCTCCCTTGTGCACCTTGATTCCGATGAGTGGCTGCGGCACTTTCCATCGATACGGTCATTGGTCGGTCTAGCGTGGAAAACAGGATGGTCATGCTTCCGGTAGTCTCTGACGATGGAGTCGTGGAGGAAGAGTGTTCTTGGATGGGTGCTGACGTTGTGCTTGGCACCAGGGTTGTGAAGGATGGTAGTCCCTTACTTGTCGTCTCTGGAATAAATGTCGACGAGATTGTGTATGACGAAGTACTTGTGGGGGTATGCATCGAGGTGGTCATGGTGTCGCCGTTGAACGTTTGATGTGCGATGAGCCAATTGTCCTGGCTGGTCGATGTTCCCTCTTTCGCGGGTAAGTCCAACGTTGTAGAAGCCGGTAGCTCTGCAGAGCCAGCTGGGTTTGAAGGCGAAGTGGCCGCTGATGTAGACTCAACAGAGGTTCCAAAGTGTTCTCCTTCGACCTGTTCGGTCTCGGTGACTTTGGAGTCTTCTGCTTTCGCAGGGTCGGCGTGTTCACCATCTGCCGCTTCCTTCGTTTCTTGTTCCTCAATTACAGCTTTTCTAGCAGTTTCCTCCTCGGCTTTCTTCCTCTCTTGCTCCTCCGTTGCAGCCTTTCTAGCGGTTTCTTCCTCGGCTTTCTGTTTTTCTTCGCCCGCAGCCTTTCTGGCAGTCGCCTCCTCGGCTTTCTTCCTCTTTTCCTCCGCGGCTTTTCTAGCATTTTCCTCCTCAGCCTTCTTTCTCTCTTGTTCCTTTGCTTCTTCCTCCTTTTTCTTAGACGCCGACTGTTCGCTGTCGGCTTCCATTCCAAGAATAGGAGCAGGTTGTGGGCCGGGACTGACCGAGGATATGCCTTGAGCTGGAGGTTGCTCCGTGCTAGAGCTAGGATTGCCAGATGCGACGTCCTGAGATGGAGCCGGGGGTATGCTAGACGTAGGGCTGACAGATTCGACACTGTTCGACGTTTGAATATCGCTGGCCGATTGCTTGACCTCTGGGTTATGATCCATGGCGAAGTCTGTAGATCCGGGTGGAAAAAGTTCCCTTGTCGCGTTAGTTTACCTTACGATAGCTAGGAATGGCACTTACCACGTAACAGGGACACGGCCGAGATCTAGATCACCAATGAGGGATTGGAAAAGAGCAATAGAGAGGTCGATGTTGCCTTCGGGATTTGCTTTAGGGAGTGTATCTACAACCTTTGCACACTCTCTTTTACCCTGGTAGTTGATGCAGGCCATGCCACCACAGTGGCCTTTCATGAATTTTTCTGGGGCAGCCGCAACGAGATCAGATTCCTTGGTCCGTTAGCCAAACTTATCAGAGCATCTGGCTGGAAAATAAGTTACCAAATGTATCTCCCCACATGAGCCATATGCGCCCGACTGGTTATACCAACTAGCCATGCCAGTTGAGATTATGCCCGCAAAAGCGACCTTGGGCAATTGACATGCCAGGATCGCTACGAATACTTTTTTGAGGCACCCCATTGTGAGATTTAGGATTAATGAAGTCAAAGAAATTGTAAGTAGCTCGAGCAAGGAGAGCAGATGAGTTAATCAAAGAATGAGATTGGCGGAAGATAAAGGTTGAAGAGACAATTTCGAGCCTACAGGAGGCAGCGAGTGTGTGATATATAGGATATTGATCATAGGCCATTTGAGGGTTGACGTAAGAATCCAATTCTTCATAACTAAATCATGAGCTAAAACGGCTGGTGACTACCTCGAAGAGGTATGGGTCTTTTGAGCAGTCAGAATTTGCAACATATTGCGCATGTTCTCTTCCCAGACTAAGAACACGGTGTTTTGAAAATTTGAGGTACTAAAAGTTTTAGACGACGCCGTTTCGAAGTAGCAGACCAAAAGGGTTTGCAAAACTTCGTTAGTGACGTCGTAATAGGAATCCACAACTTGGATTCCCATACTTTTGTGAAAACACTGAGAAGTGGACTATTCCGCAATGTAAGCTGTGGTTAAGCATTCAAACTTCAAAATCTGACTAGATAAAACCAGCGCAACATAAACTGTCAGATCGACATAGGAACAACAGGGTCTGCAATCCATGACAACCTCAACGAGCCTGTTGGGCCGAGTGGACACCTCGTTCTTATTGGATGCAACATTTTGCAAAGAGTGTACACAGTCCATATGGCGCAAGACAGCGCAAAGAGCCATAGCGAAAGGCACGCCACGAAAATTGTGTGAGATGAAGCTATTCCCAAGAGTGACGTTGGTGAGGTAGCACAGACCATTGGTGATTTAGACGTCACATGCAAACTTCTGATTCTATAGGGCTTTTGAAGCCTCAGGCACGCTTAGGTGAACATCAGATCCCCGATTTCTGCCCACGTGATCTCTCTTGGGTCAGCCGCTGGTAGGCGACTGCCCCGATGGCTGGAGCCTGTCACAGAATCCGGATCCTCCTTGTTTTCTCCTTTCCTCCTCTTACACCTCCGGGTTCCTACGAACAATCACCACCATCTTACAATCACGCCAGCAAATGCATATCGAATTAAACACAGATTATTCTCTTCTCTTTGACGGCCAAAGCCAGATGCGCACCGCGAAGAATCATCAAAAGCTGCACCGAAACTACCGTTCGCAGATTCGAGCGGATGCGGAACGACGTCGAGGCGCGCCATGAATACCCTCAACCCACCACCAGCAATCCCTTCGCCAGCCATGACGAACGTCGTGAGGGGCTTCCACACACCAGCAACTGGATCTGCGGACGAAGATTCGGATTATGGAGCGCAAACCCCTTCTCGTCGCCATAGACTTCAGGATGTAGTTAGCGCCAACAGCAGCCCTATGATGCGGTCCTCGTCAGGCCAAGGTGTCAGCGGCATCAGCAGAATGCGATTGACGCTGGAAACTTTGCAATTGGAGAATGATTCGCGCAGCAACTCCATGGTCCGGAGCAGAAGCAAGATGCGCCAGCCCCAGCCTCAAAGCAGCACAGGCACGACGTCCGACGGGTTCAGCGACGACGAGGCATCTGATATTACCAGTTATGATATCCCCTTAGAAAACGATTTTGTAAGCGAGAGTCTGCGCGAAAAGCCAATGCTTGGTGCGGTCGAGGGTGGACTGGTTCAAGATACAATTGCACGAAAGATGCAGGCAGACGACTTTGAGCCTTTGCGATGTCTCGGCAAAGGTACATTTGGAACCGTCTTGTTAGTGAAGCAGCGGACGACTGGACGACTTTATGCGCAGAAACAATTCAAGAAGGCAACATTGACAGTTCACAAGAGGTTGGTGGAGCAGACCAAAACCGAGCGATCGATCCTGGAGTCCGTCAATCGCCATCCCTTTGTGGTGAAGCTCTTCTATGCATTTCAAGATCACGAAAAGCTATATCTCATCCTTGAATACGCGCAAGGAGGCGAATTGTTCACACACCTTGCCCAGGAGCGTATGTTTTCCGAGGAAGTCGCTTCCTTCTATATGGCTGAAATGGTTCTTGCGCTGGAGCATCTTCATCGTAATCTCGGAGTTGTCTACCGCGACTTGAAGCCTGAGAACTGTCTTCTCGATACCGAAGGTCACCTTCTTTTGACTGATTTCGGTCTCTCGAAAGTGGCTGTTGACGAAAACGACAAGTGCAATAGCGTTCTTGGTACGGTGGAGTACATGGCTCCAGAGGTCATTCAGGGTCACAAGTACGGTATGGCAGTTGACTGGTGGTCTTTTGGCGCTCTGGGTTTCGACCTCCTAAGCGGCGCACCCCCCTTTCAAGGGCCGAATCATGCAAAGACGCAGGAGAAGATCATCAAATCAAAAGTGGTTATGCCATACTTTTTTAGCACGGATGCCAAAGATCTCCTTACTCGCCTGTTGAGAAAGGAACCAACAAAGCGCCTTGGATCAAATATGCCTAAGGACCTTGGGCTTATCAAGAAGCATCGATTCTTCCGGAAGATTGATTGGAAGGCGCTTGCTCGCCGTGAAGTTGAGGCTCCGATTCAACCTTTCATAACCGATCCTGAACTGGCCGAGAATTTCTCCAACGATTTTACCGACCTTGCCCTGTCACCTGTGTTGACAAGTACGAGGCCACCGTGGAGCTCAGCCACAGCAGGTGGAAGTGAGAACCCTTTTGGTGGGTTTAGCTATGTAGCGAGTCAGAGTCTGTTAGATTCCAATGGGTTTCCCGGTATGCTGGCGGAGGGAACACCAACACCAACAGTTGCGGTTTAGAGATATCATATACACAATTCGGCGAAAGGCTGGTAAAAGTCCATGAATAAATGCGACACTTATGGGATACATTCGGATACACGGGATTGGCGCGCATAGGAGTAGAACGTGTGTGAGAATTGGGTTATTATTCATTCTGGTTCCGACTACTGGTATAGATTAGGATAATGGACTTAGATGGAGAGAGAGTTTCTGGTAGACTAGGCGTCCAAATATGCGTAATTAACAACTATGTTTTTGTCATTCTTCAAATCTTCAGTCTCAAGCGTTGATTCTCCAGCAGTGTATTGAGTACATAGAGGAGAGCAGAGAATCGACCTATACTTGTAATACAATCCAACATACTCAAATTGCGCATGAGTGGTTTTAGTTCATGTAAGGAGCGCTTGCCAAGTAGTCTTGTGGCTAATCCAAAGCCTAGTTGTTATTCCGTCACTATACTTTCCTAGCTCATCCTTAGGTTCGAACTTGAAACAGACGACAAGTTACTCTTGCCACACCTTGGTTAGTAGACTTGATAAATCTAGAGTTGTTTCTTCCTTTCAATACGGCCCGTATAGGATGAAATGGGGGTCAAACTCCTCAGACTGCTTCCCAAGCCTTGTCACACGCAGAGCTTGCGCCCGATCTTCTTCCACCCAACTTTTAATCTCTTTTGCCTTCTCATCGCCCATCAACCACCCTTCGGTGAAGCCCTCCACTATCTTGCGTACTTCCGGCGGCAAACTTCGTGCTCCTAGGCTGGCATCTTTTCCGAAGAACGTCTGATCAAGTGCTACTTCTGCCCACCAGTCGTGCTGCTGCGGGGGCACGTTTGCTGTCGAGCAGATGCGGTAGTTTGGGTCAACAAGATAGATGATTAACATTCCGAAGGTGCCAGGCTGTGTTTCGTCGACGAGAGCGAGGCCATCGAGGCGATGTTGGAGCGTGTTGGGCCAGGTCAGTAACCGATTTACTGGGAGACTGACCGAACCAAGCGTCTGCAGTGGAGGTGTATGATACACCCACTCCCAGGTACTTGCATACGGTTGCTCAGGGTTGTAGCGAGCTTTGGTTTCCTCGGTTTGGGTAAAACCGAAGACGCGGCGATGCGTGTCCCAAGCGTCATTGTCGTAAAACTCGTTCCCGGATTCCCCAAAATGACACTCCTCACAGGACATAGAGGTAGGCTGGTGGAAAGAAAGCCTAGGAGTGGTGACGTTAGTCACAGAGTATACATAAGCAGCGGTAGACACGATGTGCTCGTTCCGCTGGGCTTCCAACGTCAGGTCGTCTGTAAAGGTAGGCTCGGCAGCAGTGAGATTTATCTCCCGTATACGAACGATTATTTGAAGACCTTTTTTGTGGAAAATGTCCTGGAGATCTACAATCTGAATGCCGTTGTCAGGATCTGGGTCCTTTGAGGGCATCCTCCGATTACGTTTGTAATTTGGGCTTCCTACAATGACTTGGCCATTTCTGCCTTCTCTCCAAGCCTCGTAGGAGAAAGCTGTTCCAGGCTCCGGGTCAGATAGACTCGTAATGATATCCCGTTTCTTTTCTAGTAATGGTATGAGGCTAAAGAATTTTTCGGAAGTAGTCAATGATTCTGCCCACGTTTGAAAAGTCATGGATCTGATATTTGTGATCCGGTCAAGTGCCCACTCCGGTAGCAGCCGGTTTATATTCTCGTTATCGTAAGACGGATTCCGTGCTAGGAAATGGTAGATTCGCCAAAGACAGCTGTCAGATTCTTCACCTAGCTGTATATCTCCGGCGGTTCCTGCTTCCCATAAATCTCGCATATCCTGGGAGACAGTATCGAGCCAAGGGGGATTTGCTGTATATACGTGACCATAAGTTCTGATCCGAATCGGAGCTACACCTACACTGCCATCTGTTGGGAGTCCATTCCCTTTGAACAAACAGCTTTCCCACATTCGAATTGCTGGAGCTATTATTCTCTCGATGAGCCTGTAGAGTGATTTGTTGTGCATCGGATGCAAATTGTTTATATAAGATGTAATGCGCAGAGGGTCCTCCGCATTAGACGTGTATTTGGTTTCGCAAGGTAGCCATTGAAACTGGGAAGAATACTTATAAGAATTGGCGTCACTCTTTTTACCCCAAAGATGCCAAGGTGGGTGTGACGTTGCTTCTTCTTCCGACACTGTTGGCTCTGGTTGTATTAGTGCTGTATTCGTATCAGGAGAGAAGCATGTCTCAACACAGTTCTCGAGTGCTACTTGCTGCCCACCGGCAAAGTATTCCGTCCTTCCATAAACCAATGGATACATCGATGGGTCCACAAGGTCAGATATTCTGTCCACTTGAGCGGTTTGGCCTTTGATTCCAGACCGTAATTGCGCTACTGTAACTTTGAACCCTTCTGCTGTATCGGTAGAAACTAGGCCATCTGATTTGCAAACGCATGAGCCGGCATCCAATACTCGTAAGAATTGTTTGTCATGAAAAGCTACTGCCTTGTCTTTGAGTTCGGCCAAACACCATTCCCAAGTCTTCTCGCTCACCAGAGGCATCGCAGGGCCAGTCTTCTCTCCCCATTCAGTCATTCTGTGCTCGTCTATAGTGAAGTCAAGGGCCGAGAAACTCGCATCATGCCGCCACTCTTCGACCTTTTCGACATCGAAAATGTTGAGATGCCAATCTTTCGTATCCGTGACATGGTTCATGATTGACAGCATAGCCAACTCACGAGCCGTCAACCGCGGGGTTTGCTCCCAGCCTGCTGCGCCATCATTGAAACCTTCTACGAGGTCAATTTCATGATAAACTGGAAGGTCACCAAATCCTGGGCATTTCAGCGGTGCTCCAGCGCCATTGTTCATCTCGGAAATATGCCTAAAACCGAATTTCTTTAGCTCGTTTTCGTTTGAGCACATTGATTACCTTATATGCAGCTTGTGATGAGATCCAAAGGAGGAAGACCGACGAAGCTGGTCATTTCACAGGAACTCCACGTGATACCAACAACAGACAAACTGCAGGGCTGTCATCAAAAAATAAGCTATATTCATAATTCATAATTATTGCGACAAAATCTGAAAATCTGAAAACCCCAGAAACATCGCGAGATAGACAATAACGACTTTTGGGACTACTGACTACGGAACATCGACGCTTCTAGGAGGTTAGACCTTAATTGCTTCTTAAACAGATAACTAGCGAATTGCGTATATGTAGTTCTATTATACCCAGAACGTTGTAGAAGAAAGGGCGAAAGCTGGACGCGCTATAGTGATTACTGTGATTAACCTTATCGTTGTACCCGCGACGTTGATAGGCGCACGACACGCCAGGCCACGCGAACGTCTCCTCCATTTACATCGTCATTGATTCCATATCAGTGTCAATATCAACAACTCTATCGGTGAAATTGTCCATTTTACCAGAAACTACCCCGTGATCAAGATGGTAAGTGATAGATGACTTATGGGATCAAGCTAATTTGCAAAAGACCATGATCACGACCACCAAGCCAGCGGATGTGGAAATTCTCATCCTCGGCGCTGGTTGGACCTCGACTTTTCTCATTCCTCTTCTCAAGAAACAAAACATCTCGTTTGGTGCCACCTCAACGACCGGTCGAGATGGTACTTTCAAGTTCAAGTTTGAGCACGATGAATGCGATGAAGCCAAGAAACAGTATCGAGACCTTCCAGCTGCGAAGACAGTCCTGATTACTTTCCCATTGAAAGGCAAGGGTGAGAGTTCACATCTTGTGAAGTCATATTCACAGGCGCACGGTGGAGAAGAATCGAAATTTCAATTCATTCAACTTGGTAGCACAGGAATTTTCACTATTCCTGGTCAGGATACTTGGGTCACGAGACACTCAAAGGTAATTGTTCCCTTTGAACAAGTGAATTTTTGCTGAACTCTTAAAGTACGATACTTCAAATGCACGGGCAATTGCGGAAGATGAATTGATCTCACTGGGAGGTTGTGTACTGAACCTATCTGGTCTCTGGGGTGGTGCAAGACAACCGAAACATTGGCTAGACCGAGTTGCCGACACCAAAGAAAAGCTTGCTAGCAAACAGTCACTTCATATGGTTCATGGTCTTGATGTCGCAAGATCGATTATTGCAGTTCATGAAAGGTTTGGGAAAGCCGCTGGACAGCGATGGGTATGACAGAAACTCCCGGGAGCTATTTCCCAAGTTCTCACGCTAATATTTTCAGATGCTTACCGATCTTATTGTTTACGACTGGTGGGCTTTGATTCTTGGGTTTGCTGGAGAGTTGCAAGAAGAGGATCCAACCAGTAATCGCGAACACACGCAGATCAAGTGGGTCGGCGAAGTGATGGTCGAGCAGAATGTCAAAGCCCTCCCGCGCTCTATGGAACAACTTGGTAGATGTTACGATACACGAGAGTTCTGGACGACTTTTGAGCTCATGCCCATTCGCGCAAGAATATAGAAATTCGGAAGTTCTCTCAGAGCTTGACTTAAATCCTGATAGTTTTTCTACTCACATGCCTCATTCCAACATCGATTTTGAACTCGTATCCTGGGGGTCCTAGGTGCAGTCATCATTCGTCTCTATGGATCGCCGCAATCGTGTTTTCGGTAGTATGTCTACTTGAGCTGTACGGCAAGTTCCCACAAACTTTTGTTTCGCTACGATTGATTGAAGTGAAAAGCACAATAAAAAAGTAAAATAGAAAAAGCGACTCATTTATTGTTCAAGTTCTTGACCTCATTAATGTCAGAACTACGGAATATTGTCAGGAGTTTTGATGTTTCAATAAGAAGGGAAAAAAAGTTCGTTTGTCATGCTGACTAATTTCAGGTTCGCGGTATAGCTAGTGTCAGATTAAGCATATTGTGCTAAGACTTCAGATGGTTTTTGTGAAACATTGCCATTCAATTCTGGAAAGATTTACAGTTGATGTTGGATAGGTGGAAGATTGTCTGTCTGTTAAGCGATGTGGGGACTTATTAACATTGTTTTATCATGATTCGTTAGAAGCGATGTTAGCCAACATTTCCTGCAGCTTGCAGCCGCCCGGATAGAAGTAGCAACAACGAAAACGTAAAACGAGTGTTGGAACTGGGGCTTATCAGAGAAAACTCGAAGTGTCTACACCACGCTAGTGAGTCGCCCAAACTTCCCCAAGCAGCTTCGTGTACCGTCTTGCTTAATATAATACTGATGGCATCCAGTCTAATCTTTTCTTAATCGATCCCGCAGTCTGCTTCTCGTGGAAGAAAAGGTCCTAAACATGTCTTCTTCAGCTGGACTCAATCACAGCCCTTTGACGGCGGATGCATACAACTCTTTACCTCATATCGACAATGTCAAGGAACTTTCAAACCGACAAATGCATGCGAGGGACAAGTTACTTCATCTGATCAATTCCCATGGACTCGTAAACGTCTTTTCTATCCATTTGATCCACAAGCATTTCAATGTCGCAGAAGGACGAGTCATGGTCTATGAAACTGTCAAAGGGACCAAACATCCTGACTTCCAGATGTGCAGTCCAAGAATTCCATCAGAGTGCCAAAATCTCAAGGGCTTGTTTTTTCGAGTCAGTGATGGAGGACAACTAGCGGCTTATGAATATACGACCGATCCTGTCGTAGACGTGTCTGCTTGTGGTACATTTTTCGGGGATATCTCTACACTCATGATGGCTTTGGGAGTCCAAGACTTATTTGCGCTCACACTGAAGCGAGTGGAGCCCGCGGCCAATCTGCTCGAGTTTGAAATATCAGATTTGACCTCAACAATCCTAATCCCGGACCTCTCAGGGAATCAAGATGGTGGAAACAGTCGGCCCACGGATTGGAGCTTTATAAGTCCAGAAGTTCGCAATGACGAGATCGATAATCAAATTCTTGTCACGAAAAACCGTCAGGATGAAGAACTTTTCTGCATCGCGGGGACTTATGTGGCCGGGCAGGATAGTACACACCCAGTTGCCGCAGGGACTGTTCGTTGCACGGTAACTAGGAGTGGCTACCACCACGAAGTCATAACGAAGGGGAACGGCAAAATTTTCATAAATGGACAACTAATCGAAAAGGAGAGTGCTATATGTGAGATTATTACTCATGCCCAGCGACTTATCTCTCCCAACCCTGGTGTCGCCGTAGCGGCATAAAACAATTCACAAATTGCGAAGGCCAAAACCTGAAGTGTCAAAATTGACAAACATTCTTTTCCTCTCATTGCTCGTATGCCTGTTACTTTCGTTACGCTAGGAAAAAGACATCTTGGCTGTGTTGGTCGTGTTGCTACGGGCGTGTCATTTGGACACCATGGGATTAAGACAGTGACAAGGTTGCATCATTTAGATGCCACGCTTGTTAATAGTTTTGGGCTATCCTCCACGATCTCTGCCGCAACGTTCGAATAGAAAGTTATTCCACAAACAATTCCCACTTAGATCTTTATCCCAACGCTACGAGTCCGTATAGCTGAACATCGATTTTCATGCGCCAGAAAACGCACTAGAATCATGTAGAGTCGTTTGTCCTCATGTCCTTATGCGAGATTAAGAGTCTTCTGACCAGCAGATCCAAAGGTCCTGTACGATCCATGGTAACAACCAATCCCAACTCTTCTGTAAAGCTGAACATCCGAATCTCCTTCGGTTTTCTGCAATATCAGAAATGTTTCACTAATCTTCATACTGCTCAGCAATGCCATGGACCGCAATAAGACACATGTATAGTCTGCGAAAGATGCATAACTCTTGGCGTCAATGTCGAATTGTGCATCGTAAAATGAACGTCCGACGCTGTTTTCAGGGCAGTTCTGCTCACCAAAGACTTCCAAAATAAGAGGTGATCGAATCGGGCTTTTTGGTTTTATTCTGAGTGTCATTTCTCGTGCCGGCCCACGAATGGCAAGACGAGTGGAGGCAATTGCAGAACTGAAAGGCGCAGCTGACCACACAACTTCCCAGTCAACAAGAGCAACATGATCACGAACATCTGCTCTGAGCTTAGGAGTATTTTTCTCCCAGTTCCAGAAGTCGAACCTCACCATATTTCGACAGGACAACCATGTCCAGGAAGGAAGGCCAAGAAAGGGGCTTTCGTCCGTGACGCTATCGGCTTTCATTCGCATCCACATCAGATCTTGGTGAAATGAACCGCACCACAAACCGAGAATCGGCTGGTCCCCTGTCATGGATTGATACTCATCGAGTATACCTAATAGTGCTGGTAATCTATCGCTTGCGACAGTGAACTTCCTTCGCGAATAACTAGTCATCCAATTCCACCAGACCATATGATGATCATCTGCACGTCTTTGCGTGTGCAATACCTGTTCAGGTTCTAATACAAGACCAGTCTCTGTTCTGTAACTATTCTTACAGTGCCAAGATAACTCCGTTTGTGCAAAATGGGCTATACGTGGAGAAAGGAGCATTTCTTGAAGTACCCATCCTCTTTGGTTGAGAGCGGAGTCCTGGATCGATGTCCGAAAGTCATGCGGTAAAACTCGAACTGTTCTCTGCTCTCCATCGCTTGATAGGGTGCGAAAGAAGGGTTCCTTGAAAGGAGGCTGATGAACCGTTTCCGAGGTGGTGAGTGCCTTTTCGTCATGCAGGTGCACATTAAGAAAGCCTTCAGAAGAGTCAATGGCGTCTGTTGCCGCGATAGTCAGCGAGCTTCCAGCATATGTGTTCTTCATGTTAGATGCTTCGATGTTCCACTCTAGTTCGTCATCCTGCACAATACACAACGAGTCAATCCATAAGTACCTAAGTCCGAGCATCCTGGTGGTCAGTATTGCGTCCTGTAAAGTTGAGGGAATAGAATCCATCGGAATTCCTTGATGTAAGGAGTTGATGCTTTCCTTTGTTGCTCCGAATTTGGATTGTCCCCAACAGTAACTTAGTGTCGCATATTTTGGACTCGGTTTTGATAGCTCCTGGCACATGACCAGTCTTGGAACGGCCGGTTCAACGTTAATCAAGCGTTTAGGGAGTTGCTGCGATCGGGGTTTACAAGTCTCATGACATCTTTCGCACGTTTCCAGCCAGTTCTTGACGATAGACATCTTCTCAGGAACCGATGTTTTTGACCTTTTCCAAATGGGTAAGTCAGCTGCGAGGGCTGTAAGATTAAGTTAGTTCTCACCTAAAGACTTTTGAATGGCTAGAAACTGACTCACAATTCATGCTACAACTGGCAATGGTAAAGCATCGTGACCATGATCTGGTTGCCATGTCCTGGCTGATGAGCATGCTGACCAAATCCCAAGAGAGTCCGGATATCGGCTCCTGAGAGCCATCGATTTGTGTCGATGTCAGTTCGATACGTAGAGAGTTGGGAGAGCTTTCATCATCATTTACAAAAGCCATGGCTACCCCTTCAGCTTGACAGAAGTCCCAGATAAACGCACATAGCACGCATGTGAAACTAGAATCTCGGAGCTGTTCCAGGATGGGGTAGTGCTCCCGGTCTGGTGTAAGCTGTTGCGCAGGATGGATTAGTTGACTACAATAGCTGCAAATGTTTTCAAGTTCTGCCTCCATGGCGATGATAATTCTGGAGATTGCGGATGGTTATGAAGAAACACGTGGAGATATTGTAAATCATGTTGGTTCAGTATCTGCCTGCGTCAAGGTTTTCGGATGCCTACAGAATTCTTGCTCATATTTACAGGGGTAGTTTTAGGGCAAAGTCCCGGCTGGTTCAGCCTGGCTGCCAGGCACCATCAACTAACGTCCTGCTGAAAAATCATCATGAACCATCAGTGGTCGTCGTATCAAACAACTATTTCATTGTTTATTCAAGTCAGGATGAGCACACTCATTACTAGGATTGGAATAGATCAGACAACATGAGAAGAGGGAGGAATGGAGCTTCCAAGCGAATTTTAATTAATTGTTCTATTCCACCAAAGTAAAAGCTAACAATTTACAATGAGTTGCTATGGAGAACAACTAGTGGTGTATAGGGCAGCTGAAGGCTTGGTTCTCGCAATGCCAGGCACTTTCTCCAGAATTTTCTAATAGTTTCAGTTCGAATAAGGTGGATCCAACCCTCTCAAAGAAGGTAATCGATATGAAAGAAATTTGGGCAGAGCTCTGAGCGTTACCGGGTTGCAGTTTCCAATCTGGCCAGCATCCACATGAAATGTATCCAGCAACGTTCCAAGCCACACAGCCATTTGTATCGCTTCCAGATTTGCGCCTAGAATATCGCGAACATCGGGTGTGAGTCCTTTGAAAACTTCGTCCCAAAACCCTCTCTCAGCATCCTCGAACTTCTCAGGCATCTCAAATTCGCCATCGCGGTACTCTCCTGCAAGTGTATGGATGCGCGCAAACCCCATCCCGAACGGCAATGGTTGTGACAACTCCCAGTCAACGATTCCCGAGACTTGGTGATTTTCGTCGACAAGAATGTTGAGTTGGCTGAGTGAGAAGTGGGATACGAATAGTGGTAATACTTTCAGCGTATCCAGCTTGCGAAGAAATTCCTTCGAGACATCTCTGAAGGGCCGCACTGCGCTGTTTTCGGAAGCTACAAGCATTTCAAGATGAGGGCGAATGTCCCTTTCAACCATTTCCGTACTCTCTCCTTCAATATAGCCCTGTGAGAAGATTCGACCCAAAGATTTGTTGATTGAAACATTAGCATCTGCCATCGTTGGACCTCCAATAGCGTTCAACCACACCCTGCCAGGCATTTTGGTCATACAAAAAGTCCAAATCTTTTCCTTTTCAAGATCCTTGTCGCTCAATAATTCAATTTCCGGGACAACATCTCCCAGCGTCTTCCTGGCCAACTTGAATGGAGCAAGATCTAAAGGTTCAGGTCGGAACTGGATGACAACCTCCATTTTGTCCTGCAAGGTCACAATGAAAGTCCTACTGTAAAAACCTTGGACTTCAACTCCCTCTGATTTTTCGACACCCAAGTTGTAATGAGCTTCTGCAAGTTCTCTGGCTTTTTCCAACTGCTTCGCTTCCGTACCTAAGCACATTGGCATATCTGCGTTGCTTTCGATAGTGATCACCATATTGAATCGAAGAGGTGAAGAGGAATTGTTGTTTGGTATATATACTTCTAGGAAGGTATATTAGTCTCGCAATAATTCCAATTGTGGTGTTGAGAAGCTGTTGTACTTTTTACCACTGACTGATCGATGAGACAATATTTATACAAGGTCATTTATTTCGTATCGTAAGGCAGATTTGTTGGAAGGCTTTCTTCTATTGTGTAACAAATTTGAAATCTCTCTCATGCATCTTGCACTCGGTGAACAAGGCAGCGATGTGCATAGCTCACCCATACCTAATGGAGCTCGAGGCAGTGCAATACCGAGTTGAGGAGCCCCACAGCAAAGAACTTTCCAACACAATAGAATTTCAACCAACCAATAAATTTTGGAAATTGTTTTCCCTCGAATAAATAATAGTATTGATCCGGGTTTCTCAAGATCGAACCAAACACACTTTGTTTGGTCTCTCGGCTAGAGTGAAGTCAGCGCCTACTCTTAATTCAATCGTGGCAACCAATAAATCCCAACGCCATTGGGAAATTCTCATGGACATCGTTCAAACATACGGATATTTCTTCTGTCGGCCATTTATTATTTTACGACATTTGAGCCTTTCTGATCGTATTTTTTCCTCTCAGACTTCATGTAAAGGTGCTGTGAGCTTTATTGCGTAAGTTTTTGCATATTCAAACATATATTATTAGCGGTTCATGATGGCTTGAGATAGATCAAAAGCCGACCAGAGAACTTTAATTAACCAAGATTTTTTGGCGAGTTTTACAAATACTCTGAAGAATAAATTAAGAAAAGACAAGGACTAAAGTTGAAGAAGTCAGTGGCGGGGATATGTTTAAACTGTCGATGTCTATTTCAATTGTTTGGACACGACGATCACATTATAATCATTTACCTAGATAGTAAATTTCAGACTATCACATATTAATGACAGGCCCGCCTGCTGGTGAACACAACGTACGAATCAAGTTTTACTTTACAATCATTAACGTGGTATCGACGTTTACTTCGGGCAAACCAGAATGCCCAGACTGTAATATACCTGTCCTTAACTGGCGAGAATCGGTATAGAGATGATGCCTAACACGTTTGGTAAAGAAATTTACTTTCGTAGCTATGCACTCGGTGTAAACATCCTTAGAGTGGAAAGTATTTGATTTGAAAAAATATGATCCCAGGCTCTCGGAGTTCTTACCTCATCAAGCGTTCCCAGGCGCCACGCAACTGCCTCCCAGCCCCCTCTTATCGCTTAAATCATGACTGCGCAGGATTCAGCTTTTTGATTGTAATTTTCTGTAATTTGACTGGCTAGAACTTCAATTTATGATCTAGCGTATTTCCGCACTGCCTACCATCCAACAACTTGGCGCTTCAAAACCAACGGACACCATTGTTCATGACTGGATACAGATAAGAAATTAGGTCTAAGAAATTAAGAATTGGTATGCAGTATACAATGTGTTCCCCTACATTCAGGCTTGCCAGAAAAGGAATTGAGTAATGAAATATCTATTCCCGTTACAAACCGCTTTACCCTGTAAACTGTGACGGATTTCTCGTGGCACTTCCTACCACTTGGTGAAATTCGATCATATCCGTCATTGAAGTACAAAGTTTCCGAGATCACTTCTCTCTTTTCTCGAGCCATCTACCTCCTCATACACCACATCCTCGCGTAGAACATGATTCTTTCGATACCCACCACCGCTCTGAGCACTCTCTTACTTGGGCTGATGCTCGCAACCTCCAGCATCGGTGATGTCGAGCCCAACTTACCTCACGATCCGAAAACTACACCATACTGTACTTTTTGGGCAGACGTGGGTAGTGACATCCCATGTGCCGATTTTCTTACATACTGGGAGGTAGCTCTCGTTGCTTTCGTCCGCTGGAACCCCAGTATCACTTCCACCTGTGGCAACTTTGGAAATCATACGTCCTACTGCATTGATGCCTACAACGAGCCTGGCGCACTCTACTCTCCCTGGAAAAATCTTGGTTGTTACGTCGACAACAGCAATTCTCGTGTCTTGAGCAAAAGATTGGGTACCGAAGCTGGTGATCAACAACTTACCCAGAAATTATGCCAGGCTCTATGCAGTAACGGCTACTGGTCATATTGTGGGCTGGAGAACGGTCAAGAATGCTGGGGTGCAGATGAGCTTAACGCACTATCCGCCGAAGATAGTCCAATTAGTCTTTGTAATATGCCTTGCAAAGGTAATGCGAGCGAGATGTGTGGAGGTTCAGATCATATCAACGTGTTCCACCTGACAATTTGGTCATCGAGCAGCACAATTATGAGTGCCACCAAGCCTTCCACGACGAAGACTAGCAGCGTTACTGTACCCAAAACAACCGCGGAGGCTGCAACGACTACGAGTGCAGTTCCAAGCGTATCTCCTGCCATCCAATCAGCTGCTACACGGCTCCTGGGGCTGCCAGGACGCAGTGGAGCTTATGGTGGAATATCAATAGCAACACTGTAAGTGAATGTCAAGCCATGCGTACAATGTATAACTACTTACGGGTGTAGAATATATCTGGCAATGTTCTTGTGGTAAATATATTCTTGTCCGTCGTGTACTGGCACAGGAAATAGTTACATACATCTTGGTAACTTGTTCATGGTGATAATACTATGATTTGACTCGAGCATGAAATATTAATACCAACCGTGCCGAGACCTGTCCCACACTTGTGAAGTATCGGCGCTATTCAGATGCGTCGAGCAAGACTCAATGAAATTGCCATTCGCCGACGTACTTCACTTTGTCAAACATAACATAATTTCCGAGAGAACCTTTTAGATTGACAGAAGAATCAATAAACTCCTAATATACTCCTGACTCCGGAAGCTACCTCCTACAAGTCCACGTTTTTCTTTAAAAACTTTAGTGATGTGACTTCTCGATCCTCGGTTTGAAGGTTATATGGTCCTACTTGGATACGCAAAGGGGTTCACAAAATTCGTTGGCTGATTTCGTAAGCGAAGACATTCGAATCGGAAAGCACATCATGATCCCTAGACATTTTGCAATGTTTAACGCATGGTGTAGTGAGGGCCATATAGTTCTATGCAAAATGCACTGGGTGATCCCCCCGGCGATACATCTTTGTATACCTCGTCTGCATTTTAGACTCGGACTGTCATTTGGATCTTCTAATGAATGAACACACTTTGGTGTGCTTTTGGCTTTGAGTTCACTAGGCTTTTGGATAATGTTATGCGGGATTTGGGTAAGATCAGGTTGATAGATTGTTATTTTCATTTTGAAGTTCTGGGTTATTGATTCCGCGGATCAAAAAGCTTGAGAGTAACGCTAATCTCTTCCCATCGGTCCCTGGGTCGAGATGTCAACAAGCTTCTGCCCAGGGACCAAGATCAGAATGTTGAAGGATATTGAATGCGATGTCACCCAAATAAAATTTGAGATAAGGGATCTGTCGTATCTGGCTTGGAATCCGCGAGACCAAAACCCAATTCCTCAGAAGAACCATCCACTCCAGGCATTGTCTTCAGGAGCTCTTCAAAATCTCCGTAATGATTATGATCCATCTGATGACAAAACAAGGCCCACTGCGTCGCAAATATCATAGGACAGACGTCGCAACGAATATCCTGAATATCATAATACTCCTCCACAAACGCCATCACACTCTCCGGAATCTCCTCCTCCCACCCCTCAATCCCAGCTTTCTCCTTCTTCCTCGCTCTCACCGCCAAATTCAGCACAACATTGTCATGAAACTGCGTCTTCATATGTCTCGCAAGCCCCGACGACGAAGTATACGATCGACAGCACGTCTTGCACCCAAAAGACAGCTCAGGCGCATGAACGGAAGACGTGTGAAGCGAGAGTTCATTTTGCGAAGCAAAACTTTGGCTACAGACTTCGCAGAAATGAGCATTTGCACTCGCCTCTCTGCGTTTTTTCCGTTCTTTCACAATAACCATATCCTTATGCTCGTTGCTCCAACAATGAGCCCTCAGCCCCTCCAACGTCGACATATTCAGTTCGCAAACCACACATTTGAAATTCCTCCGCGGATCAACGTGCGTCTTCGCCGCATGTTCTTCAAGCGCGGCTTTCGTCATGAAAAACTCACCGCACTCCACGCAATCCAGCTCGGCGCGATGATGACTCTTTTTGTGTCTGCGTAGCTGATACGGCACCGCGCTGATATACCCGCAGAACTCGCACTTGAACGTCGTCGCATCATGCGCGCGCGCGCAGTGGACGCGGAGGTAAGCGGCGGAGAAAGACCAGAAGTAGCAGGCTTCGCAGCTGGACGGCCGGATTTTCATGTGTATGTACTCGATATGTGTTCTGAAGGCTTGATGGCTGGAGAAGAGGAGCCGGCAGTAGGGACATGCGTTCTGTGAAACTTCGTGTCTGGGAAGAGTGGTTAGGTCGATTGGGGTGGGATGGGAGAGGCCATAGTATTCGCCGTCTGACGTCCAGTAACCTTGGCTTAGGATGGTGAGTTCTTGAGGGGACGCGTGGTTCCGAAGAACTTGGGGGATGCGGTTGTGCATGATGTTTGGTGGTTCGCCCATCTCTGCGGATATTGGGACTATGATGGATGGATGCCGTTCCGACATGTTGTGGGTGAATTAGAAACTTAATGTCAATGAGCTTCCAAGTTAAGGCCGAAAGTCTTATCTTATAAACTTGTAAGAAGATAACTAAGGTTCGTTTGTTGTTGAATAATGAATTGCATATTCAAGTTATTTGTTTTTGACTTCATTGTTTTCTTAAAACAGCTATTCATATAGTCGAATTGTAGAGCATAGATGACTGGTGAGGGTACTGGCGAGTAGGCTGGTGAGCAGAACAACAAAGAATAGTTACCTGAACAAAATAAACAAATAGCCAAACAGACCCCAGTGAATCTTGTAGAGCAACCAATCTCCATCCCATAGGCTCCTGAGACTGAAAATTCATGTCAGTACAAATTGAAAAGAAAAATGGTTTGGTTGGACGATGTGAATTTCTTTAAAATCCTGTGCAACAGTATGACATTTCGAATATCATGTATCAGCTCCACATATGTTCTATGCACTTCACAAAAGCAGGTTAGTCGCTATGCTTCACACGCACTGTCAAAACGCCGTTAGACATCCCACCATCTGAGATATCCATTTCGCCAACCATCCTTCATAGCAGGTCATGATCCATCCATAAATCTAACAACCAGGGTCTGCGCTCTCAGCCGCGAAAAACCCATCCATTTTCCCCGTGTCCCACATCAGCACATTTTGAAAGTCAGCTCTCCTTGAGATATCTGAGCCGGGCGTTTTGGCTCCGCCTTGGTTTGATTAGGCTCTAACTTGTATGAAATCTTGATGTCCAAATCGCGCTTATTCTGCTCGTTCGGCTTGTTCTCCAACATCCCGTGGATTTTGTCGCCAGGCCAGACCAAAACATAGTCCTCACGTAGGTAGAACACAGTTTGCTTCCAGTGTGTACCCTCTGCATGTGGGCCAGTTGTGAATGAAATTGGAGTATGACAAGCTGTGAATTCAATGTCAAACCATGAAATGAGGGCATGGACACGGTCCTTTTGGCGAGCTGTGAGAGTGAAAGGAACGGTAAATGCAAGATCTGCCGTCGTGCATGTGTAAAGATCGAGTGTGAGTACTGGGGTGGAATCTGTTTTCAATACATCGAAAGTGACTTTGTCAACTAGTGGTTCGGCGAGGGCGATCTCCTTAAGAGGGGCGAAGTTGAAACCATAGACGTCGTCCCAGACTGGAATTGATTGTTAGCAGCTGTCTACAAGTGGGAGTGGAAAATCTAACAGTCGATCTTATCATGTTTATAAGCCCCATCTTCAATACCAGCCATGAAGATCGTAGCCTTGTCAGGGAATATCAAGCCGTTCTTGGCAAGATATCGATCTCGCGCATAGAGGACGGTATCAAGCATAGACTCGTACAAGAGAAAGTATCCCATCCATTCCGAAATGATGATGTCGACCTGGGGATATTCTAGTTCCACTTCTTCCATCTTTCCGCGTATTAATGTGATCTTGTCCGACATGCCGTTGAGCGCAACGATTTCTCTGGCTTTGTCTATGATTGTGGACATGTCAACACCGATGACCTTCTTGGCTCCGGCCTGCACAGCGAACCTATCTCCAGTTATCAGGAATGTGTATATCGTGTAAAATCAATGATACCTACATGGATAGAATTCCAGTTCCGCAGCCTACATCGAGGACGACCTTATCTTTGAAAAGATGAGCGTTGTGAAGAATGGCGTCTCTGTATGTTTCGGTTCGGACTCTATCTTTCTATTGTGAATCAGCAAAACAGCAAGGCGTAGAGGAGGGAGGGGTCTCTCGAAGTACGCACCAACATTTCTTCGTGGATACCTTCAATACAATATTAGCAGACGATCACAAAAAAAGCCCCAGGCGATCGGATCAAAACACATACCATGATGATTGTAACTATTCATTATTAGCATATTCCATTTGGTTTTGAGCAGGATTCGAGACATACCTGTTGAAGTAGTGGGCTTCAGATGGGGCCATACCGGCCATCTGTTCGTCGACCATGATGGCGATAGAAGGTTTCGAAGACCTCAATAGCGAGATCTTATCAGTTGCGTGTAGATGGCAACAAAGAAAGTCGTGAAGAAAAAGGCAGGTATGCAGAGAAGGAAGATGCAGTATGCGGCTGCAACTATTTTGATGGACGGTGAGGATTGGGCAGTTTTTTTTCGAGATTCTGCCGCACTTACGTAAGAATCTCGCTTGACTCGTGTTAGCGGTGTAGCAAGTGCGGACGGGATCTAAAAATGATTTCTCGTTCTGCCCAATTTCCCATCCACTCGACCATTGCCCCACGAAGACTGCTTCATGCCAATTCGTCGATAAATTTCTGCGATTCTCATAACGAGCATACCACTCACCTCCGAAGTCGACCCAGCGTCCCTATCACCACTTGCTTTGCCTTTATCACGAGATCGTCCCCCACAAGAGCTTCATCTTGCTGTTACCTTCAGCTTGACGGGTAAGGCACGAAGACCATCGCGGGGTAGCGGGGGCTGAACAAGGGTGGCGGAGGAGGATACAGTCATAGTCACACTTCTTTCTGCTGGAAGAGTATATCTTCATCATGGCCCGAACTGCCACAACCCATAAGCCCAATGTTCCCCGTCGACCCGTTCCCAGCAAATCCAGTCGGCCGGTGATCAATGCACCTACCATCTTTACAAAAAAAAGAGAGGAGGCTGCTAAGAAAAAGGAAGAAGCGGCCAGAGCCAAGGCTCAGCGTGCCCAGCGAAAGAAAGTGTGCCGAAGAGAAGATTGTCCGGGTGGAGGTATCGAAGATGGAATCTGTATGGGATGTGGTACCGTCATTGACGATTCAAACATTGTCTCCGAGGTCCAATTCGGCGAGAATAGTTCTGGTGCAGCCGTGGTGCAAGGTAGTTACCTGGGCGCCGATCAAGGTGGTGTGAGAAGCTCTGGGCCAGGCCTGAGAGGAATGGGAAATGAGGGAGAGGGAAGGGAAGCTACAATTAGAGATGGTATGTTTTAGGAGGCTGATGACCTTATCACGTTGCTGATTTCTTTCTTAGGAAAAAGAATCATGAATCAATTGGCTCAGCAACTTCACATCCAAGAGAGCACGGTCACGCATGGAGTACAGATACTGAAATTGGCTGTTATGAACAACTTCATTCAAGGACGGCGGACCGAGATGGTTTGTGCGGTATGCCTATATACTGCGTGCCGTATGACCCAACCCTGCCGTGTGATGCTTATTGATTTCGCGGACAAAATATCTGTGAGTATCCTCGTTCCGGGTTGTATTAGTCTTGCTAACCTTTTGGTAGCCCCAATGCAATGTATTCAAGCTTGGACGAACGTTTAAGGCGCTCCATACATCCGTCACACTAAATGGTGGCATCTATCCTGTAGTACCCGAAGATTTGATTTGGAGGTTTGCTGCAAAGTTAGAGTTTGGTCAACTCACCGAGAAGGTGGCTGAAGATGCTGTACGAATGGTGCAGCGTATGAGTCTCGATTGGATGGTAGTTGGAAGGAGACCTTCTGGAGTGTGCGGCGCTTGCTTAATTCTTGCCGCTCGGATGAACAACTTTCGACGAACTATCACTGAAGTCGTCTATATCGTCAAAGTCACTACGCACACCATCCAAAAACGCCTTGACGAGTTCAAGATGACGCCCACTAGCAACCTTACCGTTGATGAATTCCTCAACCATGAATTCCTTGAATCAGCACACGATCCACCTTCTTTCTACCAGCAGACCGAAGAGTTTCAAGCAACCAAGAAAAAGAGAAAGCGTAAAAGCAACGGTGCGACCGAGGGAGACAATGATCCCGATGATGATGAGGCAGATGAGGAAGAGGGACCCAACAAGCGACAGAAATCAACAGTTCCAGAAACCGAACTGCGCCGGGACGCAGATGGCTTCGCAATCCCACCTATACCTGATCACGCTCAATCAAATGGACAATCATCTTCGGACACTGCCGATTCCAATATAGATCCAGGACTCCGAAACTCGGCTGGTCAAGTCGCTGTAGATGAAGAAGCTTCTCTGGAAGAGGTCACTCGTCAAACCCTGGATGATCTTGCAGAAAGTTATGGAAAAGCTGACGATGAGCCGGGAATGACCTCCACTAATCCTGTTGCTTACAGTGGGCGAGGGAGACGTCCTACGAAGGAAATCCAAGTGCGTGTCAGTCAAGCATGGGAAAATGACGAACGCCAACTAGAGGCTGAAATGTCTGAACTTGTGTCAGACCCGAACACTTTGCAGCATGCCATTGCTTATGCTCAAGCCGAAGACAGAATTTCGACTTATCTGTTAGTCCCGGAATCAGTGGTGTGTATGGACGTACATATTGGAGAAGACGAATTCGCAGGGGACCCCGAGGTTGAGAATATGATTCTGTCCCCCGAGGAGGCACTCATCAAGGAAAAAATTTGGATCAACAACAACAAAGATTGGCTCCGTCTGAAGCAAAAGAAAGAGTTCGAAAGGAAACTCGCAGAGGATGGACCACCCAAAGCTAGGAGAGCCAGAAAGAAAAAGCCAAAGATCGGCGAAGGTCATGAGCCAATGGATCCTGCAGAAGCAGCTGTGCAGACGATGGAAAAGGTCAAAATGACAAAATCCAAGAAGATTGATTACCAAAAGCTTAGGGGTCTGTTTGATGGAAAGCGAAGTACCGAGGGCAGCGCTTATGGAAGTTCTGCGAACAGTCGAGCTGGAAGTGAGCTTGGTTCCGTTGCAGGATCTGTTGCCGATACGGCCTCTGTTCGCTCTCAAAGTGTGGCTGCCTCCGAAACGAGCGAAGCAGCAGAAAGCAAAGCTGGGAGTGTTGCTCCTGAAGATGAAGGCAGTCAAATGGGTGGCAGCGAACGAAGGACAAGTGTTGCTCCCTCTGAGGGAGGGGAGTCTACCGTTCAAGAAGACGATTGGAGAAAGGGAATGCAGCGACAACCCCAAGGAGATGATGAGGATGAGATGCCTGAAGACAACGAAGAATACGTCGATACTGGGTTCGGCGACGATAACGATAGTATTCCAGATATCGACGTCCCTGGTGGGTTCGATGGTCCAGAGGATGATGACTACGATTGAGGCGTTGGCGTGGAATGATAAAGGACAGTTTTGGGGTTTGCGGGTCATACATGGAGAACTGAAGTCTTTGCTTTTTGGGTAGACATCACAATTAGAGGCGTTGCGGGTGGGCATTCGAGATACCCGACGTGTACAATCAGATGGCAGTTCCGGCCCTGCCCCAGCGAAACGCCATTGAAGTATCAATCTTGTAAAGGTTGACTATCACAATGTATATTTTTTCAAAGCTGTTCCTAACCACATGTGAAGCATTCTCTCTACACGACGATGGCCCTCGATGTATACATTACAATCGTCTTTCGGTCGTCCGCAATAGTTCATTTCTCGACCAAACGCGGGGAACATATCGCATCCAGATCCACCGCTAATCCATCTCCCCTGCAGTAGACTAACCCCGAAAATAGATAGCCCTGCGCAACTCTCGTCCCAATCTAGCATAGCGCCTCTTCCTCCATTTCCTCGAATCCGCAGAATAATCGGTGACGTTAGCGAGTCCTCGAGTCGAGCTCGTTCTAGGTCCGAGCTTCCATTTTGCGGCGGAGCTCCAGAGGGAGGGCGAGTGAGCTCATTCCCCTCTCTCACCTGGGCAGCGCAGCCAACAAGCAAGCAAGCAAGCACGCCGGTCCAGCTCCTCCCACCACCCAGCTGGCTTGTTGCTTCTTCCCTTTCCCCTTTCCAACTGCATCGCATTTCCCACTCCGCTTACGCTTGATCCCATCTCTCTCCCATTGATACCTCGCTTTTCTATTCCCATTTCCATTTCTATTTCGTTCATATATATCACCCGCGGCCATGGCGACGAGAAAGAGAAAGCAGGATGAGGAGCTCGTGGCTCTGCCTAGTGACGAGAGCGAGGAGGAGGAGGAGTAGGTGGCTGCACTCTTTTGTTGCGCACCCTTTGCTGGCGACTTTCTTGTGTCGCGTTGTGGTTTTTTGGGGTGATTGATGGGTTATCGGATGCTCAATTGATGGTTCTCTTGCTGAAGTCGAGGGGCTCTTGCTGAAGTCGAGGGGCTCTTGCTGAAGTCGAGGGGCTCTTGATCTGCCTAGCGCATTGGATGCGCCGAGCGGACTTGATGATGCGCAAGTCGCGCGGCTCATTGAGTGCCTCGGTCGTTCAGCATGGAGATGTTGATTATATGTTTAAATGGCATTGCAATGGATGAATATCGCTGACGCTTGAGCTGTGTAGGTATGAGGACTCGGATGCCGAGGAAGGCGCCCCAGCTGCTGATTCCGACGATGATGAGGATGAGGACGAAGAGGATGATGAAGACGCCGAAGAAGAGAATGGAAAGGTTGAAGCAGGTATGGAATTCCCTCCCATCATTCTAATTCCATTATCGCGCCCTTTCTTCCAACTGTGGCATTCTCCAACATTGACTAACATATCCAACCAGCACCTCAACCAGCCAAGAAGAAGCGTAAAACCGGTCCTGTCTCTGCCGACAAGATCCCCGCCGACGAGGACGAAGTCGAGGAAGTCGAGCCTCAAGAGGATGGCATAGATGACGAGGATGATTCCGCTGATGATGATGAGGTCGCGGCTACAGGTCCAGCTTCCAAGGCGAAGCAAGTCAAGGGAGGTGTCGTCCCGGCCGACGACGATCTCGAGGAGGTTGATGAAGTCGTTGCTGCTGACGAGGAGGACGATGATTAGATCATTACTCCTTCTCGAATGGTTGCACGATGTAATGGACAATGATCAGTGAGGGAAATAGGACTCACAGGACAAAAAGAAGGGATCGTTTCGGGTCAGGGTCGCTGTAGCCGTCGGTTGGCTAGGTATATTTGCTTTCTAGATCTCTTATTTAAAACAATTAGGAATATACATTGTGTGAAATTATTGTCATTGTGTTATAGTATATTTTCTTGCAACGCGATGTTACCTCGTCGTACCTCACAACATCCCGAATTCGCAAGCTCGCTGGCATACACATCACGAGTTCCCTTCTCAACCACATATATCTACGAATCAACTCATATATCCAGAAACACGACCCCCATTCCCCTGCCCAATACCACACTCTCAAGTCTCTCCTCCCCCACCCATCTCAGGCACAACCCAACTCACCCGCATGATCGTACCGCTTGACAGCACATCCACCAAGACACGTCCTCGGTCTGACTAGAGCCAAAGCTTTTTCGTGGATGCGTTATTGGGTTTGTGTTTCTCGGATTCGAAGCATATTAAGGCGCGCGTATATCTGGGCTCTGCTATTCCTGTTCGTGTCTCAAGTTGGTTTGATCATGCATTGTTTGGACGCTAGACGGTGAGGCGAGGGGGCGTGTTACTGCATACTGCATCTATACCACAGCACCCGGGATTTCGTATTTTGAGAATTGATGGGAAGGGTGTTGGGTTGGGGTATGTGGGATTTTTGCTTATTCCTTTGGGAGTTTTTTTCTGGCGGTGTAAAACGCTTCTTCTTTCATAAAAGCTACGAACTTTGTTTATTATCGAGATATAAATCCAGACCGAGGACTCTAGTAGTGGGGCAAACTTGCTACTGCTTATCCCAGAACCGTGGCAATCTTGATTTCCATGCATTGTTGATCGTGGGTACTGATAGGACGGGGCGGACTGTGCGCATACGCAGCGTGGATGTGTGCGAATCAACTTCCTGAAGGCGAGAAAGCATCACGACACGACGATTTACAAGCAGGGCAGGGAGGGGCCCGGAGATTTTCTGAGGTGTTTGGAGGGGTTTGGAAGAGGGAATCTTGGTTCTGGGATATTTTTGTTTCTTCTTGATATTTGGGTTTGTTCTTGGTTTTGAGGTTTTTGGAGAAATTTTGTGGTTTTGCGTGTTTGGACGATTGGATGCGAGACGAATGCTTTGCGAATTATTTTGGACGACGTAACGAATATACGAAAACGAATTCACGATGCCATCACGACTGTCGAATCTGTTTACGCTCACCTTACCTTCTTCCCACGCAAATCTCACGCCGTTTCCTACCTCTCCCGAGATATACCATGAATCCAAATTCCATGGGAACGAGAATTTATATCGAAATAGCACGTATGGGAGGAAGGAGAAAGCTGGGCTTGATGGGACTATAAAAAGAGGAAGACGACAGAGTTTGAAAGAAGCTGCGGGATTGCTTCTTGGGAGGAGATTAAAAGAAGAGATTACTGTCGTTCCAACGAAAGAGCCGGAACGTCGACGGAGGAGTGTTGTCAGAGATGATACTAGAGAAGATGGAAGCAAGAACAAGAGATCACCCAGTAGATCCAGATGTATACCAGATCTCCCGCCAACACCGCCCGAAAAGGACCTTCCACAAACGCAGCCTATTCCACATAGAAGGAATTCGAGCATCTCGAGTATGTTACGAAGAAAATCTGCGATTGTAGTACCACCACCTCCTTCCGTAGCAGGATCAGAGAGAATCGGCCGCGAAAAGGGCAAAGAAAGACACGATAGACACGACTCCTCCTTCTCAAGCGTCTCCTCCAGTTTCGAACTCGACCGCAAACCAAGAAACAGATCCCGAACCTCCCTCTTCCGCTCTCGCTCACGTACCGACGCACCACCCGGCCTCTCTCCCTCCCAACTCACCCAACTCAAAACGATTCTGCTAGACATCCAAAACTGTCTCTTAGCCCAAGAACAAACAACCGCCTCCTTCGAACGAAACCTCATCTTCCTCCTCGCCGTCAAAGAACTCAGCATCAAGAACAACAAAAAGCTAAACCTCGAATGGAAACGCGGGTTATGCAAGGAACTAAACGTCTGTCGCGAAGAACTCGGCCGTGTCTTCACCCGCAAACACTCAATCTCAAACCGCAGCACCGACGCCGTCCGCGATCTCCTCAACCGTCTCGATCGTAACACATCAAGATCCTCCTCCACAACCCGCAAACGCTCCTCGTACCTCACATTCAGCGACCGCTCTAAACCGCCTTTAACGCACGCCCGCCAGCATTCCGCCCCGGTCATCGTATCTGAGGGCGTCACGCTCGATATGATCCACGCGCTTATCCTAGAATTGAAGAAAGATAACGAGGTTCAGAGGTTGCTGGATGACTGTATTCTTGATGCTATTACACGGAAGTGCTGGAAGAATCGCTGGGTTAGGAGCCCGAATATGAGGATTGAGATGAGGCGGTTTGTCGGGTTTGTGATGGAACGGGTGGGCGTGTTGGGGGGAAGGAGGTGGGAGGTTGGGAGGGGGGTGGGATTGTTGGTTTTGTTCTGGGAGGGGGTGGAGGGCGAGGAGGGGGTAGGGAGGAGTAGGAGTCCGAGAGGTCAAAGTAGGGAACGCGGGTTGGAGAGGGGGAAGGAGGGGAGGAGGTTTAGTTGGAGGTGAGATGGTTTGTGAATGGCATAGGTGATCAGATGGGTAAAGCGGAGCGGAATCCCGAAAGCCTCACGACGCTATATGACTTTTCTTTCTAGAGGCAAATTGGTCTTCTTATGGTTCTGGGTTAGATTTACGGCATATTGGGTATATATAGACGGTTTCTGGCAGATCTGGTGGGTTATATCGAGCGTGGAGTTTTGGGATAGGACAGGATAGGATTTAGATACCTTGTCCTTGGTTTGATTACGGATCCTTTCCAAAAAGGGGAAATATATAGAGATACGAATTATGAAATGATTTAAGTCCTGATTAATTTATTTCAGACTCACTCTGGTGCGTTTCTGGTGTTTGATGAATTCTAAGTTGACGGTTTATGAGATTATTTCACTTTTACTCTTGCTATACTCATTTTGTGATACCTAAAGTATTTTCTGGCAAAGGACTAATTTGACTGTTGCTAGGTAAACGGGGATATCATTTGATCACCAAAGTCTGAAATATAGTACATTAAGGTTACAAAAATATCTTAGGTATCTGTCGCAGACAAGTCCTACAACAAAAGTCGTCCTATATTACAGTCGTCATTGGAATGCGGTACGTCGCGTACTCCGTCGGCTCGTGACGGCTTCGCTTTCGGCTGCGGAAGCCGCAACAAAATTTCGTACACACTTCAACAATGTCAACATCCCAACCACCAACCCCTCCATCCAGCGCAACCTCCTTCCTCCCCCTCGATGCATTATTCGAAAACCCCGTCTTCGCTGGCGGAGCCGGTCTTGCTGGTCTGGCAGCCGCTGCCTCTCTCGGGCGCAAATCCATCATACTCGGAGCTGGAGCTCTAAAACGGCGGCTCCTCGTCGAAGTCGAGATCAGCAAACAGGACAACTCCTACGGATGGTTGTTAGCATGGATGTCTCTACCGCGTCCTACCGGTGGCTTTATCCAGTCGCGAATGACCCGGTTGCATCAATTGTCGATGAAAACGAGCTCGACGTCGATATTCGATAAGCCCCGACATGCGAGTTTCATGCTGCATGCTGGGTATGGACGGTACTTTATGCGGCATAAAGGAGTGTATTTCCAGGTCAGTCGGGAGAAACAGAGTAGTTCCAATATGACGACCGGCGAACCGCACGAGACGATTACGCTTACGACGTTGTATGCTCAGCGGCATCTGTTTGAGGATATATTCAGGGAGGCACATGAATTGGCGGTGGAGGCGCAGGAGGGGAAGACGGTGATGCATACGGCGCAGGGGCATTCGATGGACTGGAAACCATTTGGGAACCCGAGGAAGAAGAGGCCGTTGAGCTCGGTGATATTGGATAAGGGGATTAAGGAACGGATAGTCAGTGATGTGAAGGACTTTCTTGACAGCCAGAAATGGTATGTGGATAGAGGGATTCCGTATCGGAGAGGATATCTGTTGTATGGACCTCCTGGGAGTGGTAAAAGCTCCTTTATACAATCACTGGCTGGTGAACTAGATTTCGGGGTTTCTCTTATCAATTTGAGCGAACGGGGGATTACGGATGATAAACTGGCAATGCTTCTGACGAAACTGCCTCCTCGGACGATTCTCCTACTCGAAGATGCTGATGCGGCATTTGTCAATCGAAGAAAGACGGAGTCCGATGGGTATAATGGTGCAACGGTTACCTTTTCTGGTTTGCTTAATGCTCTAGACGGTGTGGCAGCAGGAGAAGAACGGATCGCGTTCTTAACAACAAATCACATCGATCGATTAGATGAGGCACTGATTCGCCCAGGAAGAGTGGATTTGACAGTCAGGATAGGACAAGCGACCAGATATCAGGCCGCCGAGATGTGGGATAGATTTTATGGAGACATAGACGGCGATGGCGCTGGGAGAAGTCGATTCTTGCAGAGACTCGAAGATCTTGATCTTATTGCTCCCGAGGGGGGTCAAAAGACAAGTAAAATGCATACCAGTACAGCTGCGATACAGGGGCTGTTCTTGTTTAATAAGAATGATATGGAGGGGGCTATTGAGCAGGCCCCTGGTTTGATACCCAGGATATATGAGGCGGAGGAGCATGAGGGGATGAGGGTTCCTGCATAAGATTCGAGGAAATATCGCTCATCAAAAACTCGAATTTATCTTGATGATGATTGTACAATTGTAATATACCAAGTACATAATATGACAACAATACACAGCGCTCAAAACTCGGCACAGCAATTCAACCTCGTCATCTCATTACCACCCTCCAAACCAAATCTCCAATCATCAGGTATCTACTGCGCAATAGCACTCCTCCCATCCTCCTCAGGAAGTCCCTCCTCATCGCCAGGCTCCTGATAAGTTCCCTCTGGCTTCGCACCTCTTGTCCGGCCCCCAGAAATGATATTCGACTGGTCAATCGCTTCTTTGTCATCTTTCACTACAACAAAATTAGCCCACATTCATTGGTTTTTCGAGGGATTGGGGGGGAGGGTGTGATGTAAAGGGGGGTAATACCAAGTTGTTGATCGCTGTCTGCGACTTCAGCGTCAATTGGATCTTCGATTTTTGCATCGTCGGATTGGACGGGGATAGGACCGCCTTTTTGGGAGGACCGCATGGTGTAATCGTTGTCTTGGACGGCGCCGGTGGGAATTTCGGAGGACATTTTGAGGGTGTGTTATGTGTTGTGAGGTTGGATGGCTCGTGAGTGTAGAGCTGTTTGACTGAGAGGGTTGTTGATTATGGCGGTTTATGTGGTGTATTTGTATCATTCCATGAGGATATGAGGGGAGGAGGAAGTGATTAGATCATTTACACGAGCACGTCTTGATGTCATGACACTGCCACTCACTCCACTATCTACACCTTTTAATATGCTACCGCCCGTGTTGTTGGGGGGGTTTGTCTGTGCTTTGGTGGATGGGATTTACGGATAGTTACTTTGAGGCTGGGCAGACTTCGTCGTTGGCAGAACTCTCTGTGACGACTTCCGACCCGTATCTATCTATATACCTCTCATCACCATATCCTTCAGAAATAAATCCCACGTCCCTTCAGAACAAACCCTCCTTTTCCATTCCCATTTCTGTTCACGAATCTGATCCTCAATTCCAATTCCCATCCCCAACTAGCGTCAGGAACACGATCTAAGATCTCACCGGGCCACGCACTAGTTTCCGGGTGGAGTACTCCGCTGGCCTGGGAACGAGGGGGTGATGAATCATGCATCGAGGGTCGCGACTTTTCGTGTTCGTGTCGTGTAGAGTGGTTTGTGTTTGGTGGTGGAAGGTATGGGGTTGATTGATGAGATGGGGAGGTTGGGGATTGGGGTGATGGGGAGGTTTGGTGAGGTTTTGGATGTTGACGCAGTTGACGTGTCGGTCTCGTGCGGTCATGATTTTCGTTAGTGGTTTGAGATCTGTGAATATTCTTTTTTTCACTAGTTGACGCCACTGAAGAATAATACAATCAACAAAATTGGGACAATTTCCTCGTTGTTGCGACTTGGTCAATACGACATACTTGGCTGATTACAGCCCGGTTATTACACCTTGGGCGAACAGCAATACCCAAACGAGAGTGTAGTTCCTGGATTGAGAATTTGGTTGCGAAGACGGTCCTCAACGCGTCTTGTACTGTTTTAACAGCAGAATGATCTTCGTTCTTGGCTCTTTGATCATGTAAATAAGTTAATTGAATATGCGAAAAAAGGAAAAGCAGATTGGGCTTTCGTTGACAATAACGTGCAACACTCAAGGTATGCGAGAATAAATTTGACAAAAATCTCTTCAATAGGAGCATGATCATGTTAGTCCTACACTGACTACCTATGGATTATCGACTGTAGAGGACGTCATTTTATTTTTTCAATGTTTTTGATTCGTTATTTTGCTGGTTTTCTCGCTGTGCTATCATTACAAAGAGTTTGAGCCAGACGCAAGTTGCATGTTTTGCCATTGTGGCATTTGCTGTACTGTTTTTTCTTCCGAACAATCTCAACATCTTGAGTCCGCATCGCTCTCCTGCTACAAGACTACGGACATGTAGTCGACACACGAGACTATGTCACCTGACTTGACTCGATGTCGTCTCTTCTTCGTATGCCGAGTATCTCGGACTCAGCTCCCAGGGCTTTTTTATGCCCTCAATGCTGGATTCGCGCCACTGCCAGCATGTTCTTCCTTAGCACCATCCACGCTCTTTGGGGCAAGCTTGGAGCTGAGGTCGAAAACAGGAAGTGGGCATGGAACTCCAGTGGAAGCACATGACAACACAATGGCCAAGTACCTATTCCGATATTAGTTGAGTACGCACAAGTCAGAAACGATTGACTTACCAGCCCATAATCATAGCCACAAATCCAAAGCCTCCAGCGATCTTGAAATAGTAGAAAGCGTGAGAAGCGCCGGCAGCCGTTGGGTTGAATCCAAGTTGGTAATAACCGGCAGCGAGAAAGCTGAAGAGGAAGATGAGGGAGAAGAATATGATGACGAAGGGTACGTTGGTTCTTAAAGATCCACAGAGGAAGATGAAAGCAACCAATGCCAGGACGACACTGTAATGGCCCTGTCCAGAGTTGTATGCCTGACTCAAAGCTCCCGCACCATTTTCTCCATAGAAGGCTTCAATTGCATGAAGCGGATCGTTGGTATATCCCAGATACACAAAGTGAGCACCGAAAATAATAAACACGGTCATTGGGAAGGTGTTTCCGATGATAAACTCGCCGATACCAGCGAGAATCAGTGGGATACCACCGAATGCGTAAAAGGTTCCGGAAACTGCGACGATAGTGGTCGGCGAGGAACCTTGGAATTGTAGGAGACTGAAGAGCGTTACTGAGAATGGAACCAGGAATCCAAGTGTGCCGAGAAGTGTGGGATTTCCGAGGCGTTTGGCAAGATCTCCTTTGGCGGCGTTGGGCTGGAAGAATAGTCGTTCGTATTGCTCGGAGGAGAGTTGGACTGTTAGTTGACGGGATAGAGTATCGCCATTGTGTTGGAAGTTTGGCTTGTCGCCGATGTCTGAGTGTGAAGACATGGTGGAATAGGAGCTGAGGGTTCTAGATGATGGGAGGTATAGAGGAGCGATGGTATGGAGTTGAGCTGTGAGACTTGGTTTTCAACTTGGAGGGTGAAGTTGAGGGGGAGTTCGAAGAGTACAAATACAATATGCATTTCCACCCACCTGGTATACTACTGTCCTAGTCCATTGGGATCCTGTTAGCATTGTACTTGATATCCACATCTCCAAAGTAACAGGTTCGATTTCGACCAGAGTGGATACAGAATTCGGCATCTATGGATGCCCAGACTCTTGTTCGAATCTAAACAAACTTAGCTCTCGAGCTTCATTACGGTAGGAAATCCATTTGATTGGCTCTAAATCAAGTTCCGAGTACGACTGATGTGAAAAGGGGGAAGAAGAAGTCCCAATTCGGTAAGGCCTTGCATAATTCAACGGAATCATTCCACGCGGAGTTGGGTTTCTTGTGGGAAATTCTTGAAGACTTGGTTTTAGCGTATCAAGCTATTTTAATCCAAGGGAAAGTCCGGGGAACGGTGTGGTCTAAAGGCAGCCGATCATCATTACCGACGTGGCGGTTCTCCCCGCATTGGGGGTGCGGGGATATGGGCGAGAGCATTGAAGTGATCTATATCTGTTGAATTTTCTCCTTGTGTGTATCAGGAACATTAATTTAGACTATCTCTGGATCCGGGAAATATCCAATGTTAGTGTTGTGTTTGCGAAACCGCTGTTGGACATCAATATGGAATTATTTTGACTCGTCTTCTTCCATCTGAACCGAGGATTTCCTCCACAAGTGGAAAACAAGACTTGACCAAGAGGCTAGACACGACTAAGCTTCAAGCCTCAACGCGCCACCTGAGTAGACACCGCAATTTAATCCTCGGCATGAAATAAGGTCTGTGTCATGCGAAACTGAAGTATTTTCGCTTCTGATTTCAAAGTCATATCAGTGCAATTGTCCGCCTGTCCGAAATTGTCGTTGAGTTCAACGATAAATAGAATATACTTTCATTTCAAAGACAATTCGATTATCAGTGATTTCTTTCTGACATGGCATTAGCATCACATTTCTCTTGTTGATGAAAATGGTCAAAGATCTCTACTTTGCTGTTACATTTAGACTGTCGTTGGAAACAGTAAAGTATACAAACCGATTCTGAGTTCTGCCGCTTCGGTCGTCGCTTTTCCTCTCTTGGCACTTCGATCATTGAGTATATGCTGGAGAAAAATCAAAACATTTCGTGAATGCTTAACAGATCGTGTAAAAGGTGCTAAGCAAATTTTACGGGACAGTGATCTCTTCTAGGTTAAGTAGCAAGTAATGAATTGTCTGTCATCTATAGGTTGATGGGTGTGTTAAAATGCTTATTCGAGATCGCAAGACATGACACTTCGTTGGGACATCAGCTACGTGAAGGTTGGATATTTGCCTCTGTTGCTTCTTGGCAGGTTCATATCAATTACAGTACCACCATCACAATTGCGGGAGTCGCCCATCCTTTTTTTATCGTAACCAAAATGATGATTCGTGTGCGAATACTCCGCCACGGTATTTTCCACTGTGCTTGATAGGGAATGTGACGTTAGATCAAGAAGCAGACCGAGTTGCTTATTGCAATGTCTTTGGTGAAATGGTCACAAATTCATGGAAGTGCAATGTTGACGTATCGTGTGCTTTAAGAAAGAGAGGAAATCAATGTTCTATTTATCTCTGATGTCGTACAGTCTGCGACGGTCACTCTAACGAAAAGACTCAGTGCAAGCGAGTCTAGCCAAAAAGTCTCATTGCATCATTTGCCCTAACCAAGATTTGCAAGTGTGCCTGATATGGAACTCATGAAGAGGAAAATTAGAGGGAGTGACCTCTAAGATCTCGCTTAAAGTTTGTATAGGAGTTCTACCTACATTCGACGTATGCAATTTCTTTTGGAGCTTGGCTGGCTATTACGGCAAGTGTGTCCTTCTAAGACTCAGCACCCAGTTGTGGCATGAGGCTATCGCCACAAGCACATAAAAGTGAGCTTCCAAAAGACAATTGGCTACAAGGAGGAAGGCTCACTATATTTAATACGTGTCATCAGACTATCATGCAGTCGCCAATTGATCATATCCTTGGGGGTGATTTGCAAAGATTAATGTCGCTGCTCGTTGCGTTACTGATACCAAAAAAAGAACCAAGTGCCACGGGCGAAAACCTTCTGCTGCTGACACGGCAGATATATTGGTCCCAGTTAGTAACACAGATTATCTAGGAAAGATGCGGATGTTCATGTTAGTTCCTGCGGGCTGACATTGAAACGGAGGGGTCAGTCTTCTTCTGAGAACTCAAGGAGCTGGGAGTTGTATGTGATTCCAACCTGTCCAAGTAGTATTGAGACGATATTCTTCTGCTCGCAGCTTTGAAAGTTCTTCGAACAGCTGATGGTTCTTAGTCGATTATTTACTTACGTATCGATATTAAAAACTTCAAACTTGGATGTTGAAGATGCTCATCAAGCCTTGGCTGCGAGTCTGGAATTGAATGGAGTCGACTAACTGGCAAAGAGACGCTGGAGTAATCACTAATTGGAAGTCTACTTTGGAGACATTTCTCAAGTCGATTGTTACTGATTTCTGTGTCAACAAACTTGGTCCCATCACAATTTATCAGACTCTCTTTCCGATAAAAATCGGTATTCTTCAACAACAGAATTCTGCATAAAGGAAGTGTGAACCCTTTATAAACAATCCAGAAAACTAAATTCTGACATTCTACAGTTTTCTACACTTTGTCAATCATTCTAGCTCTCTTGCTAAAGAAATCATCAAGGGATGATCAAGTTTCCAAAGCGGTTCACTCAATAGCTTTACAATCCTCTCCCGTACAACGATGAAATGCAGTCCAGTCAGTGTGTCAATAGCCTTTTCCAAATAAACCTCTTTCTATCCAACCCTGCATCGAAACCATTATTGCTGCATCACCTCCAGTAAATTCCCATCAGGATCAGCAATAATCAACACCCCATCAAAGCCCAGCATTTGAAGCCCAGGACTCGCCTCTTGAAAAGCATCTTTATCAGGAAACCCGAAAGCAGCAGGAATAACCGATTCGGCATGCGCTGCATCACCCACTCTTTTGACAATCGTAACGCCTTTTGCTTCCATTCGAGCTTGCGCGGCCAGGATATTAGGGACGACGAGCCCCAGATGTGAAAAGGATGAGTGAGGACGTGTTTGGGTTGGCGGAGGTGTAGCACCCTGGGTTATTCAAGTTAGTCTATACCACATTCATAGCTTTTTAAAAGCTGGTGGTGAGGCACAAACTTCGTAGCTGAGAAATTCTAATAAGCCCTCTCTATTCCTCATTTCCATTTCAATCGTCGCCGCATCTTGAAACCCAGTCCCGTTCTTTCCGCCCTGCGCGTGACCCAAGAACATGAAAGACCATTGCGGGTTCAATCGGAAGGTGAAGACGTGTCGCATTCCAAGCACGTCGCCGTAGAATTTGCGTGTGTTGGTAAGATTGCTGACGAGAATGGCGTGGTGATTTAGTGTGTATCCGAGGGTTTCTGAATCCGCCGGTCCATCGGTGCCGGGGATGATTTCTGGGAAGCTCGGGGTTGACATCTGGGAACTCTCTCGTTTGTACCGAGAGTGTTCGATATTCAAACCGACAGTCAAGCTAAAAGCATAGCAGAAAAGAACAGTGGTATACCCCCAATACATGCTCAACATCTCAATGACCGATGTGAGGTTCCAACAGCGAAAGATCTGACAAGGTTGAAGAGAGAATACGCAATTATGAGTGGATATTTAGGTACTTAGCTGTCAGCTGTTTGAGACGAGGAGAGGAGGAGCCATTTATATACAGACTCAGCACATGATTTGAAATTATAAAATCTTAGCGCACGATTTGGAATTTATAAAAGCCTGAGCAGTGCTTACAAGTAGTCGTCAGCTATGACAGACTTGATACCCTGTGCGGAGATAAGATGCAACCTCCGGAGTGAGATGAGCATTTGCCAATCTTGTCTTACAGCTGGCTTACGTCTCCGCTTTCCGAACAACTCTTTCCCGCCACTTTGCAAATTATTGCGTAGCTCATAATGCGCCTCGGTCGTCTAACTAAGATCATTGTTTGTTGTACGGAGAGAATGTGATGGGTATTATGTTTCTTGTAACTAGCATCTCCTACATCATATGTAAAAGTAGTAATGTTTGACAGTAATCACAGAATTACGTAGATCTCAGACTTGAAAACCTTGAAATTGTTTAAGTAGAAAGATGAGTGAACCGGTTGCTAATGAATTTAGCACATTAACATGTAGCTACACAGTACCAAAGAATATATAACAGCTCAATCAATTGATATTCTTATGGAGGGGAAGGTTATTCTAGCCTTCGTTAAAGACCTGAGATTCAGGGTGCGATCTATGAAATGGAAAACCAATTCAAATCCGGTGAAAGGGATATGTTGTTCAAACAATCGGTATATTAAGTGAGTTAGCGACGGCGGGCTGATATAAATTTATACGAGCTTGTACGAGTCTAAGCGAGGCCTTTTAGTCACTTAATACTAACAGTTCGAAAATTCCGATGAGACGGGCGGGCACCTGGCAAAGCTCTATATTTTGCGGCCACCAGATCCTCACCAGAATTTATAGTCTGTATGTTAGTCTCTATGTTCTAAAAAGATAGATAAGAGTAAAGCTAGAGATAAGCTTAAATTCTACACATTTATCGGATGATAATAATGCAATTCCTTCTCCTCCAACAAGTTGAATCAATCATCAAGCCATCGTTACAGACTCATCCCGTGTAGTGCGAACTCGGACCCTCAGCACAGGGAATCAAAGAAAAAAACACATTCTTCCATAAATATCCTTACTCATCACTAAAAAGCATCAACAACACTATTCAAACCAACCCCCTCACCACCACCGTCCCATTCCCCCTCCCAGCAGCAGCCTCATACAACGCCCCAATATCCCTCTTCCACTGCTCAACATCACACCTCAAGACCCTCCGATCATAACTCAACAACCCGTTAACCTCGCCTTCCACATCCGTCGTCTGCGTCCACACGCCCCCACTGCAAGCAAACAGTGCCGTCTGATCCCTTAACTCTCCTAGAAGAATGTGCGCTCTGTAGTTCCACGCTTCGAGTGACGTATCGATTTCATAAGTTTGGTTGATAGTGTTGATAGCGTCTTGGACGTTCCAGAGGTTGGCGATGGAGAGATTGTGGCCGATGCCGCCGAATTCGCCTTGAAAGCCGATGCGGGTTGGGTCGTAGGGGGAGGACTGGATGGAGTAGAAGGGGGAGCCGCATTGGGGGTTTGCGTAGTGGTGGTTGTCCTGAGTATGTTAATAGATGGGGGGTTGGCGAGAGGGAAAGGCTTACGCTGAAGTCACCGGCGCCGTGGTCATACCAACCTGATGTACTGTCGATGAGACGGGTTGGGTCGAGTTGTCGCACTCGATCTGTTAGCCCAAACTCGGGATAAGTAGTGGTCACTTGGCCCCAGCCTTCATTATAAATGACCTATCGAGCGAATCGTCAGTGTAAAAGCGAAACCACGGTCACTCAATTATGCTTACCCATGTTACAATGCTCGGATAGCTTTTGTGTTGGTTTACGAGAACCTCCAGCTGTCGATCGAATTCGACTTGTTGTTCTACATTCGGTAAATAGGGAATATTCTCACAGTTTGGACCAGTGTAGCTTTGTAGTGGCCGAAGAGAAGGCATGTCTTGGATGATCATGATACCCATTTGGTCACATGCTTGGTAGAAAAGAGCGTTCTCGACTTTGATCTGTCAGCCAATATTAGCTTACCCTCTCTATCAAAAGCCTTGCTTTACTTACATGTTTGCGAAGCATGTTAAACCCCAGATTCTTCAGAGTTTCGATATCATACACCATAGCCTCTCGGTTCGGCGGAGTATACAATCCGTCGGGCCAGTATCCTTGGTCAAGAGTGCCAAAGATGAAGATGAATTTGCCATTCAGAAGAGGCCTTTCTACCCCACCTACCATACCTCGAGAAATCGTTCGGAATCCAGTGTAGCTTGACACTGTCTCTGCGCCAAGCGTCACAGAGATGTTGTAAAGGGTAGGTGAGTCTGGAGACCATAGCTTTGGCGAGGGAACAGTGCATTGAAATTCTCGACCGGCAGTACCCTGGCAGGTTGCAATCACATTGGTTGTGCCACTATCATGCACTTCAACCTTTACTGGGGTTCTCTCAGCAATACCCGAGTCTGTAATTGCGCTGTGTGCTGTGACATTTACTAGTCGAAGTCAGCTTTTCCCACGACACGACTATGTGATTGGGAATGATTTACATTGACCATGCATGTCTGCAGCGAGGTCCAATTGAGTAATGTAATTCGCTGGCGCGGCTTCAATCCACACACTTTGCCAAATCCCACTACATGGCCTGTAAAAGATATGGGATGGACGTAGTGTTTGCTTCCCAATGGGAATCACATAATCTCCGCTGTCGGTAGGATCGTGGACAAAAACAAGCCTTCGAGAAATTAGTAGACGCAAACCATTCTTGGTTGCGTTGTAGCTCACAATTCATTATTTCCATTTGCTGAGAGATGGTCTGTCACGTCGATCGTGAATTGAAAATACCCTCCTCGGTTGAATCCTACTTGTTGGCCGTTGACGAAAACTGTTGCTTCATAATCAACGGCACCAAAGTTTAGAAGCACTCGCTCGCCTGTCCAGTTTGATGGAACGGTGAAGGAAGTCGAAAACCAGGAGTAGATGGTATCAACACCTTGGATTCCTGAAACTTGTCAGAGAGCTTACTTGAACTGAACCGGATTGTAACATACCGGAAAGTCCAGACTCCAGACACGACGGGATTAATACTTCATTTTCCAGCGGTTGATTGACTGGTGGGCTATTAATTGCATCCAACCCAGACGCATTTTGGTATGTCCATATTCCGTTCAAGTTCTTCCACTGAGATCGTTGTAACTGGGGTCTAGGATACTCTGGCCAGGGATTCGTACCAGCTTTATATGTCCAAGGTGTATCTAGTGGTGGTTTCTTGACTGCGTATCCTGTCGTGTTTCCGTTTTGCCGATTTACAATAGCAAGATTTGAACTTCCCTTGATGTCACTCTTCGGGCTATTGCTAACAAAAGCCAATGAGACTGGAATTAGACATAATGCTACATAGTGTAACTTCATTCTTCTGGCAGTGATTGGAGAGTCACTGGTCCCAAATAAGCGAAATGCGAAATAATGTTCAAGAAAAAAGAATATCCTAAACGTTTGGATAAAAGTGATAAGAAGTTGTAGTGTTGAATTCAGTCACCACTATTACCAGACGACTATTCTCTCTTGATTAATATACCAAGTTGCGCGACCCCGCATTGATGCAACGTTGACACCCGACTTTAGTCTGCTGCATTGTAGATCAGTCGAAGCAGCTACGACGGACATGACTGCATCTCGAGCAAGTATTTCATCGACTGACCTAACGGCGATGAATAACAGAAGGCACGAACATGGGTTTTTGACATTCAACCGGCTTCCCCACTCGGGCATAGTTGTTGGTTGCCAAGAACCTTGTTCGAATTCCCCGCTCCAGAGGGACAATCAAAAGAGGAATATGAAAGAAAGCCCGAGCATGGCATGGAAAACAGGTTGCTGACATGCTGCAGCAGCGTCTCTTGTGTGGGCAGCGTGAATATGAGGTAAACTTATACCGCCGGAAGATAAAAGGAATAGGGAAGGTACGCATGCACATCCGCCTTGATGTATAGAGATCGAAGCGTTGAATCTCCGAGAGGATTGTTTATCAACCATGCACCCCAGAAAGTACTGGCGAGATACACGAAGAAAACAAGTGTCTCCAGAGCTTAGATCAAGAAGCAGAGGCGCATCGCGAGTTTTAATAGAGCGACAAAGTAGAAGCTTTCGCCGGCTTCAAATAACGTAATAAGAGAAACTTAGGTCGCAGTCGGGATTGCCTTTGCTTTTTGAGGAGTACAAATTCATTATGCCAATGATTTGTCTACCGTCTTAGCAATCATGACATGTTGGTCCGTAGATATACTTGAAGTTGTTTGAGGTTGGAAAAGCCACGATGTTGATGTTGTTTGCGAACTGTTCAGGAGATAGGACTCCGAAGTTGATGTCGGAGATAAGGCAAAGCGGCAGAATATCGGCTCCGGGGTGATATCGGACCTAAACTCGGGCTTGCTCTTTCGCCTCGATCAGCAACTCCTGGCAAGGCTTCCAGTTTGCTTTGGGGGTGAATGGCACGCCTTCCCCCGTCAAAAACGCTCATAAGGCCGACGGCCTTGCTTTGTATTCAACATGATTGTGTCTTCCACATGGCCATTCGCGACCCTTATCACCCTCCCCAACTCCATAACTCTATCTCCATTTCGACACCGGTATCAGACTTTACTCCGACGTCAAGCTCACCGATGATCCATTGCGGACTAGAGACAATCGCATATTCAGCCCGCCAGAGTCACAACGCAGGGTGCGCTTCTGGACCAATTGATTTTCCTGTCTCTCATGCGGATGCACAGCCATTGCGTCTGCTTGGGTCACACCCACTCAGATCTCGACCTATCTTGAAGTGGCTGCAACCGAAGCGAGCAGCGTAGCCGTCAATCACACTTCCGGTTCGCTCACAGCCTTGCCATACAACCACGAACCTAAGCATTCTCGAAACTTAACTTGGAGCCTTGTTCAACCCTCGTAAATCCAACTCACCTTGAGTTCCATGTACACGCCTGATAGCGACTCCGTAGCAGCTCAACACCAAGGGGTATCTCTGTTTGCGGCTCGTACGACAGTATATTGAAGCATCTTTGAGACGATCAAAGGCTTGAACCAGGCTAGATAGAGACCGTCCTGGCTCGTGTGAATTACGATGTTGGCCACGATGGTCACACCTCGGAACATACGATACTCACTCGAAAGATGGAAGACGGCTAGCATTGGGAAATATTCGAAGCCAGAATATAAGCGCAAGACTAGCTCAACCGCAAGTAGCACGGGAGAGCCACTGAGTATGAGCGACGGTATAGATTGCACTTACCTGGGACCCCAAACCGTACCATCAGGTTACAATCCTCAGGACGTTGAGATAACACAGTCTGGAGATTCTACTTCCACACAGTCAAACAGTGAGCCGGGAATCACCAACGGAGAGACTGAAAATACAAATACGCCCACTATCCTTCACAATGAGCCCGACACAATGGAGCCAGCCATCATTAGTGGTCCCCCAGCCATTCTCGCTGGCCCTCCAGATGATGGAATGAGCATTTGTTCACTAACAACCTGGGATACAACAACTTCTTGGGCAGATGCAATGTTTCGAACCATAAGTGAGGCGCAGGATCTGTCAAACATATCCGACGAAACTATTCCTCAGTGGAAGGAATCAGTTTTTAGCCAAGGCCAGTGGCTGATTGATCCAGAACCACCTGAAGCCGACAGCGACCTGGGATCTCTAGCTGTACTGGAGAGAGCACAAGCAGAAATCGAGCAAGCTGCCGCTCACAAAATGGCTTGTAGTGTATGTTGGGAGTTGAAGGACCCTTCTGAGTTTCCTCCGCATCCACCATCATCGTCTTGTCATCACTGTATTGCTGAGTGCTGCACAAGTTGTCTCACATTTTCAATCGACAACTCTTTACAAACAAGATACTGGAATGATATCAGATGCCCAAGTTGTGACGAACATATAGGTTATGAGGGGATGAAGGAATTTGCGTCTCCGGAGGCATTTATGGAGTGAGTACCATGACCCTTGATTTAATCACTTTACTAATAGCATCCTAGATACGACAAGCGCGCACTCACTCATTACCTATCATCTGTTCCCAATTTCCGCTACTGTACCTCTCCAACCTGTAATTTTGGTCAAATCCATGTTGCAACAAAATTGGGGTCAGATACTCTTCCTCCTAGGATAGCTTGCAGCATGTGTTCAGTCATCTCCTGCTCTCGACACAATGTTCCGTGGCACGAAGGTGAGACCTGCGAGGAGTTCGACGCTAGACTAGCAATCCAGAATAAGGAGCAAGACAAAGGAAGCAAGAAAGAAGTGAAAAGAATCACCAAGGCGTGTCCAAAAAAGAACTGCGGGTTGAGAATTGATAAGAACGGAGGATGCCAGCATATGACTTGTAGGTCCAGGACAGTATGCTTAAGTTTAGTTTATTGACGAGTTGTAGGCCTCTGTGGACACGAATTCTGCTGGGACTGCCTAAAGGACTACCCAGGTCATACATGGATATGTCCATCACGGCGACCGCGTCGATGTGTTCGTTACGTGGGTAATGCGTTTTTGAGAATGCGCCCTGGAAGGCAAAGGCAAAGGCGGAACACTCGCAGGAATCGCAGACATCGCAGAAATGATGACACGGATGATGATTAATTAATGATAATAGTGGGTAAGATCTATCATTTTTGGGGAGATAATGATTTTACTGTGCATTGATTGCGGTCGCACTAATAAACTACAGATCTGTGTAGTGGATTGATGAAGATCGTTTCATGTTTCTCAGATATTTTGTTCACTAGTTATGGCATATCTTACCTTGAATATTAGGGTCTCCTGTGGTTAGGGTTCGGAATCTCTGTGGCACGGCGGTGCCAAATTACTCTGTGTAACACGAGGATGAAGAGCAGTATGTCTCCAAGTATCCACACGGCCTCGAGAATAATTTTATAGCATTTTACATACTCATACCCTTTTGGTTCGACATCCGCGTTGTGATTTTCAACTAACATATTGTGATGATGGATGAAAATAATGATGTCGGACACCCGGCCCGAACGTCGGTCCCAGAGCTCGAGGAGCTTGGGCCACATTTACGACCAGACAGCTTCGTCGCCGATGTTTCTTCTCTACATTTAATTGTCAACGCTAAAATCAAGTTCGATCATTTCAAGGGATAAATAAGTAATCTGGGAGATATTTCCTCTTGTTTCTCAGATGAAGCACTTCTTATTGTTCATCGCTCAATAAGATCCCACAATTAGATCCTAATGATTCAGTAATTGCTACCAATCAAACATCCCCTCTCGAATCCAAATCATTCCTTCAAAACAACAAATATGCCTGACCCTCCCAGAGACGTCCTCCACTACCCATCCATCCACCGAACCTTTCTCGAACCTCATCTCCCACCCAAAACTCCTTCGACAGCATCACCCTACCCCTTCACAACCCTCACATTCGCAACCTCCCTCGACTCCCAACTCGCCCTCTCCCCCGGCGCACCCACGGCCCTCTCCGGCCCCGAATCAAAAGCAATGACACACTACCTCCGCTCCCGCCACGACGCAATCCTCATCGGCGTCGGCACTGCCGTGGCAGATAACCCGAGCTTGAACTGTCGTATTGAGGGTGTGGGCGGATATGGAGGGGAGGGACTAGAGGGTCAGCCTAGACCGATTGTGCTGGATCCGAGGGCGAGATGGGAGGTTAATGGTGAGACTAAGGTGTTGAAACTCGCGAGGGAGGGAAGGGGGAAAGCGCCTTTTATTATTACTACGAAGGGTGCGGAGGTGGGTGGGAAACGAGAGGTGTTGGAGGGGTGTGGAGGGAAGTTTATTGAGATTGATACGGGTGGGGAGAGGAAATTAGGGTGGAGGGATATATTGAGGGCACTGAAGGAGGAAGGGCTGAATAGTGTGATGATCGAGGGTGGTGCGGGGGTAATTAATGAGTTGATGTCGCCTGAGAATGCGGAGCTGGTCTCGTTTGTGATTGTGACGATTGCTCCGACGTGGCTTGGTAAGGGTGGTGTGGTTGTGTTGCCAGATAGACGGAACGATAGCTGTGGAAAGCCAATCGCGGCTGCTAGGCTGGATGGTGTGAAGTGGTATCCGCTTGGAGAGGATGTGGTGCTGTGCGGCAAGATGAAGCTGGATGGTTAAGCGACTTGATATTACTGAAGCGTCGGAATCTTGAAATCCACGAAAGCTTCGATTGTACTGTCTGTTGACGAAAAATAATTGCAATTGGCTGCTACACGCATTTGGTCGACTATCAAGCTCATTGCCCACTCTTGGGCAAATTCCGACTACGAAAGCCGCATTATCGGCAACTCAGGCCGCCTTACGGATTTATCTTCCATCGACATCGGAAAAATAAATCTCATTCGGTTTTCAGGTGTTGCCTTGGGAAATTTCCGGACATGTTCCAGAAACGACGTCCATTACCAATCAAATGCTAAGATTTCTCATTAAATGCTCACCGGCGGCGACATTCTATGGCACTTCTCTGCGAGTGGAACTACTCCGCTCTTTTAGTAATTAGATTCTGAGGAACACCATGCCGCGTATCGATCCAGTTCGAAATATGGATTGCATACATATATGAGAGATACCCGCTCTAGCACGGCCTTCGAGATTTTGGCTGACCTTTCTTTCTAAAAACCCTCGAACCTCAACATTCCTCTGTGTTCCCCAGGTTCCTACAGGGGCAACAATTCAACATGGCGCCCAAAAAGCAGATTCAGCTAAACTTCTTCGACATGGCTTGTAACGGAAGTCATATGGGTATTGGGATGTGGAAGTGAGCGCGTGACTCCAGCACTGCAGCATCATCACTTACAAGAATTGCAGAGATCCAAAGGATAGTTCAAGGGAGAAGGACAGACTCGAGTACTATACTTGGCTTGCGAAGCTGGCTGAGAAGGGAAAGATTTTCTGCATTTTCTTCGCAGACGCTTACGCCGGTATGAAGAATCAAAACATATCTGATACGCGTATTAAAGTATTTTAGGGGCGGGTAACTTTGAGGGACACGAAGCCGCGTTCTTTCGTGGAGGCTCAATGGTTGGTCAGATGGATCCTACGATTTTTATTTCCGCGATGGCGGCAGTGTCAAATTCTGTTGGGTTTGGAATTACTGGTAGCACTTCATATCTGACCGTGAGTATTTTTAATGTTTGGTCTCGAGGTAGATGCTAAAACTACACAGCCGTTTATAATGGGAAGAACGTGGTCAACACTAGATCATGTCACTCAAGGTCGCATTGGGTGGAATATCGTCACAAGCTATACAGACTCAGCAGCTCAAGCTTGTGGCAAGTCGTCAATTACACCCCATAATCAGAGATACGAAGAGGCGTCGGAATTCATGGATCTTGTTTACACTCTCTGGCAAGGCTCGTGGGAAGATGATGCCAAGATCTGGTCTGTAGAGAAAGGAGCCTACGATCCGGAGAAGATCCATAAAATCACATTCAATGGCAAATACCACAAGACCTTTGCTCATGCTGCGACGCATCCATCACCGCAGCGAGTGCCGTTATTGTTTCAGGCGGGACAATCGTCGAGTGGAAAAGCGTTTGCCGGCAAGCACGCAGAAGCAGTCTTTTGCGGTGGAGCTGTACCGTCGGACACTGCACCATACGTGAAGAGTATACGCGAGATTGCTGCATCAAACGGCCGCAACCCCGACGATATCAAAGTCTTTCCCCAAATGACGCCAATTCTAGGACGAACCCTTGAAGAAGCTCAGGCGAAAAAGGAGCACTGGAGATCACTTGCTGATTGGCGAGGCGGCATGGCCAAACTCAGCAGCTTTATTAATATCGACCTATTCACCTATCCATTGGACGAACCGTTTAAGTTCTCGGGCGCAAAGAGCGATAACGCTATCCATGCGATTATCAATACACTGCAGAGATATGACAATGATCCTATTCCGATGACTCCGCGGCGTCTGGGTGCCACAATGGCATTTTGCGGTTTTGCTGCTATGCCCGTTGGAACGCCTGAGATGGTTGCGGATGTAATGGAGGACTGGGTTAATAACGCTGATATTGATGGGTTTAATGTCACTTGTAGGTGTCCCCCTTCTATTATCTCCTCATTTTCTAACTACTTGATTTCTAGACGTTTCAAACCCCCAATCTTTCGAAGATGTCGTCGAACTCCTTGTCCCAGTCCTCCAAGAACGAGGTCTTATGTGGGAAGATTATACCGTTCCTGGTGGTACGCTACGTGAGAACATGTATGGTGTTCCGGGCCAGAAAACTCCGTTGGATACGCATCCGTCGAGCAGGTTTAGGTATGGCGAGTTATTGGAGACCAATGGGGATGGGAAGGGCGGGATCGTTATTGACCGTATCAACGAGAAGGTGGAGGCGGAGGTGGTGGATGAGAAGATTGTCAGGTTGGAGACGAAGGTTGTTGAATTGAACGTCTAGGGTAGTAATTCTCTTGTGGTTTGAGGAAGCTTGAGAGATGTCTCCATGATAAATCATGTCGAGAATTCTAGGTTACAATGAAGACGTCAGAGAAAGGGAGATTGCAGTTCTACGTTTCTCGTTGTAACGGTCGTTGAAAATGGCAAGTTTTATCTTCATGTCTATCATTTATGGGCTCCATAGGTATCGCGAAAGAATTTACTATCCCCCCCTGATCAAAGGAAAACAACCCGACGAGCCACTGCAGCAGTGGCGCGGGCGCTCAGCCCCTGTCCTCCTGCTGTCGTGCAGCTGATCATCTTCAGCCGCAAAATCTACTCCACCTATAAACTGCAACCACCTCAAGTACCTCCGTACCACACCTCTCTCCCACTCCCTCACTCATAATCGCCCACCATGGACGCCTCAACAATAACCGCCATTGCCGCCCTCATCGTCGCCATAATCGCCTTCCTCGTCGCCTGCGCTCAAGCAACGCAGCAATATTTCATCACCGGCCAGAATATCCGGCTCTGTGACAGTGTTGTTTTCGCTGATATGCCCGGTCAGGGCCGGCGGATTTGGGAGACGCGACAGTGGCGGTTTAGGGTCGTATATCAAATTCCTGTTATCTCGTTGCCTAGTTCGTTTTGGCCAAGGACGTCGAGCGTGAGGTTTGCGGAGAGGAGGTGGGGGTTGCCTGATTTGAGTGGGAGGGGGGTGGCCGGTGAGTTCGGAGGGATTGGAGATGCGAATGGCTTTGAGGTTGTTGGCGGGGCTAAGATGGGTGGAGGAGGGGTGGAAATCAGACAGCCGTTTATTGCGGAGAGTGAGGAGGAATTTTCTGGTGATGATGAAGGACCGAAATCGAAAGCGGTTGGACCGAGGACTGGTGAAGCTGCTTGGGTATCGTATGTTTCATTCCATTAAAAGCGGTTTTACTAGATTCAATTTCTCGTCGCAAAACTTACTCTGGGTACTGACTTGGAGTTTTACTGACTTGGAGTTTTACAAAGATTTTGTAGAGCCATCCATTATTCGTGTTGGCAGGACGTTCGTTATGATCTCGTCGAGAGAGATGTAGATCGATGTCCATCTGATCTCCCTTCTGTTCCCATGCCGCTTTCCATGAGAGATGTGGTTGTAATGGCACTTGCCACTGGGATGAATTGCACCGACGCTTCCTTTGCTGGAAGAACAATTTCTATGCAAGGCGCCGCTGGAATCTTGACCACCTCTCAGCACCCAGTTCTTGGTCCCCTCATTCACTTCACCCCAGGCGATACCCGCCTGTTACATGGCATTGTCAGTTCCGGTATAATCCCACTTCATTGGCTGTACAGGACCTGGGACGCTTGTCCTGTTTCCAATCGCCATTTCACCTTGTCGCAGAGACGACATGTAGAAAAGACTGCGGGTATTTGGATTCATAGAATCCGCTCCTCTACGGCAACCACGAGGAATTCTTTGGCTGCGCAAACGCCTGGTACGAAGAAGGAGAATCGTAATAAAAGTGGGGAGAGAAAAAAGATTGTGGTAGATGATAAGTTGGACGATCCTCCGTCGGCAGGAATATTCATTCAACCTCCATTGTCGCAACGGGGCGGTTTTCACGATGGTCGGTGGTCTTTAAGAGTGCATGATCCTCGCAGTCAAATGACAATTATTTCTCCGCCCGCATCGAAACGTCCAACCCGCTCGCGAGCCAGAAAGTCCCGTCGTGAAAGTAGTCACGGGGCTACTGGATTTTACGAGAACGTTCTTCCAGAGCCGAAACTTCCTGAAGAAGATCCCCGGCCACAACCAACTAAAAAGCCATACCAGGCAACGGTAGAAGATATGGACCCAGATGAGTCTGAACCGCAACAGCAAGATTCGTCCTCAAAACACAAAAGTAGAAGTCATAATATGACTGTTACTAGTTCACACGGGGGGATACACAGCCGTATAAAACCAATCGGGAAAATGGCTGACCCCCAAGAAACCTTGCGTCGAGAGATAGTTCAAAAACAAATGGAACGTAACGCCAAAGCCGCTAAGGTTGCAGATGATGAGGTTATGGTCGACGAGATTAATCAATCAGGAAGAACAACAAAGGCTGAATCAGAAAGACTGCTGCTTGAGTGGGGAGTTAAACAGACAAAGCCACTCACGGAAGAGGAGCTCAAAGCTATTGAAAGAGAGAAGGAAAGACAAAAGCAACGAAAAGCCAGAGAACAGCGCGATGAAGAACGTCAGAAGAGAAATGAAGAGAACTATAACGTAGATTATGCCTACGGCCGAGTGAACTGGTTCTGGCTATCGCAAACAGACATCGTTCCCGGATACTGGGCTACGCCATGGCGAAATTTCCAAGCACTTACCCCGGATGTGTGTTCAGGAGCTGAAATCATCATCCTCAACGCGCTTAGCGGATTCACGGATAGCAATAGCTTGCGTTATGTCGACCACTGGAAAGGTCTCGACGAGCCAGCTATGAACTGGGTGCTACACGGCCGTCCTACATTCCCTGGCTACGCACTCAACGCTCGCGGAGGAGTCGTCTGTAGTGGCGATTACCCAGCCGTCAAGGTCGATGTCTTCAAAGACATGATTCCAGCACTCGAACTCTATAAATCGTACGACTACCAAATCCGTCGGGATCGCCGCATGACAACTCGTTCCTGCCAGAAAGAACTCCTCGAGCTCATGCGTCTTGACGCTTGGCTCTCCCTCTGCGGCAGGACAGACGAAATCCAACATGGGCGAAATGATCTGATCAAGCAAACGCCCGCCATGGTGCAGCTCGTGCTCGGGGAGTTTGAGTACGATTTTATGCAGTTGGATCGCAGTGATCATGAGGGTGGCATGCAGGTTAATCAGGCGCTGGCGGCTAATGTGATGGATTTCTTGCTGGATGAGGAGTTGTCGGGCGCGGAACAGTTGTATGTGCTTGTGGCGCTTTTGAGGACGGTTAAGGTTGGGTTGGGGGTTGTGGAGGGCCCCGATACGGGGTTGTTGGAGGGGATTTTGAGGGAGGATATTCAGGTGCATATGGTTTAGGGAATAGGATGATAGTCAAACGAGAGCTGGATCAGCTGAACGAAAAGAAGTTAGGAAGGTGCTAACAGAAACTTGTTGAAGCCGTTCAATTCTCTACTGTAAATAGTACCCTTCCACTTCAAGAGGACCAGAGTCAAATGTTGACTACTGTCAATAATGAAGCTAAGGTTCGGCGGCCAACCGAATCTTTAACTCTAGGAAAGGGAGTGAGGAGGTTCATGAGCTATGAAGAGCTCGAGGAGGTGCAAGCGAAACGTGTGAAAAAGGAGCGCACGGACTTAATGCAAGGCGAAAGAAAAGCGATCGAGAATGGAAGGTAGTTGTGCTATGTAGCAGTGCCCGACTCGAGTTGCTCGAATAAAAAATGAGCTGACATCAATGAGGGTGTCAATGGCACAGATGACCAAAGCGTCAGTGGTTAATGAGATACTCGAAAAATACAGTGGTCTGGTGCCCCGCATATACTGATAAAGGCTATGGCTTCCACGTGGTATAGAGGTCCTAGTAGTTAGAGCAAATTATATGTGTCTACTTCCCGTATGACTTGGATGGACCTGTTGTTAATGCTTGACTTTCACATTCCCGTAAAACTGCTCGAAGCCTAACTATTAAACCGTCAGCCGCAAGCCCTACGTTCCTGATTCCTTTACTCTTGTTCGATAATACTTCAGTGTTTCGATAGACTTCCATAGTTGCGATAGCATCTACTCTCCTCGAATTTGGATCCTTTTTAATTCAAGCCATAACACCCCCATAGTCGAGCCAACAAACACAACCAAAACAGCTGAATACGTCGCGGTCGCAACCAAAGTCTCGACATTCGAGCTTTTAACCCCAACGAGAGCCCCACCGCAAACAGAATCGTACATACTGACGCCGTGATCAAATTCTTGGTTAACGAGGGTCGGATGCTCATTACGCACATAGGACCTATGAGGAATGCGCCCGCAAAGAGCGCGATAGACAGGCGAACCAAATTGCCTACAAAGTCAGAGATCTCGTGCGGAGTTTGACCTTCATCGAACTCTTTGCTCCGAAATTTTCGTTCTTCAATCGAGTAACTGAGTCGCGCTGGTAGCCAGTGTCGAAGCTTGTCACGTAACACATCTGGCTTGCTGCCGACACCGTTATGAAGGAGAGAGTAGTAGTGTGACTCGAAAGGTCGAGTGGCTCTGAAAGAGGTCGTCATCGATGGAAAATGCTGCTTTGAGGCGCTGTTTGCGTATTGCAAGTTTTTGGGCATCAAGTCGTTGGCTGTTGTGAACAAAGTTGTAGTTTCGGACGGCAGTGACTGTTCTTGTCAGTTTCATTTTTTGGAGGCGTTCGTTTTTTCCTTTTTGCTATTGGGTAGTCAACATACTATAATCTGCAAGCAATGTCTTGAGCTTTTCTTTCTCTGTTCCAACACTCCTGTTTATACAAATGGTTTCTCGTGCTCTTATAATGTCATTCTGTATCTGTACAATATTAAATCGATGTAGGAACTCGAACCCAAGGAAATGAAACGTCTCCTCTTCCTCTATAGAATTATTTACGTAGTTGAATAAATCGGCGTCATTCTGAAACTGGTATGAATTTGAGTTTGGGTATTCCTTCGGATTCATCTTGATTTCTCGCATGAATTAGAAATTTTAGTCCCGCGTTTAAGAGAATAAAATTGTTGTCAACATCCTTTTCGGTTCATTGTAGCTTGCCCAGGTGTGATGGAGGGAAACAGCCTCATGCACGGCGTTGTGGCAGTGCAGGGCTATCTGTGGCATCTTGCTCTTATCTACGAATCACAACTGAAGTCAGGCCTGGAAGACGAAGAAGGCTCAGCTCACAACAGGTTTCTATCGCCTAAGCTTCCTGAAACAAATTTATTGTGTTGTTACAAGAGCGAAGCTGTGTCTTCTGCCTTCTGCAACACATTTCGTTCCCTTGGAAATAAATATCTTCGTTTCTGAAGATGCGAGAGCATGAAGATACCCACCTCACCAACGAATCCAAGAACCTGTTGGCCTTAGTATGTCTCCCAAACTCTCCAAGGCCAGCATCACCAACCCCATACAACCACACACTTCCATTTAACAAAGATTATACGATATGGCATGAACAAGCATGCCGGCCCTTTCTCTTAGACCTCATTCGTAATCGGACCCTTTCAGAAGTGAAATCTCTAGCTGCCTTGCCTGACATTCTGGAGGATGAGGTACACAAAGAGTTGCTTCGGCGCCCACAGGAACTACTGGCTTCGTTGGATCTCTTGAACGATGAGGATCTTGAAATCATAGGGCGGTCCTCAACGAGCTCGTCGTCTTCTACGAATTCTCAGTCATCACAAGTTTCCGACTCGGACCTAAACGACGTGCAACAAAGCATTGAAATTATGCTCCAAGATCTTAATCAAAGCTACGAGGATTTTCTGGTTGTAGAGAAAGGAAGAGTTCTATACAGATTCGAGGGCCAGTCGAAGATTGTGGAATTGAAAATCCCAGTCGCGAAAGAGTTATACACAGAGTTCCGGGAACTCACGAAGTTGCTTATCGATGCTCAACAAGATACAGTAGAACTGGGATTTCGTATGTCGATCTCGAAATTCGTGTACAGCGGCTGCTGAATGAATTTGCTTTTATTGAAATATGCTAACTTATTAGGTAGCCGATTTAGGGCTTATGTTGAATCAGTACGATAAAGAATTTAAAGAGAAAGTCTCAAGCTTTCTCCGAGCAACCAGAAGATCCTCACGAGATTCTCCCTGGAAATCCTTACTGTCCTCGAAAGGAAATAGAGCCTGGCGTAGGGAATATCCAGCACAAATCGATTTTATGAGAAAGACTCAAAAAAACATCAGTAACGCTTTGGACCTTGGTGAAAGTGTTCGTAATCTGTTCTTCGAATCGGCATTTAAATTCATGGAAGTTATTGTTCAAAAGCTTGCAAAGGAGATGGACTTCGAGATTCAAGATCAGTTTCACGGGAACGTCTTGATCAGCAGGATATTTGAAACTCGTTAGAGAGCTCACCTGCGGAGAGGTTACATGTTTGAAGTAGCGGAGAAAGTAGAAAAACAAATGGGTTGAGAGAGGCTTAGGACTTTCTCTTGAATGAGAGATTTTTGTGTCCCTGGAATAGAACAGACTAATCCCAGGGTTCTTATTAGTATTATTGTGATAATACGACGTGATATTTAAGGCTAGTAATATATTTTTTAAATAACCGGTATAGTACGTATTCTAGATATTATATTATTACAGTAGTATACTATACTAATTAGTAGTAATAAGGGCGTTAGGGGGGCGACAGCGAGGTTATACGAGTAAATACGAGTGAATACGAAGCTAAACAAAGCTAAATAGTCACGTGTTAATACTATTAGTATACTTATAGTATACCGGATAAATACTATAGTATAATTATTGTAATATAGTATTTATCGCTAAGCCTTTTAATTAATATATCCCAGTATATCGCAATACTCTAATACTATTAACACCACTGAAGTCTAAAATACCTAAAGATGGAACATGGCCGCGCTGTCTCAACATTCTCCCCCTCAATCTTTGACCTTGACCTCTAACGATCTTCACCCAGTACCTCACCAAGTACGCGAAAGGTCTCTGGCTTTTGATCTGTAGCATGCCCGCCTCAGCCAGCCCCGTCTCTGTGTCTAGCTTACCTGTTTTTAATGTGGCATTCGTACGATTCCGACCAAGTTTTCCTTCCCCCTTGATGGAATTCTTCGCAGCATGCGCAGCCCATGCCGTCTCAATATTCTCAAAGCTCATGGCCTTTCGTTATCCCCCCGAGTATGACTGCGTTTGTTGTTCAGCTTGCTCAGCGGTAATGGCAGTCTTTGGTCGACCGGGATTATTCGACGGAGCTTTGGTTGAGCGGCCGGTGACGGTGTACTGTACGTGCAGAACGCTGGTAGTTGTGTTTCTGTGGCACTGTAGATAGAATAAGTTTTAAATCCTCATTTAAGCAGAATACACTCCGCTTCGGGCATATTGGCGCAATTATTCTTTTGTACTTTAGTTTCTTACTATTTTCTGTGGCCAATACTGGCTTTTCGCTCATCACTAGACACACTTATTTACCCAGCAATTTACTCCTAGTCACTGTAACCTCATGCGCTGAGAGCGCCAGGTTCTGTGCCATGGTGAGCTAGACACGCAGTGGACAAGGATCGTGGATTCAGGGAAATTGTAAATCATGCTGTCAAAAAGGATCTTCTCCAGGTAGCGCCTCCTGTGGATGAGGGCAGCAAGAACTGGCCTTTTCATACCAGAATGTGTCATAACCAGATCCAGATTCAATCAATGTGTCTTTTTCAAGTTCGCCAGGGAATGGAAACGGTCATATTGGCCCGAAGGACTTGGAATGCCAACCTCAATTCACATCGAAAGTACAGGAGCAAGAAACCGTAGACGCTGAATGAATAAACCAATCGTGGATTTCGATCAGCCGGCAATAAATACCGGCTTTTCCAAACGAAGCTGCGTTTGAGCCAGACCTAATAAATAAGCCATTTTCGGATTTCTCAGAACACGGAAACAATTGGACAAATAAAATGTGGGATTTGCCAAGTGAGGACATATGGGGTCCGTATGGAATTTATGATGTGTGATATTATAGTGTCTGCTCTTGCACATAGTTATTTTCAACATTGGACGTTAGACTAATCAGTGACAATCATTTTGTTATTTGAAATAGACTAGGTTGGTCTTGGAAATGTATAAGTAGCTGTCTATTGAACTTGATCTTGACATCAATGATTAGCAAAACATGCAAGTCATCTAGATTTCTAGTGCCAGTTGCGGTTGTCATTTTCTGTGTCAGAATTACAGCATTCAGCATAAGTTATAAATGATTCCTCTGGGTTAGAACAAACAGCGATCGTAATAAGTATTCAGTAGCCATAATATACGCATTAGCAAGCCAAAAAATAGTAATTGCCGCATTAGCAAATGATTTCCGTATAAGATTACAACGCCCAAAAAACTCACACACGTGACATATGCTAGACTTATTTACTTGCCATGGACGCTGCTCATTGAGAGAAACTAAAAACGCTGTTTAGTAATATAAATGTTAATCTGTTCTCTCGCGTTAAGTATGTTGTTGATTATTAATGTTGTTGTTGTTCGCGGTGACGTATGGACAACCGCACGTGGTGGCATGGATGATCAGAAAGATCAACAACCCGATAATAATTCACAAGATTCGCATCGAAGCACGATCGAAGTTTAAATGCCCATCAGGGTCTTTGTGTGGGGATTTAGAATCGCGGATTGCCATATTGGTAAGACAAATTTCTGGGGAAGTAATGATCGGCGAATCGAAAAGTGTTTACGCAGTTGAGCATCATCGATGAAATCATCGTTTTTCTCAGCCCGCTTCGAGTAACTCGACATATAGATGAAATACCCAACCACAACTTCTCTCGAAATAATTATTTACAATCAAAAAGAAAAGAATTAATGCGTTATTCAACCGTTCTTAATTCTTCCACAATCTCAAGAGCATTTACGAAACCTCGAATCGCTTCTATCAAGACCAGAAATATGTCGTCAGGTGTCCCATCGCAAACCGCTCAGGCGCAAAAGTCTCAAGATACAAGTGCACCAGACTTCAAAGAGCTTGGTATCGAGAATACGAATATCAAGACTGATTCTGGTGTCGACTTGTCCGGAAACCAGAAGGTGCTTGTAGGAAGCGTTTTAGATGTAAGCCAGTCCAAATCTGCGCAATGAATCAATTCTGACAGTATGGCTAGCTTTTCGCCGGTAGACCTTCATTAAAGAAACTTCAGCTTTGGAAGGTAAGTTATTCAATTTCTTAATCATGTCTAAAGCTAATTACCCAAGGACGACGCCACATTCGCCGACCCAATTACCAAAGCCGAGGGGCGAAAACAATACGAAGCCCAGTGGTACGGACTACAAACAGCATTCTCCGAAATCGAGCGTCTTTCATATAACGTCGTGTCCGGCGGAAACCCAATCACCATGAACCTCAGCACCAGATATGTCGTTAAGGGTATCAATACCGAGCAGACGATCGATAGTGTGGTGAAGATCCATACTGATGCGGAGGGCAAGCATATTACGATGGTTGAGGATAAGTGGAATGGCAGTATTCCAGAGGGACCGTTTACTAAGGTTAGTCAATTGCGATCCTGTGCATACGGGTATCATGGGTAAGTGCGAAAACAATTGCTAATGATAATTTATAGGTTTTCCGAAACCTCAACTCTGTTGTTGTACCTGCATTCGTTAGCGTTCCAAAGAATGAGGAGGAGGACCGTAAGAAGGGTAACTGAGTGGCAATCTCAGGCACGTGTACCAGTAATTGTTAGCATAGCGTTTTTTCCAGTCTCGATAATGCCGATGACCACAATGAAGGGATGAATCTCATGTTCTTTTGCAAGTACTCATTCTCAGTAGTTTCTTTCGTTCCGCGAAGCACTTACTTGGTTTTAGATTCTCTGTATGCGTTTTTTATCGTTAATTGATTCCAACATTAATGCCCAAAATGCTATTACTTCACGTGTACTTTACAGACGTTTCTTTATCGAGTAATATTCTACGGTCCCTGTCAGATGCCAGCATTGCCTCACAGTTACGCGCATTGAAGTGGATCCCCTGCTTTGATCGACAAGCAATGGAACATGGAGTTTAGGCAGTGTTGCCAGGAGGCGAGCGGCGCAGTAGGGTTAGAGAAGTAAGCTTATCCCTCGTTGCATGGCACAGCCTTGCCGTTGAATAAGCTTTCGATATTCATTTGACTGTCCGGCTGAACGAAAAGAGACTGAGTTGACGCACGCGGCAATATGATCAGACGTCGCGTCGAAAATCGTCCTTAGGGAATAAGGAGGGGGTATGTCTAAAGGTGCCTATGGGGTAGTAGTTATAGATACTTGTCGGGGACGGGCGATAGGGCCAAAATGGCCGGTCCGGTGGACGGGTCGTGACGGACGGAGAAATTCGCGTTGATACAGCGCAATCTCACAAATCTACATCAGTGGTTGTTTTGTACGTACAGGTGGGGGGTTCACGTGATAGAACATCCTACTATCCGAATTTCCATTTCCCAGGAATTTTCTGTCCCTTTTCTTATCTTTCTGTTTTACTCTCTGGATCATTATCCAAGTCAGATTGCAAGAGCTAAACATGTCAAATTTCGACACGAATAGGTGGTACCAGATATATCTCCTAGACAACACAGTCCAATCCCTCGCCGGCACCATTCTATATAACCAAGGCAGAAGTGGTGCAGTATTTATCCAGGACACCAATCTCACCTCGGGCGGACAACAGTGGCAAATCTTCCCATTCAACGAAACTTATCATGTTTTACGAACGAAAGATTCAGGTCCGACGGGATATCTACACGCCTCGTTTTCCGTAGATGAAACAACGCCTGGTCTTACGGTACCCGACATGAGAGATGCGGAAATTCAAGATGATAGCATGTTTTGGCAGATTGACCCTTGGGGCGATGGGACGTTTTTCATGACGAATGCGAATAATGGATCGGATTGGCATCTTAATGTTAAGGATACTGGGTTGATGTCGTTGAGTTCGAATGTTACTCAACCGCAGGGGGGACAGCAGTTTAACTTTGGGAGACTGGATGCCATTGATGATGTCAAATATTCGAGTGTTATCGTAAGTAGAAGAATCACGATTCTCGGGAAGAAAAGTTGGTTGCTAACGAGAATTTAGTTACCTCCATCAGCATCAGAACCCACCCAGACTCCATCACCTGCAACCTCTCAAACAGTGCCGTCACCTACACCCTCTCAAACAACACCATCACCAACACCATCCTCTACATCCTCATCAAATGGCCTCTCATCAGGGGCGCAAGCTGCCATCGGCGCGAGTCTCGGTGGTGCAGCAGCTATATGCTTTTTGATACTTGCTTTTTTTCTTATGCGAAGGCGCAAACGACAAAAGAACTCGCTGGAATATCCACCTGAATACTCTAAAGACGGTTCCATGGGCCCGTTTATTCGAAAAGTTCCGAATGAGCTGGATGCTAGGACAAATCCTGTTGAGTTGCCGACGAGTGCTCATAGTGTGGAGTTGCCTGTTAGTCGGGCGAAGTAGGTGAGTGAGGCAAAATTCGTTGGAGACAGATTTGGAAGATGAGTTAGCTAGATGCGGTGTTTGAAGTCCAGTGGTAATATAGTGTTGCTTTAAAGCGGTGGTGATACCCATTTGTTATTGCAGATGCTCCTGTTGTTAATATGCTACCAGATGCCAAACCTTTATGTGCAAACCTAATCTCACTTCCTTGGACATGTATTTCTAAGAGTTGGCCTGTTGGTGATTGGCTGAATTCTCTTGGCTAGGTCATTCCTTGCAGACGAGGGCACCACCTTGTATGTGGGTGCGGCTGAGATCCGACTTGATGCCCGGTCGCGAAGAATAAGAGGTAATCCTCACAAGCTACGGTACGAAGATTCAAGATGCTCTGTCATATTTGCAGTACAATCGACTTCGATGCACTTTTTCATGAGGAGAGTGTCAAGCACCATGGTACCTTGTCGGCTCTGCGAGAATCGGCAGCGCTAGGCTGTAAGCTCTGCGCATCTATTACGAAAGGCATCGCAGATATCACGGCCGAAGGAGATCCTTTTGCCCCAATAATTATAACGGGTTCTGTAACAAATGCGGATTACCTAGGGAAGAAATTTTTCCTTCTTTTTCGTGTTGAATCAGACATAAACAACGGACGTCTTGCCGGCCATCGCTATGATGTATCCTTGGATCGGGGTGAGTGAACAGTTTCGGCACGTCAAAATATTTATACTAATTAGGTTCATTCACAGAAGCACATGTGGAAACAACAAAGCCGCATCTATTAAGCTTTCCAAACAAGAGTCATCGATCAGAGGACTGCTATGTACTTTCTCGAGAATGGATTTGCGATTGTCTGCGAGATCATTCCGGGTTGTGTTCGGATTTCACGGCGACTTCTGCATTTCCCACTCGGCTCCTGGATGTAGGAATCAACGGGAGTTCTACCCTCAGGGTGGTTCACAAGTCCGAGGGCGACAGTGGTCAGTGGGTGGCTTTGAGCCATACCTGGGGTAGCACACCTCCTTTCACCTCTACCAAGGCGACGATATCAAATAGACAGTTGGGAATTGAAATTTCGGCGCTACCTGCAACATTTCAAGATGCAGTCTTTGTCACTCGCAAACTTGGATATCAGTATCTGTGGATTGACTCCTTGTGTATTTTGCAAGATTCGGTAGAAGACTGGAATTCTGAAGCTTTACGAATGAGCCTATACTACGGAAACGCAGTGGTAACAATCGCTGCATCTTTTGCTAGAAGCCACCATGACGGTTTTCTTGACAAGAGACATCTGCCAGAATTCAGGATAAAAGTGCCGTTGAATTCCAACTTATATAAGGGGCACAACTATTTCTACGTCACGGAAGGCGGCGGGCCAAATACTCTTTCCGATGATCTGCACATTGGCCCATTGCACACTCGTGCTTGGACTTTGCAAGAAAGGTTGCTTTCCCGGCGGGTCATTCATTTTGGATGGGATCAATTGTCTTTCGAGTGCTCGAAAGGTGTAATCGAAGAGTCATCATCTCATTTAACCGTTGATCAGGAATCCCTATCAGTATTGGACCTGTATTCGCGTCCCTTTTTACTGGCAAATTTTAACGACACAACAGATTCAACAAAGTTAGTAACCGGAGTATGGTCCCGTATTGTACAGGATTATTGCTCCAGATCTCTGAGTGTCCAGAGTGACATATTCCCAGCAATCTCTGGGATCGCTCGCCGGATTGCTGAAAAGACTGGATATACCTATAGAGCAGGAATTTGGCTCGAAGCAGTGGTACCACTTCTTCTCTGGCAGGTTTATCCAAGCGCACGCTCTTCAAGGCACCGAACTACAAATTTCCTGGCACCTTCATGGAGCTGGGCATCTCTACCCGCCGTTGAGCCGGCCCCGGATCATCCTCTCTTCTACAGTAATCAAATCTGTTATTCGCTGTCAATATGCTATGACAGACTTCTTGGACAAGAACCGAAACTTGTTAGCTGTACTACGGAGCTAGCAACTGCAGATGAGTTTGGATCGTTGAAGTCTGGAGTAATTGTGTTGAGAGGTAAGCTTCTTGATTTTGGTATTCAAAGTCTGCAACATTGGTCTCGGTCTGAAAGGCTATCCTACTATAACGAGGGACTTGCAGAAATTGAATGGGATGAGCCTATGCAGGACTACCGAAGTATGTTCTTTCTATGTATGGGCAGATGGAAGTACGCCACTTCTTGGGCAGACCGTGATGGCCCAGGTGTTGTCAGGTTTCTAGTGTTACGGCGAGTCGATAAGAAGGATGGAATATTTAAGAGAGTTGGCGTGGGCTATTACAGACTTAAATCAGAGCTTGATAAATGCAGCTGGGTTGAGACGACTGTGAGCATTATTTGATTACAATGAGAAGTTTTGAGATTGGTTGGTTGGATAGACTGTCATTACAAACAAATGCACTGATTTACCATTCAAGATTTCATCGTCGCCTGGCAATGACATCGTGAATGGAGTAGCAATGAACTAGCCGTATGTTCTATTCAGTAGACACCACTACCTTAACACAACTTGAAGTAGTTCGAATTCGAGATAACAGAATAGTTAGCCAACTCCCTAAGATGAATAGCGATGCTATGAAGGGTTAGGTAAGATTAACATACATTATCTTTAGATCAATATTTCCAAATATTCTTCCAAGAATACGCATAGAATCAATGATCCCAAGAATACAGCGTATCTCTCAAGATTTGACTATCGGGAGAAACCGTATCCTCCCACATATCCCTCGATCAAATCAGGGAAGGTAGTATTAGGATAGACACTATTCAAAAGCCGCAAAACGCCATATTTGGTGGGCGATTTGCAAGCTTCTGCGAGCTGAGACCCCAAGGACTTGGAAATGGCTTGGAGAAGACTTAGCTTTGCGAGAGAGAATTGGACCACAAGATCGATTTTGGAGCTTGCTTCATTTTCCTCTCAACGGGAGAAGAGAAATCTTGAAAGTATTTCATTTGTGTTGATCACGGAGCTACGTTGACTTGCAGACATTGTTATTTGGCGTGAAACGAATTGTTTATGAAATCGAAGTATTCAACGTACACAAGACTTTAAAATGCAATCAAATACTCGTACCATGATGGTATTCTTCACCCGCCAAGTAAACAACTGCCGCGCTATCAAACATCCACAACGCACTGCAGAAAAACACGGGGAAACAAACTTTCCCACTAAACACCTCAAAATCACAGTCTTTATGTCACCGCCATTCCCCACCCCAAACCTAACCACTTCCAGTAACTTACACCCATCAAAACCCTCACCAACCTGTCATTTCCCCAGCCAAGTCCAAGTATCCCCAAAATCCCCCGACTCATTCTCGCAACTCCCCGTACCCAAGCCCTTGGTACAATGACTTCCCCGCGAGACCTAGCATTTACCCCTCTGCGAAAAAACCCATATCAAAGCTAAAAAATGCCACATCTGCACGCAACCTACTCCCCTAGCGCACCACGCTCCTGTCAAGAAATCCCAAGCTCCAATAAACACCCCGCCAATGCGCTAAGCGAGCACCGCCCCCCTGAAATCCAGACTCTCCCCGCGGTTTCCCCAGACTTCGTGAGGGAGATCTCGGCCTGGGCTTGGGGCTTCTCCGGTATGGAGGTGTGACATTTCAAGAGTCCAAGATTCTTGGGGTGTGCTTAGGATGCGGTGGTGAGGGAGTCCATGGGCGGCTTTCTTCCCGGGGGAGATGGTGCTCCGTGGGGAGAGGGTTATAAAGATGTTGGCTTTGGAGAGGGAAATGGGTTTTGATTGTTCAAGCAGATTTCAGTGTCTGAGACTGCCTCATTCATCTTCCTCATCGCCTGTTCTAGGATTCAATTCTTTTTTTTTTTATAGGAATTCCAGACTTCGCCAAGACGCCACCGCAAACATGGGCATCGGACGCAAACAAGAACTGAAGGAGACGGTCCTTAACGAAGTCCAGGTCGAGTTCGCAGATGAAGATATCATCAAGCCAGCGCAAGTCAAAACCGATTACTCTGGCGCAAGAGAGAAGACCGATCCCGCTGAGATTGCGCTCGTGAAGAAATTGGACAGATGGATCATGCCTATGCTCTGGAGCATGTATTGGCTCAACTATCTCGATCGTAACGCTATTGCGCTGGCGAGATTGAACAGACTTGAAAAAGAGCTCAGTCTCGAAGGGTCTCGTAAGTATTATCGACATGTTCTTGGGACTTCTTGAGCTAATTCCATCTAGAATACCTCACCTGTGTGTCCATCCTCTTCGTCGGTTACTTGTGCGGTCAACTCCCCTCCAACATGTTCCTCAACCGCACCCGTCCATCGCGCTACATGGGCACCGCAATGATGCTATGGGCTATTGTCTCCGCCTTAACAGCAGTAGTCACCAATTTCACCGGTCTCGTCCTCGTCCGCTTCTTCCTCGGTCTCACTGAAGCACCATACTACCCTGGAGCCGTCTATCTTCTCTCCATCTTCTACACGCGCAAAGAAATTGCTACCAGAATCGCAATTCTCTACACGGGTAACATTCTCGCTACTGCTTTTGCTGGCCTCATCGCTGCTGGAATCTTTGCCGGTATGGACCGTGCAGGCGGACTCAGCGGATGGCAATGGCTCTTCATCCTCCAAGGAGCAGTGACTTTCCTCATCGCCGTTGTTGGCTTCTTCCTTCTGCCGGATTTCCCACATAACACATGGTGGCTTACAGAAGAGGAACGTCTTTTGGCAACCAGCCGTATGGAATTGGATACCGTCGGAAACACAGGCGAGAAGCCAAGTGTGTGGGTTGGATTGAGACAAGCAACTACTGATCCCGTTGTCTGGCTCTTTGCTTTCATGGCACATATGCATCTTGCAGCCAATGGGTTCAAGAACTTCTTCCCTACAGTCGTCGAGACTCTCGGCTTCACTCAGACCATTACTCTTGTCTTGACTTGCCCTCCATATTTCATTGCTGGCGCCACCACGATCTTTGCATCTTGGCTTTCCGGTAGGCTCAATGAGCGGACTTGGCATATCACTGTGTCTAAATCGATTGCGATCATCGGTTTCGTTGTTGGTGCTACGACGACTAACATTGGAGTTCGTTACTTCGCAATGGTGGTCTTCTGTATTGGTACATATGCCGTTAATTCTCTGATCCTCGGATGGGTTGGAAGTACTTGCGGTCAAACCAAGGAGAAAAAGGCTGCTGCGATTGGCATTGTATCTACGATCATGAACGCCAGTTTCATCTGGACACCTGTAAGTCCCTCAAATAAACACTCTGTTTATTTATATTGTACTAAACATATATTCTAGTATCTTTGGAACAAGAACGACGCTCCAAAATATCAACCAGCTATGTTTTCGAGCGCTGCATTTTCCGCTGCTTGTGCTCTCACTGCTTGGGTTGTCAAAATTATCATGAAGAGAAGAAACGCAAAGTTGAGAGCCCAAGAGGACGAGTCTGCCACCTACTTCGTGTACTAGACGTACTGCTCCGCACCTGGTGTGCACGTTGGGTCAGTAGCCCTAGCTCAAAAATATGAATCTTGTTGTTGAAGTTGTACACGACACCCAAATGAATGATCGTGATCTCCCGAACTTGTAATTGCTACTTTGAATATAGAAGCGCTCAACGTGCCGCAATGTGGTGGCCAAAGTCAGGATCCGAGCCAGTTGCTTTCAGTGAACGCGTTGTAGTGCGACCCGTTGCTCAATAACGAAGACGAGACTGGCGATGAAAACAATAATATCATAGACCCCCAACCCACAACAAAGAAGTCGTGTTATGCATCTCTTTTCGAGTGGATTTGCATCGTCTAACCGACATCCTAGGACACGCCTTCGCAACCCCAAACTTTAGCGATATTCGTACTCGTAGCTTTCGCAATCTTCTTCCTTCCAACAAGATGACCCATCTCATTTGAAACCAGCTCAAACTTTTTGTTTCTTCCCAGATCGTCATCGCCGCAATTTCTGTAAGCCTCCGCCAAGTGACTGGGAGTTTTCCAACGTTTCTGGATTTCCAGAGCCTTTTCACCAGTAATCCCACGAGTGCACATCAGCATCTTCAGATATGTATCTCGTAATGTATCACTTCCAGATTTAGAGGATATGCCAGCTAACGCCTCGTATGTAATGTGAAAACTCTCTGATGGATGCTTCTCTTTAAGATGCTTCAGCAGAGGAAGAAAATTTTGCGAGGTGAGAATCTTGGTCGGTATCAAGCGAAGTGGCTCCTTCTCATACTTTGCTTGAAACATCTTAGTCAAGCTTGTCAAGTAATGAATTGTATCGTCAATCTTCTGGGTCTTTTTGACGAAAAATCCATTTACGACCTGCATACTGGTGATGGCAGACTGGACTGACTCTTCATATTTTTCGAAATGATTTGAATCCAGGGAGAATTCCTCGATGATGTAGATCACGTTTTTGATGCCACTTCTTCGGAGGCGAAATTTCTGTTCGTGAAATCGTCCATCTTTAATCGACCCAATCAGATCGTCCAGCCGCTTGCGCTCAACGATATAATCCAATGTTACTTCATCTCCTGCTAAACTATATCGTGAAAGATATTTTGGATCTCGCATTTTTGCGACCCAAAATATATCTCCAAGGGCTAGAGGTTTTACCGTGAGATCGACACCCTTTTTCCGAAGCTCATCCCCGATGTAGTTACGATCTGTTTTTGCCCGTACCTCGCGATTGTCAAGCAATAGACGCACGGTGAAGGAACCAGGCGGGAGAACGATTGGATCAACCTTTGGGAGGGCTGAACTAGATGTAATATGTTCACCCAAAGGGATGCTGTCTGCCACCTTGTTCGCGTTGGCTGCGTCGTCTCCGCCATTTTCTTCGCCGAATAGGCTAGCCATGTCATCGTCAACTCCAGCTTCCTCTCCATTGTTTATATTGAAATTATCAGGTCCACCTTCGCTCGGATTGTGAGCCTTCTTAAAGCTCTTTGCCAACTCCCATCCGTCATCTGTCAAAAAGTAACGTTGTGGACGGTTAGACTTAATAACGACTAAGTCGTTTTTTCCTAGCGTTTTCATAGAAGCCCACGCGGTATAGAATTTCGAAGTGTCAGCTGGAATGGTGTAAGAAGTCTTGCAATGAGGCTGAGCTAGGTCGATGACTTCTTGCTTTGTCAATCCAACATGAGAGCCTTCATCTAATGTCGAGAGAGCGATGATGATACCGTACGGTCCGGAATTATATGCAGGCATGTAGGTTTTTGGCTTCTTTTTTCTTGCTTTCTTTGCGGGTTCGTCCTGATTATCCTCGTCGCCATCGTCAACGACAGCAGCATTTGATTTCCTTTTTCGCTTGTGCGGTAACTCTGGCATGGGTTCTCCAATCTCATCACAGTACTCCTTGAGCTTTTCCGTCAATCGACTGCACAGTTTATCTCCGAATCCAGTCAGCTGTTTTGCTTCAGAGGGATGAGTAAACGTAAGTGGACAGGCTTTGAGAGAGTCGTAGGCTTTCTTGTAGGTTGTTACGCCCTTTGAACTTCGCATTCTGGCTGTTTCGAGCCATTCTGCTACGAAACCAAGCAAAATCGGATTTGCACAGGAAGTGGACATGTTTGCCATGCCTCGCAGGCGAGCACGATCAGCCAATTCCAATTCCCTAAGGTCCGCAAGCGAGAGAACCATGGATGTTGACTGTGGAACCAAAGCCTACGTATTGCAAACAAAAGAAAGGTTTCGAAAGCAAGTGAGGCAATGCGCAAGAATTGTTGGAGTTGATGGAGCAATTGAGTGGGTTGATGAGGTTGATGAAGCTCGAGATCGCGGTTGACGCGACGAGAATTGGAAACAACGCCAAATCACGTGAGTTACGGAGTCGGCAGGAGGCGGTGAGCCAAAATAACTCATGCTCCTTGGCAGCCGTTATTCTGCCCCTTCGGCAGCTGAGCCATAGCCCAGCTGTGATCGCTGCGCATTTTACGTTCAACATTTTACGTTTCACATCCACAACATTTACGAGGAGCAATAATAATACGATCGAAGTGGGGTGTTAGCTTCCTTGTTCCACCCGTCTTATTTACTTTGCATTTTTCGCACCTTTGCTCCCTCAACTCAATCACCACTCCGTTCTGCTTCACCTACCCTCCTTTAAACCTTCACCTATACAACCCCTCCAATCTGCAAGCATGGTCGGCGATGACAGAAAAGAAGATTCGAAGGGCATTGTCCCAGCCGTATCCGATGAACAGCTTTTCGAGGCTGTCAAGAAACACTCCAAGCCTGCTGGTCGTGTTTTTCAATATGGTACCGCGGGGTTTCGAATGAAGGCCAACCTCCTCGACTCGGTCGTCTTTCGCGTTGGACTTGCGGCTACATTACGCTCTCGCGAATTAAACAAGACAATTGGAGTCATGATTACAGCTTCTCACAACCCTCCAGAGGACAATGGCGTCAAGTTGGTCGATCCAATGGGTGAAATGTTGAGAGAAGACTGGGAAGGGAAGGCTACAGAGCTCGCGAATGCTGCTGATGAGGATGTGGTCGCACTATATCGGAAGCTCGAGGCGGAGCTGGGCATCAAACCAGGAGACGACAACTCTGCTTCGCGCAAGGAGTATGCAAATGTCGTTTTTGCTCGCGATACCAGAGCTTCTGGGCCAAAATTGGTTACGGCGCTCGTGGATGCTTTCAAAGCAACTGGAATCGCTCATGCCGACTACAAACTGCTCACCACGCCGCAATTGCATTACCTTACAAGGTGTACGAATACCGAAGGCACATCCCAGGCATATGGTGTTGTAAGCGAGGCAGGATATTACGAGAAATTGTCAGACGCCTTTGTGAGAGCAATGGATGGCAGAAAAGCGAGGGGCAGTCTGACAGTTGACTGCGCCAACGGTGTGGGGGGTCCAAAGTTGGCTGCTTGGGTGAAAACGCTGCAAGCTGCCGAGGAGAAAGTACAGGCTGAATACCTCAGCCGCAAGCCTCCGATCAAGAAGGATATGAAGACTGCGTTGGAAATTAAGATTGTTAATGATGATGTTCTAAGAGCAGAGGTGCTCAATCAGGATGTAAATATTTACCCCTCCTTATTTTTGGTCCGTGCTTACGTTCGTCCAGTGTGGTGCAGACTTTGTCAAAACAAAACAACGTGCCCCGCCATCATCCAAGGCCGGTCCTAATGAGCGTTGCTGCTCGTATGATGGTGATGCGGATCGCATTGTCTTCTACTTTAACGATCCTGAGCACGGGTTTCGTCTGCTAGACGGTGACCGTATCGCTACGCTTGCTGCATCTTTCATTGGAGATCTTGTACGCGAGGCAGGATTCGCAGACGAACTTAGCATTGGTGTCATTCAAACTGCCTATGCGAATGGTGCCAGTACGAAATACGTCGAGCAGACCTTAGGATTACCTGTTGTGTGCACCAAGACAGGCGTAAAGCACTTGCACCACGCAGCACTAAGCTTCGACGTCGGCGTATACTTCGAAGCAAACGGCCACGGAACAGTCGTCTTCTCAGACAAATCCCTCGACCTCTTCAAGAAAATCATCAAAGCCGAGAAATGGGAATCCCCCGCCCAACAAAGCGCAATCATGACGCTCTCCGCCCTCACAGACCTCATCAACCAAACCGTCGGCGACGCCCTCTCAGATATGCTTCTCGTCGAAGTAATCCTCGCCCATAAATCCTGGACACCTAAAGAATGGGATCTCACCTACACCGACCTTCCTAATCGTCTCGTTCGCGTCGAAGTTGGAGACCGCGGTCTCTTCACCACCGAGCACGCTGAACGAAGACTCGTGACGCCATATGGCGCACAAGCTCAAATCGATGCGCTTGTCTCGAAATTCAAAGATGGGAGATCGTTTGCTAGAGCTTCTGGTACTGAAGATGCTGTTCGTGTGTATGCTGAGGCGCGCACGAGAAGCGAGGCGGATGATTTGGCAAATAAAGTCGCGCTTGTTGTTAAGCAGGAAGGCGGTGGGCATTAAGGCGTGGAAAAGTAAATGAAGATATGAGATCATGAATATTTGGCGTTTTTTTCCTTATTTTTGTGTTTTTTTGGAAAAAGTTCAGATAAACAGTCTAGGTAGGAAAGTCTTATAGAAAAATTACCATTATTTCGACATCTAGATTCGCTTATGTGCTGATATCGCCGATATATACTAGAGAAAATCCCACCCCATAAATCAAAGAAAAAAATACCCTATCGTACAACCCTCTCCCGCACATATTTTCACCGACTCTCCAAACTCCTAATACTCCTCTCCTCCACCGGATCCAACCCTCCAGGCCCTTCACTCCCATAAACCCCCGTCCCCGCGCCCGTCCCATCCCTACTCCTCCTCCTCTCCCGTTGCCGCTCCCCGCTCTTCGTCCTAAACCCCTCCCTCAACCCACTATCCCTAAAATCATGCATCCCCTCATTCCGAATCCCGCGCATCCGCGCTTCCTCCTCGCGATCCCGCGTTGTCTTCGCGATCCCCATGTTCACGGTCCCGCGCAGCGCTTCGCTCGCGCCCCGGATGCCGCGGATGGTGTTGGAGATGCCGAGGTGGGGGCGTGCTTGCGTGGTGTGAGTTTGTGGGGAGGATGGAAAGGGGGGATTGGAGGTTTGGACGGGGGAGACGGGGGAGATGGGGTTGGTTGACTGAGGCGGGTGGGATGTGAGGGGGGAGAGAGCGGTGGGGTACTCACTTTCTTCTGGGTGGGAGGGTTGGGTGTAGGGGTCTGTTGGGTGGGTGTTCCCTGTTATGGTTGTTGAGTTGCCATATGTAGGATTTGCATTCCCGTACGTGGAGTTCGCTTGTCCGTATGCTGGACTCGGCGTCACAGAAGGCGTATGTGTATAGTTCCCCGTCTGATCATGACTCTGCGCCTGGCTCTGGCGAGGATCGTACGCACGATTCTGTGAGACACTCGGCGGTGGGCCAGGCGGTGGTGGGAAATGTTCTCTAATCGGAGAGTTACGCGCAGATGATCGCTCCGGGTAGACGGGTGGTTGTGTAGGTGATGTATCTTCCATTTCGTATTTCGAGCCCGAGCGCAGTTCTGAGCGGCGCGGGATGGGTGTGGTGTCTGGGTCTTTGTAGGGGACTGGTGGGGGTGGTTGTTCGGGGGAGTAGTCTCCTGGTGGGAGGCCGTAGTTCTGAGGTTGGGTTTGTGCTTGGGGATGAGAACCCAATGGCTGCGCATGTGAGGATAGTGGTTGTGTTTGGCCTGTTGGCTGGCTGTTTGGTGATGCTACTCTCGCGATGTTTGGGGATGCCACTCGTGAGAAGTTTGGGACATGGTTCGCTTGCTGCTGTTCCTGTTGACCTGGTCGATTTTGCTGAAACTGTGGCTGCTGGTTATTGACCGATAAATGTTGAGGTCTCTCCTGCGACGAGCCAACTGCTTTCGCTATCTCATTTTGTTTCTGGCTGTTCAAAGTCGTTTCTGAACTTTCTGGTGGAGGATCGGTCGTTGGATTATAAGGACCTGACACTGTATGCGTTGTTCCATCTGGCGCAACCGTGGTCGTTGCTGTGATGATTAGCACCTGTCACATTTCAAATTTCCGGAGCTACTTACTAGTGGTGGTGGTGGTTGTGGTTGTGACAGTGGTTCCCGGAGCCGGACCGTGGTTTTGTGGTTGCTGGTTCTGCTGTGGTCGAGCATCTGCAGAAGACGCATTGCTCACCGAATAGTAGGCGGAATCAGCATTGTAGCTGTTTTGGTTATTATTTAATAGATTTGAAGGCCTATTTTCCACATTCGAAGGTCTTTTTTCCAAGTTCGCAGGTCGCTGGTCGACATTTGACGGGGAAGGAGTTGCGGTTTCGACAACAGGGGGGTTTGGTGGATTTTGCGTCGTCCGCTTGTCTTTTGACGATCTAAATAATCCCATCTTGGTGTTTTGTTGCTGTGGTTGTTTGCGTAAGGGCATGTGTGATTGATGAATATAAAATAGAAATCAAATATACTTGGGAATTGCAGAATTACCTTCTTCTCGTCCACACGAGGGGTTGGGGTGGCTTCTTGCATGCTGATCCCGTGGCGCATCATGACGCAACGCCCCATCGTGGGGTGAGAACAAGGAATTTATGGATCAGGGGTCATGACGATGATTTGACGATCAATTGGTTGTAAATGATATACCACTTGAAAAAATCTCTGTAATAAACCAAACAATTTCATTATCGTCCAATAAATGCTAACTCGTCAACTCTCCATCTGCTTTCCAATACGTCTAGTTAGGTTTGAAGTTTGATGTGGATCTAGTGCCTCCGTAGACCTGGGATTTAGCGAAGAGTCTGCCCCTTTTCTTCGCTTATGGCGTGCTACGAGTAAACCCACCCGAATGAATAGCTACCTACCTACCTAAAGAAAGGATCTATCTTCCAGTCGCGTGTGACTAAATACAAACAGTACTGAAAAGTTTTTGTTTTGTATTGCAGAAGATTATTCTTCGACAGGATCAGCATGTACTCCTCGAAGTGGTTTGTGGAAAACTGGAAGCTGTCGACAAAACTTATCATTGCTTTCATTTCCTGCAGAATCAAAATCAATATGCTTGTGGTGTGAAAACAAGACAAAAGATACTTCACGTAGCCCGTAACTGCTGGTATGACCAGAGGTTACTTCGCTCTTTTTTTGCTATTTCGCTTGGGTTATTCGAGTGCGTTCGACTTTCGATCGGGCTGATGGCCAATAGACTTCGCCGCCAATCAATTCTTTGCACCAACTGACTGCTGCAGCTACAGGCTAATATGTATTCCCTTGGCCTCGAGGCTGCAGCTTTTCAACATCATTTGTTAGCCTGCATATGAATAATCTCTTCGTTCGCACCGCTCGGATTCATGTTATATCCAACGTCAATTGTCAAGACCCTGCCAATCGTTTTTCCCCCCGCATTGTTCCGCAAACCCATCGTACATTTCGCGGTTCAACATGCCATCTCCTACAGAGCAATTTGTTTGTCTTCCAGAGCTGATTCGCTGTGTCGCGAAAGCTTCACACAATCGGGGACTATTACACAGTTGCTGTTTAGTAAATAAAGCATTCAATGATGCATTTACTCCCAGCTTGTATTCCGAAATATGGTTCCGCTCGGAAAATGCACATTTCCTAATCGATTTCCCGGTCCTTGCAAACAACGCGGCGCTTCGCTACACCGAGATACTGGACATCTCTATTCCGGCGCAACATGGCCAGAATACAAAATATTCTAATGGTGTTTTGTGCGAACTTTACAATTCAGGGGTGGCGTCTCTTCTGGCGAAAATGCCACGGCTGACGAGGTTCCGGTTAGTGTCCATGAAACCAAAGCAACTTAGGGGCCGATTCTAATTAAAAGGTAGTTTGGACGGCATAGTGTTGTTCTCATCTACATTGGCAGATTTACAAGAGAAATGTCCTATGATCCAAACTTTGATTGTTCATCACAGAGACGACATCGAAGACATCATAAGACTTACCGACTACCACGACTTCCATAACGGGTACTATGAATGGCGCGATCTAATTTTGACTCATAACTTTTCACACTTTGCGAACCTGACCAGTCTTCAGATATCAGGACTCCACGGTGATCTGGTTAGAGCGAGAAAAGACATTGTCCAGACCCTCTTAAAATCACCTAACCTGCATAGTTTGGGCCTCTCAATAAATGAGGCGACTGTGGAAAGTTTGAGCACTATGCTCAATCCTCGGTATACGGATTTTCAGTACTTTCTGATCTCCTTAATCAAAGACTTTGTCGACGCAGGCGGAACACCACTACGACTACGGAAGTTGATCTTGGGATTTAGTATTATGCTGTGGGTGCCAGGCACATATTTTAGTGGGTTAACGGACCTAGCGTGTCTAGAGGAAGTCTATATCACGAATCAAGAGTTTCATGGTGCCATCGAGTTTATTGAAGACAATGATCATATAGCTTGGTCGCTTTTCACACCAGTAAACTGTCCGAATTTAAACACTATTGGGATCTATGAATTCAACGACAATGTCAGGAAATGGGCTCAATCCATACCCCCAGGATATATAAGGAGGCTCAGCACTTCTTCTGCGACGGCTGAAGATCTGAATACTGTGATGGGTACCGAAAGGGCGACCAGAAGGAAATTGACAGATGGACCGAGGACACTCACGATAAACATTGAGGACATGTCGTCCTTAGCCTCCGACTTTACGGCTGTCGACTTGAGAGGGATCCAGGCACTTTCAATAGTCACTCGTTATAGAACGCAGGACGTGGAGTCGGAAATAATTAGCTGGATCACCGCGGCACCTGATCTTGAGCAATTCTATTTGTCAACCGAGCAATATACTATTCCGAAAAAGGTGGGCACTGATGGAACCTCACCGGAAGATGGCAGCTTAGAGCATCGAATTGTGTATGAATGTAAGAAGTTGAGGTATTTGAGGGTGCAGAACAATGCTTGGCGAGTATTGAGACTGCCTGATGGCGGTGTTGGATTTGAGAGGCTGGACAGATTTGAGTCTAGAGACATTGAAATGTTTCAGCCTAGACATTTGTTGGGTGGGTATTAGCCGTAGGAGTTACAGCTGGAAAACAATTTTGAGAGTTTACATGGGATGAGCTCAGTTGGTACTAGGAACCTTCGCGTTTTATTTTTGATGAGGATATTTAATAACTACCATTGTTTCCAAGCCAAAGTACGTTCGTACACTAAGGCCCTGTTTACTCACCTAAAAAACTGATAATATTGTCAAATTGTTAGAATAGAACAGGGCTGCTCCCTGCCTCGGCTTTTGGCGGTTTTCTGGGGTTCCCACTCGCTAAATTTTCTCTTCTACTTACTTAGTATGAGTTTTTAGTAGGGTATACGGCTAGAGGTTAATGCCTATTGTCAGTTTTTCGTTATAAGGAGGGGAAATTCTAATAATTATAAAAAGTAGTCTCGACATTCTTTTACTTTTTTATGTTTTTGTGGATAAAATCGACAAAACCCCTAACTATTAAAAGAAACAGGTTAAAATTTGTTCTTCTTCTATCTTAACCCTTTAAACGGATTATAGCTAATGTATAGGGGTTTTTATAGAGTCGGAATAGGGTACTTGGGGACTCGCTACAGGGCATTCCCCGATTCGTTACGGACAGTCGGGGCACTCGCTATAGTGCTTAGGGGACCCTTCCTTGTACGTCGGATTTTAGTGTGTATTTGACCCCTACTAGCCTACGCTTTTAACATGGTAATCCGACAAGAATTGTCATTTTTTTAGGCGAGTAAACAGACCCTTAGTAGTCTAACTGAGAAGAATCAATAGTTTATACTTCCCTCCCGAACATACAAATAAGAAATTCCATTAAGTTAGAGAGTAAATGATATATATCAACTTTCCATACCCCTTCTTTTCAATTTTATTTTCCGTACCTAGACTCTTAGTGGACGTTATAACACGACCTCGATATAAACATAAAGCATTGACAGTGTCATAATGGTCTGTTGAATTTTTCTAAATTGATTTGGACTAATGTACACACTTTAAATCATCAACGGCTACGTTGACAGGCAGAGGAATCTGATGTATCGCTAAATTTAGACGATTGTTATTGAACGTTTCGATCCCTGCTTGCCCTATCCCCAGGATCTCTTGATCTTCCAAATCGTTCATGCTACTCACTCACTCCTTAGTACTTGAAAGCTGAGAACAGCATTTAATTGCACAAGGTACTTCTGCAGCCAAAGGATTCATTGTCAGCTTACTCCATTTCGATATAGTTTCGGTAGCTTTGGACTTTGCAAGGCTTACCAGTAAAGCAACATAGGTCCACACCCTATTCTGACATGTGAAGTTCTTGACCCTACGATAGCAAACCTTCTCTCTCTGGATTCTGCTGTACGACATCATTGCCTCTACTACTAGCTGTCACAAACCTTTCGAGCTCATGATCACTGCCCGTTTCCGGTTCTTCAACTTGGAATCCTGCTCCCAACGAGTGTGCTGCAACAACCGCTTGAGAGGGCAAGTCATTTTGATGTTGACGGCCAGGAACTCCTTCCTGGGCAATGACAATTCCAGCGGTTCCATGCGCTGAGGTCGGATGACCAAGATCCTCTGCAAATTCCACCAACTGGTTTGCCATGATGTACCTAGACCACCTCATAAGGGTCAAGCCTTTCCATCCATTTATGAACATAACCATAAATGTCAACATCTGTAGTGTTAGACAAATGCCAAATAATGCTGGGTAGAGTCTTGTAATATATGGTCTGAATGACAAGTCTGTATTGAGTCCAACCTTGGCTTTTTCCCTGCTGTGCAAATGCATCATCACACCACTCCAACACCAACATGTGTTGAACAATCCACTGCTGGATAAGAAAAGCAAGATTACTGTTGGGACTGCGATGACAACATCTTTGCACATAATCATCCGCCAAAGTCGACTCTTCTTGGAACTTAAGACGTAAGAAGCCTGTGTAATGAGAGTACTGATGAAGTAGAGATAGCTGATGCCCAACAGTACAAACCAACGGCAGTTAACACCTGCGGGCGGGAGATGCCAGATAATAGATAATCCGGTGATAGTTGAGAAAAGTACGGGTGATATCGCCAGCGGAAACAATAGCTTGCGTGATCGAGTACCAGCAAAATTGTCGTTGAACATATACTTTTCAGGGCGAAACGTGTATATTCCTCCAGACCAGGGACGAGCTTTGAAATATTCGGTAACATCCTTGCGCGAAGCAGACCTTTGGGGATACAAAAGTGGTAGAAGATGTATTCCGGCAGGTAGGTTCTTCTGGAAAATACTGTAACAAGTAGAGGCCGAAGTAAAGTTTCCCAGGAGATTACTCATCAAAATAGCAGGGAGGATGTACGTCAAGAACATGCAGATGCCAATCCGTCCACCAGGAGGTGAACTGGCATTTCCACCTACTCTAACGACAAAACCTGATATAACTTGATAAAAGAAGAGTGCAACCGCTAGACAAGTTCGATAGATGTCGTCGGTTCTGCTGTTGGCGAGCTCGTAAGCGACATCGTTACGAAATCGATCGATGTCAATGTCAGGAACGAGAGATATCTTTTCATAAACCTCCCATGGATTGAAGCCTTCTCCCACAAGCTCTTCAATTCCGCCCAGGAGTGTCCCAAGGGTTCTTACAAATTCAGCCTTCTCATCATTCCCTATTTCCCTCCATCGCCTTCTTACACCGCCTGGCCTACCCCAGATTGCAACTTTGATTCGCGCCATAAAATCAATCAGTCGTCTTTTGATTCTTGACTTCCATGTTTCTCCCGATTCTAAGGCAATCAACCCCGGTGCATGTCTCACATTCCACTCATGCTCGGCCCTAATTCTGCAACGACTCCACGCTTCTATCTTCAAGAGAAGCGAATAAATGGAGTCGATTGGATCGCCTAGGAGATGAAAAAGAACTAAATACGTTCTCTTATCCAGAGGTGAAACGTCCATTTGGCTGACGAGAATAAGAATTGGGATGAGCCAGGTATTCAAAATCGGTCCTGTGTCCTCATACCATGTTCTTCCTTTTCCGCAGTAAGTTTCGCAAGCCGGAAAAGTCAGGTAAGGCGCTTCGGCCGTCGAGTTGGGATGGAAGATGGTGGTGTCGTTGAGCAATAAAGTCCCGTTAGTGACCTCGGATTTTATTCTCGCGCGACATTTTTCCCAATCCAGAGATACGACTTGAGTGCAAAGATTAGCGAAGGCGGTGGCAGCGAAGTAGTGTTTATTCCATCGATTGCATGTCATGGCTAGGGTTTTCGTTCCTATATGAATACTGCATATCGGAGACTCATCGCAGGATTAAGCTCATATTTATCAGCCGGTTGTCGCAACCTTATCACTTTCAGCTGGCAAACCACAACTGGTATTACCACCTGGAGGCTTGCAGATACGGGATGTGCCGAGTGAAAGCCTTGAAAGTGCTTCAGCCCTAGACCAACCTGAAACGAGGCGTTCTTGGACAACCATTTTGGGTCGAGAGGCTGAAATACAGCAACAAAAGTATTGGGTAACTTAGCGCTCGATTCAATCGGGCGCCGAAAAATGATCTTTCTCCCAGAGGCTTTCTGATCAGGATAAGAGACGGTGGAAGTCCCACCACACCGGATGTCCACGAATGGGTTAAAAGTGAGACAATATAACAGTGCGTAATTTTTTACTGGCGATCTCTACTACGGGATTCATGACATCTATATGAGACCAACAATAAAATTCGTCTTTGATAGACTGTACGTTTCTGAAGTAGTCAAATGGTGATTTCCGACCACGCCGTGGCATAAACAAACTTGCTTTTTTAGATGCAGAATCGCCACAAAGTACGACGGAAACTTCTTCCACTACCTTCATTAGCATGAGAGTATTTACATGATACAAATAGCATGGTGTTCCTACATTGCAAATTACCTCAGTACTTTGTTTTCATTTTCGAGATTGATGTAACACTCAATAGAGGCTGGAGTTTAGTAGCTGCTGGGGATTATACTAGTGTTTAGCTAGATTAAGGGTTAACTTTACATTGTTTTCTATCATCAACGTTGTTGCCCGCTTATTCTCATCACAACACTCGAATTGCCAAAATATTTTGTTACAAGATCCAAGACATGTTCATATTCCCGCGTGAAATAGCCAGAAGAATAGGTGTTCATTCTTCGGGTGACGGACGCTAATATGAGAATACCATTATTCGTCGAAAGACTGATAAAGATTAGCAGCTGCGGCGAGGTACAAGCGTGGCAAGCCTGCTTTCTAACGCTCATTCTTAGCCTAGCCAACAAAAGGCCAACATTTAGTGCGTTGCCGCGCTTCCACGTCATTTAAAAGTCGACCACAAATTTTAAATCAATGGCGTCCGACTGGAGCACCTGGGTATTGACACACGATTATACGTTCGCAACATCAGTTTGATTCTTTGATATTTCTAGAAGAGTATCGGTGCTCGGGGGTTGGGACTTATGCTGATTTGCATTGTTAGTCACTCACGCACATTCAAACCCCCACTTCTCCAGATGTCTTCTTCAATGCAACGCTTTCTTTGCATTCCCGAGTTAACCTCATGGTTGGGACGAATTATAGTGAATCGTCAGCTCTTATGCGACTTTTGCTTAACCAACAAAAACTTCCAGGATGTATTCACACCTGCTTTGTATGAGGAGTTGTGGTTTTGTGAAGTTAATTCAGAAATCATTCTAGAAAGACTTCACTTGCTGTTGGCCAACAAAGCGTTGAAGTATACCCGAAGACTGGATATATTTTTTGGCTGTAGACTTTTAATGAATAATAAATATGAGGATAAATATCCTCAGGACAAGAATTTAAGCAGGGTACCTATACAATGAAAGTGTGCTCAAGCTCCTCCCACACATGCCAAAACTGATCGCTTTTTCGTAAGTACCTCCCCCAACCATGGCCATAGAAACCAGACTGAAGCAAGGTGCATACAGCTGGAAAGACTTCATCTTGCATAAATCGACCATTACGACAGTCTACCAAGAGTGCCCCAATTTGCAATCGTTGGTCATTCACCATAATTACCTAATCGAAAAACAGTTATCAGGAGATACCGATGGCATCGTCTACAATTTCGAATTGCATAAGGACTCTTATGAAAACTACACGTTCTTCACGATGGTCAATATCTCTCCCTTCAGGAACCTTAACAGTCTTGAGCTGTTTGGAATTCATGGGTTTCTAAAGTGCGCAAGGAAACATCTTGTCTCAGTTCTTCTTCGGTCCCCGAATCTGAAGCAACTTGGTATGTCGATTACCGGTCGTACTGCAGAGCGCCTGAGGTATGACGACATGGACGGAGCATATGAAAATGAATTACTGTACTTTTTCACATCATTATGCGAAGATTATGAAGTTGCTGGGGGAAAACCACTACCACTACAGAAACTTATTCTTGGCTTTTATATGATCTTGTGGGAGCCAGGAACGTACCTGACAAACCTGACAGACCTGTTGTATTTGAAAGAAGTGTACGTGTCAAAATGAGAGGACGGTGCTGTTCCATTCTCTGGGGAAGATGGTGGCTACATGTCATGGTCTTCCTTTGACGCTACGAGATGCCGGAAGCTGAGCAGCTTTAGGACTTACTATATGACTGAGTCCCTGTGCTCTTGGATTAGGCTCATGCAGCCAGGGCGATTCAGACAGTTCGGTGCAGAATTTATGGACGACAATGATACGCTATTAACTCTAAAACTCAATCATCTTCGGTGGAGTTCGTCGAGAATATCGAGTCTTCTCATTATCAACGCCGAGAACCCAGGACCCACAAACCTAGGCGACTTTGTTCGCGTGCGCCTTGATGGTATTCAAGCCCTCTCTGTGTTTGTGGACCTTTGGAGCCCTGAATTACGTCCCAATATCCTATACTGGGTCGGGAGAGCCTTTGATCTGCAGGAATTAGATCTCACATGTCATTGGGAGTCATTGATCCAAATATGCTCTGAGGCTGACGCGGAAATATTGGCTTTAGCAAGACTCATTTCCCTCGCATGCAAGAAGCTAAAATACTTGAAGTTGAACCATAACGCTTGGCGCGTCAAAAGATTGGATGGTATGCAAAGCCATCCGGTTCTTGAAAGCATGGACAAATTCGAGTGCAGATCCATTGACGCGTTCCAACCAACCCTCAGAATCAAAGAATTTGAGGGTTTCATTTGCTATAATTCATATAGTCCTGACTCATTATCCAAGTCCGAGTTAAGACGATTGTTAGGTGAACTATAGATATGGCATGATTCATGCAGGTTTTATCCAATTCTACTAGGAAGCCCTGGTCTTCGGCATAATTATTTCTGCTGAAGAAACAAATAAAACACCGATTGAAATTAGTATAAGTTTCACTACACTAAGTGGAGACATGGATTTGGTATTCGAAAAAATTGACTTCGCAGACTTTACTTTGAACCTATATATGTTTGTTATTACTGACCTCACAGATAGGCGTATCTGAAGGGTTTACTTCTACAACGGTTCTTTTGCCAACTAGCCAAAAAGCTGTCAATTAATTGAAAGGGTAATATGCTCCCCTTTTTGATCTTGGTTGATCTTTTTTCGCGACGTTCAATAATACTTTGCCAATATCCTGTTTATTTACTAGCTTTCTTTTTTGCCCCACGAGACCCTTCCGCAAATGCTCAAATTATACAATCACAACTGAAGTAGATTCTTTGGAGTGTCGGGGTCCTACAATTTTAAAAGACTGGATTTTTGCAACTTCAAATAGTGCTTGTGGCATTACTTAAGATTTCAGAATGGCATTTCATGTACCGTGCTTCATCAAAGACAAGAGTGCTTTTCAATCTAGACTTGGGGAAGTATTTTCGACCTAGCTTTGGCTATGAGATTTTGCTAACGATCCATACTAATACTGCTTAAGGATTTGAGAAGATGAATTACTCCAGTGAGATACATAGTTTAAAAGACGAGATTTGCTATTATAGAAGTGTTGACATTCCATATTGATAAAAGTAGTCTCAGCGAATTTGCGGCCAATAATGTGGCGTGTATTAATAATATTGGCTTGGCTGTTGGTATCCCTGTTTGGTAAATAAATCCAAATCTGACTGCAGCTGCCTCATACCAAGTTCAAGATAGACTACACCTCACATTAGTGACATTGTTCAATATCAGTAGACTTATCCCTTATATCATTCATCAGAGACCATCGGACCATGCTGAAATTTGAATAAGCAACAACTCTTCTCCTGTAGGATCGTGGACGCAGAGACGCCAAAACCTTCCCAGGCAGAAGCCACACAGCATGGCCTACGCTGCTAGCCAATTCGCTAGCCTTCCAGAGATGTTGAGCGACCTTTCTCACTTCGTCGTCAACCGGCAGCTCCTGTATAACCTCTGCTTGGTCAATAAAACCTTCAATTCTGCTTTCACTCCTCGACTGTACGAGGAAATATGGTTTCGCCCGAACAATGCGTTTTTATTGTTCCACGGTTCGCTTTTGGATAACAAAGCCCTGCTATACACCCGAAAGATAGGTCTTGCTGTTCGACTGAATTTTCCGCCAGAACGTGGTGATGGCCACCTCATGACAGTTGTCTGTGGCCATTATAATCAAGGCATGCGAGATCTCTTGCCAAAAATGCCTCAATTGAGTGAATTCCGGTATGTCGTAGTAATCAAATGAATTTCGTAGCTGATTTCTTTCGATCAAAGCTGGCATGACATGCCGCTGCAAGAGAGTACGTTAATAATTCTGCGAGAAAGTTGTCTACATTTGAAAGCGCTAGTCATCCATCATGAGAATCAAATCGAGAGTTTAATGGGAAGCACCAACTCCACTGAATGGGAACGTGGTCTGCTGGGCAGACAACATCATTTCAAAACCCCTCGTTTAGGCATTTTTTCCGGATTGACAACACTAGAAATTTCTAATCTTTACGGTGATCTGCCGGAAGCGCGACCAAGGTTGATCAAAGTGCTGCTCAGCTCACCTGGCTTACGCACTTTGGCTCTCTCGATAAGTATCCTACTCTCGAACGCTTAGGAAGTGAAGCTGTTGACTGCACAGAGCAGTACCTTGGGTTCTGGGAGCAAACATGCCTAGATTACGTGGAGGCAGGTGGTACACCGCTCCAGCTCAAAAAGCTTGTGCTAGGCCGAAGTATGATACTTCGGAAGCCAGGAACGTACCTTGAAGGTCTAACAGACCTCACGTACTTAGAGGACGTGTATATTCATAATAAGTATTCTTTCACGCCGTTGGGCACGATAATGAACGACGAGAATGTAGCATGGTCCATCCTAACTCCGAGCCATTGTCCTAAGCTGAGTAAGTTCGAGGTTACAAACTTTAGCGAAAGCGAAAAGAAATGGGCACAAGACTTAGACAAAAGTCAAATAAGGCAGCTTGCTACCAGGTATGGCTTGATTAAAGATTTGGCTTGCCTGATATCGAATAAAGTAGACAACCGGAGAGAGCCTCAGCCCAAGCTAAAGTCATTAACGACAGGAATAAATCCTATTTACGGCTCTTCGCATGACGGAGATGATCTGAACGCTAGGAAGTTGCAGAATTTACAAGCACTTTCAGCATTCGCTAGTTGTGATACGCCAGAGAGACAATCTAAAACCCTCGAAAGGATCAAAGGAGCAACACAACTTGAACAGCTTCATCTATATGGTTGTCGGGTTCAACATGAAGAACACATGCCGGTTTATGGCAGCTTTGGGTATGAGATAGCCCTCCGGTGCACAAAATTACGATATTTGCGGCTGGATAACGTCGCTTGGCGCATTACGAGATACGGAAATGGCACTGATGGGTTGAAATTGCGGTTCGAGAGGTTGGATGGATTTGAGATGAGAGCTATAGAGTGTTTTCAGCCGAGAGGTATATTCGATAATTACTGGGACCGAAGATGAGATATTCATGCTGTTTAAGGGTTTTGGATATTTGCAGAGAGGGAGTTAATTTGGGGTGTTAAGCAGACTTAGTTACCATATTGAGAACGAACGTACGTGATACCAAACTAGAGAGTTCAAACCTTTCACTAAAGTGAGTATGGTTTCTTTTTCCGGGCTTCAATAATATCAGCGTCTTGATTCTTCCCCTGGAAGTCAAGGACAGGTCCCGGATTCCCCAATTCTCGGCTTCCAGGTATTGGAAATTGATCTAGAGAATACTCCTACCTCATTAAAGGGTGAGAATCTCATTGGAGTTGGATATATTGAGCGGTTTGCGATTTGGAGGAGGGTTGATTATACTGCAAAAGATGACGATTAGACTTTTGATATGAGCTGTTGGACAACATTGCAGTTTATGGGGCCAAGTTCTGAACATATCTTTTGCTGATTAACTGCTTTACGACCACTTCCTTCATTGCAAATTCTTGTGTAGAGAGAAAGGAATGGGGACGTCTCAAATTCTCCAACACGGTTGTGATGTCCCATCTTAGATCGAGAAGGCGCACAGATGATGCGAGACTCTACACGAAGGCGGTATATGTAGTATTCAAATTGTTATGTGGGCGATATAGACCAAACCGACCGATAAAGGTCGAGCAACGTACAAAGATTGCCATTATAGACCTGGAAATCCCTCGTCACGCCGATAAGATGCATCCCAAACTCCGTTTCGTTGAACGCCTCTCCCAAATCCCTGAATCTTCTCAAACCATCTCCCCACTCATCAAACCATCATTCTCCTTCCACTTCTGCTCCCTCTTAGCCCTCATCTTTTCCTCCTCAATCTCCTCACTCTTCTCAATAACCCCATCAATGTCAATCAACTTGCCCGTTCTTCCCTCAGCAGTCTGGTTCATCATCTCCTCTCCCTTCGCCTTCTTCGCCCTCATCTCGGCCTCACTCAAATCCTTCCATCCCTTGCCCTTCTTCCCAAACTTGTCGGCGTCGTCCAACATATAAGGATTTTGGCCCGGATACCCCATGATGATCACACGCGTAACCTCTTTCATCGCATCCAATGCATAGAAGTTATCACGCACCAATGCGTATTTGTGCAGGTCGTAGTCTTGCATTCCGCGAGCTCCGTCGTTGGTCCACCAGATGATGCGGAGTTGGCCTGGTGGGTGGAATTTCGTTACGTGGCCGGTGAAGGCGGTGTAGAGCGTCGACTTGAGGGAAGAGTAGTAGGATCCTAGATAAGATTCTTGTTGTTCCGGGTGGTTATCGAAGAATATGGTAGGCTTGCCGGTGATAACTGGTGGTGGGTTGTCCATTTTGAGGGGTTTATGTCACGTTTCTCGATTGTCCCAGGAGGAGAAAAAAACCGCCGCGGTATCCGAGGGTGAACTGGCCTAAGATCGCTTGTGAAGGTATGCTTGTGATTTAGATAGGCTTATTATGTCGCGAGAAAGCAATATACAGGGCGATTGTCGGCTCTCGATGTGGAAGTGTTTCTAGGAGTGAGTTAAGTCAAGTTGTGAGGAAGCCCGACGTCGAAAAGTCTAGTTTTATGCAGGGGAGTCAGCTAGCGCAGAAGCGGGGCGGCATGTGCGTAATTATGTGGTCGTTCGGCGATTAGATTGCACGGAGATAAGATTGAAAACAACAACTTCAAATTTATTTTTCGTCTTCCAACTCCTTTCATCTACAAAGTCTCAAGCGAGTATATCCTCATCTCGTATTTTACTCCTTATATTTACGATCTCTGAATCCGGCAAGCACCTCTACAGTACCATCTCCCGCCTCCGCATATCTTTTGGCAGAGATTTCCGGGTTGAGTTGCAACGTCTGCTTTGCCTTGACCCATTGCTCCATCGTCACCGGCGTCTCGAATCGCGGCTTTACTCCCGCCTCTTTCAGCACAGGAGAATCGAGAATCGGATTAAGGACAGTATCGTTATGAGGTCGAGCGAAATACAACAGACCAGTGCGGTCATATGCCCATTGATCCTTCGGCGGAGTCACAACACGATGCACTGAGCTCTTCAACCATCCGCCCGTCAAATGCGAAATCGTGTCGGCCAGATTGACGGTAATTGTTCCTGGTTGAGCGGATACCCAGGTCCAATTCCCGTCGTCTCCTAGAATTTGCAATCCTGCAATGGGTTGTCTGAAGAGCAATGTTACGGTCCCTAAATCAGTGTGTCCGTTGCTCACACCACCACCACTCGCTTCCCACTCCTCAGGAGTACGTTTTCTGTACAGCATGTATCGAAAGTGGTCCTCGGATTTCTTTTCATACGTGTGCTGGTTGACGAGAAAGTCTTCGTCCGGAAGTCTCAAGATTATCGCAAACAGCCTGAGGAGTGGAAGCACAACGTTTGCATGCAAAGTCCGGGAAAAGTGCTCGATATCCTTGATATGGGCCTGAAGCAGTGGCGGCTGTGCATATTTCCCCTCAAAATCGGCAGTGAATTTGGGAATGTTGTATATCTCGACATTGTCTCTGGTACTGCCTTCTTTTCTATGACCGTTTCTTCGCCAGCCGTTGTAATCGGCTGATGCATAGTCCACCTCATACTTGGCTTTTTCATCCACGGGTAGAGCGAAGAAGGATTTTGCAAGTTTGAATTGTTGGTCTACTTCTTCTGGCGAGAGACCGTAGTTTTTCACATAGAAGAACCCAACGTGGTGGACTGCATGCTCGAGTTGAGCTGCGAGTCGTTCCTTGCCACCTTCTCGTTCATAGTCCGAGAGATCGAGCGTTACAAGCTCTGCCCAATTTAACTTTTCGTTTGTCTCGGGAGGATGAGTGTATGTTGGTAACCGGTCGTAGTCATATTGATGAGGGTCTGACGATGAGTCTAGCGAAGAGACTTGAACGGGCACGTTTTCCGTCAATGTTGCTGACATGGTTCTCTTTGATTGTTTTCACACGAGACTTGAATACATTTCATTTCCTTCCGGGTTTGTTCAGCTCTTTATATGCCTATTTTCTGGAATTGCAAGGTTCATTTGGGGGTTCTGCTTATCCAGCAGAGGCATCATTTGGCGTCATTTCAACCCCGCATGTCACCACGAACAGGTCCCCACTTTTGAGTTATATGGAAGACCTCTCGAAGTATCTCAATTCCATTTCACATGCATCAGGATAGCTCAGTATGGATCTACGAACAACCTGTGGATCAGATATTTGAAATTTACGTTTGTAGCTGTTTCATTCGATACTTATGTTGCGGTGTTTTGTTCGTCATGCGCGAAGTTTCTTCGTCATTCTTGATTACAATTATCGGATGCTACGAACGATCTTGTACCCTTAGGTGGAGTGAAAGGTTATTCATTCGACCAGAGTGCGCCATCAATTCTGTTATGGAAAAATATCATGCATTAACTATATCGTTTCTCAGTTATATTATACCTGGCTTTTCTTCGCTAAATAACATAGATAAAATCTACTTGATTATCCAACACCGCGCCAGCAGCCATTCTCGCCCTGATCTTTTTGTTGTGCATCCAGAACCATAAGACGACGCCACCTAGCACAGGCAATGCCAGTGCAGTGAGCGCCATCCCTACACTGAATCCAGTTGGATATCTAGGAGCTTCTGTTGTGATGAAGATGTTGCTGCTCACGAAATTCGCACAATTTCCCACGCCCAATATTATGGCTGTTCCTACTCCAAGCTCCTTTGGTCCGCGAAGATTCGCACTTAGCCAACCAATATATAAGGACATTTGAATAAACGTTCCTAAGGATATGAGAAATTGAGCCATATATCTCACACCATACGACAATTGGACATAATGAATTACCCAACCCACCAACGAACAGATAATGGCGGGTGCAAGAAATACGGCTCGAGAATTCCATCTACCAGCGAGAAATGCGCTGGTTACCGGTCCGATGATTCCAACAATCCAAATGGGCATCGTCATGACCTGTGCTCGTCGAGCTGTCCAACCCAATTGCGATACGATGGTCGGATTAAAAGATGACAATGAACCTGCGGATACATCGGCGCAAAAGAACAAGAGAGTCATCGACCAGATTCTGGGATCGAAAAGGACTTTGATCAGAGGCCTATTTATTGTGCTCGCTTCGCCTTTGTCGGCCTCCAGACGAGCTAGAAGGCGTGAACGATCCGTTTCGGAAAGCCAGCTGTCTTTCGCGGGAAAATGTGGGACGAAAACCAGCGCAATGAAGCTAAAGACGATTGTTGCGAGACCTTCCACGATGAAAATCCTGATATTGTTAGTCTTGAACAAGCTTGGAGGAGCGGAGATATATACCATTGCCACCCCTCGAGTCCAGCTTTTCCATCCAAGTCCATCAACGCATAGGCGAGCAGCTACATTTATTAGCAAAGAAACAGTCATCGGCTGATTAGGAACATACACCGCTAAAACAGGAACCAAGCAACCCAAGACTCAAGAACAAACAGAAGCGAAGGGCGAGCTCCTTCTTTCGGTAATATGAAGCAATGAGTAGACCTGCACCGGCTGGAAGACTTGCTTCCATGATTCCCATCAGAAATCTTAGGGCAAGAAGACCTTCATACGAGTGCGTTAAGCCTTGGCACATGGAAAGGATACCTGTGAAATGTTAGAAACTCCAATACGATGCTTGGGAGTCGCGACTTACCAAGGATAAAGGTCATACCGCCCAACCACAAGTTCGGTTTAACGTACGGCAGAGCCAGAATGATGTTACTCGGTACTTCTGCCAAAACGAACGGAATATAGAAGATCCAAAGAGCGGTATTGAATCCTTTCTTCGGCATATCCAACCCTTTTTCCAGACCTGCGAGACGGGCATTCGCGATATTGGTTCGATCGAGGAAACATATTAGGTAGAGGAGTCCAAGAATCGGAATAACTTTCAAATCCAATTTCGTTGTCAGCCGACGATCTTCAGCTGCGGATATTGTCGTGAAATCTGTCTCGCCGGTTGAGAAGTCTGGGGAAGATGTGCTGTTTTGACTTCGTGGGCTTTTCTTTTCCAGAGCTGGCGCGTCGTTAACGACGACTTTCTCGGAGTCCATGGCTTCAAAAAGATTTCAGTATTTCGACTTCAAGACTCGAAAATCTGAGATCAGTCCGGAATATAGATTTGGTAACAGCGAAAAATTACAAAGATCGCCTGTTTTCAACAATGGATCATCTCAAATATACCTGAATTCCCCTTCAACCACGCCCTACACAAAAGTCATGCCAAATTACGATAAGCCAAGATTTTGACTCGCGGCGGTACAGACTGCCAGCTGTTACAGGGATGGTTATCAGAGTTATCTCCGCAAGTATGCTGCCGGATGTTGATCAGTATCATTAGCGTCCAAAAGTGGGATTTTACCATATCTACGGGACCTAGTGTCTGGTTCCTGGATAACAATATGGAGCTTGTACAATCCGTATGCATTGCATATCCCACCGTGCGGAGCGGACAGCCGATATCCTGAGCTTCATGTTTATACCAAGATGAACATTGAGGCTGCCGAAACCATTTCGACGCGACCGCGACTTGGAAGACATTTTCTAATACCACAACACTCTGAATCCCAAGTAACAAAAGTCGACCTGTCTAAAATCAAATAATTGAATCCCTCAAAATGGTCGGACACCTAGCAAACCGCGCCCAGTTCGGCCTCATCCTCCCCTCCACAAACACCTCCGTAGAAGCAGAATTCAACCGCATGCTCGTCCCAGGTAAGACCCCTCAAAATCCCTTTCCTAACCCAACCTCCCATTCCCACAACTAACAACACCCAGGCGTCTCCTGGCACAGCGGCCGCATCTTCGCCGCCAACCCCGACCTCTCAAGCAACGAATCCATGGTCGCCTTCCTCGAAGAGCTCCGCGTCGAGATAAAACGCGCCGTTCAATCGGTGCTACACGCCAAAATCGACTACCTAGTAATGGGCATGTCCGCCGAAACCTTCTGGGGCGGCAAAAACGGCGCCGAAGAGTTCGTACGCTTCATGGGCGATTTGTCTGGCGGACTCGGTATCACGACCGGGGCGGCGGCGTGCGGGAAGGTGATTGAGACGTATGGGGTTAAGAGGATTGGGATAATCACGCCGTATCAGGAGGTGGGCGATCAGCAGGTTGTGGATTTCTTTACGGAGATTGGGTGTGAAGTAAAAGCGATTTATGGGATGAGATGTGCGACTGCGACGTCAATTTCGGAGGTGGGCAAGGAGGAGGTGAAGGAGGCGTTTAGACGGGTTGATGGGCCCGAGGTGGAGTTGTTGATTCAGGCTGGCACGAATCTGTTGGCGGGGGAGGCGGCGGCGGAGATGGAGGTTGAGCTTGGGAAGCCGGTTGTGGCGATTAATGTTGCGACGGTGTGGCATGCTTATAGGAGTAATGGGATTATGGACCAGATTAAGGGGTGGGGGAGCCTTTTGGAGAAGTATTAGTTAGATTAGGGCAGTAATTTGAAAACTTAAGAAATCTTTGAGTTGTCGTTTGAAATACTTATAAACTGTCTCTTTCTCAACTGCTAAGACTCATTCAAGATCAAGTGTAGCTTAAAGAACCACTAGGACAGCCCTCAAGTCAAAACATATATCCAGATACCAAACTCAATTAGGTTGCTGAATAGATGATTTGGTTTTGGTCTATTCAACATAACTAAACCCCGCCTGAAACCACACGGTCATCAACCCCGCCACCGGCGCATTCTCCCTCAAAAACCCCTTAAACACATTATGCGCCTCGCATACCGTCTCATAATACCGCATATCCTCTAAACTTTTAAACACGGATTTGGTGACGAAATTGTAGCCTTGGTCGGCGGCGCTGCCGTTTGCTGGGCCGGCTTCCATGGAGATGATGTAGGGTCTGCCGGACTGAGGGGTGTTAGCTGGGGGAGTGATGAGGGGGAGGAAAAGGGAGGGGATATAGGGAGAGGGAAGGGGAGTTGATGAGTACTTTTTGTTGAGTTTCGGTGAAGTTTTGGAAGCCCTTTAGGGCGATGGTGTGGTGGTCTGGAGAGGGCAGTTTGATCATTGTCACGCGGGTGATTGGGGCTGTCATGATGGCGGTCGTTTTGTTGGTGGTCTTGTCTCTAATCGAGCTCATATAAAAGACTGAAGATGTGAGACCTTTTCTCAAATAATTCATTCAAACTCATAACCCCTCCAAATCAACATCCATCATAGCAACCACCCCGTGGATGTCTGAAGCGAGCTATAGTGGGCCCAAATGTCGATATCCAGAAATATGGAGATCGGTTACTTGTATCCGACACCACTTTTGCTATATCGCCCCCTGACTCGGATAGCTAATCGCGCAGGACCCCTGCTATCGTAGTTCAGAGCAGGCGAATGTTGAAACTCAAATCAACAATAAACACACTTTTGAGGATTAGATCTGATGTATTTTGCGTCTTGAATTCATCGTATTCTCATTTTCATAATGTCGTCGACCGACCAATCATTCTCCTTGGCCATCATAGGCTCAGGTATCGGCGGACTAGCCCTCGCGATTGGACTTCTGAAACAAAATGTTCGATGTACAGTCTATGAAGCCGCCCCTGTCTTTGATGCCGTGGGAGCTGGTATCGGATTGGGACCGAATTCGTTGAAAGCTATGGCGTTGATGGACGAGGAATTCGCAAAGATGTACGACGACATTAAAGTTGGGAATACCGCACCGGAACGATACAACGAGCAAATAGAGATTTTGGGAGCCGAAGAGGGGTTTCGACATGGTGGATCGGTCAGACATCCAGATTTTACTCGCAGTAGTGCTCATCGAAGAGCTTTGTTGGAGGTGATGAAGAGTTTGATACCCGAGGGAACTGTTAAGTTTAATAAACGAGTTGTGTCGCTTGTGCAGAAGGATTCGAAAGTGAGTATTGAGTTTACAGGTCAGTTATATGATTTCATTGTTGCTTTCGGTTCTGATTTGTCGCTTCCGATGTGACGAGCAAATAGCTCTGCGCAATTAAGGACTAACTCATACTGTTAAGATGGTGAAAAGGTCATATTCGACGCTGTGATCGGATGCGACGGAATCAAGGGAATGACCAGACGCGAAGTCCTCGAATCGAGATACCCAGAAGAGGTCCCAGCAAAGTACTGCAACGAGTATGTTTACCGAGGAATTACCACAATGGAAAACGCGAAAGCCATCATTGGAACATATGCTGAAGACGCTCGCTGGTTTATGATGCCTAATAAAGGTTGGGCGATGTACCCCATATCAGGCGGTAAAGAAGTGAACATTGTGGTATTTGTCAACGATGACAAACCTTGGGTTGGAGAGCAGGCAGCACGGCCGGTAGAGAAAGAGGAGATGTTGAGAGAACTCGAAGGCTTTGACAAGCGACTCATAGGACTGTTGGAAGTAAGTCTCGCACTTCTGGCTCGTAACGCAGAACTGATATTTGAGTAGTACGTGAAGCCGATGAGATGGCCACTCTTCCATCACCCTGATACCCCAACATACGTGAAGGAAAGGATCTGTCTTCTTGGTGACGTCGCCCACGCCTCAAGCCCTAATCAAGCAGCTGGCGCTGGACAAGGTTTAGAGGATGCTTTGGTTCTCTCTAGAGTTTTGGGCTTGGTGAAAAACGCAAGCGAGCTAGATGCGGCGTTTGAGGTCTATGACTTGATCAGGCGACCAAGAGCGCAAAAGGTTGTTCAAGAAAGTAAAGACGTTGGCGACATTTACTTCCTCACCCACCCTGATTTTGGGACCGACTTAGAAAAGATCACCGAGGACGCAAATAGACGACTTCCGCTAATATGGTGGTATGATCTCGAGGCAGATGTGAAAATCGCAGAAGAGGAGTTTAGAAAGAAGGTCGCAAGATTACCAACAGTGGGCAAGGGGTCTGCTGAAAAGACATCTAAGAAGAAGACAAGCATATTTCAGTGTGTTGTATCATAGTATAGCGTAGCATAATTAGCGTAAGGACTGTTTTATTGTAATCCAAAATGAACCAATTGATCATGAAGCGCCCGCACGGAGAATTTCGCCTATGTCGTCCCAGCTCCAATCTTGCAGGTTGTCGTTTGCATCGTCCATATATGATAGCTGCGGCCAGAAGTGGTCCTGGCTTGCACGTGCGTGGTGACTGGGAATAGCGGATAGAGAACAGTCAAGACTTCCCCCACTGATAGCTTTCGGCGATTTCAACAATGGACTTTTATCTGGCGAGAAGCCTTGCTGTTCGTCTTTTCCAGCCCTATGGAAGGTTAAAACGTACTGATCTGCCATTGCGCTGACCTCGATAACGATAGCACCCCACGTCCGCATAGATCCCGGGACCTTGGAACTGTCAAGCTGGGACGAAACCATTGTGGCCAAATCGTGTAATAGCTTCTGCGAGTCTGCCAGCGTCTCATGTTTCCCCTGCTTAACGTGGCATATGATGTCCAGAACAAGTATCAAAGAGGACGCAACGGTGTAAAATATGTCCCACCATGTACATGAGTTAAACTTGTTTATTGCACCAAGCTTCCTCATGATACATGCCAGTGATCTTCCAGAGTCAATACATGTTTCAGAAACCGTAAGAAGCGTTGGTGTTAGTGTGCTTTCTGGATCCTTGGACATTCTAGTTGCTCGACGAAGCAATGCAGCCCTGGACATCAAAACTCTAATATAGTAAAATTGAACATGTAACAAGAGGAGGGGTCTCTGAGATGAAGGTGCGAGAGAATCTGTGACTTCAAGACGCAAATGGAGTGGCAGCGCTTCTTTCCATTTATCCAATTCTATTAGTGACATTAGCATTCACTCAGGCGTTTCGTGCAAAGACCAAGGGGACATAAACAGCCCGAAGGAAGGACGTACCTCGAAGAACACCAGCTGCTGGAGAGAGTGGTCCAGAGTACGCATCTTCTGCACTCGTGCTACCAGAACCAGTCGGATTCAGCGCTCTGCAAGCGGACCCAAGCAACACAACGAGCCGCTGAGACCACTTCATAAAATCTTGAGGGCAGTGACCGGCAACTCCTACAATCCTCTCATTTGGGAAACTGACAGAACTCAGAGTGTACGCAATGGCGCTTGGTCTGTCGTAAGATGACACTTGCATATGCTCAAAGGCGTAGAGCGTCCACCAAAGTTGCTTTCTAAGTTCTCTTCCCAGTGGACTTTGCGTATGTTTAACGTCATCTCGGTGTAAACCAATCGCAAATGCAATGCGAACAGCAGTTCCAGTAATATTCCAGCATGCATCTCTGTGACTAGTATTATGAAGATGCAACGCCGCAAGCATAAGCGCTTGGACTGTGTAAAGATTTGAAGTAAAGAAAACTGTAGGCAGAAGTGTCTGAACGTGGCGCCACCATTTTCGCTCTGCCTCGTCCGGTATAGTGATTGAAGCAACACGCCTCGAAAGGATCAAGACACAAAGCAACCCACAAAGCCAAGATGGGTCTGCCGATGAAGACGATAAAGACCATGTTTCGTACGTGCCACGGAATGACGCTTCGTGAAGCACAGGAAAGTCGGAATGGATGACATCGAAATATGTGTCTACCAAGGTCTCGAGAACTGGCCCATCGATTTCTCTGACTGCATCAGAAGGCGAGCCGTAGTCAGTAGGAACAGACCCTCTCCGATCTTCACTTCCAAGGCTGTTCTGCCTCTTCGAGACCACAAGAGGATTCTCAGCTGTTTCGTACTGGTCCGCAGCGTTCTGTCCAAACATGGAAAATTCGCAAGCGGCATCGTTCCCAATGAGTTTTCTCAGATGCAGATGAAATGAGAATGAGCTGGAAGGGCCGATATATTGGACTTGGCCTTGCTGATCCGGAAGAAGTGGGAGGGTGTAATCATCGTCTTTTGTTTCAATTGCATCTGCGTCTCCTGTCGCGATACTCTCTTCAATCACCGGCAATGGTATTCCCAGAGATTTCCCCAATTGCTGCATCTCATCATTCGTCGATAAGTCTGCTTCCGGGACAAGTCCTTTTACAAGAGATTCGAGCAATACCAACCTTCCTCCTATTGATTCGGCGTTACCGTACAGACGCTTTTTGCGCGGCTGCGTGGTGGTACACGCAATTGCATGAAGCTGGCAATATCGACATTGGGACTGGCTCATGATCCTATCGCATTTTTGTTTCCTCGTCTTGCACTTGTCGCAAGACGTCTCTGTCCGTTTCCTCTTCTCTGGAGGGACGCGACGACTGGTGTTGACCGCCTCCATGATGTGAAGAAAGATGATTGTGAGTGAACGACATGATGGAATTGATGGGATAGCCGGAAATGTATCTGGTTTGAGCTGAACTAATGGTATCTTGGGTATCTTGAGTGGAACACAAAGGTGGGGATGGACTCTGATATCTGGGTTCTGGGTTGTTGACTGATGACAGCGCGCGCGATAAGGAGCAGGAGAAGGGTCCGCTTGGGAGAAGTTCGGAGCTTCAATAATCCGGGGTAAACAGGGGCGAATTTATGGAATCATAGAGTGGGTTTAGCGCCACGACATTCGTTTCAATCCTACTAAATACAATTGCCTTTCTGCACCAATTCTGTTACATCACTTAACCTCAATCCGTCAACAGGTGAATATATACAATATGCCTACATCGCTTGGCTATGGATCGTCGCTAATCATAACTTCGCAGGCATCCTCTTCTGCGAATCCAGGTCGTATTCTGTCACCAATTTCTCTGCTGCCATCTCTCCAACAATATATGCCGTGGATTGGGTATGATTGCTGATAGAAAGTTAGCAGAGCCGATGTGAAGAGCAGGCTGCGGTTTAATATACTTTGGCACAAATGGACAAACACTCAAGTCAACAATCCGCAGCGATTCGAGGCCAAAAACCCGAAAATTGGAGTCTACACAGGCGGTTTCGGGGTTCAATCCCATGCGAGCTGTACATGACATGTGCCAGGAACTTCCCATGTGCTTCCGTATATGGTCCTGCGGCATGGTGGTCAGACTGAACATGGATGAAAAATCCGGCGTACATACCAATATCGCCTCGTCCGACTCGTCTCTTGGTCCTACTTTCTCAATAGTTCGACTTGCATACACTGGAGCGGACAATATACGCATCACCTCACGTATACCTTCTATCATCACACGTTGGTCATAAGGATGTGTTAAGAACTTAGGATCAATCAGAGGAGCTGCCAGCGGATCTGCTGATTCCAGCGTGACGGTTCCGCGGCTCTGTGGGTTCATGATTAGGCACATGCTACCGAGAAATCGCTCTTCCGGAGCCTCTTCGTATGACAGAAATGCTGCAGGCGTATGCTTCTGAAGTGTTAGTTGCAGATCATCAAATGGGTAGATTAAAGGGAAGCCAACCGTCGCGAGTTCAAATGAGGGAACCGTCGAAGACTGCAGAAACCTCTTCTTCTCATCCGGGAGAGCCTCGTACTCCTTCGACCCTGTCACGGATTGCAGTTTGAGCCAACCCATCGGCGTCGGGCTTTGTGATAACGGTTGCCCTTCAAGGGTCGGTCCCTTTTTCTCCATCACGATCCCGACAGAAGAGAAGCAGTGGTCCTGCAGATTCTGTCCTACTTGTGGCAAATCGTGCACCACAGGAATGTTATGCTTGGAGAGCTGCTTGCTTGGCCCAACGCCAGATAGCATGAGTATTTGAGGAGTGTTGAGTGCACCGCCTGATAGGATCACCTCTTTCACGGCTCGGTATTGTCTGCCGTCCATTGTTTCGACGCCGATAGCCCTTTTCCCCTCGAAATTCACACGTGCGACGGCACTGTTTGGCAGAGTTGTGAGATTTAGCGGGCTGGAGGCAAGATATGCACTTGCTGATGTTATCCTGGTTCCCTCGTGGATACAAACGCTTCCCATGCCGAAGCCAATAGGGTCCCCTGAGTTTACATCTTGGTTCATTCGGAGGCCCGATTCCTTTGCTGCGACAAATATGTCCTCTATATCTGGCAACCATGCATCGCCATATGAAAGGTTGACTAAGCCGGAAGTGCTATGATCTTCGTATGATACTGTCAGCAAAGGGTCTTCTTTTCTAAATCGCCTTTGATATCGTACCTCTTACATCCGCATATACATATTCTTTCAGCGCTGGATCTGGGATATTGGCATCCAAGTTTTCTATTCTTTCCAAGCATCTTTTGGCGTTCTTCCAACTAAAGCTCTGATTTCCGACTTGATTCGCCCACTCGTCCCAGTCGTCGCGTGGCCCTACAACCCAGCCGCAAAAGTTGATTGCCGTGCTACCACCCAGGCCTCTGCCTCTCGAGTAATCGATTCTTTGTCCCGCTAGTTGATGTTGTTCTGCTGTTTTGTAATTCCAGTTCAGTGGGGAGTTTTCGCTGAAGGCAACCTCAAATCTTTGGGCGGCTGAAAGATGAGCTACGTTGTCGTTCGACCCCCCAGCTTCGAGCAGTAGGACTGATGGCCGTAATGAAGTGTTTGCTATTCTCGAAGCCAGGACACAGCCTGAAGCACCCGCTGTCCCAATTATCAGCTAGAGTTCTAGACAGGTACGTGTTTTCTATCACCTTACCACCAACAACTATGAAGTCATAGGAACCGTTCATTTCCTCTGTCTCGCAAGTTACAGCAAACGTAGGTACTTGTTGTAAGTTCAATTGGGTCCTTCACTGTAGGTTTGTTCTGGTATAGTGTCTAATACAAGCCACTACTGAGATCCTTAATCAATTCTAGCCGTTCCACTTATTCTACGGTACTGTAATTTTTGAAGAACCATTTTTGTTGAAGTTCTAGACAGGTAACCTATCAGTCTCGTGGTCTAGGTTCGTGTTTAGATTGCCCACTTGATTCTTCAAAGCGTCTTATCTGGGGGACTTTCAGGGGCCCCACTGTCGCTTCTTGGTGACCCGTCGGTACAGACATCCGATGGGATTTCAAGGACCAATCTCGACTACAGGAGACCCATGACAGTCGCTTCTAGGCAATCTAGGCCTAGACGCATAGTATCTTGACAATTGGGGACATTGATCCGCTCTTATCAGAGATATCGGTGGCAAGTATGTGATGGCGCTTTGACATTCGTGTCGTCCACGTATTGTAGAATCAACAATTGTGGCCTAACCTATCTGGTGGCGTAACAAGGCAGTCAGAAAGAGATATCAATTTGAAGTCAAATTTGAGAGTGCTCCCTCAGCGTTGAACTGTTCACAGCATCGACTTTTGCAAACGTCGACAAAATGGCGCTCTCCCGATTTATGCAAAAGCTCGAAGTCAAGCCGACTGACGATGAATATGAGAGTATCACCACGAGCAGATGGGGAAACAGAGATGTTTATCCTGTCGCCCACGACAAGCGTACCTATGGAGTATATGCCTTTGTCAGTTATTGGGGTATGACTCCTAACTCTTCAAGATTTCCCAGCGGATATTAACCATTTCGCAGGAACTTGTGGTATCTGCCTGTCATCGTGGACTATAGGCAGTAGTTTGATTGGTATTGGTCTTACACCAGGTCAAGCGATGGCCTCAGTCGTACGTCTTCTCGGTTGGCAATAGGGGCTCAAAGAATGCTACTAAATTCTCTTTAACAGACAATTGGGATGCTCTTAGCTAGTGCCACTGCCTTTCTCAACGGAACCCCAGGAGCGAAACATCACCTGGGATATGGAATGCTTGCCAGAGCGTCGTTTGGGCTATGGGGTAGTTACTTCTGTATTATGCTGAATGTCTTTCAATCATTCGTATTTTATGTAAGTTTTCCCACGAGAATCATCTCGAGACACCAGATCTAACCGTTATTAGGGCACGCAAATGTATTTCGGAGGGCAGGCTTTCGTTCTTATTCTCAATGCACTATCTCATAGCTTTCTGACGATGAAAAACACTCTTCCTGATAGGTCAGTCAGATCATAAACAAGTCTAGTCGTAGATTTATAGCACGACCATCATGCGAATGTTTTTGAGCTGACTTTTCATAGTGCCGGTATCACAACACCGGGATTGATTGGATTCGTCCTCTTCATCTGCCTATACTTCCCCATCATCTATTTCATACCAGCACACAAAATCCAAAAGTTGTTGGAAGTTCAGGTGGTAGTCGCAACAGCAACTTTGTTGGGAATTATGGCTTGGGCGATTAATGTTGGTCTTTTTGGCCGATATTGTCATCAAATGCTAATGCTTCCCCCAGATGAACGGTGGTAGTCCAGGCAATCTTGTCTCCTCGCAGCTCAAACTTACCAAAGCCGAAGTTGGATTCCGTGTCATGCAAGGAATCACCTCTGTGGCAGGTACATACACAGGAGGAACAGATCGAGTATCAGATTGGACACGTTACGGCCGTTCTCGCCATACCTCAACCCCCGCAATTCTAGCCCTCTTCTTGACCGTCATCCTCACAGCTCTTATCGGCATCCTCTCAACCTCAGCACTCATCCAAGTCTACGGCGAAGCCCAATGGAACCCCCTCCTCTCCCTCCAATCCGTCCAAGCAACAACCTACACGCCCGCTTGCCGCGCCGGCACCTTCTTCGCGGGTCTCGGTCTCCTCTCCGTCACCGTCTTCGTCAACTACACGCAGAACTGCGTCTCCTCCGGCATGGACATTGCCATGCTCGTCCCGAAATACTTCTCTCAACGCCGCGGCGCGATCGTCTTCTCCATCCTCGGCGTCCTCGCCCAACCATGGCGTTTTCTTACCGGATCCGCGACCTTCATCACTGTCCTTTCTTCCTTTGGTGTCTTCATGTCCCCCGCGGCCGCGATCCTCATTGTTGATTTCTGGATCATCAGAGGCACGAAGTGGAATATCCCTGAACTCTACAAACCTAATGGTATCTACTGGTTCACATTCGGCGTCAACTGGCGCGCTATGCTCGCTTATCTCATCGGTATGTGGCCTGCGCTTCCTGGCTTTGTCGCTGAGGTTGGCGGGACCGAGATTGCGATTACGTGGAGACGGTTCTATCAGATTAGTTATTTTATCGGGTTTATCATTAGTGGAGGGCTGTTTTGGGCGTTTAATTTGCTGAGTCCCGTGCCGGGACGGGGTGTGCAGGTGGATTTCGATTTGGATGGGACGGTGGTTGTTGTTGAAGGGGTGGAGAAGGAGCATGGGGAGGGTGAGGGGTTTGGAGATGAGAAGGGGTTGGAGGCCTTTGAGAGGAAAGTTTGATTTCTTTTTGGGGTGGCTTCGTAATTTAATTGTATTCGTGTGGCTGTGGTTGTGTGGGAGTATGGGTTGGGGATTAGCGGAGAGATGGAATCAAATACAGAAACTTGCTGGGCAAAAGAAGTATATAAAAGCAATCTCCTTCAATCTATCAATATTTACTGCTCATTCAGCTACGTCACAGTTTCGCCGGGCTTTTAATAAATTCATCTTTGCTCCGTTCATCCTGCGTTTCCTCGGAAAGATTAGCTAATTAGTCGTGTCAATTACTTGCACTGTCTTCTCGCTTTTTCCAGCCTTGTATAAACTGTCCCTTTTGGCTAATATCGTATCGAAGCAGCGAAAATTCAGATCCCTAGATACTACGTTTATTCTTTCCCAAATTCCGGCCAAGAAAAGCGATCTATATTATATCGTGCTAGGCTCCGTACCAAACGCAGCTAGTGCTACGTAATATGGCCCTTACGAAAGCTTGGCTTTAGAGCTCGACGTCAACAGCTTTCGACTAAAAGACGTGACTCATTGTACGCTACTTTAATTAGCCCTCATGGGGCCCCTCACAGTGTATCAACACAATGTATCGGAAAGGGAAGGGCAAAATGGAGGGTGCATGGGAGTCGGACTTTTGATTTTGGTTTTTCATTACATTTCTTTGGATTTCTGGTTGTATAATGCTTGCGTTTATTATGTTGGTTCTGCAGCAGGGCCCAAAGCTCCTGACTACATTTGTAGCCTAAACCTAACCTTAGATAGAACGTCTACATAGCGCCTGAGGTAAAAAGACTAGTATGGAATCCCAAAAAAACAAAAAAAAAAGAAATTCCCTACTTTAGTCGACTGTAGATCCTACGTGACCCCGCCATCACCAGCTATAAAAGCTGTGCTCCCATCTCGTATTCTTGCTTTCCTTTTCATACTCCCAGGGCACACTCGCTCAATCAAAGAATGCTACCACAGTGCGAAGGTCAATGTATTTTTTAATTCGAACCTTCCACACTCTGATGCTCTTTGGCCACACCAACCAAAAGAAAGCTACCAATTTTTGGATCACCTCACTCTCGGAATCACACTACCTCCAACGAGTGCTCTTTTCATTGCAAATACTGGCTTGCCAGTATTGTGAAGAAGAGGAAAGTGATTTCTCGAGCTGGCTAGGAAAGTCGTTGTACCCAGGTACGGTACGTACTATACGGTGTATCGTACACTCAGTAGTGTTTTCTTCATTAAGAAATTGGCTAATACTATGACTGTGAGTACAGCACTACAACAGTACCGTCTGTCTCAGTAATCGGAGCGTCATTTACCGACTCTTGGTGTCGAATTTCATTTGAGTAGCTGGCGACGATGTATGGATTTCACATAGTCAGCCCCATGAACAAGGCTGGTGCTTCATTCCGTGTGGTGGTATGCATCATGCAGCATTGCTGCAAGACCATAAGCGTGTGTGGCTGAGTAAAGAGCTGCCGCCTGAGAACAATACATTACCAGCTTCCTCCCTCATATCGTTATAACTATATCTCAGACCTATCCTCCCTACTGCTTGAGCAGCTTTCTTCGCTATGGTTGAGGCGAACGCGAGCCAGCCAGACTGAGTACAAAGCTGGCTTACCAAATTCCGTGATAAAAGTCAGCTGCCTCCGCTGGCGGGTATCCCGTCATGAACATGCTAGATCCGATGATGCTGGGATACGACCCAGGTAGCCAAGGGTCGTTCACTCCGGACTATATTACAAGTGCATATGACTCCAGAGTCTGTGAGAAACTTATTGAGTCGACTTGGCCGTCTAGACAAACTGTTGATACCAGCGACGCCACCAACCCGAACAGTTTATACCAGAAGAATGCCGCCGCGGCAGAGCAGATATACTCACCACTGGCACCGAAGGCATTTAGACTGCTGAAGCTTCACCGGGGTACTGAGAAGGTTCACTGCTCAATTCTGGTATCGCTAGAAGACCATGCTCTCAAATACGAGGCCCTGTCTTACTTTTGGGGTCCAATAAACGACTTAAAGGCTATTTTGTTGGATGGTTTCGAGTACCTAGTTACTCCCAACCTGTTTGAAGCGTTGCTGAGGCTGCGCAAACTGGACGAAGATCGCCTACTATGGATTGACGCTCTAGTTATCAACCAGTCAGACCTTACTGAGCGCAGCAGAGAAGTCACCAAGATGCTCGATCGGTACTCCCGGGCAATGAATACGATCATTTGGCTGGGCAAACCCTTAGCAAATGCTTCCTATGGTCGCCTTGATATCATGTCAGCGATGAAATTTCTCTCACAACCGGAGTTGGTAGCCCCGAAAGATCATGACAGTGGAGAATGGGTCCCAATCAAACAAGCGGTAGAAGCAATCTTTTGCTCAAAGTACTGGAGTAGAGCATGGACTGTGCAGGAAATGATGTACAGTGACCACGCAACACTACATTATGGCTCGATAACATTGGACCTGGCAGACTTCTTGCGCTTCGTGGACGTCAACTCGCATAATGCCGATTCGACGTTTCTTCGAAGTATCGCCATTGGAGACAAGCGGGTGGCAATGCGTCCTGGATATGGCCGCCAGAAACGGTATCTGCGGATTCCGTCCTGGTTGGGCTGCTATCTCCGTCATCGAGATTGTTCGAATCCAAGAGATTGCGTCTTTGCCTATTACAACTGCTTTCCGCCGGAAGCCAGAAGGCACATTGTGCCAGACTACGAGCGGCCGATACTTAGAATGGCTCTGGATATCACTCTTGCCTGGATTGCTTCAGAAAATAATCTCGACTTCTTGCTCCAGATTGGCTGCAGAGAGTCCTGCTGGCTGCGACCTGATAACCCAAATAAACAGTGTATTCCGACATGGTTGCCAAACTACTTTGGGAAGCAGACGAATTGTAGCGGCAGGGTCGTAGCTGGACCTGATGTGCCCCAAGCTCCTCCACCTCTGAGCAATCCCGTTGTTCGGTTTGATGGCAAGAGCAACGCAATGTACGTCAAATGTGTGTTGCTAGGAACAATCGAGAGTATGGGAACACCACACTATAATTCTATCCCCAAGTTTAAGCCCTTCGAGTCCTTCATACAACTTCACCTCTTACGCGCAAAGGGCAAAGTTAGTAAATTGGACAAGGGGCTGAAAGAAGTGATTCAAGTTCATTATCCGCTGTCAGAACTACCTGAGGCCACCAACCAGAACTCTGAGGTTATGCAAACAATAAAAGAAGAGATGAACTGGAAAGGAGAGTCCCTGAATGAAACAAATGAAAGACATCTCAGGATTGCAGAACGTCTGTGTTCATGGAGGACTGCATTTTCTTATAAGCAATGGCCACCATCACGGCTAATCCAGACCAACAAGGTAGATGTACCATTCGGACTAGGAACTGAAGGACTCAAGATTGGAGACCAGGTTTTTGCTGTCGTTGGATGTAGCACACCTTTGATATTGAGGCCTGTAGGAGACTTTCATACCGTGGTTGGAAACGCTAAAATGTTTCTCTTCGTGGACGGTATATTCTTGCAGAGCAACCTAGCGATGTTTCCACCGGGTATCTTTTTAGATATCACTTTGCGATAACTTTGCGTCATTGCAAGAGAACTTTCAACTGCCATCATTTAGCTGAATTTGTGCTCGGCGATACTAACTTATAATGTATTTACGAATGAGGATCAATCTTGTTCCATCTATATGTATTTACTGGCCACTTCATGTTTCATACCATGATACCAGCCCCGTCTGGACTCCTTTCTTGCATTGGCCGCTGTTGCATCACAGTAGCAGCAATTGATATTATTAGATGGTAAGTTTGGCTGTCTTCTGAAGACCTCCCAAAAACCTTTTTACCTTTTCCACCCCATCAGCTAACTTTTGGTCGTGTTTGAGTGGCTGGCGCAGAAGCATCGATTTCACGTGGACAGGTCGACAGATAAGGCTGGTTCTTCGTCCCATTGGGTTGCATCATGCAGTATTGCTGCAAGCTGTGTGGCTGAGTAAAGAGCTGCCGGCTAAGACCAATATGTTATCAGCCCTTCCATCAAATGGTCATGATTATATCTTATACCTATTCTCCCCGCTACTTTAGCAGCTTTCATCGCCATGGTTGATACGAACAATATAGAAGCGGAATTGCAGGCTTTTCAGGAACACTTTGATTCCATAAGGCTAGGACTTGGCGTTGCAGAATCTCATGATTCAGTTCTCGATGTCTTTGCAGTAGTCGATGTTATGAGTATGTGCTAATTCACGACTGGAAATAGTGTTGCTAATTCCGTTATAGTTGCTAAGAGCCTAATCATCGATCTTGTTCGAATCCTAACAATCCAAAGTCAACCGAGCGCGCTCACAATTTCTTCGCAGAATGAGAATGCAAATTACTTGTCGGACTTATTCAGCCTTGGCTCAAACGTTCTTACAGATACCTTCGATTTTAAAATGACTATAACGCTAATTCAGCAAGTTCTGAATAACGGATCAGAAGATGGGATCCGTTATACTGCCTCCAAATTAGCAGCCCAAGCACGCCTACAGTTGGCCTCTTCAGCTTCTTCACCTAAGAATTTATCTAGCACGCAGCTCTTCAATTCCGAGCAATTGATAGAACCAAATTCTTCAATGAATTGTGATGAGACAGAATCTCCGCCCTCGAAGCGTGTTAAGGTTGCCCATGGGGTTGCCCTACAAGAAAATGAAAGCTTTGGTATTGGGCAAAATCAGGAAACGGGAACTCCGCATGGAGATGACTATCACCAACCAGTAGTTGAGCCATCATCGCCTTTTCAATACCAACCCCTTGATACGTCACGACGGGAAATAAGATTGCTCATTTTGCATCCCTACAAGAACACCTTAAATCTCAATGGCTATTCATGCACTTTGATTGCTGTGTCCTTGGACGAGGATCCTGTCTATGAAGCTTTATCTTATGTCTGGGGTTCTACAGTAAATAAAAAGGAGATTTTCATAGATGGTCAGCACTTTTTCATAACTTCCAATCTTGCAGAAGCGTTAGATCATCTTTATGACAGGGAAAAGCCTCGCCGATTGTGGGTGGATGCAGTTTGCATCAATCAGGAAGATGTATCGGAGCGAAGTCAGCAAGTTCAGTGCATGACTGAAATTTTTGCAAAAGCTAAAAAAGTTGTGGTTTGGATTGGGCTTCTTGGAATGAAAATCAAGAAACTTTTGCACCGTATCAAAAAGACAGAAGAAGACGACCAGAAATCAAAGAGCCTCAAGGGGCGTACTATTCGTGGAACCACTGTTACTGCCAATTCTGCTCCCTTAAAAGATGAAGAAATGAAATTGATGAACGAGCTGGCTCTAAATCCGTGGTTCAGACGAATATGGGTAATCCAGGAAGTCGCTGTCGCACGAGAAGCCACCGTACAAACTGGACGGACGACAATCTCTTGGTCGGCCTTCTGCACGACTTTAGAGAAATGCAGCAGTAAGCACGAGATGAAGAGCGTCATTGAGGCAGTGAGCATGATCAACACGATAAGAACTACAAGATTTCAGAAACCATACTACATGGATTTGTTTGTCCTACTTGAGCGATTCAGACACTGCTTGGCTACGGACGAAAGGGATAAAGTCTTTGCTCTTTTGGGACTTACGTCAAGCTCTTCCCGACAAGAAAGAGGGCTCCAAGTTAAAGCAGACTATTCAGTGCCGGCGTTCGACGTATTTACGTCTCTTGCAAGGCACTATATCAATAGACGGAAGAATTTGGATATAATCTGTCATATTGGTGATGCTAATCTATCAAGTCATATTCCAATACCATCCTGGGCCCCGAGTTGGTCGTGGTATGATTCTGGATTGTCGGTACTCCCTAAGCGTCGCATACAGGGAGCTCTTGCAGAGCCCATGTACCGATGTTGTGGTGATATGGAACTTGATAGAGAAGTTCTGTTTAGCAGTGAGCTGTATGATAAAACATTGTGGTTGAACGGCTTCAAATTCGATGTTGTGTCCGCCATTGGTGGCGTAACAACTAAAGCTGAGGACTTACATCTAGATATACCTGCTACTCGTGTAAGCGATGTGTTGAAAGACTGGAGAGATCTGACTGGAAGTCTTTCTTGCAAAAGTTTGTATGGATCAAATATAAGCGAGGATTTTCAGCGTACCTTACTCGCTGATACTTTTGGAGAAACCCGCTATCCAACGAAACCTCCTGGTGTTATTTCCAAAACAGTCGGCGAGGCTTCACATTCACAAACCATGTACGATGTCTTTAATTCCTCGCATCTCTATAAAAGGGAGTACGCAGATGTAGAAGAAAGCTCGGAATCAGATGAACGTCCTCGCGACGGCTTCTTTAAGGATGTGAGTCTTATCGAAAGCTGGCACGTCAGTGGAGACAAAAGCCAGGCATCAGTTGAACCTACCATGTACGAGTTCTTCAATTACACTAGTCTCATCGAAGGAGGGCACATCGAAGGAGAAGAAAGCCTAATACCGCTATCGGACAGGCTGAATGCTAGAGTCAATATCTTAGGCGCAAGTCTCAGACGAGCTGCTCTGAAACGAGCGTTTTTTGTAACAGAGAAAGGTTATATGGGATTAGGTCCGGCTAGTATTCAAAAAGGAGACTTTGTATACGTTTTGGCAGGCGGACAGGTTCCGTTTATTCTCCGTAAACACACGAATGCGGAGACGTATTTCTTGATGGGTGAAAGCTATGTCCATGGGATAATGGATGGTGAAGCGGCCAGATTTGGATTTGAGCTTGAGACCTTGTGCCTCGTATGAATGAAACTCTAGTATTATGAGATAACGATCTATTGACAATATGACGGATAGAGAATCAGAATTGGTGTCTAAATGTCGCTTTCTACATTTATGGTTGTGTTGGTTTCTTGCGTCTTTGGGAAATTTGGAATAGTCATGAGTGCTTTTCAAAAATGACGGGACACCGTTTAAACAACGCTGTTAGGAATTCAACTTTCTGACACCCCTTCCGTAATATGTATGTTTAGCCTTTAAAATAGGAACGATATTTCACATATTATTCAAAGCAATTGGTCTGCTTTTTGGGGATGAAATTGCTATTCTGCCGATTTGAGGTGTCCCGTGCACGGTGGACTTGCAACACACTGGTGAGTTTTCTGATAGCAATTTGCAATCTTGAACATGAGATAATATATCTAGAACCCAACTTGTTATTCAAGTAAACCGAAGATTGGTAGTTCGTAAGAGTGCCTGCTAATCATTACCAAAATCTTACTAATAAGAGCAAAGTCCACAATAGTAGCCCCTAATCTCGACGCTTGAATCTCTCGCTTAGATTCCACCCACAAAACCAATCGGAGTACTGCCGATGGAGCATCCCACTTCGGACGATACCTCATCCAATTCCCAACTACATCATCGGCTGCTGGCATGCGATTCATGTTTCCGACGCAGAGGGTGATTGCAAGGATGTGCTCTCTGAGTAAGGGTCCTTTAGGAGCTCTGTATATCTGTGAAGCTTGGTGTTCTGCGATGAAAATAATCGAGAGCTTGGAAAGTAACATATTCGAAAATGGCTGATCTAATTGACTCGCAATTGTTCATTAACAACAAGGTATGCAGATGTGAGAAGAAGAACTGAATAAAAACCTAATCGCGGTAATAGTTTGTTCCAGCTTCTACTGGCGAGACTTTCGAGCTTTTCAGTCCGTTTGATGGCAAGAAAGTTGCAAAGGGTAAGTTCAATCCTTTGCGATTTCGTTATATTAACTAATGGTTACTACTTCAGTCGCCGAAGCCTCAGCAGAAGACGTCGACAGTGCTGTCAACGCAGCACAAGCCGCATTCCCAGCATGGAGTGCACTCTCCCCCATCGAGCGCGGTCTCCCCTTGAAGAAGATGGCCGAGAAAATCACCACTCACAAATCAGACCTTGCTGATCTTGAGGCTCTTTCCATGGGCAGGCCCGTGGATGGCTACTTCGACGCCAACTATGCTGCTGTGCATTTTAATTACTTTGGAGAGGCTGCTTATGCACAGGGACATACTTCATTGAATACACCGGGGTTCTTGAATATGAGCTTGAGACAACCGTTTGGAGTTGTGGGAATTATTATTCCCTGGAATGCCCCTTTGGTGTTTTTCAGTAAGAAAGTTGCGCCAGCGGTGGCGGCGGGGAACACGGTGGTGCTTAAAAGTAGTGAGAAGGCTCCTTTGACTGTGAGTTAACATGGAGTTCTCAAGGGTGATTGTGCTAATTAGACTTTTATAGTCGTGGAAACTTGCACAATGGATTGAGGAGTGTGGATTCCCACCTGGAGTTATCAACGTCGTCTCGGGACATGGACAAGTTTCTGGCAATGCGATATCGGCACATATGAAGATACGAGCTATTTCCTTCACCGGATCGACACGCACCGGACGCAAGATCCAGATCGCATCCGCAAATTCAAATCTAAAGAAGGTCGTTTTCGAGCTTGGTGGTAAAGGACCGGCAGTCATCTTTGCCGATGCAGATCTTGAAGAGGCAGCGAAACAGACGGAGTTCAGCATCAACTATAACAGTGGTCAGACTTGTATGGCAAACAGCAGAATATACGTCCAGGAAAGTGCGAAGGAGAAATTTACAGAGGTCTTCAAGAAGTTCGCTTCTCAACGAAAGATTGGAAATCCAAGAGAAAGTGGCATCAACCACGGTCCCCAGGCGGATAAAGTACAGTACGACACTGTACTAAAATACATCGCGCTGGGCAAGGAGTTAGGACAGGTATCTCTCGACGGAGAAGCTAACTCAGAAAACCTCACCGTCCATCCTGTTATTTTCAACGACGCACCAGAAGACCACGCGATTATGAAAGAGGAGATCTTCGGTCCAGTCGTCGTAATCAACACATTCAGCAGCGAAGAAGAAGTCATCGCGAAAGCGAATGACACTGAATTCGGGCTGTACGCATCCTTATGGACGAAGGATCTGGAAAGAGCCCTGAGGGTTAGCAAGAAATTGGAAAGTGGAATGATTGGTGTCAATTGTGCGAGTCCAACTGGATGCTGGGATTTGCCGTTTGGAGGCTGGAAACAGAGTGGAACCGGGAGAGAGAGTTTGTTAGAGAGTATGGAGCATTTTACGGAGCAGAAGAGTATTTATTTTAAGGTTAGGGGGATTGGTGGATGAGTAGGTGGGTAGAGGCGAATATGGAGGTTCGAAAAATTAAACACCCTGTGATTTGAACATTGACTCGTTTCTCCCTGGCGTCCGAATACTAGTTTAAAATTCACTTGAGAAATAGATGTAGCCAGTATGTGGTGTTCTTGGATAGGCAATTATGGAAGGAGGTATGTCACGTGAACCTCACCTGATCTCGTGCCTCGGCGATTGTCTCATCTCAAGCCCGCTTATTTTCCTCTGCATCACGACTTCATAATCAACAACAGATCAAGACAATATAGGTTGTAGGTTGTCGCCGTTCACGATTTTATCATCTCGCTCTGTCTTTCTGCTCATGATGTTTCTATTTCAAGTACGAGACCGTTTCAGAGTTTCCAGTCTCGAGTTCTGATGAGTCGCGATGGTGATTCATCCTTGTTCACGAGTTCAACATCACGCGCTGCCTGAATTGCGCGTGCCTTCTATCATTTTCTATTGCTCTTTTTGTACTCACAGTCAAAGTTGGTAGTATGACTAGCTGTTTTCGTTTTACTTTTCTTTATTTCTTGATATTCTTGTTGAAATCTCTAATACCCAGAACTGCAATCTATATTACCATAGCCCAGTGTTTAATTTAAGTGTTCGTTACTTTGAACATCTCCCAAGCGTTCAGCGTCAAGACAAGGAATGGCGGACGGCTCCCAAAAGCCAAAGCCTAAGTCCAGGCTATCAAATGAAAACAAAGCCGCGATCAAACGGGCTTCGAAGTCCTTTCTCACCAAGTTCGGACCGGTCATTTTCGCTGGCGTTGCTGCTGCTGTGAAGCATCATCTCGATGATGATGAAGAGCGAAAAGAAGAGGCCGGGCCATCCAAGGCCAGAAGTCAGATCGACGACAAAGCTAGCGATCGCACGACTGATAGCGAATTAAGGAGAGAAGTTCGACATTTGAAAAGGGCTTTGCGGAGGAAAGAGAGACAGTTCTTGCATCATGGTAGCGACAAAAGATCCTCGAAAACCCCATCCCTGTCTTCGATGAGAGTTAACATTCCCACGGTTGTCATCCAAGACCATGACAATGATCATCGAGGAGTCCCCCCAACAGTTAGAGGACTCGAACAAGAAGGATCGTTTGAAAGAAAAACTCCTCAGAATGATTATTACCAACACCCCGAAGATCAATTCTCGACTGCTGAGCACAGCGAAAAGGTAGGAGACGACGATGGACTGGTCGCTTCTCGAGATCTGGATGCTACGTCAATCGGGCCCCGTCATCACAGCCACCACCGCCATCAACACCTCGTCCACTCCCCAAATCTCCGTCACTCGTCTGTACCAATCCACATGCCGTCCAAGGATCGCGAAGAAGAGCTTTGTGACAAAGCCATCGAAGCATCCAAAGTTTCTGCATTGACAGGCGCAATCGAAGCACTAGCAATCAGTGATCGCCATGGGAAATGGTGGGACAACGGTATGAGCGCCAAAGGTAAACGAACGGCGACTGCTGTTGCTGCAGGCTTTAGAACGAGTTGGGCGAGGGGAGAAAATACAGAACTTGCCGATGGATGGGAAACTATTGCGAATGTTGGAAGAGGCTTGCTTATCACTAGAATTGTGCATGGCAGTAGCTCGAGAATTGATGAGCACTGGCGAGATGAGCGACGAGGACGAAGGAGAAGGAGGGATAGTTTCTGATTTGTCTTTTTCGTCATTGTTATTTTCCAGCCGACACCTTATTATCTCTCCATTAACGAAGTTATGACTACCACCGGATTGGCTGGAGCATCCTTTTAGAAGAACGATTGAAGACGAGATAAGATTGCAGCGTTTAAGTTGGGGTTCGGCTTATTGGGATTTCCTCTCAGGGAGTGCAGATAAGCGAGCATAGCAGGAACGTCACTCATACCACATCTCCCTATTTCGTATGACAGATATATATTTTGGATTTATTAAGAAGGCCGGTTACATTTCATCCATATGATCGAGCAAATTTTACCTCACAATTTCCCCAATCTCTGAACCAAATCCTCCGCACTCAAAACCCACTCATCTTCACTCTCTTCTTTGAAATAACTCACGCCCTCCAACGATTTAAATCCCATCTTCCCAAGCACCTTCCCACTTCTCACATTCTCTTTCTCGGTCTCAGCAATATACCTTTTCACGCCCATCTCCTTCACTCCCCACAACATAACTGCATCAGCACCTATCCTCGCAAGACCCTTCCCCCAATAATCAGGCGCAACACCATATCTGAGTTCCACCATCTCCCGCCAATCTGGCCAGCTCTCGCCTTCCTCAAGCTCCGGAAGCGACGTCGTGGTAGCGTCTCTTATTCCTGCATACCCAATCCACTCCACCCCTTCCAGCCCACCTCTCTTAGCAACCCATCTTACATACTCCTCCCCATCTACCAACACAACATTCGCACCTAACTCTCTTCCCTTCACCTCATCATCGCTTGTTCGTAAACTCATAGCAAAATCTCCCATCCCGCGCACCCCCCAACACCGGGCCACATCACGTGTTCGTATGGAAGTCTCCGTTTCGGGATCGCTCCATTCACGAGGTGGGAAATGAGATCCAAAGCCCATTGTACAGAAGGCGGCATTTGCATGGAGGTTGCGGTAAAGTGTTCGGTATGACTGGATAGACATCGCGATGGGGGTGGGGATTAGGAAGAGGGTTGGGGTGAGGAGGATGAATGGGTGGAAGGTTTGTGTGGACATTTTGTGGGGTGGTGAAGAAAAGATTTTGGGTGGTGTTCTGGTGTGTAATTTGATCGGGTTATTGATGTCTTGGAAGAAAATATATATATACAGAAAATAAATGGTGTGTCTTGAACATAATCATAAGCTATAAAACCCCGCTTTTACATGACTCATACCGACTCATGTGGAAACTTTTTTGTAGCGTAGTCCAAGGACGAAGGTGCATTTACACTCCTCTTTCTTGGTCTTACCCTAGAGCTCAGAGGTTAATTTCAGCTATGCATCTTGATTTCTCAGACACACACAAAATTCCTTGGAAAGCAGTCCTAATTTCTCGGCTAATCGATTCAACCTTCCTGACAGATCAGAGATCTCATTGACTAATGTCATAGTATAAAGTTGATCTGTTGACATTGCGTTTGAAATACAACATGAAGTAAACTCGCATCCCACAGCCATCCATTCCTAGGATAAAGTACCAAACAGATCTTGCAGATATTGAGTTGTCTTGAAAGGTAATTAGAAAAGTCTAGTACTGGAATTTTAGTCTACCCATAACTCCTGCTTTTCTTTCCTTCCGTTATTAAAATTCTCATCAGATTCATCTGTCAGTGATTAGAACATAAGCGATCAGCTTGAACATAACTTTCTGCCTACGGTATTGTGATTGTTAAAAGGTGATAAGTAGGGATATTCTATATGGAAAGTAGAAGAAAGCGGTTGGATAATAAATTAAGTAGGCTTGGTTGGCACCAGCTGCTGATCATTTCACTTATAGTGCGAAAGAAAGTGAAAAAAAGGGGGTTGGTCGATGCCACGTCGCCAAGCGAGACAAAGATCGTAAATGACTGAATCTAGACACGTTTTAACGCGGCGAATATGAGACAATGGCAATTTTGGAAGGGGTCAGTTATGAAACATTTGTCTGCATGTTCTTATTCCTGTATGGGTATTGCAGCTTGAAGAAGTAGAACATTTACTGACATCCGATTTAGCAACCCATTGTTCTCAGCGTTTTAGTTCGGTAAGTGTACGAACCAACCAGTGCGGCTACACGAAAAGCCAAAACCAACACCCATAAATCGAAAGAATAGTGTCGTCTTTAATACAGTCAACCCTGATTTGAATTCCATATACCGTTCATGATACTCTTTATTTCACCAATCTTCTCTGAATATCATCCTGGGCTGAAATTCTTCTATAAGCCGTGTCTCAAAGCGATCTAGCCGTTCAAACTGAATATCAAGTCCACTTGCCGCAGGGTCATATCTTGTAATACGCCAGGCATTCTGGTCTAATCTGAGGTAACGTAGCTTCTTGCACTGACGAGCAAGCTTATATTCAAATCCCTCGTTATCTGGCTGACTGTTGGTGTTGGCAGGGATATTAGCACAGCAGCGTTCGGCGAAAAACAACTGTTCGAGATCTTTTGCTCTGCTGAGCCACTCAAGGATCCCCGTTTGGTGCTCGGGCGTGCTGTGTACAATAACAGCCGACAGCGCTTGAAGCTTTTCCACATTCACAACAGGCAATTGTTCCAAGTCCGACATGTCCCATGTGATATTCACGTTGAAAGTCAACGACCTTAGCTTAGCTGCAGATCTTGTTTGTGTATCGTCGGTGTCCCACTTCAAGGCAGCCACACCTTCTTCAGTAGCCCACTCAGTGTTGAACTGTTTTATAAATCCCTCAGTCAGACTTCCGATCCATCTTTCCACACTCTTCGTAAGTCGATAAGCACCAACGTTAGTTAAGTTTGGACAATTCTCTGGAGTGAGGAGAGACCATGCGATATAGTCATCATCATCCGAGAAAGTAAGTGCCGTCTCGTATTCTTCGTTAAAGATATAAACATCTTCTAAACATACCAGATTTGTTAACCGTCTAAGGCAATCCCCAGATCCCCATGGGATTATACTAAGCCCCAGAACGAGCTTTTGCAGCTGTAGTGGTTTTCCACCAGCGTCAAAAAAGTCTCTGCATAGTTGGTCCAGAAAGTTCTGGTATTGCTGACATGAAAACCTTGTATTGACCTTCCATAGTCGGAATACTGTGAAGCCGCTTATCGACAGAGCCAAGGTTTTCAAACTCGGCGAATTGAGTAAGGTCTGTACAAGACCTTTTCGTGTAATTTCAAGATCTCCATGAATGTTCGAAACCTCAATCGTTGTTAAACCCGACAAAACGCCCAAATCTTGAAATGCAAACAGCGGTCTTCTCTCTTTAAGATCATGATCCCAATTAAAATCGTAGCTAATCCCTAGTATTTCCTCGATGTCTTCTGGATGATGTATAACTAGCGTTCTTAAATTTGGACAGTTTTGTTGAAGAGTTGCTAGGGTAGTAGTATATAAAGGTACATATTCCCAACTTGAATAGAATAAGTCAGTCGAGCATTCGCAGGCAAGTTTACAACATACCGGAAACAATTCAATTGGGGCATTTTAGATAATAGAGCTTGTATGCTTTGGTTATAAAAGTCACACAAGACCCCTTTACCTTGCTCATCACTTTTCCGACTATGTAGTGAAATAGCAAGGTCAATCTTTTGAGTGTATCGCAAGGCCTGATTACCCAAAAGTAGCGGAAGCTTTTCCATCAAAAACGAAGTATTATGCGCGCGGAACCACACTTCTTCATACAAGGAAGGAGCGAAAGCTGACTTGAAGCGCTTGTTAACTAAGCAAAGGTTGCGTAGTAAATCTCGGTTTATTATAGAATAAGAAAGATTATTTAGCATCTCCGGAAGGCTAGCAAATCGGGTAGCAGCCGATGACATGTTGGCTAGTGGCAAGTTGGCGAAGTGATTCGGAAAAGGGGTTAGAAGTGGAAGAGCGGCTCTTCCTGGAGAGAGATATCAACTGTGGTAGAGTCGAAAAAATTTATGCCACGATTATTTGAGGTGTATGTGATGACATCAATAACGCAGGTGGATGTTGGTTGTTGGCAATGCCAGACTTGACAGCCGCAGTGTTTATCCGGTAGCCGCAACAACCAATGTGATAGCTAAGAAACTGGCGCCACCCGAACAGCTATCTTTGCTTTTAATTGCAGAGGGAAGTAACCGAAGATAGATGTGGTCACTAATTCGTTCACTTCATCAATGAAATTGTCTTCGCCTGGTGTGAGAAGCTGCTAATGATATAAATAATTGTAATTGAGATAGAGTGCTTCAATGCTTGCACCAGAATGAAGAAATATGTGATTTCTAAGTTGACAACTTGAAGTTATAGCTCCGTAACAGTCATTTGCCCCAAGCGGCCGTTTCTTGAGTTCTTCTCAACAACGGAATCTCAGCAGTACAACGTTTGCCGTTCGAGGAAGTCCCTCTTATCTCACAGAATGGTCAAGTGCTTTGTTTCGTACTTATTGTCTTTAATATTAGATCAACTGGTATGAATTTGGATTTCCTGCGGCTGCGTAGAAGAACACTTGGAGACATTCTTGTTAAGATTGGTTGATTGATTCTGCGCTACCGAAAAGATTGCAAGTGATGATCCCACGAAAGCAAGCAGAGAATCATGATACTAGAGGCATCATACTGTCTTTAGCCAACCGCTGATCTTCATTTTAGAAACGGTTATGATTCCAAGGTTGGTATATCCCTATTGCCCTCGACTCGAACCGATCTAGCCTCTCAAAGAAAACACTTGTGTCATCTTTATGGTCCCGTGAAACTCGCCAAGCGGTTTCTCCAATTCTCATGTAAGTTAACTTCTTACACTTACAGGCGATTCGAAAATGAATGCTACCAACTTCTGGTGGGCCAACCCTATGATCATCTTGTATCTCGGGCCCTGACTGATAGCCTACCAAGCAGAGCTGACGAAGATCTGATGCTGCTATAATTGAACGGATAAGATCTGAATCCCAGTCAAGCTTGCTGCGGTAGATGACTGAAAGCGCATGGATATTGTACAACGAGACCTGGGTGAAATTATTCCCCCAGACTTCTACCATGGGAATCTCGTTCAGAGTCAATGATCTTGGTCTAGGGTGAAGATATGCAAATAAGGATTCGGTGCTCTTCATTACAGTATTAACCGATTCTGTGCTGCAATAGAAGCTGCAAAGCTGAGTAAAACCTACTAAACCTTCAGGAATGCATTTCGTTACTGAATCAAGTTCGAAGACGCTAAAGGCTCGCAATTTGGGAGTGTGATCGGGGGTGAATATTTCCCAATCTATGGTGTGAATGCTTTTGACCAACGTGAACACAGACAGGTTGTTTTCTATGTGAACTTTCTCCAGATACTCAAGATCCACTAACTCGTGGAGAGATTTCTCTGATTTCCAAGGAACGACACCGACCCCAAGGACCAAGTTTTTAAGTTGCAGTGGCTTTCCACCTGCCTCAGCGAAATCTTTAATCAGATATACCAAGAATTCGACGCATTGCTTCCTTTGACCGGCAGTTCCCCGTTGTAGACGCCTTATAGTGTCGGTACATATCGACAAGTTAAGTGACCGTAAGCGGGGCGACTGAAGAAGAAGTTTGACGAGATCTTTTCTTGCTTCTTCAAGGTTGCCATGAAGTCCCACGATTTCTAGACTTGTCAGATTTGGAAAATATGGCACATTTTGTGTTGTGAACAGTGCTCGAGTCTCGGAGAATGCGTCATGATGGTCCCAGTCATCAAAGTCCCAGTAACTCGCGACTGTTAAACCGTCAAGGAGACCTAGGTCATTTTCAACTAAATCACAGTAGCGAATAACTAGCGTTCGAATGTTGAGACATTTCGCTTGCAACGTCAAAACTGTCGCTGAATATAGAGGAAGCCCTGCCCAGCTACATCGCATCATCGTTAGCAGATAATCCTCTTTGTTCCATAAAGCTCAAAGATACATACCGAAACATTTGCAAATTTGGCATTTTCTCAAGAAGCGACTGCGTCGCTTCATTGAATAAACCAGTCAAAGAAGCCGCCAATCGGGTTGCCTGGCCGCCTCTTTCATGGGTGATTGGAATCTCGACGTCAATTATACGGGTGAATTTGAGCGCAGGATTGCCCAAAAGTATAGGCAAATCTTCGAGGAGAAATTGTGCATTACTTTGACGAAACCAGACCTCCGCGTACAATATAGGGGTGAACATGTCGTTGAAGTACTTGCTCACCAAGCAGTAATTCCTTAAGAGCTTCCGGCTCATTATGAGCATCCCAAAGTAGTATAGCAAATCGGCCGAAGAGGCGAATCGAGTAGCTGCAGAAGGCATGTTGATGTAGCTCTGCTGGGAAGAGGTAGATCAATTTTGAAATCTCGGTAGGTATCCGCTTGCAAGAAGTAGACGTTCTCTGTTCAAGGATTGAATAGAAGCTTTGCAAAAGGTGTTTTGAAGATTCGTAGTGTTGAGATCGATTCAATTGAGAGGTGCAGTTACAGAAAAACAACGAGTGATATTTAAGCAATATCGGTGAGGTACTTGCACGCACAACGCCGAAATATTACTAAACAATTCACCAATATAGTTACAATTCTATCGGTAGCGAATATGGAATCTGAATATGGAAACTGAGATACGTTTTCGGCCTGACGTAAGTTACAAACCTGAAAAATGTTAATTACATAAATCTATACGAAATTATCTTCCGTAGAATAAAATGAGCTTATCCGGGATTCGGCGCACCCGAATTTCTCGTCGAAATCCACGAATTCTTGGCATTTGCCAGCTATCAGATAACTTGTAGGTGTAAAGATTGTTGAGGTCTTTAGGATTTGAACTAAAACATCCGGTGATTTCGGCTTCGAAAAGGCTGTTTTTACTAATATCTGAGGCATTTTTACACTATCCGCGGTTGGACTTTTCCCAAAGAGATTGTAGTGAGTAATTAGTAATACGTTCCCAGCAACTGTAGGGATTGTGTAGTATAGTGTACAGGCAGTATGTTATGAGCAATAACAGGTGACTATAAGTGGGTTGGGTGCGTGCCACTACACTGGTGGCAGAAAGAGAACTGAGTGAACTAAGATAATGGAGTCGTACACCTACGGATTCCGCGGCACATACAAAACAGATCACAATCTGAACAAATCGATTAGTTGAGAATAAAAGGACTGGCACATGTTTTAGTGATGAAACAAGTAATTAATAAATAAAGCTCGAATTTAAGATAAAGTTGAAATCTAGAGAATATAACGTGTTAACTTGAGAATAGGGGATTGTTTGTTCTTTATATTAAGGTTTACAAAGTTTTTCTCTAAATCGGAAATAAAGTAGACTGGATGAACAATGTTGCCGAGATATCTACCCAGTTCTGACTTTTCAGAGTTTCAATTCATAGAAGACGGGCAAATGAAGTGACTAGTTGTCGCAGATAACTAAGTAGCAAGTGATGAATTCCAATGAAATGAAGACAGGAAAGTCTGCGAATTCCATTAGTACAAAATTTTAAAGCGAAAAAGTATTGATCACCGAAGTCCAAAGAAAGACTTGAGAAAATCCAAACTGGGCATTAATTGCCAATAATATAAGAAAGCACATAATGTAGAACTATATGGATAACTCACATATCACAAGAGCTATGTCGCTTTTAAAGACGATTAAGTGACTCACGTGCACATCTCATCTTGGACACGATATGCTTAAGCGAAATCTTCAAACCCATGCCGCTGGTCTTCTCATAACATCAATAACACATCGTAGCAAGTAAGCTTCTTTTATTTACCCGATCTGTAGAGTCTTTGTCACATCGATCTAACAAGATCAAAATCTACAACAAGACTTCCAAGAAGCTCTCCCACCCTCAAAATGGCAACCTTCGCAACCTTCCCCGCCAACACCCTCATCGACCCCGTCCCCTTCAAACTCGGCATCCACGACACCGCCATCGAAGAACTCCAGACCTTACTCAAAATCACTAAACTCGCGAAACCGACATACGAAAACACGACGAAAGACGCGAATTACGGCGTCTCTCGTGACTGGTTGGAAGAGGCAGTACGGTTTTGGAGAGAGGATTTTGACTGGTACATCCCCTCTCACAGTCTCAGACCCCGACACTAAATGTTTGAAAGGCGCAAACACGAGAAGGAAATTAACGCCTATCCGCAATACACGATGCTCCTCGCTGCCCCGGGACAGAAGTCATACCGCATCCATTTCGCTGCCTTGTTTTCGCAGAAACGTGACGCCGTTCCAATAATAATGTTTCACGGCTGGCCAGGTTTCTTTTCCCTCCCCAACTACTTTCCTCATTAATGAATTGAATAGGCAGTTTCCTCGAGTTCCTCCCTGTTCTCACACATCTCCAGAAAGAATATACGCCGGAGACTCTACCTCATCACGTGATTGTCCCATCACTGCCCGGCTTCGCATTCTCAGATCCTCCACCGTTGGAGTGTGATTTTAATTTAGGTAATGTTGCCGCAATTATGGATCAGCTCATGGTTAATCTTGGGTTTGGGGATGGCTACGTGGCGCAGGGTGGGGATTTGGGGAGTAAGGTTGCGAGGATCTTGGGGAGTAGGTATCAGGGGTGTAAAGGTATGGAAGTATCTATGGAGAGGGAAGGGATAAGCTGATGAGGTGCTGTAGCTGTGCATGTGAATTACTGCTACCTCCCCGAGCCGGAGAATGTTAAAGGGGAGATTAGCGAAGTCGATCGAAGAGATATTGCACGAGCGCAGAATTTTAAAGAAACTGGCTCTGGCTATGCGCTGGAGCAGGCCACGAGACCGGCTACGCTGGGAATTGTGTTATCGAGTAGTCCACTTGCCTTGCTTGCTTGGTTTGTACTCCATGCTCTCTGTCATGCACTTACTAACGCCCTCAGGGTTGGAGAAAAATTCCTCGAATGGTCCGACGAATCACCTAGCTTGGATACTATCATCGAAGCTGTAGCATTATACTGGTTTACTGACACGATCTCATCTTCGTTCTACAATTATCGCCAGGTAAGATCAGCATTCTTTCTGTTGATAGTGCTGATTGCCATAGCCGTATGTATCTGAGAACGCAGGCGGTCACGCGAACAAAGAGTATTACATCAAGAAACCATTCGGCTATTCGTCTTTCGCAATGGAGATTACGCCTGTGCCGAAAGCATGGGTGGCGGAAACAGGAGAGTTGGTGTTTTATCGGAGACATGACAAGGTACGTGATGTTGGTTGGTCGAGAAGATGATGAGTACAGGAGTACTGACGAGCGAATAGGGAGGTCATTTTGCTGCGCTTGAGAAGCCCGAGGTTTTGTGGAATGATCTGAAGGATTTTATTGAGCAAGTCTGGGTAGCGTGAGAATACAGTTAAGGTGAGGTAGATGTCGGTAGATAACTAAGTATGCTATTCTCAGCTTCCACTTCGACTGAACTGAAACCCCCTTTCTTGACTCATTTTCGCATCTTCAGTTTCTACAAAATTCTTGACGTAAGAGTTGTTGAGAACAATTCAAATCGTCATTCAAAGGCGTCTCATGGCTGGGCATAAGCCTATGTCACGACTTACGAAAGAGACCGTCAACTTGTAGCTAAGTGCTTGGAGATATTATGTTCAAAGGGTTGAGACAGTGTACAATTTAATCCGATAGCATCTCTACTAATTACAAAACTAGAACAAGCAATTTATCTAGCGGTCATCTTCCTTTCAAAATACCTCGCCGGGAGATACACTATGATGGTAAAAGCCCCAGATAGATAAACACCGACATCACCACCATATGCACTAAACTTTCTGGCTATCGGACCAACATACCACGTCTGGCTCATTCCCGTCACACCTCCAGCGCAATACCCGACAATCAACGCCAAAACTGCAGCAAGTCCCATCGGTAGTTTCGAAGGGCTGTTCCAAACACTCAAGTTGTAGCCGGTTCTTCGTCGGTAGATTTTGTCTTCGATGAGGAGGATGAAAGTGAAGGATACGGTCCAGTAACCGAGCAGCGACACGAAGTTGCTGACGATGGTGGAGAGATGCTCACGACCTGCGATGGCAAGAACGGCGATAACTAAGGCGTTGATGAAAGACCAGATGAAACGGGGAACAGCGTGGAAGTAGTGACCGAGAAGTTGAAGTGAGAGACCGGATGAGTAGTTGATTGCGACGTTGTTTCCTAGGACAGTGAAAACGAGTAGGATGAGGCAGAACTTGGAGAAGCCGAGAGGATGGTATGATTCTCTGAGGAGACCGCCAAGTCCATGGTCTTCGTAAGCCTCCGTGAGATAGGCTGTTGATGGATCTGTCTGGAGAGTCGTGATGCTACCGAGACAGACTCCTACCAAGGTCGTGAAAACTGTTGGGATCGTAACACCGACCAAAGTGAGGGAGAAGATCTTCCATGATGGAGTCTTGGCTGGGTAATTGCAGTAGTAATCAGAGGCAATTGAACACCATCCAGATGAGGAGGAGAAGCAGAGTGCGATGAAACTCAACATGGCCCCAGAAAAGTCAAGACCTGATGTTGGTGCTGGGATTGAGGTGTCGACTTTGCCTCCAACCTGGCCGAGCAAGATCAGCAACAGGACGAATGACATGATCCAGGAGTATTTCTCGAAGGTGTGGATGAGTGCGAATCCGAAAATCGAAATCAGGTAACTCAAGACTGCGATGATAACACATCCAACAGCGATTGTCATATGATAATCAGAAACGGCCGAGAGGATTTGACCAACAACCACGACATTGACGACTGCAAATCCACCACCAACGACGACGTTCAGGACAGAGCATATTTTGGCGCCGTAGAAACCAAAGGAGTAACGAGAAGTAGCGATTGCACGGAGACCGAGCTATGGTGAGGTCAGTTTCCACAATCAGACAGACAGGAGAAGAGTTCGTTACCTTTGGACCAAGAGTACCGCAGTAAGCCGTACAAAGTGCCCCTAAAAATGTACCAATCACACATCCAGCACACGATGCTTTGAACGACAGTCCAAACTCGGGACCCAGCATTCCAATTGGGATCGTTCCAACATGGCAAGTCATACTGAACCACAACAAGAAGACATTCAAGATTGAGGGCGGTCTTTTGTCTTCTTCTCGAATAAGATCAATACCCTGTGTCTCAATCCCTAATTTCTCATCGAGCCATTCCTCTCCTCTGCGAAGCGTATGAAGTACGCCATTTTTCTGCTGCAATTCTCTCGCTCTGATCGCATCCGTACTGTCTTGATCGTCTGTCGTCAGAATCGTTTCGCCTTTTACAGGATACTGCGGAGGGGGAGTTCCAGATTCGAGATCATGACTGTGCTTGACATCTGACTGATCTCCGTGAACGAAATCCATGGCGATTGATTAAAAATATAACTCCGTTCAAAAAATGCAGAGGAGAATCCCCAAGATCTGGTCGAAGGAAATCAAGGTACCACATCGCTTCTAATATGTACGCAACCAGCGCGTTATCAACCGACCTTCTCGAAAGAGTGTGGAAGTGTGTGCGGGTAGTGACGAATCAGGTAGGACGTGCAGGGAGAGCCCAGGCCAAGACTTGTGGAACATGATAAGCTTTTCTCCACATTGCTTGGGTGCGGCTGCTGGGAGGGAGGGTGTTCGATTGGGTCGACTAGATAACAGAAACCCTAATCTGTAGATGTGGATGTCCACCTTTGCTTCTTCGGGGTCTTTGGGGATGGAGAGACCGAGATATGAGAACCGGGTGCGCGGATGACGCCGCTTGCCACATTGCGCTGAGGGGGGTTTGGCTGGAAAGGGTGCTGACTACGAAGGGGTTGAGGCGAGTTGATGAACTATGAACGATAAGAATGTGTTGCAAGTAAAGAAGGCGATGTTGTGTGACCCTTTAATTAAGGACATTCTAAGTATCCTCGGTACAATAACTGCAAGTGGGTCCATAAACGGCCGAACATCGATTTCAAATTTTGATATGATTCCGACAATAGAAATACTGGCATTGATGAATGGTACACACAAAATCAACAGTAACCTGATACTGACAGATACCTGACAGGTTGGCCACATCTCAGGGTCCAGATGTTTTTGGGTATTACCTTATCTGGCCATCTCGCGTGGTTTATTTCCCGAGCTATACACTCTGTGATACAGATAACTGTCAATGGTTACAATTCAGTGAGACAAATCATCAATGATCCAATCATGAGGAGTACAACCTGCTGTTAGAGTTCTCAGCATCTCGGCTTGTCCGGATCTAGTACTTCTCGCTTATTTAGGGGTGACGTACAGTCGGGAATTCATGAGATGTTGGAAACTGAAGAATAATACGATTCCAACACTTACAGAATTGAATAGGCGGAATAGTGGAAGAGAAAATCGCAAACCAATGCATACTTTTGCAATATCTAATTGGAGTTGCCAACTAATGATTATTTCCCGTCGACCGACCCAGTCAGCAGATAGTCATGTGATAAAACCTGATCGTATAAATGAAGCCATCCTAATTTCCAAAGGTACAAAGTAATATTCTAAAAAAATATCATTATTCTCGTTCAGTCGCCTCGGCAGTGGTATATCAAAGACATTAGAAAGATCTATGTCAGGTGATGTTCTAAATGTGGGCATGCCTTTGTTTACCTGCTGCAACAGCTCGTTCACACAAATCATACATCAATCGAATGAAATGCAATCTTGTATAAGAGTTATCCTTTTTCAATTCTCTGCGAGACTTAATTCAACGTGAAAGCTTTTATCACTCCAACTGCAATGTGCTCTATCTCAATATTTGTACCAGGATCTTCAATGTGACTGAAGTTCGGTTCTATTGAGTGGTATCTCTGATATTCTTCTTCGTGTTATGTTTTATACTAACGTTTCCTCAGATCTTGATGATCATTCTGTTGACACCAAAGCCAAGTGATGTGTAATGAATGCGATTATGAGATCGTTCATGGCAGACGAGTTATGGATGTCGACGAATGCGAAGCAACTGCTTCGTGTTTAGCTGGATATCACTGGTCGCAAGCCATAATCATTATTTATGGGAATGTCGATCTCGGTGTTGAAGATTCTACACAGTTATCGCAGATATTGAGTCCGATGCGATGTTTAGTGCTCTTAACACAGTCGCGATTGCCTCGCTGCTTCCTCTGCTCGATTTGTGGCGCCTTCACAGACCAGCAGGGTGCTGGCAGCACAGCGTCCCTCTCCTTTATTCATCATCAACTGCACCATAATATCTCCCATACTCACTGATCTTTTCACGCTCTACTTAAATCTGTCAACCATCTCCTTCAAATGAGAATTCCATAACACAATCTCAATATACCCGTCCCCAGTAACTTTTCAAATTCAGCCGTTCGGCAATCTTGCTTTCGGCTTTATCCAGAACACATCACACGATTCGCATCGTCTTTGCGACATGCAATTTTGAATCTTTGGACTCCTTTTCTGGGTGCGATTGATTACCCCGCATTGTTGCCTTGCATATTCTTATATTTAGCACGGATGGTTGTATCCGGGTTGCTGGGTGCTGCATGAAGGCGACTTGTCAATACCGGGTTTTGGACTCATGGAAATTTTCTTTATGGAGCCTCACGATATGGCGTTGTAAAATTTGATATCTCTGCTGTAGTTGCGTGTCTAAACAAATGTAACTTCTCGGGTATTTACTATTCGTTCTAGGAATTGAGGAACAGCACCAAGACACTTTGCTATCTCCATTTACTGGCACACTATCAAGGAAAATCGAGCTCTGAAACAAGGCAGCTGTTAGTTTCAAAGACTCTGTATATTGCGTTCACCTCTGCTTGCCCCAACGTCGACAGAGATTTGATCCCTGAATATATGCGTATATTACCCAAGACCAACGAGCGATCACGATGCAAAACCTCACTTATCCAAACGAAGCAATGGTTGGAACAGTATATTAATCATCAAGCTATCAGCATAACTTTACAATGACCAATAACCAATCGCAGTCTCCAATCACCAAACCGGGTATCCAACACCAAACTCCAAAATTGCTGTACATTATTGCTGCCCAAAACCGCTTTACAATAGTCCCTCAGGTGAGCGCGCCCACGTCATGCCTGATTACTCCTCCACTTATACCTTTGATGTCGATATGTTGATGATGTCCTCTCCTCTTATGCCTTAATTGAAACAGCTGTGACCACCACTTGGCTGGTGGTCTTCATGCTATTCCAATTCTGTTCCTTGACCCTCTCGGCCGGCTTTTTGGCAGGAGTGAAGTCCTCCCATTTTTCCGTGGGTATAATCCCAACAAGCGACATGAGGAGCTTGTAGGCGTCCTTAGTGAGCCGGTCTTCGCTATTGTACCAACACTGCAGTTCGCTGAAGGGGGCGCGGTAAACGTGGTTACTCAGCACGTATGACCGCTTTTTTCGTGTTGCACAGATATCCAGGGTATTTTCAACTTCATATTTGTCTGAATCTATCTGCCTGTCCTGGTTGGTTCCCCGAATCGGGAAAGAGCGAGACTTGTCGATGATGTGGCCGGCGTCGTCGCGATATGGCTGCGGATTCGACGAGGTAAATACGACCTCTAACATGAGGTCTTTGTCCTCAATCTCTGGCGGTGACTTTCGAAGGATGATCACAGGATGCTCTTGAGCATTTTTCTCAAGAGCATGTTTATCAGGTGTGCCGTCCTTTTTCTTACATCTGGTACAGCGAATTGGTGCTGTACGGTTCTCTTCCCAGGGCAAAAATGCTACCACTCCCACCGCCCAATTGTCTCGCGTAAGTGATGGCCAGACATATTCCGGGTTTGCCAGTTTCCTCAAAATATGTGATTTATTGCTTTCATTTGAGGAATTCCGACTCTCTGATGGTGTCGAGGACTGCGATCGGCCTCGCTTGTGAGGGGGTATATAGCGAGCGGGGCTAGAACAGGCAGACATTTTCGGGAACTTATAAATGTCTCTTTCCTGTTGGAACATCATAAGTTTGATGCTAATAAGTGATATAATGCAAAAGGGTTCTTACTAGTTACTGAATAGTGATATACTCGAAGCTCTATCGGCGAAAGCTTTTAATGTCGGTGTTAAAAATTAGAGGAATAATAAAAGGTATGTCGCTTGATGAGTGAATGTCGCTGTGTCGGTAACTTTGATAATGAGAAGAAACAGGAGAAATTCTGGGAGGTGCATGTCACTTAAATAAAATCTGGGCGTGATAAGCCTATACCATTTCGATATCTAGTCCATCGAATTTGATGGGCAGTGATCGAAATCAGCTCATTGGATAGCTATTCGCTTTTGATACCTAGCGTAGGCCAAGATTCTAATCAATGGACGGTCCCGAGATGAAAACACGGCTGTGATTTGAACTTAGTCCAAACTCCTCTTCGAGTTCTTTCCATATGACGCTCATTGGATTCAGCTAGATCTTTCAAGTCTACCAAATTTTGACCGTTGTATTTTTTTCTGTTCACAGTACGTTCTTGAGCTTTGCAGTATTTCTCATTATGTCGTAGACCAAGACATCTAAGTCTAAGTCACCTGCTTTCTAATTTTTAGACTAAGTCGATCGAGTTCAAATGGAGGTCGAGAAGATATCATTGCCTTAGAACAATGGACGAAATGGGGATAATGTCCCACAGTAATCCACTAAATATCGATATTTCGTCAACCTCATCGAAGAAATGTCGTGTTTCGAGTGTCACCTATTCTTTCCACTAAGAGGCCATCCCACGACGTTTGCTCCTTCCAACAGTTTCACCAATAGCCTCATAAATCTAAGAAATTCCAATCAGCCTCGCTTTACTCAAATCGACTTTCGATCACTGGACTCTCGAAGTAAATCAATTGACCAGTCCATCATCCAATAAAACCACATTAAACTACTTATGATGGTATGAAGTCCAAAGACCCACTTCCCCACCTGAATTTAGAGACGGTCTGAAGACTTTGCTCCTAGTACCTGGATAGACGCGACACTAGCGGGAACTAGGAGGGTTGTTCCTGAGGATCATGCTGTTGGGTCTAGAAGGGCATGGAATCGGGGTTGGAAGAGGTTTAATGGAATGATAGAATTCCTTTTCGAGTGCTTTGTTGAGTTGGGTTGCACTTGAGCGGAGGACAGCTTTTGAACATCGACGGAATTATTTTTATTTACTGAGAGGGATAGAGGGAATGGCGATATTTTGTTGATTGCTTTGAGGAATTATGTTGCTTTTATTGTCTTTGTGGGAAAATATATCATGCCTCGACTAACTTTAAAAATTTGAGTTGCAGTCAAATTTTACTAGGTGGGATATCTTACTTTGGTTTCAGCTTGCCTCGAGACTGTAATGATTCAATCCCTTACACGATTTCAAACATAGACCTGACATTCAATCTATGACCTATCTACCATCAACTCCGTAGCGAGAACCGATGAACAGTTATCTAACAATACAACCGAGCCCTCGACTTCACCTTCCTCACTACTTGTTCTTCTTCTCATTTTTGTTAACGAAGTCGCCAATCATCAAGCTCAGCTTCTCTTCTGGTCCGAGGTATGGATCAACCGCCTATATGGGCTCTAGATAGTGGCTTGCAGTGCCATCAGTTAACCACTCGTTGCTTGCATTGGCGTGGGTATCGAGGAGGATATTAAATCGAGTTGACTGGTCGACTACGCTGGCGCTCTTTTTGGTAGATTGAAGGGGAGGGTGTTGCTTGGGAAGTGGTATGGGCGAATCTCCAGTGGGGAATGTAAGAGGCATTGTAAATGATTTAAATGATTCGAAAAATGGAACAATAAAACCAAGCAATGATTACAACCATTGTTCGGAGCCTGATTGACCAAAATCAAATCCAACCATACTTCACACTCCTGCTGGTCGTCAGATTGGTACGATTCCCCAACCCCTCGTCATCTTCTTCCTCTTGGCTTAGTTCAATCACATGTCGGTCCTAGCAAGCGATGGCCACACCCATTCTGGGTACGCCAGTTTCCTCAAAATATGTGATTTATTGCTTTCGTCTGGTGCCGTACGGTTCTCGTCCCATGGTAAAAATGCAAATACTCCCACCACTCAATTTTCTTCAGCCCAAATCACAATCTGGATGTGCCAATTTCCTTAAATTGTGTGACTTGTTGCTTGCATTGGAAAAAGTGCGAACTTTTCATGATGTAAAAGTTTGGGACTTGCCTCTCTTATGGGGAGGAGCCCAGGCTTGTGTGATCCGCATTGAGAATTCGAGGATGGTTGTAAGTTATGTTGGGTATGAGAATTCGTTAACGTACACACGACGTTCAACATCAGCTCTGTGGCTCCAGGTTCTGGGTCTTAAGCATTTAAAATGACCGGATGCTCCTGGGCGTTCTTCTCAGGGGGCTGTCTGTGAGGCTTCGTAGCGACGGCAATGATGGTGATGCTGTCGATGTTCCTCGCTTGTGAGGGAACGTATAGAGGGCTGTTGGATGATGTTGCCGACATTGTCGTCCAAATCTGCTAAATGTCTCTTTCCTGTTGAGACATTGTAAGTTTACTGACAGTTAAACGTGAAGGGGTTTTTACCGGTTGCTAACGTGTGATGAGTTCAAATCGATGTTTTCGATGTCTGGGTAGGGCAATTTCCTCAGAATATGCGATTTGTTGCTTTCGTTTGAGGAATTACGATCCTCTGCTGGCCTCGAGAGGACTGTGAAATGCCTCGCTTGTGGGGGGGTACATATCGAGGGAGGCTAGAGTAGTATGTAGAGTCGCCTGGGAAGTCAGCTTTGTTGAAATCGAAACATTCTTTTCTGGCGAGACTTACTTTGAAGTGTACGTTATTGAGTGAAGTCCCGATGAAGACATATTGAGAAGGCGACCAGAAGCTTTCCGGTAGGGTTGAGGGTTGGACAAAGTGAAGAATGGACTGGAGGAGCCTTTGAGAATTGGAAGAATCGCGTCTGAAGATGTGAAACCAATCTGTGTTTGGTATGATGATTGCAAGATAGCTGAATCAAGGACTGAGAAAGAGATAAAGAAAGTATGTGATGAAGTTGTCATCATATGAAAACTGATGTGAAAATGTTGTGAAGAAGAAAGAAGAAGATGAATGAAAATCAGGAGGAAGTGCTCTTTAAAAAGACCTCGCGGATGCAGCTTTCCTCATATCTGAATCATAATTGCATTGACCATGATGAAGAAATTTATGAATAACAGTTATGTCGTCACTTTTGAACGGAATTCTGGACCCGTCTCGCGGATGCTGTTATCCTTGGTTTGAATCACAGCGAGCATTGATTATGATGATAATGATTGTCTGTGAATAGCTGAAAGTAGTCAAAACTCGAACGGAATTCTAGAACCGTCTGTCCAAGAAACCCGTGCATCATCACGAGAATGCAGTAAAAAGATGTAGTTGGGCTGAGATTCATTGGGTTGATATATACTTCCCACTGAATAATATTTCAACTGTCATGACTATTCCAACTCGAGTATTCGACGGGTCCTTCGATCGCCTTTTGCGAAGTGTCGTCAATAAAAGAGGAGAATTCTAGACCGATCTCTTTAGCACAACACACAAGCATTTTAGTTTGCGAGAGGGGTCGAAACTAGCCTTGAAAAGAAACGTCAAGCCCACTTCTTCCCCCTCACGCTATTTTCATTATTCTTGACGCGCTAGAAACACCAAGTCACATGCTCAAATGAGCCAATTTACTAGGATAGAATCGAATGGAAATGATGCCAGTATCGTGAAGTCATGAAAAATTCAGATTTTGCTTAGCCATGTGGCAAGGAGAAAGTTTACGCGTTTGAGGGGCGGACTAGCGGAGTTTGGGGGTTGATTTTGACGCTTATGATTTTTGATATACGTGGAACTAGGTGGCTGAGATAGAGTTGAGAATCTTCTAGGGAAAGTTGACAACTACCTATAGGAGGTTGTGTGGATGATTTTGGTTGTGGATGCAAAGAGAGTGAGAGTGAGATTGGGAGTTTGAGTTACGGTATTTTTGACCACACGAAAAGTCCTTTATATTCATCTATTTCAATAACACCATGGCTTTTCTATCAAAGCGCCATCAATCTTCAAACATACAATCCAACCTCCCATCAGTTCTTTCTCCAAAGCCAAGAAATTTTCTGTCCAACAATACAAATCAAATACCTAACTACACTCAAAATCAATTTCCCAATCCCGTTCTGTCCAAAATTCCCTACAACCACACTCAACAACCCCGTCGCTTTCGCATACCTCAACGCATCACCTTCCCACGCTCGCAAACTCATCTCCCCATCCATAACCTTCTTCAGCCCCAAACAATGCCTCGCAGCTTGATTCGTGCTCAACGCTACATGTGGCCGGAATAAACTCAGCGCGTCACCTACTAATAACATCTTGCTATCGAAAAACGATGCGCGGGTAGACATATGCTCGTTCACAAGCGCGACGAAAGGCTGGGTGGTTTTCTCGATCACTTCGATGAATGGTGGCGGGAGAAGGGAGCGGGCGTGAGCGAGTTGTACGTCCCAGATTTCGGGGCGGATAAGACCGATTGGAAGCATGTTTCGGTGGGTGTGGCCGTGGATGTCGGTCATGAGGTTGGGGAGCTCGGATTGGGGGACATTCCAGTACCAGACGTAGTTGAGGAGTTGTGAGCCGGGGGTAAGATTTCCTTTTGCGTCGTCGGGGATGTTGTATCTGATTAAATGATTAGTAAAGAGTCTTGGTACTGAGTGGTGACTTATTACAGTAAGATGTAGCTCTTGGGATTACTTCCTTTGAAGATCGTCAGTTTGTCGATGAATGTCGCTAATGTCTTCTCAGATACGGCGTTTTGCGGTACACATCCTCGAAATGCAACATATCCTGAATACTTTGTCTGAATCTCCGGCAACATTTTATGTCGAATAAATGAGTTCGAACCATCAGCTGCAATCACCAGATCCGCACGCATCGTCCGTTCCTCGGAACCATGCTCATCCCTCACCCTAACCTCGACCTCCTTCCCAACATCTACCACGTCCGCGACTCTTACTCCTCCCTCAAAAATGGCCCTTCCCTCATTTTCCACTTTCCCTGGCACATTCTTCACAAATACACTCTCCAGACCATCAAAATTCGCTCTCAATCGATGATACAATACGCTCCAGCTAGTCATACACAAAACCTTCTTAAACCCGCGAATCCTCGCCCCGGATTTATTAATAAATTGCGTGTCTGGGGAATTGATGTACCATGGCTCTTCAGTGAGATCGTAAAGACGCATGTATTCAAGCACGTCGTCGCGTGCGGTGATGCCCGCCGCGTGGCTGGCTCGTGCGCTGGATGCTGCTTCGAGGATGTGCACGTTGTGGCCGTGGCGTTTGAAAAGGATGGCGTGCATGAGGCCGCTGAGGGAGCCACCGATCTGGTGGGTGTGAGTGGCCGCATATCCTGTAAAGTGTGAGAACTTACGACGATGATATTTTTCTTGGGGCCGGTTGAGAGAGTTTCCATTTTGGGCTTTTTGCTGGGATTTTGTTCTTATTATTAGCTTGAAACGAGTGAAATTTATTAGATGAGCAGAAAATCTGGGATGATACTGGGTATTTAACGTCGTGGAAATAAAGTTGGAGATGAGTTGGACCCAGCATGGCACCCCCCGGGGATCTTTGCTGCGATGTAAGCGAGTCTTAGGGGATGTGGATCGTGTATCCCTTGCGGCGCAATCACAATAATTGTACAATATTACTGTACTGTACAGTTTCTTGGAATAAAAATAAAAATAGCAAGATGGCAAAAACTATTGCGCTTCTTGCTAATGGGTTGTGCCGAAAGGTCCGTAGGAATTTGTTCTCTTGTTGTCTGGATCTTGGTGTTGAATAGTTGTTCCGAATATCTCCTTTCAACAACATAAAAGGGAATGTACGTACATTACTAATGGATCCATTAAGTAAGCACTAACATCCATGACCTGACTTATTATTTTTTTCGTACTGGGATATTCATTACACCCTTCATTCGGCTTCATTGCCGATTGCCGTGCCTCGTGAGAATACATGAAAGACTCGGTTATTCAAATACTTGACTATCACAACTTGTCGGCAAGATATTACAGAAACTGAGATCAAGCAAAGTTAATCCCTGGATTAGAGATCATCTTCTTAATTTTTGAAGCTTGACGTGGTGGTCCAATGGTAATTCCTTTCTGAATTATCGGTTGCGGGTCATTAGCTGATCCGCGCCGGATTGGTATTGTTTTAGTCGTCCATCATATCCAGAACATCTAAAACAAACTTCGAAATCGTTCGGTCAGGAAGTTTAGGTCACTTGTAGTTTAAGATGTGAGCTCGGCTGGGGGAAATGTGGTTTAATTGCTGGACGAAATGTACAGAATGTTTTATACTTGGAAACGAAGCGAAATAGTAACAGAGATCGAAGGTCAAAACGATGTGGTGAGAAGCCTCATATCAGTAGTATGAACCTCCAATAATTAAATATTTCATTGTATGTAAAGGAAAAATCCAGTCGCGCTGCTAGGTGGTTGACCCCATGAGAACATGTTGAAGCGAGCGAAAGGTGAAGGTACGTCGTCGTCGCGCCTTCCTTTTCGACGTGACACCAACATCTTCTTCCTCCAAACATCTTCACGATCCTGGAAGTTCACAACATGGAGTAATCACCGAAAATGTTGTTCAAACGCCTACCCTCGGAAGATTCGCAGGAACCACGACTACTACCAAATTTAATTGATGAAATCGCCCTTCATGATCCTTCAAGAATTTTCGCAATAATCCCAGGTTTCCAAGACCCCAACGATTTCATACATATCACATTCCGAGATCTTGCAAAAGCGATCGACCGTACAGCATGGTGGATGAAGGAAACTTTCGATCACGGTGGATCTTCCAAGGTATTGGTATATGTTGGTTCTTGCGATATATTATATCATATCGTTATTGTTGCGGCTGCAAAACTTGAATTCGAGGTATGTATGGCTTGGACGTGCAAATCATTAACTTAGTACAAATTAAATCCAAGAGAACTTCAGGTCGAACTGACACATCTGCAGACTTTCCTCCCTTCTCCAGAAAACCCTGACGAAATGTTTCCACAACTATACCTCGCATCCAAATGGTCTCAGCTTGTCGTTAGCGAAAGATTCGCCGAAGAACATAACATACGCGCGAATAATGGAGGCTTCGGTCGGTTTGTGACGCTCTCACCAAGTCTAGAATATATACTGAGAGCGAGAAATATTTCCCGGCCCGCTCAATTCACGCTCACGAGCCAATTCGAAGAAGTTGCCAATAGTCCGTTCGTTGCATTTCAACTGAAAGATGGCCAATTCGTTAAAGCCAATCACTCTTGGACCTGTTCGTTCGACCCCTGCTACCCAAATGCCGGCTTGGAAGGCAAAAATACAGTATATGAAGATTTCATAGGGAGACGAGTGGTCAACGCGATACCACCCTACCACGTATGCAATCCTACCCGTCCTCACTTCTTTCATTCATAGAGCACAGGCTAAAGCTATTGACAGATTGTCGGGTTCATTATCGGTCTCTTATATCCAGTCTACTATGGGACACACACAGTCTGGTTTCACGCTGATGCACCAGTGACTTGCACACAGATAGAAACGATGCTGAGCAGAATTCCGGCTGATACCACATTTATGGAGCCGTCGATGCTTCAAGGCGCCGCTTGTTACAGTTGTTTTCAACAAAAGCTGGGCCAACAGGCTGCTGTACTCCCAGGAGGTTTGTCCTATCCGCCCTTTCAGCCGACTTGACGGACACACGAAGAGAAGGAAGACCGCTGAGACTGTTACAACTTAGGTTCGGTACCATCCACATTACGATCACAGTTGTTTTCTAGCATTTGGTTGGCCCACATGGTCCACACTATTTTGCTGAAAGATGAGATTCTCACGTCAAATGATTGGCAGTTTTTCCAATTCCCGTTCACTCATCTACAGCCACACCAAGCAACCTTTTCTGAGTTGTGGAGATGCGATATAAATGGTTGTCCCAGAAAAATTGAAACCGTGAACGACGACTCGGCAAATTATCCTGCAACTGAAAGCGATGTTGCTTTCTATATGGAAGTCGAAAAAGTCAGCCAATCCTTCAATCACGATTCCACCCTGACCGGAATAGTGCTACCACGCCATGATAAGGTAAAAAGAATGGTTATAATAACAAAAGAAGAACTAGCACCGAGAGCGTTCATCATACTCAGAGGGCAATTTGCAGCCTCTGATAGTACGAATGCTGAAAAAATCCAACATTATCTACAGATCCTTGAGAAGCTCCGGCCTACACTTGCGCTGGTGACCAAGAATTATAACCTTCCGGTACCAATCCCCGACGAGAACATCATCTTTACTTCTGAAGACGAATGCTCCCTTGATGCAGATGATAGAGAAATCGTCCAGCAATTTGCAGATCATATCAATATGATGGAAAGAATGCCACTTATTGCGGATGACATGATGAATAGAAGCTCTGCACTTGAAAATGAGGAGTATTTGATCTCGTATATACAAATGGCCATAGAGACGATAACAAAACTAGGGAAGCGCTGTCAGGTTGACTTCGATATCTTTGGAGCTGGAGGACTGGGTTGGAAGCAGCTCGTTAAGTTGGTCGCTTTTCTAAAAGCTGTATTGGCTGACGAGGATGCCTCATTGATAACGCCAAAGCTGATTTTTGAGTCTCGAACACCAACCAATCTCGCGCGGTCAGTAAAACGTATCTCGGAGGAATGGTTTGCAGCTCAACGAGTATTCAAAACAGGAGCAAGCTTGTTTGACGTTCTTGAAAATTATTTTGATCGCTTGTCGGAAATGAAACATGACCCAAATCGAAATAAAGGTTCTCCGCCTGCAGAAGAGGGGGGGCTGGTGGTCATGCTCACAGGAAGCACTAGATCCCTCGGAAGTTATATGCTTGACGCCCTTCTTTCACGACCAAACAATCACTTCAGGAAGGTGTACTGCATCAACACTAGTCGAGGTCGTTCTGCGGCTCTGAGATATCGAACCGCAGCCAATAATCTACCGGCACATCAGAATGGTGGAGACCGATTATTTTTTCAGCAAGCCGATCTGTCTTTACGCAGATTTGGCCTTAGCAGCACCTTATACAAAGAGCTACAAGATAGTGTACAAGTCGTTATTCGTAAGAGACTCTTGTCTTACACAATCAAACATGCTAACGGGTTGTCCAGATACTTCATGGAAAGAGGATCTCAACGCTGGTCTAGCGGCTTTCAAGACATCTCTGGATGGCTTACTGAACCTAATAAGGTTCTCGACCGAGTCTCGACATCGACCTATCATATGTTTTGCTTCGTCTACGAGATCTGTAGGGTGTTATCGCACGTTACCAGGCAACTTTGCTCCGGAGTGTCAAATTGCGGACGCGGAAGCACCTACAAAAGATGGATATGGTCAATCGAAATGGATCGGCGAGCAGATGCTGAGTGCGGCAAGTGAGAATTGTGACGTGAGAAGTGTTATTTGGAGAATTGGTGAGCTTGCCGGCCCAGTAAATCAACAAGGAGAGTGGCCCAAAGAAGGATGGCGGGGATCACTGATAACCAGTTCCAAGTACCTGAGAGCAGTTCCGACTTTTGGCTGGATCCATCTATTTTACTTAATCCCTATCGACGTATTGGCTTCGATACTGGTCGAGATTTGCGAGAATGTCTACCCCGAGCTTGTCTCCAATAGCAATGATTACATGAAGGCCAAATACTACAATGTCAGAAACCCGGAAGATATGGCTTGGGAGACACATATAGTCCCAGCGGTAATGCGCGTTCTCAAAAGTAATGGGATTGAAGATATGCAGAACATGAGATGGGGTGAATGGCTCGAGTTGCTCGAAGCTAGTCAAGGGAACGACGGAGAGAATCCGGCATTCGATTTACTCAACTTCTACAAGAACGTCGAAATTGGTGGGGGAGTCGGATGCCTCGCGCTTCACAAGGAATGCGCCTTTGAGAAGAGTGCGATCTTGCGCGGACTGGATGGTACAAATCAAGTGAGGTGGCTTGGAATATGGCTTCAGCAGCTGGGAATCATACCTACAGCTCCAGGAGCGATCATCCAAGGAACTGCTGGTGTTGAGTTTTAGTCATTGTATAGGCGCATAACTTAGGCTACTCATGAAGGGGAATCGGTGTAGATTGCTGGTTGACGTTTAGTAATAGGAAAGATGCATTTGTTTAAACGGATTCGAGAGCATACCTAGGTAGCTGGCATACTGAAAAGCATTATTAGGTATTAATTCAACAACGCATAGGGCTATCAATCGTCCTGTACTCGAATCGTACTCTGATTGGTTTTGAAAATGGTTGATAAATAAGAATTGGAGTTTTGTTGTCGTTCGTAAATGAGGCTGTCCCCGCTTCCAGGTTTCTTCCTCAGATACTGTACGCTCGGATTATCAAGCCAATCAGCCGGATAAGAGCCCTGGATCAGGCCCTTGCGGGTGTTGCTCCGCCCATCGATTAGCGGTATTTACACCCGGACAGGCATCAACAGTGACGCATCGCTATCCTTGCCGCGGGTTTTTGGGACGTCAACACAGCGAATAAACAACCACCAACAACGCCAACGAGATGCAGCTTCAAATATCCTGCAGCAGCTTTCGGTACTTGATCCAGTGATGGAGCTGATATGGCTGTCACGTGCTCACGTATCGTCTCAAGGCAATCAGGCAGCCAACGCGCCAACCCGCGCCAGCGCATGTATATCTTCTCGGCTGGCCGCTCTCGTCCTTCTTCCTTCCTCACCACACCTTTCGGGTCGCAAACCACCACAGCACTTCCTCTAGTCTTTCGTTGAAGATCTAGAGTTTGTCTGCCAGGGCCCTGTCAATACATTCCTTTGTGCGTCAGATTCCCGAACACCAGATCGATTCCTCTCGCTATTTCTCATTTCGTCGCTCGCTCAAACCACAATTACCCATATCCTACCGAACTCTTCTTCCTCACCCACCGCGATCATGTTTAAGCGCTCTTTCAGGACGAATGATCGCGTGGAGAAGACCGTCAAGTTGAAGAAGACCAGTAGGGATGTTGCGAAGCTGGCGAAATTGAAGTCGTCGTTCGAGCAGAGTCCGTAGGTTGCCTATTCTGCCTGGCAAACGGAAATGTGGTGCGCAATCTTGCTGACGAGGCGCGCAGAACTCTCACCTCGCGGATTGTAACCTTTACAGTCGGCAAGGAAGGACGATTGTTTGCGGCTCACGAAGATGTCTTGGCCTTGTCGCCGTTCTTTACGACGGCGTGCAGAGGTCAGATTCGTCAGTCGCAGAGTATGAGGATCGATCTCCCAGACGAAGAACCGGAGGTCTTTTCGTGTGTTCTTGAGTACTTATACGTATGTGACATTTGGATCCTTGCTTCTATGCTTGTTTTGTGGTTGAGTGCCATCTAACCCCCAGCAGAAGGGCGACTACTACCCCCGCTTGGTGCACAACAAGCGCAGAAACTCTTGGGAACTCGAGGATGCCGAAAAGTCTCCAAACCCAGAAAACCCAGGTGGCCGCGGATCCGTCGAGGCCACAACTTACATCTCTAGCGTGGGACAGGACCTTTTAAGGGACACCGTCATATATTGTGCCGCTGAAAAGTACGGCTTGGAGGAGCTCAAACGACTCTCGCTTCGAAAGCAAGGTCTACAGAGTGGAATCGAAGTTGCTACGATTCTTCATAGTGCACGATATGCGTATGACAACACGCCGGACTCGGACTCGCGCCTTCGCGCTCATTATCTCGCCTTGATTATTAGATGTCGCAAGACATTTAAAAGGAGCGGAACCATGCAGACAGAAATGGAGAGTGGCGGTAAACTTTTCTTTGACCTTTTCGTAGCTCTTTGCAATCATGTCGATGATATTGTGGATATGGGGTAAGCTCGATCTTGATGCCTGTTGTGACTCTGCTGATCTGTACCAGCAACGCCCGTTCCCCCATGACCATCTAAACATTGCAAATCTGCGTCAAGATACTTGGCACGGAGTTAAATAGGTAACGAGGGCGAAATTGCTATCTCCATCAGATTGGAAACCATTTATGGAATTAGGCATACAACATGTTGCCTCAAATTTCACTTCGTCAATGAGGTTGGCCGCCTTTCCGATGATCACGATAACAGATCTTCATCCTCCACTCATTCCAGTAATACCCTCGCGCTTTGATATTTTTTATGGGAAGGGGAATTGCGTTTTTGATTTTTTGATTTGATACTCGCACCTGAAAGTTTACCTTGATCTTGAGGATTGGGGGTTTGAAGGAGCGCAGTTGTAAAGATGGAATCACTAGGTCGGGCGACCTCATCGCACCACTCTTTTTTTGCTGTTTCTGTTGGGATGCATGGGGATGCGAAGTTGAGCTAGGTGTATGATCTTGATGGTTGTACATGCGGTTCTGTCCCTAGTGGATGGACCAGGCAATGCCCTAGTTGGGGCGGGTAATGAGATATTCGGCCACCTCAATTTGGTTTTCGGCTTGAGTGATTGTAAGGTGAGTTGTGATTTCTTTCATGTATTCATATAGAGGCTCGAGGTTTCCTGTCGAAGGTCAGAAGAGGTAGGTAGTACTAGGTCCATCCCACTCTTTCTCATCTCCATGCACAACCTATTTCGGAAACTCGCTTCCGATGAGCCTCATATTTATATCTATCCCAATAAATCACGGTTCTCAAATCCTAAACACCTTATTTATCTCACCCCACAAACCCTCATTCACATTCTCATCCCCTTATCGCCACCACAATGCCATCCTCAAACATAACACCCCTCCCACCACCCCCCCCTCTCCCTCCCCTCCTCCACCGCAACCTGCACCCTCCACGCCATAAACACCACCCTCGAACTCTACACCCGCTCCGTCAATTTTCTGCACCCCCCTATCCCCGGCCATGAATTCTACAACTGTCCTACCATGGCTTTCCTCATCATCTCGCCGACGGGAAAGAAATACTTGTTCGACGCGGGTGCGAGGAAGGATTATTGGAATTATAGCCCGATGATCAGGGAGAGGTTTCGGAAGGGTGTTAATGTTGGGGGGATGAGGGTTACCAAGGGGGTGGCCGAGCTTTTGAGGGAGGGGGGTGTGGGTGTTGAGGAGGGTGAGGTTGAGGGGGTTTTCTGGAGGTTAGTTGATCGTTTTCGGTTTTGTGGGTGATGTGTTATGAGAGGGTTGGGGATGAGCGAAAAAGGAGTGAGGCGTGAAAATAAAGACACAAGCTGAGATGAGATAGTCACTGGCATTTCGATCACATAGGCGATATGTCCACCTTCCCATCCAGCACCAAAATCATCGTCGGTCCGGGATTCAGCGATGCGATGTTACCTGGCTATCCTGCGAATCCGGATAGTCCGCTGTTGGAATCTGATTATGTGTAAGCATCTCTGTCATGTTTATGTTTTGATGAAGTGAGAGAATGGGTTAGGTTGAGTAACCGTCCAACCTCACCTCCACACCCTCAAACCCCTCCCTCCCGAAACTAACACCCCACCCCAAGCAACCACGAAATGCAAGAACTCACCTTCACAACCCCCCTCGAAATCGGCGGCTTCCGCGCAATCGACTACTTCGCCGACGGCTCGCTGTACATCCTCGACGTCCCCGGCCACGCAATCGGCCATATCTGCGCGCTCGTCCGCACCACGCCCGATACCTTCGTCCTGCTCGGCGCGGACGCGTGTCATTTCGCGGGGAGTCTGCGCCCGAGTGTTTGGGTGCCGCTGCCGGAATCGGTTACTCGTGAGGAACTGGGTGAGGTGCAGGGGGGGGGATGTCCGTGTGAGGATTTCTTGGTCAGTCATCCACGTGGGAAGGAGGGACGGATCAAGCCGTGGTATAGCGCTAGTAGAACGCCTGGATCAGCGTATGCGGATTGGAGGGTCGCGGATCGGAGTGTGGAAAAATTGAGGGGGTTTGATGCGTGTGTGGATGTGTTGGTTTGTTTGGCGCATGATCCGGGGGTGGGGGAGGTGCTGCCGGTTTTTAATGGGGAGGGGATTAAGGGAGGGGGGATTGGGAAGTGGAAGGAACGGGGGTGGAAGGAGAAACTTAGGTGGAGGTTTTTGGGGGAGTTGCCTAGGATGGTTGGGGGTGAGGGTGGGAAGGGGAGGGGGTGGGTTAGGGGGAGGGAACCGATTGTTGAGGGGTGGTGGAGGGGTGGGAAGAGGGTTGGTGTTGAGGAGGCGCTGAGGAGGGATGGTGAGGAGTAGTGGTGTTATGTGGGGGATTTATGAGTTGTGGACATTGCATTTTTATTTGATCTGGAATTTCTAATCTGAGAGCTGTGTGGTTGGAGAGCTGAAATGTGTAGATGGGAAATGTATCCTGGTGTAGACGTGAATTGGGTTCTAATAGCGTTATTTTTGTCACGAAGGTTAAGCCTAATTTACTAGATCACTTATTGATATTTTATCTTGTAGAGAGTTACAGGCTTTTGTCTATTTGACTTACAAACCCACTATATCCTGAACACGCATCGACCAATCAACATGTACGCTGTTACACAAATCGAACATGGTACCATGAAGTCAAAGAAACAAAAAACGCGATCTCCACAAAAGATGCGGTTTCTTAGACTACAGGACCTTTGTTAACGCGTTTAGCATGCTGTTAAGATCAATGCAGAAGACGAGGTTCTGTTTATAGGTTAGATGATTTTTTTGGTAAGCGTTAGGGAGGGGCTTAGAATCGATATTCAGTGATGCTGAATAGTGTAGGATTTAGTATATAGAGGGCTGTTTGGTTTTGTAGTATTAAAAAAGATATTCTGTAATTTAGAATATAATTATAGTTTTAGTTTGTGAAAACTAGAGCTATAAGCTAGGTTGCGAAGATGTAAAAGTACTATTTTAATAAATTATTTATTTATTAAGAGATCTAGTTTTTCTACTTCTTAGGTATTACGCTTTATTTACTTATTAAATATAAGTTATATAAATCAATTCTACTAAATTTTATCGCTTAGTCGCTAAAATAGCCGCTTGATTAGTTTATAAAGTATCGCGTTTTGTAGGTATCTTAGCGATATTATTGCCTAGCGATCCGTTGAGCCTCGAAATGTCAAAATATATAATAGTGTAGAATACGTGAGTCTCACGAATCTAGCATTGATTTAGGCACATTAGTTAGATTATCGCTTTTAGAGGTTTGAGCGGAAAGGTGTAGTACCTAGGAGTCGGAAGGGATAGGGGGTTAGCGAAGTCGTATAGGCCTTAAGGTAATTAGCAAAGTCGTATATCCCTTACTTAGCTAAGGTAGGTACGCGTATATATTCTATATAGAATTTACAACTAAACATCTCTACTATATACATCTTTTTCTCTATACGGCTAAAACGTATCTCAGTTTCTATATTTACAACCAATTAGATTGTTAGAATCAGAATAGTGGCTTGTTTAGTAATATTATTGGCCTCGGGGTTCTACATATACAACCTCACCGGATCTCCGTCCTTCTGTGCATCCCTTGCGTAACAGGGAGAAAACGTCTGTTGCCCGCAAGAGAATCCCCATTGAGAATAAGAAGTCGAGAACCTGCCTCCTGTGCATCCCTTGCGTAAAAGGGAGAAATCGTGAGAATGTCATTGAGAATAAAAAGTCGAGAGCCTCCCTCATTCGACCAAACCCTATTATAATGTCTTCTTCAGTCGCGCAATTTGCTTCTTCAGTCGATCTCGTCTACGAGGTCGCAAACCAAGTAACGAATCGACAATCCCTACGGAATTGCTGCTTGGTGAGCAAGAATTTCAATACCTCGTTCACGCCTTTACTGTATTCGGAAGTCTGGTTTCGCCCAAATAATAGACGGTTTCTCCTCGAAGACCTGCCACTACTGTTGAATCACCAAGCACTTCAATTTGTCCGGGCCCTTGACGTAGCGGTCGAGATATTACCTGACGACCCATGGTCGTGGGATGGCACAAGCGAGCAGATAGAAGTCCGTAGATTGTGCAATGAGGGAGTGCAATCTCTTCTTTACAAAATGCCGATGTTGCAGATATTTCGGTAAGTGTGGTCTTAAGCCGCGGAAGCAACGCAACGAGAACTGATCATATTGTTTTTAAAGTTGGGCTGAGATGCCTCCATTAACAACTACGGTTTCGGCTCTCCAAGTACAATGCCCTAACATTCACTCGGTGGTGATTCATTACCACAATCACGTTGAGGGGTGCGGGTTAGGACACTTTGAAGATCTTCTTGAAGAGGGTGAAGACCCCAAACGGCCTTTAAAATACAGAGACGCACAAAACCTGTTTACGATACCAAGTTTGTCATATTTCGCGAACTTGACTAGGCTAGAAATCTTACGCCTCCATAGTGATCTCAACAAGGCCAGAAGAGGTGTTTTGCAAATCCTTCTCAAGTTACCTCATTTGGAGTCGATGTCCTTGTCGATTTGCGCCGATGCCATCAATCGTCTAGAAGCAGACCGAAGCACAGATCACATCCTCTTTTTGGTATCTCTAATCGAAGACTTCGTCCAAGCGGGTGGGAAACCGCTCCGTCTAAAGAAATTAATACTCGGTCTCGGTGTTGCCCTTTGGAGAAAAGGACACTCTCTCCGCGCATTGGTTGATCTCACATACCTAGATGAAGTTATGTGGAAAATCGGATTTGGATCTTTGATCTTGATGATGACTTTGTTATAGACTGGGAACTCTTTACCCTAGAGTATTCTCCTAATATGTGTGCTTTCAGCGTTTATCACCTCGAGGGTTTTCTAGAAGCGATTCCAAGTGGCCTGGGATGTTTGAAACAGCTTTTCAGACACCGTGATATGATAAGCGAAAGGTATGCTATGATGATACCCTCAGTACGCAACCAGAACCACGTATCCCACAAAACAAGCTCGTCAACTCTACTCAACCTGTCGCTGTACTCGTCTTCCGATTTAGGCGCTCGCAACTGGAAACTGGACAATTTCGAATTTCTTTCAGATTTTATAGAACGTATCTTATATGAATGGGTTTCTGACCCGCGTCTTCTTGCTCGAACAACAACCCAACTCAAACAGCTATTCTTGGCGACTGATTTGGTCTCTGAGGTGCAGTACAATGGAGGGATTGGCTTGCCAATGGTCGGTGATTTGCTCTATCGAATCGCCAACGATTACAAGGACTTGAGTTATATCAGAGCCGACAATAGTGCTTGGCGACTTTTACGGAAATGCGAAGCTCCCACGACGGACCCTAAGAGTAACGCTTTGTTGTCACAGTCAATAATTGAACGAAAACTTAGCACGAGTCATAGAGAGGATTACTAAGCCGACTACTCTCCGACCGTATAACCTATCCTTGCTTAAAACATAAGCATTCTCGAGCTAGCAGGCATTTGTGCTGTTCACCTGAAAAGGTACGTTCCTGTGGTATCTGCTTTTGGTTAACTTTTGTTATTAGCTAACTACACTTAATCGTAACATTTTCTACTTCCCAACTACTCCACACAACTTGCTTGTAATGAACACCCTTTACTCTCTATTAATGCTATGATTAAACTGATCATCCTAGGCTGGTTTTTATGGAAATCAAACTTCAATCCTTTCACCAAAGGAATTATATATCAAAACATATTCAAACATTAAAGAGAAACACTACTTTGTCAAAGAATACGAAAATTCTCATGTCGTCCAAGAAAACTTTAGGTCAACTGTAGCTAAGTTCCAAAGACAAATCTCAAGGAAAACAAAATATTCTAGAAGAACAATCCTTAAACCCTTGTACCCTAAACACTACAGCACCATATCACCGCTCAACAACGTCTCTGCTTGACCGACCAATGACCTGCACCTTTTCTCACAAATCCCTATAAAGAAATCGAAGCTATTTCCATGATACTACAGTTTATAAATTACATATTCGGTGTAATGTCAAGAATAAAAGCCCAGGAACAAATGTGCTCATAACTTTCTACGTGCTCGTTATCAAATTGTAGATCGAAGTCCTCCCAACCTCTCCCCAGACAAAAACTGAATCCAACACTACGCACTTAATCAGAAATGAATCTCACATATAAAACACCACACACCCAATCAAACCCGAAACCCATTTTGAAACACCGACCCGTAACAAGAAAAACCCGGGTAGAGTACTAGTTATATAGCACCTCGCGGTCGAGCTCTTCGATTAAGTTAACGTGTTAATGTAGAACGATAAGAGCTATTTCGTTAATGATAAGACTTCTGGCGCCGTATTCGAAAGTCGACTTGTTTAGTCGGGCAGGTGACTGATAGTTGTTTTGTCCTCCAAGAGAACATCCCATCTTCTAAATCCGTACCAACATACCTACCTAACCACCATTCACATCCCTCCCCTTAAACACCCCACAAACAATCCCATTCCACTCTTATCTCCTAAACACCAACTAAACCCTAGAAATCCCTTTTCCTTCCAACCCAAATAACATACCAAAAAGAACCTACGTCCTCCTCCTCCACCTCATCAATCCCCCCTTAGCATACCCCACCACTCCTCCTCAAACTCCCTTAACCATACCCCATCCTTCTCAAACACACTCACCCTCACCCTCACCATGCCAAACCACTTCCCTCTATACCCAACTAACACGCACATCATCACCTCAAATGCCACAGCGTCGTTAGCCTGAACCACACCAACATCCCAGACATATACCGCCCTGAGAACTCGCCCCCCACGCCCCCCACGACGCAGTCTTGCAGTCTCAAAGCCTCACGATCGCAGCTGAAATACACTCATTGAACACGACATACAAACACAACAGCAGGACAATATAAAAATCAAGCACCGCCTCACGCACAACCTCAATCCCAACCAACCAACCAACTAGCCCAGCCAACCAATCCATCGGATCCTCAGCCTCACACAACATAATCAAGTTCACACAGCACAATCACCTCCCATCCAAACAAAATTAAAATTAATCTTTGTAATTTTTTTTTCTTCTTAATTATTCTACCACTACCCCAACTTCCAACTATTTATACCCTTCTCTCCTCCCCTCCCTCCCCTCCCTCCACTCACTCCACTCTCCCTCTCTACCTCCACTCTATCCAAAACATACACGCCCCAACTCCCCCTCCCTCCCCTAACGCTGTGGTGTTCCGCCAAGACAAAAACGCCTATATGTAATGCTTGCCATCTCAAACAATAGAAAAAAGGAAAACGAAACTATTATAATTTTACCTCCATAAAGTACCCCCTCATGATCTTACACCTGTTTAAGCTCCACGAAATTCGTCGACTTCGCGTCCACCGAACCCGTAGCCGACGCCTGATTCTCCGCCGGTTTGCTCGTCTGCGAGGGATCCGCCGTAGCGGTCGCGGCAACCGAGGCTATACTCGCCGCCTCCTCCGAATTGAACTTGCCGCACTCCTCGTGGAGTTTTTCGCGGCGTTTATCGTCGTCTTCTTTTTCGTGGTCGGCTTTCTCTTTCTTCTCCTTTTCGTCTTTTTCGGCAAGCCATTCCTCGTGATGCATGATCGCTTCTTTCTTCTCCGCTTCGTTGAGGTTGTCCCAGTTGGCCGTATCTTTGTCCCAGTTGTGGATGCAGTCTGGTTTCCAGTTGCATTCTTCGACCATGCCGTAGGCTGGGTGGCTGTATCGTGGATGGCGGGAGGGCCAGAGGGACGCGTGGTAGTGATGTCTGACGAGAGCGAGTGGGTGATCGTGGTTGTTGGAGTTGGAGTGACCTTGGCCGGCAGCGAATGCCTCGACGGTAAGTACTAGAATATCGCCGACCTGCGTTGGACCGCGCTGGGTCATGTTGTGGAACTTTTCCCATTTCTGAGTCTCCCCTGTTTGTGCGTACATTTCGGCCATGACCGCCGATGTGAATGCAGAAGGGCCTGTGCCGGTCAAAACCTCGTCAAAGTTGAGCTGAATCTCAGCGATTCCGACGTTTTGCTTCTTGGCGATATCCTCCAGCCATTTCAGAACGTTGTTGATCAGTCGCAGCATGACCGGGTGTCTTGGTTTTGCCATGAACGTCCATTGGCAGAAGGATTCGGATTTTTGTCCCAGAATTGGGTGTTCCACCCAGTCTGGTTCGTCAATTTCCACGCTGATAACGAGCCCAATATCCGATTTCGTAAAATTCGAAGTGATCCATTCGTCGACCGGTTTGATGGCAGACACGTCAATGTCCGCATAAACTCCTCCCTCGATATACATGACCAGATACCGCAGTAGATCTGCCTTGATAATTGTAGCATTGAGCGTTTTGTAAATGTACACCACGTCCATGCGATTGAGGCCCGAGGGCCCAAAATGGGTTTCGATGTATTCCTGACTATTCGCATCGGTGAGGACTTCGTATCTATGCCCTGGATTCTTCGAGGTCCAGCTTCGCGCGCGGTCGGAATCTCTCGTCTCGAATTCTAGGGGATCGGTCTTCCACGTCTGCCAAATCTTCTTGGGGAAGAATTCGCCGTATTTCTTCTGATGCAGCAGCGGCGACTGATATGAGACCACCCGCTTGAACACATCTCCCGCGCGTAATGGGGTACTGAGATTGTCGGTCTTGGATAGGAAAAGAATAAATATGAGAGCGACCGCGATGTAGATGGGGAGCGCCCTCTTCATGGATTTCGGAAAGCGGCCTCCGATAAGGGAAGAGGTGACCTGCATCTTGTGGATAATTGCTCCCAAGGAGATAATAACAATAGGATGCTAAAGTCAAAATAATCCAAAAGACCGAAGTCGTGAAAACAGAAGAAGAAGAAAAATAATCGAACAGCGTTGATACAATGTTACAAGAAGGTGATGCTGAGCGAGGGAAGGAGCTAAGTTTTGTTCGTTGGGTTGGGGTCGAGGCAGCACCATGGGTTAGCCTACTATTTTTTTTACAGCGAGCGACAAACGGGATTCTCATTTTGTTTTCGCCAGGATACAGCGGATCCCTACGCTGATGCAACCATGAGTTTGGCCTCTGTAACTGGCTCACACCCTGCGCGACTGCTGATTATTCACCCACTTGGAGGGGCGGTGGCCCGTAAAGGAGACCAAGCGTTTCTCCCCGCACGACTAAGGGGCTGATAACCCATTGACTAGTGATTAAAGTTGCGGCGATCAATATCTCCAGTCCCCAGCATCCGTGCTAGAGTCAGTCCGAGGTCTGATATGGAAAGTCTAAACCTTCCCCCAGCTTAGGCGTTTTGTTTCACATGCTTGGTGAATCGCCGAGGCGTTACAACACCAGGTCGAGCCTTTACGATGCGAGTTACTTACTGTACAGCACCATGCGCCTAAATTCAACAATACCGGATTAGCTGTAAGCGCTATATTAAAATTCCGGAGGCTGCTATACATCAGGCCTAGCTGGGAATCCTTTTCAGGCGAGCGGCGCTTTTGAGGCAATCAGAGGGGGCCATTCGAGGTATTAATTACGGGGTACCTGCATTTAGGTGACGCCACTTCCATGAATGGCTAGGTGATCTCCTATCTTTGGCGAATACACGCCGTGGATTTGACATGGCATTGTATGTATCTGATGCATATCAGGAATCCGGCTTGTTGGCGGACACACGTACGACAGGATGTATGGGTGTGTTGTACAATGATGCAACAGGAGGCAAATCATTCCACCATGGTATTCATAAAACATCTAGGTACCTGGTAGACAATCGATTATTCGTAAATGTATTTGATGTAAATGATGGTAGCGTGACCAGCTGCTTTCGATGGTGTCGCCCCTACAGTACGGTAATCACGTAGGAAAGCCACAACGGGCCTTTTGCCCCCTAAATGGCCCCCCTTTTGCTTGCCTCGCTTCTTCCCACTCGGTAGTTTTCGCGTATTCTGACCTCGAGTCGAGATCTGGTGGTTGAGGTTAGGAACAGAATGCGTATCTTCATCTACTTACTATGAGAATCAAATAACAAGAGTAAAAGGATGTGACGCATTCATATTTACACCAGTATTTAATGTGATGGTGGCACTACGCAGCGTTCATCGAAAATGATCAAAATGATACTCTCACCACACCGATCCAATACATAACCGCATCAGCGCGCCAAGCTTCACCCGCCGCAGAGATCCAATTTACATAACTCGCTTGTTGGAATAGGGGAAACGAGATGAAGGTCAAAATCATTCTTCACGATGGCAAACCGGAATCAATTAACAGCGTTCGAAACAGCAGACCTCGCAACTCTCTGATTCTCGCTTGATGTACAACCTCTACTCTCCGTCGCACCCTACGAAACACAAAAATATCAGCTCAAAACAAAGTCCAGGAATAGCGTAAAACAAGGTGCAGCTATCCAACTCACATGGCCATTGCGACCAGCGACCAGGTTGCGGCTTCTTGGCCCCAGCGAAACCTTTTAGCATCAGCCCCCTATCCATGTGGGGTTAGCGCAGCCTAACCAAGTTTGAACCCGTCTGGTCGTTGGCCTCTGGCATCTTTTTCTCGTAACGCGACCGACGTGGGTGTTGGTACTCCTTATTTTTAAATATTAGCCCGCCAGAAAAGTTCAGCAGGTGTATTACTATTATTCTTGTCTTGGCTTCATCTTTGGGAGTTGGGTGAATTGTTAATTATTTCCTCGAACGGCTGCAGCTTTGCAGATTGCCTGCGTTCACCTCAACCCGTCCTCGAATCTCCTCCCGAACGTGTTGGAAACCAGCATCCATGATACACGAGGGCAAAAAGGCGGATGACTTCGATCCTGCCACCAACGGCAATATGGTAGACGAACCGGAGTGGGCGACGGAGAAGTATGCGGAGCCAAAACGCTCACGTACGGGGGGGTTCTTGCGGTGGATGTTCGAAATAATGCGGCCAGCAATCTTTACCAAGTCGCCCGCGCGCAAGCAGCAGCTTCGACGGACGGCATATCTCGATGGGCTGAGAGGATTTGCGGCATTCATCGTGTACTGGCATCACCATCAGATGTGGCCTCGAGAATCGATAGGCGCGGATATCATCTTCGAAAATGCGTACGGTTTCAAGGACAAATACTTCATGGCTACATTACCATTCATACGGACATTCTTCAGTGGTGGACACTTTGCGGTGTCTATCTTCTTTGTTATTTCTGGATACGTTTTGTCTACCAAACCGCTGGCTTTGATATATGCCAGTGATTTCGAGAAGCTGGGAGATAACCTCAGCTCGGCACTGTTCAGACGTTGGATCAGACTTCATGTCCCTGTTATGTTTACCACATTCTTCTATATGCTTTCCTGGCATCTATTTGGCATCTGGACTGCCTCCCCCGACCACCAGGACACGTTCCGTCATGAGTTATGGAATTGGTACGCGGAATTCAAAAACTTCAGTTTCGTCTTCAGAACCGGTGGTGTGGATTGGTTTACATACAGTTTCCATACCTGGTCTATTCCAGTCGAATTCAGAGGATCCCTCATCATATACACATCTCTCCTTGCGTTTTCAAGGTGCACGAGAAACGCGCGACTCCTGTGTCAACTTGGACTTGTAATCTACTTTTTATACATCGCAGATGGCTGGTTCGGCGCCTTATTCGTCTCCGGCATGCTCCTCTGCGACCTCGAAATGCTCGCTCGCAACAACGACCTCCCACAATTCTTCACCCTCTTCGAGCGCTCCAAAAAACTCCTCTGGCCCGCCATGTTCCTCGTCGGAATCTTCCTCGGCGGCGTCCCCTCCAACAGCAAAGACATGGACATCCTCCGCAACTCGCAAGGCTGGTACCTCCTCTCCTTCCTCAAACCGCAAGCCGTCTTCGACCCCAAATGGTTCTACCTCTTCTACGCGGGCCTCTTCATCGTGGCCTCAACGCCCCATCTCGGCCCCATCAAACGCTTCTTCGAGCTCCGCTTCAACCAATACCTCGGCCGCATCTCCTTCTCCCTCTACCTCATCCACGGCCCCGTCCTCTGGATCCTCGGCGACAGACTCTACACGGCCGTCGGCTTCCATCGCGAGGCCCATCTCATCCACACCCCTGAGTGGGTCGACATCTTCCCGCTCTCCCACCGCGGGCCGCTGGGCCTCGAATTCGCGTTCCTCGCGCCTCACATCATTATCCTGCCCTTTACGCTGTGGCTGGCCGAGGTGGTGACGAAATTGGCGGATGAACCGGCGGTCAAATTCTCGAATTGGTTGCATAAGAGGGCGTTGGGTGCGCCGCCTAGTGTTTTGAGTTCGTGAGGGGAGGAGAATTGTGGTGTTTTTTGTTGAATTGTACGATTTTAGATAAATGAGTAGAGGGGTTTGGATTGAGAAACTCAGCGTTAGGGAGGGGGGGGTTTGTTTGGATAGATGGTGGGGGGGAGATAGATAATGGAAAATTCATATTTGATTCGTCTGGGTTGTGTGGGGGAGTGATGTGATTTGTGAAAGACATAGTGGGTGCGTTGGGTGTGATGTTTTCGTGAGTCGTTGATGTGGTATGGAAGGTAAGTCTTTAACGGCCGGATTAATTTGCTCGCTTAACACGAGTACGACTCATCGCGGTAGCTGTTTCTTGATTTCTTGGGCGTTAGGGAAAGTAAGAGATCTGGTTTGCTACGCTGGATTGCGGGGTTGACGTCCTTCCTAGAGTTGGTATTGTTGTAATTTCTTTTCTGGCATCGATGGAGCTGCGTTGTGTGTGATGTGGGGGGATATGAAGTGGTGCTGTGAGTTGGGGTTGAGGGGATAAGCTGAAAGGGAGGGTTTGGTTGCTTTTGCTATTATTTGCGCAGTTTTTTTACTGGTCCATTTGTGGAAATAATGTAAATCATCATGCTTAGGTGATGAACCTGGGAAGTGTTCAACATCGTGTAAGAGATAAGTATTGCGAACGGCTTGTTGATTCCTGTAAGAATCGAGCTTTTGGTATAGATCAACAAAATCAGAGTTTTAGAGATCTACCTCTCGCCAGCTAGATGATCTCACGGTCTCCCAGAATTCAAAATCGGCCTCCTCGAATGCTTGAACAGATTATCATGGTTCGCTAAAACTCTTGGTTGATCAACTGGCGGGATTTAATGTTAGGGTCTAGAGCAGGATATGGGATAAGGAGAGAAGGTATGAGGCCAGTGCCTGTATTAAGTGACTGAAACCAAGCAGTGAAGTCAGGTTGGGTGCTCTTCTTTCACCTATTATACTACAGATCACTCGTTCGCAAGGTCACCTGCATCCGACTCTAACATCATCCCTCCTTTCGAAAACGAAAAGGTCTCGCTAAATCAACAAACTACACACTTTCGTCCTTCCCAACCCAACCTCGAATCATGCGAACCCAGTGTAATCAACTCTCTTCCCGCTCGTAACTCTACGAGCAAGCACTGTTTCAGGTTCCACCTCATCCCCCGACTCATCCCCATTATCTGGATCCAAAAAACCTTGCACCATCGTGCTGAGAATATCACTCTCGTCCTCAGCAGCCAGCCTTACTTTTCTTCTCGACTCTGCAACGGCCCTCCCGTCGAACTCACCCATCTTCCTCAACGCCACGACCCTTACCATCTTAGCATTTTCGTCGCCTGCCAGGTCTCTTTGGGCACTACCTTTTCCACTTACATAGCCCTCGAACTCATTTCCCTTCACATCTCTAATCGTAAACGTGATATTAGCCTCGATCTGCTTTAACGGACGCTCTGCTCTCGCGCGCTCGCGTCGACGGAATTTGGTTCGTTGTTACTTCGGCTCATGCAACGCTCTGCACGCAGCCAGCCTCTCCCTCACATTCTCATCATCAGGATACATATCCCTCGCGCCCGTCAACAGAGTAAGTGCCAATCGAAACGCGGCTCCCTCTTCGTACACATGCGGCCAATGACAGGCCGTATCATACCACTTGCAATTTTCACGTGGCAAGAAAACCTCATCGCCTCGTTTCCGTCGCTGGGCTTCCTGGAGGGTGTCCGCGTACTGCAGTTTTACTTTGAGGAGGAGCTCTGGACGGGCCTTTCCGCCACGGGAGCAATGTCGTTCGCAGACGCGGAAAGCGAGGTTTGCAGTTGCTAGTGCTTCTAGATGAAGCTCGTCATTGCCGAGATGTGTGGCTAGTTTCTGCGAGAACTGAGATGATGAGACCCATAGTTCAAGACAGTGGGCTCTGATACGTGGGACTGGTAGACTCTCCACTTCAGAAGCTTTGAAAAAGATATGGCACTCAGTAGTATCTTCCCCGTTAATCGTCTCATAATGAGAGAATGCATTTTTCAAAAGCATGGAGCCGGCCAGTACGTAGTAAGCTCGTGCTTGAGGATAGGTGCATGGCTCAAGGGCGAATTCATCAGCTTCCTTTTTGAATGCGGTTGCCCAATGGATAAACTCCTCTTCTGTATATATGATGCCAAATTTTGCAGCGATCTTGTCAAAGCCGTAAGATGGAGAGCGTTCCGGTTTGAGAAGGAAATATGTCTGATTCTTTGGGGGTTGGCGACAAGACCACCATTTTTTCGGCCAGCAAAGACCTTGTAAAGAGTTGACTAGTCGGATGGCAATGTCATGTCTGTTCTCGTAGTATCCACCGCTGCTGACTGTGAAATCGAGACCCAGTCTTATGTGAGATTCTCGATTAAAGTCGTACCTGATCTCGGGAGCTACTGTTCCATAACCATCGTGCTGATGTCTAAAGTCGCATTCAAACCCATTCTGTGTGTCGTCAACATCAGAGTCTTGCATACTATTAAGCAGTGCAACGAGCCGAGGAAGATATTTGCCTGAGATGATTATCAAGTCTTGAGAGGAAGTGTACCCATTACCATCACCATCGCAGCTAATATTTATTGAGAGCGCATGATCTGGAGTACCTGATCCAGGATTCAATTCCAGAATTGGAATAATCTTGCCGATTGTGTATGCGAGAGCCCTGTCACACTCAAGTCTCACCAAATGATTCTTGTCGTAAAAGTGCTCCAGAGCGCGTTGAGAAACCCCTTCCTTGTCCACGCTGAAGAGGTTTCCTGTGATGTCCCATCTCTGCTCCCAAAGGTTGCGGTCTTCTGGTTTCCACGAGCAACCGAATCTGTCTTGGTCCGTTTACCGACTCAAAACTAGTCGGTCTCTAAATTCTGCTACTAGAGCATAGTCCAAAATTTGGTCCATGCATTCTGCAGGAATGGTTTTTAATCTGCAGGCCATATCTTGACTTCGTTGAGATACTTGAGTCCCAAGTTTAGAATAAATTAAGTTTTGTTGCACAGAGTAGATTGTTTCTGCCAATCTCAGTTGAAGAGAATGTGGAAAGCGGATGTGGTAGAATGATGATATTGGCGGAAGAGGGACGCTGTTCAGGAGCATTGTTTAAAGAAAAGAAGAAAAGTGCTGTACAAAGTGAAAGACTTCTTAATACTTTGTTTATACTAGTTACGCGAGGTCATATTCCCTAGCCACTCATCTTTTTAGTGAATTTGCGGTTCTCTATATCGTTTCACTGGAACCAGCATTCTAGTTCCGGACAAATTTTCAAAGAATTTCTTTTGGGTAGTATACGAATATTCAAGAATCTGTCCAGTGAAGGATAGAAAAGATCTTCTAAAACAAGCCATCTTGAATTCCAAAGTCACACCAAGTCTGGAACAAGACTTCCATCCACTCCTATCGCGTTTATCATATTTCGCAAAGAACTTCAAAGTTACTGAAAACTCTTAACACTCACCCCAAAACTCTGTTCATCCTTACGATTCATAAAATCTAGAATGAAATTATCGACTGACTTTCTACCCGATTTCCCGTTTCCTGAACAACGCAAAATTTAAAGGTAGCTGTTGACTACAGGGTTGGCTCTTTGCTTTACACGTTTGAATCATCCTCAATAGAACAACAATCCAGCTGGCAGACTCTTCGAACCAATGTGAGCATACAGGCATAGACTCATAGTACGGGTACAATAGGAAATTTAAGGAGGCATGGCGGATGTTGTGAATGTTGTGATAATTTGAATCTTTCCAGGACGTATAAAAAGTATAGAACGAGTCTATTTGGGTCGGATGTCTATCAGTTTTATACATGAATCGTACATATACTATCATACATAAGTCTCAGACACTTTACACCTTGATATCTTCAAGTCCGCATAACGCCATCGCTGAAACCAAAGATCTTCGCCCATTATTTTCAAAAAGTACAGTCGTACAGGCGATCTCTATTCTGCACTCCATGCAAGGGGTATCCCATAATTCACAGGCGCAGAACTCCAGTGATTAGCTTCATGTCTCCATTTCATCACCCTCCTCCCCTTCCCCTTCCTCTTCCTCTTCCGCCTCCTCAGCTTCCTCCCCATCCTCCTCTTCCTCTTCTTCCTCGTCTTCCTCCTCACTACCATCATCTCCTTCTTCGTGATCATCTTCGTGGTTATCCACACGTGGGCGTACCAGATCGGGGAAAAGTCGAGCCTCATCTATATCTTCCATATCAGGAACATCGCTGAGATCGCTTTCGTCATCCGCAGAGTCATGAACACTACCCCTAGCTGATTCACTTGGTTCCTTGGTATCAGCACCTGCTGGCTGATCTTCATCGATCTCGTCTTGATCTTGTTCCTCACCACCATCTTCTTCTTGTTCTTCCTCTTGCTCGTTATCAATTGACTTGTCATGATCTTGGTCAGGCTGCTCGACATCTTGCCCATCTGACCCATCTTTGCGGTCATCCGGGGTGTCAGCGTCTTCGGGGTCAGCGGTAACATTAGATCCAGGGATAATGCTGGCTTGCGCTGCTTGTGGCCGCGCAGACGCGGAAGCAGCAGCTCGGGCTGCCTCTGGCATTCGAGCAACGACTACCTCTGCACGACGTAGAACCTCCCGACGACTGATACCGACCTTTCGAGGACGTGAAGGCTCTGAACCAGCAAAAGTCACGGGTACAGGAATTTGTGTGCCATTACCCATGTCCATAACAAGATTGTTGAGACTCATTGGACCCATTGGCCGTGGGTTACCACTTCCAGATTCGCCGTCTACTTGGGCACGTGCAAGTGTCGGATCTGGGCCAGGGAGATCTTTTGCGATTTGAGTGTATAAGACCGCAAAGGAGTCATTTATCAAATCATCTATTGGCGCCGGCTTCATCTGGTTTGCATTCAGCTTTTTGAGCTCATAGCTATCGCGAAGGGCTTCCAGCGCTGGGTGGTCCATTGTCGGGTTAGCTACCCACTCTGCAAGGCGAACAGCAAGCATATCAAACTCCTCACTGGGAATGCCTTTGAACACTTCGTCCATGTTGGGCGGTATATCACCCTTTTTCCGGATAAGTCGGAGATAAGTTGTGCACACTTCATTCCATACAACAGAAAACTGGAAGAATTCTTGTGGCTTCTTCCGCACTCGTTTCGCCAATGCATCCATATTTGCTTTGTCGTTCAGAATTAGAAGCACCTTGCAAATGTATCGAACATAGCGCTCCATATAAACGCAATGACGGCCAGCTCTCTCCGCATCTGGCTTCCATACTTGGATATGCATAGTCTTTGTGAAGATAGATTCGCGAAACTCATTTCTAGCTGCAAGAGCTTGATTGTAGTCAGGTTGCTCCTCGTCGTACAAAATGCCAGCGACACGAGCTACCATACGATGATGCCAATGCTGTTTGTCTGCATTGCGTAGGTGTTTCATAGTACCCAGTATAAATGGCTCCCATTCGGCTGGGCTACTGATGACCACAGCTTCTCCCTTCGAATAGGCGTATGGCTGTTGCTGTAGCAGATCAGCACCGGCCTGGGGAGGCATAGCTCCCATCAACACAAGTTTGTGGACAACAGATACTAGTTTGTAATGCGGCTCTAGTATTGGTTCCTGCCGACCATCACGAGGTTTAGGCACAGTCTTGATTGCTTTTACAAAAGCAGCCAGTACAGCATCGACACTCGGTTTGGTTGCTTGAACTGCTGGGTCAAATTCGTCGCTCGCCTTACGATACATCTTCCAAAGACATTTACCCAACATGTAGTGGTTCCTATCATAGTCAGTACACACAGTAAATGAACTTGAACAAGACCGCAGCTTACATCCAGTACTTCGGTTTGTCAGCCATGGCTTTTCTGAACAGCGTTGCCGCAAATTTCCAAACACGATACCGACTCATTTCTTCATGTAACGGACGTTTGTACATGCCCATAGAGCCACTCATATGTTTTTCGAACCCGTCAACCCAGAAGGCTTCCATACCGAACGGTTCTCTGGAAGAAGCATACAGTCGCACGCCGAATTCGTAATACATATCTGAGAGCTTCGACGCCGTAGCGACTGTATCATCAGCACAACGAACTGAGGTAGAGAGCGCCATCATATAACTATGAATGGCCCCACGTTGTAGCTTGACAAGTTCTGCTCGGTGGTTGTTGATTTTATCAGCACTCCACAGAACTTCCTCCTCTAATTCTGAGTCAAAGCACTGCGCCAGTCTGAACCACGTTTCCCAATCCTCCGAACTAAATTGTAGCTGCAACCTCATAAAAGTGGCAGCAACGCGCATGTCATCCAGTTGTGTTCCGGGACCGAGTCGCTTCTGAGATTTGAACTTGGTCAATGCTATCATACCAAGCAAGAAGTACCATCCTTTATCTGCTAGAGGACTTTCTGATGTAGATACTGGCAGAGAATCAACCTGAATTTGACCTCGTAAAGATTTGTACATGTCCAAAGGACGGATCGAGGTCCTCAACATTTCAGTATAATTCCGGAGATTATGTTGCATTTGAGGAACAGGTTTTGCAGGACCAACCGCCGTTTGCATCTTTTCAATCGTGGATCGAAGCTCATGCTTCAGAAGATCCTTCACTGGCATTGCCGTTGCCAAAGAGATGACTTGATCAGCGATGTTCATGACGGTACGTCTATCGAGGGCTTCAGTTGGGCAGCCGTGATCTTCCAGAAGGTATGTCCCAACTCCGAGGCGAATGCCGTATAAATCAAAAAGTACCTGTCCAAGGTAGTCTTCCCATTTGTCAACTTCTTTGAGTCTGATCATTTCGACCTTCATCATCTTGAGGAAGATCTTATTGGAAACCTTGCAGCATTTACGGATCCCAAGACAATAGTGTACTAAAGCCAAGAAATCTGCGAGATGGTCATTGGCGGTAAGAAACATTTCTGGGTTTTGTGCCATCGACTCCTTGACCATGGTGTATTGCAAGGCCCACGCCCGGACTTGCATCTCACGAAGCTTGGTAAGGAACCCATTGAAAGATCCTTGGGCAGAGTATGCCGGTGTTTGGGGCAGCGGTGTCATTCCAACCCGTACCTCATCATCGAAAAGCGCCGCGGAATGTAGTACTCGACTTAATTGTGCAATCGCAGCAGATGTTGTCTTCAGATGCCTCTCGTCAATGATCTCGAAGCATGAAGCTGCATCATTTAACGCGATTGTTAATGCTTTGACCAACAAGTCGTCCAAAGCTTTAAGCCAAGTTAACAGTTTATGCCGTCGTGGTTCATCGGCACTGTCAACATAGTCTTCCCCTCGAAGATCATCGACAATAATCTCTATACTTTTCAAATGGCATGAAAATACTTTGGTGTTGTAACCAATGCCGGAATACGCATCGCGAAGTCTTTGCCAAAGAAACAATCGTAGAGACGTGCTCCCGCTCTTCAAGAACTTCCACATATCTTTAAGCGCCGCAGGCGTACCGTCGATAGTATCGGCGGTTGAAGACGCATCGCCAGCAGACTCCACTGGCGCACAGGCAGATTCAGGGTCCAGCACTGGCTCCAAAGTCTCTATGATGGCGATCGGGTCTGATTTATCTGTCTGGAAGAGATTGAAGAAGAAGTCCATGGTCGTCAATCTGGAAACTTCCCGTTCGGCAGCGTCAACTGAGATTTCTGGCATTACAGCATTGTTTTGCAATTCTATAGGTGCCTTGCCCGACCCCTCCAAAAGTGCTTTCATATCGGTCCAGCAGAGTACCTTATGCTCTCGGGAGACATTATCAGCCATGGTAGCATAAAATACAGAAGCCCACATGTATCTCAAGGATATTTCATCATTCGCTTCGCAGTTTCGTGACCGTATAACATCAGTGGTAAGATCGGCCCATCTGTCTAAGCGGTCTTTCGCCATAACGCGCGTTTCATAGTGAACAATACTGTTTGGGTTTGTGATCCGAGAATAAATGTCGAGATGGAGCTCAAACATAGTTTGAGCTAATTCTTCCAGTATTTGAAGTTTCATGCCATCACTCATCTTCCTTGTGGTCTCTATTTCTTCTTGAAATCGGATGAATATATCGGCGTCTCCAAAGCTTATGATTCGTACTACTGCCACCTTCAAATCCTCGGGCCACAGAGTGGATCGATAAGTTTGCACAACCGCGAGAGCCCATTCGTACATGACATCCTGAAGAGGAAGCCATGAAGACTCGACTTTAGCGATAAAAGATGTCAAGCCCTCAGACTCTGAAAAAGAAGGAAAATTGCTTGCTTTTTGAGGTCCCGTCTTAGACTGCTCGAGAAATGCAGCAAGACCAGCATTTGCGCTGGCAGCAGAGGACCCCAAAATGTCTGCAGCATTACCATTAATGAAGGTCGATGCTTTCTGATCATCCCACGTTCTCAAAATATCGCGCAAGTCTCTCAGGGCAGTATTCGTAACCACTTCGGTTCGGTCTGATGCATCCTCGTTAGATAGAGCAACCTGCAAATCAGCAAATGTACCGAGATCATCAACACCTAATTTACTCAGAATATCCCCAACAAATTTGAAGACATCTTCGTCTGCTCTCATGGACAATTGCAGTTGCTCAGAGAATTGAGCTGTCGCATCCAACGTGCCCTCTGTATTGTCACGGTTTCTAATACGTTTGCTTCGCTTCTGAGTGCTATTGTCTTCCTCGGTAGTGTCACGAATCCCAGCTGCCGACTGGGATCTTTTTCTGCTTGGTAGACCAGCGCTGAATTCTCTAGGTTGCTCGTCCATTAGTGGTACACTTGTGGTCATTGTAACCTCGGTCTCCATTGGCACCGGCGTGTCGTCTGATTTTGAGGTGACTGGTGTGGCAGCGGCCTGTTCACTGCTTTCAACGGCTGGTGATTGCATTGCTCCGATGTCTTTCATGATCTGGTCTTCGACCGTTTCGACCTCAGGCTCCATGTCTTGCTCCATAGGCACTTCGAGTAAAACTCCGGTTCCCGAAAGCCCGAGAGGTGAAAGGTAAGTCCCAACAAGCACATCACCAATGGCAGTCCAAGAGCGAAATTGAGATTTGATAACATGTCGAGTATTCATTCCACGATGAGGCTCAGACAGTTCGGTATTGGACTCTAGTTCCCGCGTAGAGTCGGGCAAAAATGGATATGGATCAACATATTTCCTCAAATATTCCGGCATCTTTCTCTTGAGGAAAGGCCCCATGATGGGATGTGATAAAGCGGTCTCATCTCCAAGGACCTCAAGCTGCTCCTTCAATTGTTCTCCTGCGAAACCTTCTTCCAATGACGCAGGATCTATTTCTGCAACAGTGGGGTCATCGTCGACCTCGACCGCAGCCTCGAGACAGTATCTCGCGATACTTCGACTTCCTAACGTTGACGCGACCCTGGCAGCTCGTCTCCATAGCTCCGTGTCTGATTGATCACTGACTAAAGCCAACGTGAAGTAATTTAACGCCGCTCTGGCTTGGTAGTCGATGGAGGGTTTGTCTAATAGCGCGTCTCCTACAGCCTCTGAGTGTGCGAGTCGCCCTTTCACACAATCCAGAATAAACTGACCATGGTTCTTGTAGGAAAGATAGAGAATCTGTGGCAGTGTACTAGGTGCATCATCTATGCCCGCCCCTCCAAGGTTAGTATCAGCGACGAAAGAATGGTCGATAAGCTCCAGCTCGGGGTTCTGGTCAATTCTGTCAAATTCTGTAATCGTCTCTGGGTATCTAAATATTTCCGACTTGAAAAGGTTGGTATAAGCTTCCGCAGCTTGCGCAAAGGCGGCAGGCCCTTGGGAGTGTAATTTCAGCGCCGCCTGATAAAGCTTCAAAGCCTCTTCAATCTACGCATATTTTTTTTAGCTCAAATGGCTCGACTTGCATGTGTTTTATCCGCAACCCACCTGTAGTTCCTTGGTGTTGTCGACCTCATCGTCAATTTGATCGTCCGGTTCGATATTGAGAGCCGTGAATGTAGCCTGCATTGCGACGTCAGCTAGTGCACAGTATCAGGGACAGATTGACAGTTTACCATCTTGCCTGGTGCTCCTTGTAGCAAGAGACTCTTCGCAGAGTTCAGAGAGCCTAGTCAAGAGACAGGCTGCAGTTCCTATTCCGATGTCTTGACGGTGCTATGTCGTTGGAAGAGAGCTGGCCAGTCGCAGGATATATCCAAATAGCTAGAGAGAACTCGCAAAGATGTCGTGGCGATCAATCAATACAACTCTTCCATTCCGAGTGCATCCCATCCACAGCCTTCACACAACGTCGGTCAATATCCTCTGGAGAAGCACCATACACGCTTGATTATCGACGTCTGGGCGCGTGAAGGTCTTGAATAGTGGTTTACGCGTTGGTGATGGAGTGGTTGAAATAAGTTAAGAAGACCAAACTTCACGGGTAGAATAAAGTTTAGATCATGCGAAATAAAGAAGGGAAAAGAACCACAAGGTCCAGTGAGACATGTACATGCAATGCAAAATAGCCGTTATGAGAATCCAGGGCAAATGCGATGCAGGGATCTGCGAGATCTACGTGTTAAGCGCGTTGGTGGAGCGCATACGCGTCTATTCAGTATCCACCTACACGCGGACTGTACCGTTCCTGGCTTGTGCTGTGTTAGTTGGTGAGTCTTCTTGACAGCTGGTAGATCCAGAGAACGTTAATATTTTAATTAGTAGTAGATATAAGACAATACAAGACAGTTTATCTCATGATTCAATAACACTCTCACGAATGCAACTTGTTATTTACGACGTCTCATTGAGAGAAAATTTACCTTGCACGTGATAAGGCTGAAGCTCTAGCAAGCACCCGGCACGGGCCACGGCTCCATGGGGAAATGTCTCCTTGGGATTGTTTAATTTGATGGCCAAACACCGCAGCTGGTCACACGTTCATTCCATTCTAGCCTCGGAACATCGATTCACAGGGTCGCCGAACACTTCTTTGGCCGGATATCCCTTATTTTATTAGGTTGCGGTCACCGAAAGGCAGGCCACTGTCCAGAATGGTTGCGCCAGCTGTCCCAGAGTAGGTAGCTCATCATTTGTATATCTTGAGAACTTGTTTTCAAAGGCGCGCTATGAGCAAGAGCTAATACTTATGATTTAGGCTTACGGAAGAGCTCCTCAACGAGTCCATTGAAGCTAGAACAGAGACACTAGCTGCCTTGCGCGAATTAGGTCCCCCAGACTTGGTACAATTGATCAAGCAAGCTCCGAGGAATCCTGGAAAACAGGTATGAGGGATCAATTTACACATATAATTGTAGCTTACACTTCCTCGCAGATTGGTGTTTATCACCATGTCACCGGTGTCGACGCGTCCTCCTCTGCTAGTTTGGCGGCCTATATCAATACTCTTACATACAAGGAGACCAATCAATCCACCACGAAGATAGTAGAGGGCGTTTATTGGTAGGCATGAGAGTTTCTCCGTAGCAACGTGTGCCTGACTTCGTACAGTTGCTACAATGCCTTTTCTAGACTGGATATGCGAATCCACGTAAGAATCCCTGGGGGTGTAGACAGCTTTTGCATCGATGAGCGAGGAGACAAACGACATGCCTCGGACGAATTGTGGCTTGAAACCTATCTCTGCAGCGTTCTGCGGGCGTACTCTTATGCAGACGATGGCAGTGGAGATACAATTAGGAAAATAATGGGGGTCCGCAGATTCAACCCAGTTACAACGACAGAAACCGAACATCGTTTTTTGCAGGCAGCAGAGCAGTTGTTTTTCCGAGGTATTTTCATCTAGAGAGCATAAGGCGTGGCCTAACATTCCATAGGCTGGCAGCTTGGATCCGATTCCGTCGTTCAGGTCCCGAATAATGTTTCTAACCATCTTACTGCTGGGCTTCTGAAATACTTCCACACCACCGGGCGATTTGCTTCAGGAATCAACTTATTCGAAAAGCTACGATCGAAAAACGTGGAAGTATCTTCTTTGCTCGCGAAAGTTCTATTAATGGGTAACGAGGAAGTGCAAGCGGTCCGAGTCCTCCATGATTCGATAAAACAATCTCCGATGGACTACGTGATGCTAGACACACAAGCGGAATTTTTAAAGAAGAAGGCGCTGAACCCGAATACACCCGAGCTTAAGCAAGAGCGATTGAAGATGGCTCTTGGTTGTGCGGACCGGAGTACTGTTGCTGCGCCAAGTGAGTTTGGTACATGGGCAAGACTTGCTGAAGTCTATGTCTCCATGGAAGACTGGGAAAATGCATTGACAACCCTCAATTCGTGCCCTATGTTCACATACCAGGATAAGGATGCCCCAATGATGCCGGAACCGAAGGAAATTTTCCTCCCAACATTACCAGAAACTCGCCTGGACGAAATTGATAGCGAACCAGAGTCAAAATACGGTGAACAAATCCATCCTAGTCTGTTGAGTTTACGAGCTGCACAATACCGAGGAACGTTTAAGCAAGCATACAGTATTTTGACAGAAATGACGGCGAAAATCGGTTGGGATCAACTACTCAAGATTAGAAGTAATGTATTCGTGATGGAAGAAGAGTACCGCAGTGAGAGCAAACCAGCTCCTGGCCCACAAGGTGATGCCGAAAAAAGAAGCGCAAGCACCGATGTACTGAGAGGAAGTCCAGGTCCTCCTATAAACGGCGATGATCACACTGATGACGGGAAGAGCGCCACTGGAGAGTCTACGGCGCCGACCCTCGTAGCAGAAAATGGTGTAACGGACTCAGGGGCTGAGGAATCGGTCGAGAAACCATCACACACAGTCACGCCAGAGGAGGTGAAGGGTGGTAATGAAGATGTGAGTATTTTCCCCTTTTATTATGTTCCAATGTTTACTGACTGGTCACAGGCGGAGGCGACGGAAGAGCAACTCTCACGATTCAACAACAAGCGATTATGCGAGCGTTGGCTCGACAGCCTCTTCATGGTCCTTTACGAAGATCTCCGTATTTACACAATATGGCGAACTGAGATGGCCCAATACCGAGCACAGTCATTACACTACAAGAAATCCGCTGAGGAGTGGGAAATTCTTGGTTCTTTAGCAGAGCGACTCCATCATCAAGCAGAAGCCGTAGAGGCTTTCCGCGCATGCTTGTCTATTCGGTTTTCACCCAAAGCACTGTCAGGCATCTTAGCAGATTTTGAGAAAGACAAGAATACGCGCGAGACGGTAGCATCTGTCATCAGACTTGTCACTTGGCAGTACAGATGGTACTCTGAGTTCTCTCCGGAATTACTCTTGACTATTCGAACTCTTATTGAGGATGAGGGCGCCGTCAAGGTCAGAAGTATCATTCAGGCTACCAGTCTGCCGCAAAATGTTCTTGACTTGACACACCATTACGCGGCGCTCTGTGCGGCATTCAGGAGTAGTGGTACCGAAGGATAGTTGGTTGGTCGAAAATGGAGTGGGAGCATAGTTTCGCAATTGTGGGCGAAGGCCATTGATGTCGAAAAGAATCTGCGTTGATATCCACTGAGCGGGTGTGTAGCTGTGCTTGAAGAGGAGGTTGTCATGTAAAATAATGGTGGCTCTACCTCAGTAGATGACGGATCATTCGAATGAGCAGTTGAGTTGCTACACAATACCTTCGCCCATTTCTTCTCGTCTCCCGAAACGAATCGCTCCAGAAATTCGTTGGCCAGCTGATTCTCACTAGTGATGATTGGTGATGAAGGCAGGAGAAATTAAGTCTACAGTAAGAACGAATCTCCTCGTGCCAAATGCCTAGTTCAAAACGGTAACAACTGCAGGGTCTTTTTCATAGCATCGTTTCCACGGAGAGAAATTCTCGATCCGCTCTGAATATATGTACAATTAACCGGCTCCACCAAGCTCATGTCCAGCTTCCCATATCAAGGCAGATTTCCTTAACTCCGCGCTGAGTGCAACGTGCGTTCAACTAACATCAAAATATCCAAGTTTAAATTTCTATCCTTCAATGAATCACCATATCTGCAAGAATGCCATCGCCAAGGAAACTCCAATTAACACTCCTGACATAGCATTGCCGCCGATCATGTGTAAAGCAGAACCTATGCATCCGCAGATGATCAAACTCAATATTAAGAGGCGACTGGCATAGCTATGGAGACTAGTCAGCAACTGTCTTAACTGGACTAGCTCCAGACTGGGAGAGATTGGATCATACCTTTGAGTTGTATAGATACTAAAAAATAGGCCATCAGTCAGCAACACTACCGTGGTGATGAGCCAAAGTGCGAAAACCCTTGAGACATTGTTAGTCAGGGCTTCGTCGAACATGTTGACAGGTCTTACAATTGAACCCGGGAAGCTACTTCGTCCGCAACGGCAACTGGCTTGGGTCCTTTATTTGGGCCTGGAGAAAAAGGGTTGGTAAGCATGACATATCCCAGGCCGGCACCGATGTTAATTATATATAGAAGAACACCCAAAGGCCTGCGGGCTTCTTTCCAACTATTGCGAACGGTGTTTTCAAAAGCACTCCATCGGCGTTGAGACTGTGTATTTGTATTCGTATGGATCACTCGGCCCGTGTCTTCGTCAGAAGCTCGTCTTCCCTCTTCTAACTGCCGTGGGTCCGTGGCTATCTCGAGTCAGAAAGTGGTGGTTACCAATGCCAGACGGTCGCTCAACTTACTCGTAGCATCATCCAAATTCAAGCTTCCACTGACGTCTTCAACAGCTTGGTTGATTGTAGCATTCAAAGCTCCCGCAACCGATGCCTCGGCACCAAAAAACAGCACATGAATGTCAAAGTCTAACAAAGGCCTCGAAGCTGGATCGAGAAGATACTTGTCGACCTGAGATTTGAAACTCTCCCAATGAACATCGGTTGCGCTCATGAGGCTCTTCACAACTGGGCCTTCTTGCAACCAATTCTCAACGGACCGACTACCTCCCTTAAAGATGCCAAGCAGATTTTCAGATATCTCACATCTCGCATCCGAAGTCTCTAGAGACTCGATCGTGGATTTCGGTGATCTGAAGAGTTTCTGGTAGCCTCTGATTCCCGGGATGAGTATAGCAGGTAGCTTCCGGATGGCTTCGGCGACGTTAGGGTCTTCAAGTAGAGTGTCCATACTCAATATTCGAAGAATGATGTATAAGAGGCGATCATACATCAGTTTTGCTTTCATGGCTCTGAGCGAAGCTATGGCAAGACGAACATTTTGGCGAGGATGCCACGGAATAGACTCTGCAGTGGATTCTATATGCTTCAGTATATTGGGATATTTGCACATTCTCTCTAAGCTTACCAATTCCACTCTTCCTCAAAGGGTTGGCAGCCCTCGAACTGGTTTCTCCCTCCATGATACGATCCGTGCTCGACCCTGACTCTGATGGTTTCATTCTCGATTACCCCCGAACTGGCAATGATTCAGAGAATTTCAACACTCTTGTGAAGATAGTCGACAGAGAGATCACACCGAAAAGAGAAGAGAATGAAATCGAGTGATGCAAAATGTATGCTACAATGGGAAGGCTATGCTATCCACTTTACTGTCCTGTTCATCCGTATCATTGCTGCTTTACCACGACAGAACGCCATTTCATCTAAAACAGACAATCGAGAGGAGTTCTTCCCACACGATAGCTGACAGATGTCACCGCAGTACAGAAACCTGATTTCGTCGCTTTCACACTACGATGTGCGACCTCTGTCGGGCGTAGGCTCCACTTTTCGCATAGGGCTGACACCAATGGAAGGCATCTCAACGACAGCATTTATTGATTCTGGGCGTTCTGGTAAGGCTTTACGGCATTATCATCGAAAAATGGGATACACATTCTCCTGTCAAAAGCGGCACAGAGCTTTACCCACACCCGTTGCATGTCTACTATGCATTTGTTGAGCAACAGCCTTGTGAACTCGGCTTCACTACCACCCGACTCAAAACCTTACCTCGCAGCGCTCAACTCATCATCTTCCTGGCGTTAGGAACTTCAATTTATTAGTGACAGTCGAGACTACGACAGTCTAGATCACCGAACCAAAAATGGCAGAGGTATTGGGGTCAGTAGGGGAAATATTGAAAGTTGTTGAACTAGCATGGAAGGTTTACAGAACATGCCTTGAAGCGCAAGGAAAAGATAGGTACGTTGTCCAAGTTCCTACTCCGAATGGTAGATCCCCTAGATATCAGATACGGATTTCGAAGGGTGGAAGATGTGGTTGAAGCTTCAGAGCCATTCTAACATGTTCTAGCCAGCTTGTAATCAGACATAGCGATTTGTCGTCTCTCGAATCCGATTTACAAAAGTTCAAAACGAGACTTCTTGTATTGAGCTCTTACTTAAGCTCTCCATTCCGAGAACAACCCAGTTCACAATACAGCGCACTGTCTTATTGCTGGGGAAATAACGAGCATGAAGCGACCACTGAAAGATATCGCTCCCGGTGGGATATGGCTGGAAAACATGTAGTGAGCTACCAGATATGTCCCCTTTTGACGAAGGAGATTTGGAATCCACCGGATTTGGAGAGGCATACCAGGCAATTGGAAAAAGCGTCAATTTGGATCGAATCATCTTTCTGTAATCAGCAGCCCTCAGTTCACCAGTGGAGAACGAAACCTCCCACAGGTTTTTTCGTCGGAGCTTATTCAAACGATCCAGCGTCCCGTAAAAAACGACTCTGCGCAGGGTATGCCGATTCTTCTTTGGGCTCAGAATATGGTACACAAGCCCGGGAAACATTGGACAGCCACGTTCCAAAGTGTTTCCAGAGTGATATTTCGCTCTATGTAATCGAGGACGGCTGCGATACGACAGATATCATTCTAGGGCGGAGTTCTGTAGAGGAATATTATCTCATTCCCGCGAAAGCAATGCATAATTGCTGCTCTAGCATAACTTGGGCAATGAAGCGGCTTTTTTCGCTATGCCTCCGAAGCAGCCATACTGGCGGAAGTAGGAACTTTGGCGATAATCGGTTTCGGAAGATGATATTTGCAGGTCTTCTTTGCCTTCAGCCCGTCTCAGCTGTCGCAATAGATGGGGAAAGAATGAATCGATTGGTAGCGGAAGATTATTTATTGAAGCCCGCAAACTCGCTGGGAGATCTTGAGGTAAAGTTGTCGCTTCCACTTTTTGGCTGGTTCTATGATCAAGACCCAGCTTCCCAACTTCTCGAATAGTGCAAAGCTGACCACCAAACCCAACAGGACCTAACCACCAACCTCGCAACAGCTTTCCAAAACCCCGACATCGTCCTAGCAGCATCCTTCGCAGCCACAACAGCAGTCGTCGCAATGTACACCCGAAACGGCGACGATGCCAAGCAAAAGCACTACCTCCTCAGCGGTCTCATGTTCGGTCTCATCGCCGGTAGTTTCTTCGCAAGCAACGCCATGACATTCGTCTTCGTTTGGATCTTCGGGGGGATCATATGCGCTCTTTCTGGACGAATGACTTATCGAAGCTGTGTTTTGATGAAGGAGATTAGGGATTTGGATAGGGACGTGAAGAATTAGCTGCATTTTGTGGCTACCGCGTGGAAGTGTGTTTGGTACAGGCAGTCCGGGTGGAATTGGCGAATGTTTCCCAACGCGCTACCGCCAAATAGGCCACGGTTTCTCTGCCGCAATGTGCAGAATCGGCAATCGTTTTAGTTGATTGATTTTACATTTATATTTAGGTTTCTTGAAAGTGTTAGAGAGTTGAAGAGCAACGGTTTCTTTGTTTTGGGCGACGGTTAATACCTAGGTACGGACCGGCTCTTGCACTACTTATGGATTTATAGTTCAATGACACAAACATGAAGGACTCGAAACTCTGGTATGCAAAGTTTTTATCTCGTTCGCAAAGCTTAGAATGTGATAGTCATATCCAGTGAAACGATTCTTTTCCTTTTCCTGATCAGGGTAAAACATGATTTATTTGGGGCTTCTGCCATGGTAACAATTTTCCCTCTGATTTAGGGGTGCTAAAGCTATACGAGAGGGGAAATACAAGGACGAAGCATTCGAGAAGTTCAAATATCTGTAGAAGCAGCAGCCAAATTGTTGTTATCACTCTCTTTCATATTTCATCCAAGAGTTAAATACCCAAACTTTAACTCTGCCACCCATCAATCGATCTAAACTAATATAAACAGTCGCTCTCCGCCGCATCTTCGTCATGCTAAAAATATAATACAAAAAACCGAAAACTCCAGGGTATGCACCATCTTTTCCTCTCCAAACGCCATAGAAAAAACAAATATGCTCAAGGTTCATCATAACAACCACCCAGCGACCGCAATCAATAGTCCAACCGCCAGACTACTACTACCAGCGGTACTCCCATGCCCGTTACCGAGATTCGCCTGTGGTTTTGTAGGTGAGGCGCTGGCGCTTGATGATGTGGATGTGGTGGTAGCGAGCGTGACGCCTGCACCAGTCGCACCGCTTGCGCTGGTCGCAGCTGGAGGTACGTAGGAAGATGTGGTGAGTGTGACGGGTGGAGAGTTGAGAGTCGGCGATGCTGAAGGGACTGTGGAGAAGAGATCAGTATTTGGGGGTGCGGTAGTGTTTGAAAATGATGTAGTTGAATTGAGCGCATAGGGTGGTGAAATGACAGAAGGAGATGCGGGGGTGTCTCCTGCTGGAGGTGTGGGAGAAACGCCTGGGGGTGTGAAAATTGGGACGACGGTTGGGACTACTGGTACACCATCTGGAGGTGACTCTGAGCCTGGAACCATTGACGGTACAGGCGCTGGGGAACCATCGACATTTGTTTGTGATGGAACAGCGCCTGGTGGGCCACCAACGATTGGTGGTGTAGGTATTGGATTGCCATTTGCGTCCGTAGTAGAACCAGCATTTGGTAGTCCTGGAGGTGCGCCAGAAGGAGAAGGAACAGCACCCGGCGGTGGTGGTGAACCACCAACTGGAGTAGTGGCAGAACCAGCATTTGGTGATCCGGGGGTTGCAACAGAAGGAGAAGAAACAGCACCTGATGGCGGTGATCCACCAGCTGCTGAAGTTGGGACAGTAACTGGTGGTACCGGTGGACCTCCAACTGGAGGGGTCGGAACAACAGGTACATCGCCAGGCGGAAATGAAATCGCAACGCCAGAAGAAGAAATAACAGGTATGACAGGCGTAGGAGTGGGAATAACAAGCGAACCATTCGAAGAAATAGGGAAAATGCCAGTAGGATGCGCAGAAGGAGAGCTGATGTTATAAGACCAAGTTCTATAAGTACATGTCGGACAAGCCTTTGTTGCTCCCGTGCCAATAGGCAAGCCCACCGGAACGGTTGTCGAGCCAATCTTGTAAGACCATGTCCTGTAAGAACAGGTCGGACAAGCTTTAGCCGACGTGACTACTGTGCCATTGGGGAATAGAGCAGTGAGATTATGGCCGGAAGATGGTGCTGCAGTAGGTCTGGGACGAGTATGATTTGAATGAACTCTGCTAGTTGCGTTCGCGGAAGGAAAAGGCTTCCCGCTGGGATGAGAAGTAACAAAAAAACCAGAACTCGCTGAAGGGGGAGAAGAATTTGGTTTGAGCATACCATTTGTTGAAGAAGAAGGTGAAGACGCAGATGCAGGCGAACCAGATGGAGGCGCTGCGACAGCGTTTGATGCTAATCTGGTGATCATTTCGGGTGCGAGGGTAGGCATTGGAATGTTTCCGTTGACTTGCCACCCTCCTGTGGCCGAAGGACATGCTGGTGCTTTCAAAGATGGAGTGTAGGCAGACTCTGCAATTGCAGCTGGTGTGGCACTTTTCCATTGCGCTGCGAGATTGTCGAAGTCGGGTTGGATTGGAATTGGCGCTGCACCATAGATTTTGCCATTTGGGCCATAGTTGACGAGACCGTACTTGTTGACTTCCTCCACCCATTCGTAAACGATACTCCCACTCCAAGTATCAACCATCTCTGGGCCAAAGATAGCTGCTTGGTCGGTGAAAAGCCGGTTGGCAGGTTGGTTGCAACCTGTCTCGGAGAAGAAAATTGGTATCGAGTAGCCCTTTGCCATGGCTTGGAGATTTGCGTATCCGGAAGTTTGGTAGGAAGAATCACCACACCACTCGTAAGAATTGAGGCCAAAGAAGTCGATATTGTTCTTTGGGTCTGGATCGCAAGCGAGGTAATTCTGTAATGCAGGTCTTAATTCTGCAATATCTGCAGCAGAGTATCCGATCGGAATCGTGCGATACTTTTTCAAAGCCATATATGCTTTCATATCCGCAGTTGCAGCTCGGACGTATGGGGATGCGTTTGAGTTTGCGTTCGTGAAGATAACCTCATTGCCAATCCAGAAGCCTCCCAGATTGTCGTATTGGTGCATCACATCCATGACTCTCGCGAACTCTATAAATTGAGGCTCCGTCCATGCTGGATCGGTAGATTTGATACTGGTATTGAACGTGTCGAGATCAAGCCAAATATAAATTCCCGCATCGGCGAACGCTTTCATACATCCATCATGTGACACCCAAGGATTGATGTGGTAGACCCGAATAGAGTTTGTGCCAATTGTCTTCATCTTATCGGCATCCATTTGACATTGTTTGGTGTCTACTAGTGGATCGTCCGGAGTTCCTTGATATGCAACACCTGTAAAGTGTTAGCTTCGTCCGTTGCTGAGCCATTTGTCAGACCAACCTTTGAGAAAGAATTGTTTTCCATCTGCAAAGAACTTTGAGCCTTTGATGGAGATAGTCGGAATCGCATTGACGGTACTGATTGCCGCAAGTGCTACAACAGCCGCGCGACCAAGTAGGTTGAACATAGCGAAGGTTGGTCAGGAGAATATTAAGCGAGTGCTTCCTGTCGCATGTGGCTGCCAATTGAGGCCGGTAAAAGCACCAGGTGTCGAAACAATTCAACTCAATTATTGAAAATGGGCAAACTGTGAAAAAGGGAAAACAAATAATTTCTGACTTCAGACAAGTATTATAGTGAGCCAATTCTCAGTACAGGATGCGATTCTGTTGAGTGTTCCTGGAAGAAGGCGCTGGTTCAGCGTGACGCTCTGAGCCTCGGCGGAGGAGCAAGAGAGCCAACAACCTCGTCAAGATGTGAAAAGATCAGCGAAAGAAATTGCCCGGAAATGGAGTAGTGAAACAGAATCTGCAGAAGCGAAAAGGATAAGAAATACCAGGGCCGTACATGCCCTTTTGAATAAACCATCGCATTCTAAGGTGGGCGCAAATCCGGTGTTGGAAGTACACTTGATACCTTTCTCAAGTCGCTATCGGGCTGCATCGCTATCTTCGTGCATAGACTAAGCATCTTTGGCGCGCTTCTTAGCAGCTAAGACTCGTAGTGGGACGGTTTCAAACCTGTTCACTGGCCATGCCAGAAGCTTGAGATGCTTCCTTGGAACCGGTGAACCAGAAAGCTGGTGAAATCCAGGATTCGTCTTGACACGAACTGATGGACCGAAGCTAAACAATGCTTAGATGCAGACGTCGCGAGGTTGGGGCCGTAAATACGATGACATAACTAACGTAGGATAGCTAACGTCAAAAGGAGTCTAGGCGAGTCATCCGCGATGTTGATGGATGAGGGAAGAATCTTGGAGCCATCACGAGGGATATCCAACGGTTGGTGTTGTTGGTAAATTATTTGGTTCACAATGTTATTTATGTATCGGTGAAGAACGTGGAAAATGTTACTTGAAGAAGAGATGTCGTCGAGGTTTTGTCGGAGATGCCATGTTGGCCGAGACTTGAATGGTGGCCTCCACCAGCCACAGATGCGGGCATCCTTAAGAGGATTAACTTGCCAGCCCCCCAACACCAACCGCCTGTCATGTTGGATATTGGAGCAACTTTGCGCATGAAGCTATTCAAATTTAGTCTCGGCCGGGTTTCGTGTTTGTATTCGAGAGTCAGGTTCGTCGATTGGACGTCGATCTGCTTCGACCAGACTTGTTGCAGCTTTACCATTTTTGACTTTGGTCCCGAGTTGAACAGCAAAATCGTCAAATTTCTACCAATGCGTCGTGCCCGATTTGATCTCATGTCATATATTGCAATAACCTTCAGCTTTGATTGAGAAAACAATATTTTTGGCCTGAAGAGAAGTCATGAGACAAAAGTACCCAAGTATGCTGAGCATACGAAGTACCCATCGGTCGGCTTCCCTACTCCGAGTGGGAAGCGAGACCGGACTCACCAAAAAATTGGGGGTGTCTATGTATCAATCGTGCTCAGCGGTTTTGAAGTCGCTTCTCGTTTGCAACTAGACTCACAACCTTCCACGTTCCAAGGCTCAGTACCGTATCAGAAGCAATCATTCTAATAATGCTAGAGCGCGATGGAGAGATTTTTCTACCCAGCTAGACATGGAGAGTATCACAGCGTCTCGACAGAAGAGAGGCTCGTCTACCTCCTTTCATAATCCGATCAACATGTCAGAACCACAACCATAGGTAGCGCTTGTACAAGCTGCAACAATACGTCCAGTCATCTTCTTTTACGAGCAACCGCATACCCCAGGGACGATGAGCATACATCCGACGATGAAGATCTCGAGTATATAACTGCAATACCCCGCCTCCCAAAACCTCGCTTATGCCGGTTTTAATGATCGTACTGGAGTGGACCTTGCAGTTAGATCGTAGAAACACTTTTACCGACAGAGGCGGCCCTATAGGGTAAGTTATTAAATTATCCCTATTCAGCTCATCGAGTTGATAGTGAATAGCAGACGAGAGCCTCCTCTCACGATGTATCCGCGCCAATAAGTTGACGATATTGAAACAGTCTTCGACAGTATTTTCCTTTACCAATGACGATGATCATCAGGTACCGGGCCGTTTGGACAGGCAACTTCAGTTACCAAATTTATGAGATTCCCGCTTGGTGTCTAGTATGTTTGAATGGCTATATATTTGAGCCGTGAAGCCACGATCACGGTCAATATTATTTCGGCGCTTGCAGTCAATTCAAAATTGTCTCCTGGTCGACTGAGCTCAATTCAACGCCATGAAATCCCCATCAGCGGCTTACATCGCTGGATTGCTGCTACTGAGTTCTCAGCAATGTCTTGCAGCATATCCAGACTGTGTGAACGGGCCGCTAAAATCGAACAAAGTATGCGATACGACAGCACCTCCAGCTGACAGGGCAGCAGCTCTCGTCAAGGCCATGCAATCAAGTGAAAAACTACAGAATATTATTAGGTAGGTGGCATGGGGGTTCGTCCATAATCAGGAAAAAATATTAACTCTCATAGCAAATCAGCAGGGGTCTCACGGCTTGGACTGCCTCCTTACAACTGGTGGAGTGAGGCACTTCACGGCGTCGCTGGTGCACCAGGAATTCAATTCTCGAGCTCGTCGCCATGGAACTACGCTACCTCATTACCGATGCCAATTCTCATGGCCGCTGCCTTTGACGACGATCTCATTGAGAAGGTTGGAACGCTAATTGGCACAGAGGCGAGAGCTTTTGGCAATGGCAACCACTCAGGTATCGATTTCTGGACGCCAAACATCAACCCATTCAAGGATCCACGCTGGGGTCGTGGATCTGAGACACCTGGTGAAGATACTCTACGTCTGAAGGGCTATGTAGCTGCTCTACTCCGAGGACTGGAAGGAAACAAAGCCCAGCGACGTATTATTGCTACATGCAAGCACTATGCAGCCAACGATCTGGAATCCTGGAATGGTGTGACTCGACACGACTTCGACGCGAAAATCAGCATGCAAGATCTGGCAGAGTACTATCTGCAACCATTCCAACAATGCGCCAGAGATTCGAAAGTCGGATCTTTCATGTGTTCCTACAATAGCGTCAATGGAGTTCCGGCCTGCGCCAATAAATACCTTCTTCAAACCATTCTTCGAGACCACTGGAACTGGACGAGTGAGAACCAATACGTCACCAGCGATTGCGAGGCTGTCCAGGATATTTCTTTGAACCACCACTATGCTTCCACGAATGCTGCAGGTACTGCACTTGCTTTCAATGCGGGTACAGATAGTAGTTGCGAGTATGCTTCATCGTCTGATATACCAGGCGCATGGCAAAGCAAACAGCTCAGCGAAGCGACGGTTGATCGTGCATTGCGACGATTGTATGAAGGACTTGTCAGGGCTGGGTATTTTGATGGATCTAAAGCGCTCTACTCCTCTCTCGGCTGGTCGGACGTCAACACGCCACAAGCACAACAACTAGCCCTCCAAGCCACCGTCGATGGCATCGTTATGCTGAAGAATGACGGAACTCTTCCTCTCAAGCTAGACTCTAAGTCAAAGGTGGCCATGATTGGATTCTGGGCAAGTGACAGTAGCAAGCTTCAGGGCGGATACAGTGGAAAGGCACCATACCTAAGAACTCCTGTCTATGCCGCTCAACAACTGGGTTTCACACCCAATGTCGCTACTGGCCCAGTCCAACAAAGTGCCTCCGCCACCGATAATTGGACGACAAATGCACTCGCAGCTGCATCAAAATCCGATTACATCCTCTACTTTGGAGGCCTCGATACATCAGCCGCTGCCGAAGGAGTAGACCGAACCTCTTTAGAATGGCCGAGTGCACAACTGGCTCTAATCAAGAAGCTCTCCGCCCTAGGAAAGCCGTTGATCATAATCCAAGAAGGCGACCAAATGGACAACACACCCCTCCTCACAAACAAAGGCGTGTCATCAATTCTCTGGGCAAGCTGGCCTGGTCAGGACGGCGGACCAGCAGTCATGCAAATCATCTCTGGGGCAAAATCTCCTGCCGGTCGTTTGCCTGTAACCCAATATCCAACGAACTACACCAAATTGCCAATGACAGACATGACACTTCGTCCGAGCACTTCAAACCCAGGACGTACATATCGGTGGTACTCAACTCCCGTCCAGGCATTTGGAACCGGATTGCACTACACAACCTTCGCCCCTACAATCTCAAACTACAGCAACATTCTCTCCATCCAAGACCTTCTAAATTCTTGCAAAAACACAAACCCAGATACCTGTTCCCTCCCAGGCCTCCCCATCTCCGTCCACAACACCGGCAATCGCACCTCTGATTTCGTAGCTTTGGTGTTTGTCGCAGGACAGGCAGGACCGAAGCCTTATCCTATTAAGTCGTTGGCTACTTATGGTAGAGTGAGAGATGTGAAGTCTGGGGAGAAGAAGACGAAGGTGCTGGAGTGGACTCTGGGAAGTTTGGCGAGACATGATGAAAAAGGCAATACGGTGTTGTATCCGGGTAATTACACTCTATTGCTGGATCAGCCGACGGTGGAGACGAGGAGTTTGGTCCTCACGGGGGAGAAAGTTGTGCTGGATGTTTGGCCACAGGGTTAGGACTGCGAGATCGTACTGTGATATCTGAAACTTGAGTTGTTGGTCGTGGATTTCAAGATCTCCGGGCCACTTTACTAGAGATCTTTAGCTACCAAAAATCAAAAAGTTTAGTATTGAAATAGTGCAGTCACCAGTGGGTGACACAATTCTCTGCGCACCCAAGAAGTTCGAAAGGAGATAACTCAGCACAATAGCTAGATATCGTATTTCTAGTAACATATACTTGTTCGCGAGGCTTAGGACTACCAATGGATCAAAAAATTATTACGATTAGATGTTGTCCCGTCGTTAAAATATTACTTATAGTTTCTGGCTGCGCAGAGAGTTATGTCACCCCCTGGTGAGTGTTCTTGATCAAATGAAATAATTACCCAAATAGTTCCGTTTTAAAGTTATGGCTGAGTTGATGAATCTTGTTTTGTGTGTCTAAAAGCGGGCTATTAACCCACGAAAATCATATTAGGCGCTCGATCCCTGTCATGAGACTCAACACTTGCTCTGTCCTTTGTTAGACGGTGTTATTGTATTTGTTAGAAGTGTAGCTACCAGAATCGGGACGTTGACCCCAGCACGACACAGTGGGGAACAAAGTCTTGGCACGCTACCGACTACCCTTCGTGCTACTTTTGGAGCTACTTTACTTCTTCCATTGTTTACTTGAATATATCTTCATTCTCCCCGCGTTTTCCGTATACGAATCATGATCAAGATTCCCATAAGTCGAATCTCAGCAGATCAAATGCCTCTGATGCTATTTATAGCTGAGGGGCAGTGTCAGCAATCCCGACCGAAGGCGATTCACCCTTGCCGCAATGAAGCATAGACCCACACGTTGGTGCCTACAGTTGGTAATCCGTTGAATATTATATCTTCATCTACGCAATAAACTTCGGTTCTGAGGACTTTCGAGGCGTCTCACGGCAGACTAGAGGAAGCGTAATCGCGATCATGTCGTCCAAAAAAGCGATGTTCGATACTCCTCCTCAACCCTCATACAGAGATGATCCAGATCATGCGGAGACAGCCTCGATGGCATCCGCTGTTTTGCTAGACGACATAGAAGCATCATTTCCAGACGATGAACTTCCACCGTATGAGGACAATCCTGCTACAATTCCACGTACGCAAGAGCCCCAGCGAACCCCAGATACATCGCATGCCCCGGTTGGAGATTCCGATTACATCGGACGGACGTAAGTGTTTGTACACCTAATATATCGATAACACTAAACATCTGTAGACTCCCTCCTCCGCTACCTTTCTCCTCGAGCGACACGTTCTGTTCCAATATCCGTACCAACCTCCCAAACTACTCCACCGAACATGACTCCCTTCGGAATATGATCCGAAACCAAGCCAGTTATCCACCTGGTTACTACATAGAGATCCACGGCAAACACACCGAAACCTCGCGGCATAACAATAAGGAGACCAAGAGAGATATCGTAGACTTCCACTTCCGCGTCGCTCTCGGCGACGAACTCATCCCAAAAGGCCATGTCACCGGCCTCACCCCCGGAAAACTCGAATTCCTCCCCGACAACAAAAGAGGTTATCGAGGAACCATAATCCCTTCCCTCAACCCCACCCTCTCCGACGTAGAAGAAGCCGACTACCTAACCGCCTGGTGCGAAAAATACGTCGCCGACGCCTCCAAAGTAAAATGCTTCACTCTCCAGCGCGAGATCAGATGGCATGACACCGCCAAGTTAGAGCATCTCATCCGGTCCGCCCTCCTCGAAACAAACTATCGCGGTCACATATCCATAACCTTCCCCACCAGCCACACATCCGTCACCGTCTACTCCCCCGGCCTCATCAACAGATGGCGCATGACGACCTGGATCCGCTGGATCTTCTACCTTAGCTTCCTCTGGATCTTCACCTGGCCGCTTCTTTTCTTCCTCACCTCGCGCTACGAAGTCGTCAAATCAGTCTGGTATTACGCCTCAAAGCCACCCGGCGAGGAAATGGGCCGAATACCAACGACCAACGACGAGGTCAACTATTTCTATAAATGGCAAAGCGCGATTAAACGTGCGGCGCTGGCACGTATGAACTGTGGGACAGGGTTGTTGATTGAGGCGTATAGGATTGAGACTGCGCTGGCGGAACAGAGGGGTGCGGAGGAGGCAAGAAGGCCAGCCGAGAGGATTAATACTGGGAATGCGTTTGCGGATGGGGTGTTTGGGGTGTTAGGGCAGGGGTTGCAGGTTGCGCAGGCTTTTGGGGATGCTAGAGGGTGGGGACATGATAATTAGATGGACTGGGGAAGGAATTTTTAAGGTTAAGGGGTTTGGGGATGGATTCGGAGTTATGAATTAGGGAATGGTAAGTTATATGATGTGAACCGATATTGAAAATTTAAATACTTCTAAAGTAAGAGCTCTAAAGTTATTGAATCACTCTGTACTGTTTATAATGCTCTGTACTACAGCTTAGTGTTAAAATCCAACGGTCTTGAGCAACACATACTTGGATTTATATAGAACGTCTATGTTTACTAATTTAAATCTCTATCCACATGCCCTAATCTCTTCTCTTTACACTCGGAGCCCTGTCTGCTAAAAGAAACCGTAACGTCCTCCACCTCACACCTTCTGTCGCCCGCGTAGGAAAGACAGGACGGAAAATCGCCGATGAATTTATCTAGCATCATTTTCTGTTTCTGCTCCAAGTTTAGAAATATCCCCTAGTTTGGGAGATTGAAGCAGAGCCAAACCTCTGCTGTGAAAAAATCAAAGTTATCGTGTACATAGGCAAGCAGCTAGTGAACATGATATCAGTGGTTCTGTTGCTTTTGCGTTTATTCTAGAGCTGATTGCTTGACAGCGAAGACGGGCCTGGTCTCAAACTCTATGATGTTGTTTTTGGTAAGCTCTTCACCTAGTTTCATGCTAATCTCTCGTATCAACGCACAAAGCGCCGGATCTAGAGTCTCTTCACCCTGTCTGTAATCGAAGCTGCGGGATTCGTAATTCCAAATGAAAGATCCACCTTCTGAGTCTTTCAAATTCCATCGTGGCTGTATCTTCATGCCGTCGTTGACGGGTCGTAGGTCTGACGGCGGATCGATTATGAGGTACAATACCTGGAGGTGCTGGTACCATTGTTCCTATGTCCTCGTATTAGAAACCCCCGTTGTGCAATAAAAAAACACGGAAAGAGGGGATGTTACCATCACCTCGCCCAACTCAAGTATAATGCCAGTAGAGCTTTGAAATAGTTCTACTGGTAGAGCAAGATTCATGATAGTGCTAACGCCACTGTGTAAATATCGACCCAAGGCATCGTTTGCGAACCCCCTGTTCACACCCTCACATGCAAACTTTTCCCACTGATCATACGGCATAAAAAGCACATCTTTCACCGGGTTGAATTCTTTCCTAAACACAACTCTTTCCTCCCGCTCCCCATCTTCTACCTCTTCGACGTCATTCTCCCGCATCCAAGCCCGTGCAATAGCACGCGCTTCTCGGTTCACGAAGAATAGCGGTATATCAAGTTGAACAGCGTCGTAGACCTTGTGGTCAAACACGAAGTCTAGGGCTGAGCTGTCGAGGGAACATGAACATGGCGTTAATTTCCAAGCGCCAGGTTTGTAAAAGTAGAAGGTTGGTGGGGGGGTGGAGAAGGCGGAAAGCCATATTTGAGTGCGAAGTTCTGGGGGGAGGAGGGAGAAGAGGTGGAATTGTGGGGACATGGTGAGTTTTGGTGTAGTTGGGTGAGTGTTGAGGGAGCATTAAATTATGTTTGGGCTATTAATGAGAGTAGCGAGCTTTGTTTCAGCTTGATAAAGTCGTTCTGTAGATTCAGGGATAGGCGACGATATTGATAGAGGTTTGATGGAAGGCCTAGTGGTGAGAGTGCGATGTGGGGGGAAGTCTGGCTTTTCAAGGGCGGTGGATGGGTTGTTGTTTTAACTTATTTATGAAAAGGGGGCGGGTCGGCTAAGCGAGGTGCCCGATTCGACACCTGGCAAGTGAACGACACGAAATGTATTAGAAAATACAGTAAGCGTATACGATGTGTCCAATACTTAGTTTTAGAATGTTTTTGTCGCCTGTGTACAGCAACCAAAGCGTTCGAAGTTGAAATGCTAGGTTTTCTTTTGGCTTTGTGGGTGGGAATCGATTTCACACGCATATTTTCAACACATTGAGATGGAGACTAAATTAGAAGAGACAGATAGAGGGCCTTCAGAAGCACTTTTTGGAAAACGAGTTTGGGACAAGCAACAACGAATTCTAACAAGAAAGCTTCAAACATTCCTACTACAATACGCTTCGCACTTCCGAGTCAATAAACTGTTTCATCTAGCTATCCGAGTGCTTCTCCAACACCGCCAAAGCCTTCTGCGCAACCCTCTTCACATCCTCAATATCGTCACTCACACCACTCCCCTTCATCTCTTTCACCACCTCTGGCAGCGCAAAATTATCCAAAACAGCAAAAACCTCCATCAGCACCTTCTCAGATCCCTCATCGAACCGCTTCTTCCCATTCGCTTTGTACGTATCCAGAAACTCCACCGCAAGTTTGTCCACCGTTGCATGATCCTTGGCAGCGAGAACCCGTTCTAACACATCCCCGAAGACGAGGAGCGCACCGCCACCGAGAGAATAGGGCGGATTGTTAGCGTACAGGAATTGAGCGGCGCTTAACTCCCAGCCGGACCAGATCTCGTAGGTTGGTCGGTAGACGATGGCACAATGATTGGGGAGAGCTTGTTCGATTACCAGCCAGGCGTCGTTGTCGCGGTAAGTACCGGCGTGGACCTAGCAAGGTTAGTACGATCAAGTCAAGAGAGAGTTTCGTACCGTTGGGGTGTTCAAGATGAAATTCTTGATTGTGGCTTCGAATTCAGCGCCGGTGGCTTTATTCCAGTTACGGCCTGCGTAGCCCCATGCTGCCTTGTGCCGGTCGAACATGTGTTGGAGGTTTGCGGTTGGGAAGGTTACATTTTTGGGACTGAAGGCCATGATGAGGGAGTGGATAAAACGGTGGTTTAGTGTTGGGTAGTTTGGAAAGTGTGAGAATGTGATTTGGAATGGTTTGTGGAAGGAGCTTGCTTCTTTTATCTTATATTTGGGTCATTTTTGTGTCTTTCGGCCAAGTACTTTTGCAATTATTTCGTAAAAGACGTGGCTGATAACTTGCTACCTGAGATTGGAGATCTGTAGAGAATGTGTGAGCTGATGCTGATGGGTTGCAAGGTAAGATCCTTAGGTGGTGGTTAGGATTATCTCATCTGATGTAGTCAAGAAGGATTCGTTGCTACCATGAGTTCCTCCTTGTGATCAGCTACACCATTCTATTTCCTCAATGAGACAGTATTCAAAAAACATGGTGGCTCTAAATGTAACAACAAAGCAGCTTTCCAGAGTATTGATTCATATTTCAGGGAAGCCATGTTCTCGTGCTAACCTGGCTATGCTGAGCAGTACACGACTTCAACGGAGAGGTTGCCACGCTCAAGAATATTTTTGTCACGGTTGCTCCTTTCTCAATCGTGGAGAGCTGAGACCAAGCATGGTCGCAACAACGCCAATTTCAAATACGATGTCGATCAACCTTCCTAGAATACCGCTACCTGATTTAATTTAGTCAAACAACCAACAAAGAAATAAAGTCAATGCTACTCCAATCTTGGTAAAGGCTCAACTCAAGAGTTAGCTGAAAAACCATTGAGCAACAACACCTGTTCAGATTCAGAGAGAATGAACAAATGAAGATGTGGTGGTTACAACATCTCCCTTTTTACATGGATGACTGTCGTGGCTTGCTGAGAATACATGCATGTATATGCTTCGAGACTTGGGGAAAAACCCACATTAATTTGATTTCAAGCACGTTAAAAATGGCACCTGACAAAAGTTTTACGTGAGCTTACCAGTCATATGCTAGTATTTCACTTTGAAGCCATATTCTCGCAAGAGCACACATATTGGCAAGTTGAGTACTCTGCGACGTCAATCGCCAAGCTGCATCTGCAGAAGAATGAAGGTCAGCGTCACAATGCGTAAAGCGCCACAACAAACGGTCAAGCTGGATGTAACTCTAAACCGCCACATCTAAGCTCTCAGTGCTGAAATCCAGATTGGTAGGTAAGATTACCCCAGAAACGGCTCGTTTAAGTATGGGAACGGGAAATTAGAGTTTGCGGGGAGGAATGATTGAGAGCTATGATGCGACGCTGACATTATTGACGACTTATCTTTGTTCCGAGATTGACGATTATGGATCTTGTTATTTATGTGTCTTATTTGCAGAGTCAGTTGAACGGAATGGGATTGTTGAACCCGATTGAGATGTGGTCAGGTGCTTCGATGCTGTCCTACTGTCAACGCAGGTCTTGGATTTTGGACTTCAAGCACGCTCGTTCGATGAAATTCTTTTCCACATATACATGTCATCAAGGAATTCGTAATTAGACTTAAAATCAGTCCATTTATCGAAAGAAAACTTGCATGTAGTTTCAAGACTAATTTAAACACCCATATCACTCATTCGCCGGCGGCGCAAGAACAGTCAAGCTTTTCTGCAAATTCAGCACCCGTCCAGTTTCAGTAGTTGCCGGATCAGGCTTCGATCCGTCCCACAAATCCACGGAGAAGGTAGCAGGAGTCGAAGTAAACTCAATAGTCCCGCCCGTTAATCCAATTTCAATCTCAAAAGTCACCGTCAACAGTACTACAAATCACTCATCAGCTTCAAATCACCTTTCAAGAGCACATGAAAAACTTACCGGCCTGAAACTCTTCAATCACGTTATCATACTGATATCCAATTACCGTATGGTAATACGGCTGTACCATCTCAACCTTGGGGTTAAAAGCCGCAGCTACAGCTTTCAGAAAGTTTCGGTAGGGCAGATTGGCTGTCAAAGGCTCGATATTGATCAGAGTATTTACGACAGCCAGATTTAGAGGTTTAGTAGCAGGCACCTTGAATTTCGCAGTGACGCCGGTATCAATATTGACGATCCTGTTCATCACATTAGCGTTGTTCTCGAGTCAAAGGACTTATGACACACCAAGGTGAAGTAGCGCGTAAAACGTTCAAGACTTTAGACCGATACGCAGTTCGCTTGCGACACGCAGCGACAGACGAATCGCCTGGAAGATTGCCTTTCGCGATCTGGCTTTGCACGGATTGTTCGCATCTTGTGGTTTCCCATGCTTTACAGTCTTCGATGGTGGAGATGAGAGATTGGAGGTTACTTTCTCTTGCTTGAGGAATTTGCGGGATTTCGGCGAAGTAGAAGATGTTGCTGAGATCTGTGTCGGTGGCTATTGCTTCTGTGTCGATGGTAATTCTCTCCAGTTCAGTGAGGTTGAGGTTGAGATTGAATGGGGTTGTTAGTTCTGCCATGGTACTTGTTGGGAGGTAGAAATTAGTTTTAATTAGTGAGGCGGGAATTGAGGATGCTTCCATACATTGTATAACTATATCGTAAGTGAACAACACCATTAATGCCAAGAAAAATGCGTTATTTTCCAGCTTGGTTTCAATCATGGTGGTATGACTGAAGTAAACACGCTTGTGGCAGAATTTTGGTATGTATTTCCTCAGCTCGCCACAAACTGCATTGTCAAATGTCTGTCTCTATTTGACTCTCGGAACTATGACGCCAAGTAAACGCTTTTGATCAACATTTGGAATAATCATCGGCTTGATTATTCCGGCATGAATACCACATGAATTCTTGGCCAGAAACAGAGAAGTGGCTAACAGCAATGGGCTGGATCCAGGATGTTGAACACATGCATCGAAGATCCACCCATATTTGGTACAATACGACATACCCATGGGGTTTGTACAACTTGCTTTACATATACAGGCGCAGTTTTACCACTACCGCACAAGAATTAACGGCTTGGGTGCCAACGTTGGAATAATATCGAGACACAAGAGACCGAAACGGTAGCCTCAGACAGCCTCTTTCATCTCATCACTCATCAGGAAGATGAGGGCTGCGGTTTTATTTTTCAGAGTCGTATCAATCAAATTGTGTTTAGCAATGGTGCTGGCTACAATTACGCGCTCATACGTTCCGTGGTAGCTGAAACTCGTGTTCGTGGCTCTACTTACTGATGATCTTGACTTCATTCATAGTCTCCTTGTGATCAAAACAACTTTCAGCCCTTGGCAATATCAATATATGCGAAATATGTTGCGCCTGGCATTATGATTATCTAGCAATGCTTCAACCATTGGCTGATTTAGAGAACCCTTGACACGATCTGGGAAACGAGGCTTTCATACCACTGGAATTGGGGAACCTGCAAACCAAAACCCATTTTTTGATCCATCTCATAAGTCTATAAAGTATTTGAAGTTTGCACTTCAAAACAAAATCTCAACTATCACATCTCCATCAAACATCAACATCAACATCATTCAAACACATCAACCACAACACCCTTCACACACTCCTCACCACCCAACCACAACCATGTCACAATTCGCCAAAACCAAATCCCTCACCAAAGCCCTCGGCCTCCCCTTCTACGACGAAGACGACAGCCTCCTCCTCAAACACCTCGACACTATCAACGGCCGCGGCGAAGCACCACCAGACCCACCACCAGACCCAACCGCCATGGGCGACAACGACGTCAAGAACGTGCTCTACATCAACTTCAACCCCAACTTTGACGATCCCGTGATCGAGGCCGACATCAAGGCCAAGAATAAGGTGTTGCAACTCAACACGAACTGGCTGTCCCTTCGAGCTGGCGTGGAGACGGCAAAGAATATCAAGGATGGGAAATTGCCGGGGGATATGAGTGTTGCGTCACAGATGAAACGATCCGCGTATAGAGCGAAGGTTATTGATTATATCATGCTTAAATCTTCTTGGTGAGCTTATCATCATTCCTGCTAGAATTTCTGTCTCAAATACCCCCGACAATCCTTCCCCCAGATTCCCACTGTCTTGATCTAATCATATTTCCCAGGATGGGCGGTTTCAAAACCCAAGGCGTGGAACGCACCTACTCGGTCAAAAAAGCCGAATTCCACACCGAACTCTTAACCACCTTCCTCGAAGGCATGGGACTCCAACCTACCGTCTACGGCGCCCTCGAAGGCGTCCTCAAAATGATCTCCGACAGCATTTTCTCCGCCGAGAACACGACGGAGAAATCCATGTTTTATTTGCTCTCCACCGTCTACACCTGGGACGAGATTACGAAGGACGTGCAACCTAGTAAGCCTTTTACCTCACCTCCCTTTTCTTACTCGACAAGTCAAAGAGCAACAGAACTAACCAACGTGTGCCAGCCGTCCGCACATTCTACTTCGAAGCGACCTCGGAAGTAAAGAAATACGTCGCCGGCAAAGCAACCATCAACACGGTAAACCTCAAGATCGGGTTTATGCAGAACGACTCGATTTTCAATCTCGACGTGTGGGACAGCGGGGTGGGCACCGAGATTAAAAAGTATCTGGTCGCCGAGGGCGTGAAGATTGTGAATGAGCCGATCGATATTCCTGTTGATCCGTGAATGTGTTTAGAAAATTTACTGGACCGATGGAGGGCGAAGAATGTTATGTTTATGAATTCCGCTGGGTTTGGAGGGATGAAGTGTGCTTGGATAAGGATTTTGTGGTTACGACTTTTAGTGATTTGTCACGCTCGCTTAGGGAAATGATCGATCTTTTTTTTATAATGGAGTGCTTACTCGTGCATGGAATGATACTTGCCTCGTCTTTTAAGACCCGGATCTACATGTATAATATCCAGTTCTCCTAGCGAGATTTCCAAAGAAATCGAATGAAACGCAACCAGACTTCATAAGTTTCATTTAGGCTTATATTAACTACATCCATTACTTTAGAACTACCATTCATTATTAACGTCGACCAGAAAAATAATGTACCAGATATAAACTTCCTCATTGCGGTCCTGTACACAAATAGCTCGTTAAGTATGTAGATTTTGCCGGGTTAGTGAGGGATGGTCATGAGAAAGTGACACATTTTAAACGGGTTTTAATAACAAGGAGGTTTTTGCCGGTGCATTGGAAGATTCATATGTGTTGTTAGTAGTACCCATTTTATTCGATTTCAAACAAGCTCATGTATCCCACAAACGAAACATCCGAGAGCGCCAGAAAATTCACAACAATGCAAGGCACACACAATACATGGACACAAGTCTACGCACACCCCCCAAACCCCACCAAATAAGCACAAAACACCCTTTTTCTAAGTAAGTAACCTAACCGCTACGATGAGCCAAATCACTATTCTTTATAGACCAATAATAACAACTACTTATAATTATATACATATAAATTTAGGCCTTTTTAACCTATAAATTAGGCCGATGTATAAAGATATAGCCTAGCCTACACTATTTCGCTTATTTCGCTATATTAAAATCGCGACTTTTCTACACCTACTTTTTAAATCGATTTTACTAGCTATTAAAGTACGAAATTTATAATTCTAAAGATAGAGTAGTAGTATTAAAGTGATAAATATTTATATACCTAAGTCTTAGGTAAAACTAAAGAGGTTATATATATAAGAATTAATAGATAAAATGTAGGACCTTTGGTTTAAATCATAGGGTGTGCGTAGACTTAGGTCTACTCACTGTATCATTTAACTATGAACACTCAGCATTTCATGCCTATATACCCCAAATTTGATCAACAGAGTTCTATAAAATCTTCCTAAGATCCCTCACCTCCTAAACAGGAACGGATGCTCGTCACCGACATGAACGAGAATGATATGCGCGTATCACGAGTGGAATATCAATGACCAGTAGATAACGCGTGGCTTGAGCCAAGTGGGTATTCCATTCTCTCGTTGCGTGAATTCAGCGTCCTAAATGTTCGGAGAAATTCGATTTCGACGACATAGTGGTGACAAACACCCCTTCTTAATATTCTTTTTCGGATTTTGTACCCTCGGAAACTCTTGTTTTGCATAGAGTGAGCAGCGACCCCTTAACGTACTGCTATGGTTGATAGATAACATATATATCGATCACACGTACGATTAATTCCATGCAGGAACCCCCCGCTTTCCTGGACAGACTAAACACTTCGATTTTACACTTCGAACTTAGAGGAGGTGGATAGATATTTATTCATGAGTCGCTGGACGTGACTTCAAGGCCTCTTGACATTATAACAAGATGATGAATTTCTCTATGCTGTTCCTCTGATTTTTAAGGTTAAGAAGAATAGAGTGTTGGAATATTTTTTTAAGGGTGTAGGTATGCTGATTGCATTGTCGGGGTTGATGGAAAGAAGGATTCGGAAGCAAGTTAGGGACGAGCGAGGATTGGCATATCGTTTGGCGTACTTGGTTGTTTGTTGGGCTTTATAGTCCGAAGACGAAATATTAGGCTCACGTTTCTTCGTTCTATTTGTCATTATGAAATGTAAGGATATCATGGACAGGATGGGAGTTAAAACCAACACATCCCGTTCCCGATATCATACCCATAATCAACAACGAATCCCTAATTCTCTCCCATCAATATACCATTCTCCTTGACGACCCGAGAGAAACATTGATCCGTATACCTACAACATTCCCACAATCTAGGTTACCTAAAAGCATACCCGCATCATCACTCCCCCCAAGAATCCCTGTCCAGTAACGCTTAGTTCTCCAGAACCCAACTCAGTACCACTCCCTTACGCAACTGCACCACTACCCGTAAATATCCATCCAACACCCCTCGACTCCCACAAGTAAATCACGCGCGCCTCTCAATCTCCTCAACCAACCATCCGTAGCGCCAAATTCTTCAAATACCGAGGATTCTGATATGTCGCGTGATGCAATACGCAGGTACAGAAAGTTTGTATCGCCGGATGCGAGAAGTACCGGTATGTTTGTTGGACGGTGAATCTATGGAAACGTGATAGGATTTGGTAACGAGTTTTGGGAGAGATGGTTCTGCGTTGTGGTGAGGTGGCGGAGTTTGGCTGTTAAAGACGGAGGTGGTGGAACCTGAGATATTCAATTAACATATCCAAGTTTAGGTAAGAAATAGTTGCTAACAAAACGTAAATACACTGTGCAATATACATAGTTCTAGATAAAACTCTCGTCCGCGGAAGCTTTGAGGTTTGCTTTCAACCACGTGCTTCTGGAATAAAATCGTACCGGTGGTAGAACATTGAAACACGTCACATGCCACAACGGAAATGAGCTTTATACACTATACCAAAGTACCAAGTACTTTACTCGGGACTATCGAGTATTCTCAAGCACAGAGGAATCCAGATATGGACATTGAAATTCGATGGGTGGATGAAGTCTATGAGGCCGTCTTCCTGTGTGTGACCGCATGATATGGGATAATTTGGGCTATTGGTTCGGTTATACTTTGGCGTAGTTGAGTTGGTGAGAATGATGTGTTTGTAAGGAAGTCTGTGGGTTGAAGGTATGGAGATGGAACTTTGCAGGAGCGGATGTTGGTTGTGGTGAGAGAGTGCTGTGAGATCTGATCCTGATATTGGTGGACCAAAGTGAACTGAGACCATCACGTACCCATCTGCATTCATGGAATTCAATACCTTTCTTGCATGTGTCTCTGGCCCGCGTACATCACCACCTCTAGTCGAGAATAGACTTTCTAGAATTCAATTCGACAAGTCATACCTCCTCGCAACCCTCTCCCGATGCGAGGTTCCATTCCCAGTGGGATATTGCTCTAGAACGTTACTCTCGCGCATGGCCCCAGCAGCAAAACGTGGTGTGAGTACCACAGCCCAGCTTTATCCTTATCATCTGAGCCCTTTCTAATTCCAAATACCATGATTCGCATCACGTTCTTTCCGGGTTTCGTCGTTTCCGGGAGATTGGATCTTTTGTGAGATGGAGGACTGAGAATGCTTGACTCGTAGAGATGTACAGCGTGCCAGGCTCATAGAGAAATAGCAAATATAAGAAAGATCTTTGCTCTCTCGAAAAGATCATCAAGCGATTCACACTCACTCAACAACCACAACACTCGAAGTTCTCTCGTTGAAATGATGGATAAGGTTACCGCTCTGAGCTTCGCACTTAGTGCGTTGCCGTTGATTGCTGGCGTGCCAGTTGGTGTACGTCCCACTACTTCTACTCACAAACATCACTAACACTTTAAACAGAAGATTAACATCCTTTCACATACTCATAGCTATACTCACCACCCTCAGGTCTCGCAGCCAACACCGGTCCAGGTGGAGCAGCCACAGGCGCCGGCGGCGTCGGCGGCCTTCTCGGCGGTGTAAACAGCGATGGACGAGGTGGTCTTGGTGGATTGTTGGGCGGTTTCCAAGGCGGGTTTCAGAGCGGAGGGTATAATCAGTTTGGACAACCTAGTGGAGGTGCGGCGACGGGCGCGGGTGGTGTAGGTGGGTTGTTGGGTGGTGTGAATGGGGATGGGCGTGGGGGAGTTGGGGGGTTGCTTGGAGGGTTCCAGGGTGGGTATCAAGGAAGCAAGAGAGATTTGGAAGAGAGACAGTCTGGTGCTGCGAGTGGTGCTGGTGGGATTGGGGGACTGTTGGGGGGTGTGACGAGTGATGGGA